AAAACCCTAAAACCCTAAGCCCTAAGCCCTAAAAAACCCTAAGCCCTAAGCACCTATCCTTACCTATACCTCCTTCTTACATAATACCCTTTTCCTCCCTCTCTTCCCTGCTTACTTTAATAAAACCTCTATAATACTACTTAACCCTTTCTAATTAGCGATTTACTTAACTCGAACATAATAAAGAAAATACTCACCCCCTCTTCCTATGAATAAAATACAATAGATGCTTAAACCCCCTGGAAAAATCTAAACAAATCCTATAGAACCCTTCTGATTCTCCTTCGATATATCATATTTGCCCTCTCGATAATCATTATGAACAAATATCTACTATATTGTCGCTACCTGATAACCAATTATGAAAAATGAATCGAATCCTCTGACTAATACTATGCCTATCAAAATATCGACCTTATAATCTATGAGAAATAATAAATCTAATCCTTAGATAAATACGATGCCTCTCATTTAGGTAATAAATAATTCTAAATAATATAAATGTAATACGATGAATGGAATCTCAAAGACCTAAAAAACCTACCTAAGAAAATAATTTCTACTATCGAAGACGCCAAAATATCTCCATAAATCTACTAGGGAAGTAGGGTATATATAGTCTAGAACGTGCAACGGAAATATTTGAAACTATGATAGATTTGCTTCTAATTAATAGAATGGCTGATAGGACGCTATAGGACTATAAGATTTCAAGGATAATGTGGTAGCCTTACTGTGTACCAAGTTATTATATAAACAACATTTAATCGTATAAATTTGGGAATTAGTAGATTAAGATCTAGTAGTCCTATCGCGATGTGCGTACTACCATTGAAACCGCCTTGTCGACTATACTATAGTATGATTTTGCCTAACATCAAAATCCAAAAAAAAATCTGGCCCGTTAAGACTTAGTCCCTAGAAAATTTTGGTTAGTGAAGCGATAGGCCCTACCAAAAATTTTTAGTTGATAATTAGGCCCTAGCCGCTTTTTGGGCTAGGCCTAGTTAAACGATATCACTAAAATCGAAGATAAATATTCAAGCGTGATTATCTCTACATCTAGTAGGCCTACGGAGGTGTGCTTACGATCATTGAAATCGCCTAGTCGTCTAGGCCATACCAGCATTTCGCTAGACTAGGATTAGGCAAAAAACAATGAAGCGAATGAATGATTGATTTGACGGCCTATAATTAATACTAGACTACTAGGCTCCTAAGCTAGTTCACAACTAGTTAGTCAATTAGTTCTAGAAATCCAACAATTCAATTCAACTACTGATTAAACTCCCTAACCCTATACATTAAACCCTCATCTCATGCCAATAACACGCAATGTACTCATGGAATAGAAATGTTCCAAGAATCACAGGCGTCTCAATCAGCATCCAATCCCAACGTAGGAGCTTCTGACAAAACGGTATAATACCGGTATCGCCATCTAGCCCATAGTCCCGAAATTGAGACTTTAGAACACCCTTTCGGAAGAACTCGCGTTTTTGGTAGAGGATCGCTAGGAAGGCTGGTATGATCCCTGCCCCTAGGCAAGGCCCTTCCGAATGTAGGTGCGTCTGACACATCCTAGCGGGTTGTAGACAGCCATAGCAACAGCTCTCTTTATAGAATTTGAGCCCGTTCCTAGGGAACTTTCTGACGTAATAGTCCCAATCTAGGCATTCAGGGGTAGAATGTTCCCTAAAGCCCGTCTGTTCTTGGCGTTCTAGGGCCAAATTAGGATGAGTAGCTAGACTAGGCTAGGCTAGGGTGCTAGGATCACTTACCTTCTCCCTCAATAAAGCATATCAGACATACCCTATTAGATAGATGACTAAGTCCTTCCCGTAGGAGCGACTCATTGCTCTTGATTGTGCTCCACACCATACTAGACCGCGCTTGGCCATCAAATCGCGCCTGACGGCAGTAGTCGCATTGGACGTCACTAGGCTGACACGTCATCATGACATTATCATAGACCTGGTTGATGATCTGACGACGGCAGCCATTGGTATTAATGAAATCTTTCATAGCCTGTACGTCAATGGTATCCGTACGAAGGTAGGCATGGTTGATTGATGGATTGAACCCTGTAGGCCGGACTAGGGTTATACAATCACCTGACGAGCTAGGGCTTCGTGCCATGCGCCCAGAGCCCTGAATGAAATCATTAAATGACCAAGCGCCATATAGGAAGATGACTAATGAGATATCCACAAAGTCATAGCCTGCACCAATGGCACTAGTCCCAACTAGGATAGATTTCCTACCACTAGTGAAGTCGTCGAGCTCTTTCGTCCGTAAAGACTCGTCTAGATCACTAGTGTAGATCGAAACCTGCTTCCGAAATTGGGATCTAAATGCCTGGACGTCAGCCTTCGTCATACAATACACAATTACCCGCTGTAGTGGAAAGGACTGCTGACGGGTCCGTATGTAATCCATGGTATAGGCGTAATGATTGTCACATGACGGTGTAATCCTCTCTACGCCATAGTAGATCCTAGGATTCCGTATAGGCTCCCGGATGACGTGCGTTCGTTGGATCAGAAGGTTCTGCTCAATACCCGCTAGGGTAGACAGTGTCACTGTAGCCGATGCTAGCACTAGAGGGACCCCTAGGCTAGGTAGGTGTTTTAGCTGGTGCATCACCATCCGATAGCTAGTAGCTAGGTGAATGAGATGGGCTTCATCAATGATAATCCGATCAATCTGGTAGGGTACCTGACTAAAGGAATCATAGAAATCCTGACTAGTGGCAGCTTCGACAGATGTAATGACCAATCTAGGGAAAGTAGAAATCTGACGCTGGCCTAGATTCTGGCCCTGATCCTGGCTATAGCGTAATGTCTTGATTAGCGACGCTCTGTCAACCATGCTTAGATCATCCCAAATCTCAAAGGGGAGCCCTAGCTTGATTGCCTTCTGTATAAAATCTTGACGTAGAGAAACAAGAGGAACAACCAAAATAGTAGTCCTACTTGTAGCGAGGCTGGCAGCTAGTAGGAAGAGTGTTGATTTCCCACCGCCTGTTGGAAGGACTAGCGCTAACTGACGATGTTGATTGGTCAGCATGGCATAGAGAGCCTGCCGCTGGCCAGGCGTCTTGAAATCGGCGGTAGCATCGCCTAGGAATTCCTGAAGGATCTGAAGCAGTAGATCGCTAGCTCTAGGTGGCTCGCTAGGTAGTCTATGCCTAGAAAATGAGCGAATGAGCTGCGCTTGGTCTAGATCCTGGGCGGAATAGACCTGGCTCTGCTGTCCCTGAGTAGTCAAATCCTGGCTCCCTAGCGCTAGGTAACTAGTGAGCTGCCCAATAGATAGTTGACTAGTAGGCGCCCTAGCGCTAGCGAAGGAAAATCGGACAGCTCTTGTAGTAGGCGTGGGCCCAATGACCTGTGGACTAGGTTTGATAGGGCCTAGCCTAGTAGGCAGAGTGATCGTTGGGTAGGTTCCCTATCGTCATAGTTAGTAATCTGACTTGGGGGGGGGGATATTAGGGAGCCTAATTACAGAGAACGCATCGAAATCCTTGCCTAGGCCTAGGAACGTATGCCAGCGCTGACTAAATTCAACAAACATAGTCTGTTGGTTCCCTCTCAATTTAGGGAATTGGGCGATGTGGCGCGCATAGACCTGTAGGCCTGTATTAGGCGAGTGGTGCATCTGCTTCGCTGCGAGTGCCTCTATAGTGCTATCGTCTGTATTGAAAATTTCAGGGCTATCAAGGATTTCCTCTTTGAGAGAATACCTAATAAAGCCCTGCGATAGATGACGCCATGCGGCTAGGCCTAGGCTTTGTTGGATCAAAACCTCTGACTCATAGCGTAGACGGGAGGTGAGCTGGCGTGACGTCATTAGACCGTCTTGTAGACTAGTCAGCATCGCTCGCCGAGATAGGCGCCGAAGGGACCGATTTAGGAAATCCCGGAATGGTTCAATGACGACTAAATAGAAGAGTAAGATGTATGATACACTAGCTGGTAGTGTACGAACAGCTTCCTTCTCTATATTAGTCGTTGAGAACGTTTTGGAATACCTATATTATGATTAGCCACTGGATCAACTAGGGAGGTAGTAGGTAGGCTAGCGAGCACTAGGTAGGCGAGCGAGCACTAGGTAGGCCAGCGAGCACTAGGTAGGCGAGCGAGCACTAGGTAGGCCAGCGAGCACTAGGTAGGCTAGCGAGCAAAGGGAAAATACATACCGTAATCGAATCTGAAATAGATGGGTCTGTGGGTCTAGGAACAGTGTGCGCTTCGCATTAGGCGTATTAATGAACTGGAGCTGGAGAATTTCTGTGCCTCGAGCTGGTGCACCACTAGTCATATGGATGACGACCAGCAATCGTTGGAGGAATTTGTCAATGCTCTCAAGGTATTTGCCTGCCTGTGCACGGTTGATAGCGATATGGTCACCTGACTGAATGAACCAGGTAGGCAGCTGGCGTAGTTTGATGAAATTGATCAAAGGATTTTCATTAATGGAGTAGGCGCTAGGGCGCTCTCCAAACCAGAACCCATGCGCAGTATTAGTGAAATCCTCCCTAGAACTATACTGTTCTAGGGTAATCTCACTAGAGAGCTCCCTAAAGAGGTGATAGGAGAGAGTGAGGTCATTCGCTAACGTTTGCGCGATATCAATGATCATGCGCTGGAGGAACTGCCCTAGTGTTGGCTGACTAAGGGTAGTCGATTTGAAAGCAAACTCTGCATGCGTAGGATGGCCAGAATCATCGTATGTAGACAGATCCTGGACCTCATGGCCTAGGTTCGTCCCTAGTTGGTTCAACGTCAATGCTAGGGATCGTAGGCTAAGGATTTCACCAAGCGGGGTATTGCATTGATTATGAAACCACTTATGCATAAAATCATCAAGCATTTCAGAGAATGGGGGGTATATAGCGTTAGACGGGCTCTCTTCAAGCAGGTCTAGATATTTCCATCGCTGATCAATCAGGGTGATGAATTGGAAGCCTAGTAGATAGTTAGTTTAGTAAGGAGCAAATAGAGCGAAAATGGCAAAAGAAGCCAAAATTTTAATGTAGGAGGAAGTGTGGAAATCTATCTTCATAGCCTTAAAGATCCCTTAACCATTAAGGAGTAGATGTTTAATGCCTCATAGATAATGTATGAGGCATATAACGATCAGTCCTTAAACGTTAAGGGAGGAAAAAGGGGGTAAAAATGAAAAAAAATCAGAGAACTTGCCTTTCACAATTGCACTATAAACCTGGCTAATGACGTTGATAGGCTTAAGCGCTTGCGCTTTGTAATCAATGGCATAGCATGCAAGGAACGAATAGAGTAGCGTTTTCCGATTGGTAGGGCATTTAACCTTGATCGATGTCATCATGACGTCGAGGAGAGCCTTCGCACCATGCTTGATAGTCTCTAGGTCAAATCTCGATGTGTTGATCAATGTATGAGGGTTTTTGGCGCTGTAGTGGACATCTGGCCGTCCGTATATGCGACGCTGACCCTGGCCCTGGCCCTGGCGCCTATCGTTGGTAGAACCACTAGAATTAGTAGAATCACTAGAATCCTCTAATGTAGTTGATTGATCAGATTCCACTGATTCGGCTGATTCGTCAGAATCATAGTCGCTCTCCCATTCAGCTGTATGCATAAACTCATCGTCTTCATCAACGACTAGCCCATCGTCCCAATCAGGCCTATCCTGGCTAGGTACGTCATGATGACTAGCTGCCTTTGTAGTCACTGTTTGGAGGAAGGCCTGAAGCCTAGATAGGCTCTCGTGATAAGGAGTGGGATCATAGAGGTCATGTCGATGCCTAGATCGTTTCGTCCCATCCTGGTATGGTAGGCTCATCAATGCGAAGATGACAAATGCCCTAAACACCCGACTGTATTTTTTAAGGGTAGGGAGCTCTTGGAGGGGCCTGATTGGACGAATCACGCGATGATCATGACTAAACGAGTCTAAAATCTGGCATGTGACACGGCTCTCGTCATGGATTTGATGCTGCCCAACTAGGAGTAGCCAATCAAGGGCAAGCCCAATGAAATCGCGAAGCGCTGGCATAAGAATTTGAGCATGACTAAGCTCTAGCTCAAATAGTCCCTGTAGGCGTACAAATTTCCGCCCTTGGAGGATGTCTGGGTAGCGCGATTGCATATGGAAGCTAGATAGCTCATCGCGAGTGCTGAATAAGCTGATTTTGGCTGTATCGCGTTTGTGCGCTTCGATGGCATCGTATTGATGACATAGATTAGCCATAAATGACGTAATGCCCTCGCTAGCACTAGGCTGGGTAGGTAGGGGGGAGAGAGGTCGTGGGCCATAGGTTTCAAAGAGGTACGAGCTACCTCTTAGCGCTTGGTAAAAACAGGGTTTGAAATTACCCTGACGCTCATCTGGACTAAAAATACCATGCTCCTCGCGAATGTGGCGCTGGATTTTGGCCTTACTAGCGCGTACGGTAGGGCAACTACTAGTTAGGCAGCGAAATCCGGCTTGGCGCATAGGAAGCCCAGGAAGGGGATCAATAGGTTGGTAGGCCTATAGATATTAGTCATAAATCTATAAATAGACTAATATGGCCTACCTGAATTCGCTGATAGCATTCTTGGATGGTTGCAATAGATAGATTGCCAAAAATTTGCAAAAAACTATGATTTTCAATGTCCTCCTTAGAAAGATGCTGGGATAGGTGGGAGAGGGCAGTCGTTGGTATAAGGCAGATTTTGCATACAGAGCAAAGCAATAGCTTAATAAGCGGGTAATAATAGAAAAATTGAGCGATTTCCTAATAATCCATATTGTATGGTGGTACAAAGTAAGCTTGGAATCGTGCTAGGTAGTTGTGTGATTGTTAGGTAGAAGTCAAAATAAAGATTAATGATTTTGATGAGGGGGCTGGAAATGTTTGTCATGTGACTAACTAGTCTACTTTTGGAATGATCTACATTAGCTAGCGAAAGCCTGGCCGTCATGAAATCAAAACGGTATTCATAAGCCTGGCCGTCGTTAGATTAGGCTATCCAAAATAGTATCTATAGGCCTAGCCGTCATGAAATTAGGCTATCCAAAATTGCTGGCGGAAGCCTAAGCGTCATCAAATTAGGCTATCCAAAAAGGCATCCATAAGCCTTGACCGTCAGCAAATTAGGCTATCACAAATAGTATCTATAGGCCTAGCCGTCATGAAATCAGACTACTAGAATTAGCTTGTAGAAGCCTACAGAACTAGCCTACAGAGGCCTGACCGTCATTAGATTAGGCTATCAGAAGTAGGCTACAGAAGCCTGACTGTTTTTAGATTCGACGATCAAAAGTGGCCGCCTAAGATTTTCAGACGAAATTCTGCCTAGCACGTTTACTAGCCCAAATTCGTCTCTGGTAAGCTAATAATCATAAATGATGTCACGATGATAGTGATACACCTAGTAGGGAGGTCCAAAATCATCAAAATTTCCATATAAATTTTTGATTGTTACTACTTATATGATATATAGTGTATAGAACCAAGTGGTGTGTGATATATATTCGTCGTCTAACCATGAACCAAAATTTTTTTAATAAACTCCGTTTTCGCTAAAACTTTGTGTACGGCTTTTGTACGGGCCTATTAAAACCCTATTTGAATGAGAGCTGATTCCGACCGTCACCGATGGAGCTATTCGCAAAACAAAACTTCAAACGTGAATAACTTTACAACGGATGGTCTGATCGCAATACTTTTACTCTCATTCGAACCAGCTTAGTTAGGAGCACTATGTACAATTTTACGGAATCTAAATATTCCAAATTTTAGCTACGCACCTATGCAGAAGTCTATATCAAGCGTTTTGTGAAGATGATTTAGTAGATAGAGCACGAATACGTCGTCCGCCCTACATTGTGGTAATAAGATACGCTCGTAATTTATTTCTCATAGTTAGGAGACGTAAGGCGTTGACCATACGCACCCGCTGTATGGGCTTGGCGCACCCCATCAGTCAGAATTAGGGTCAAATTTCAATTAATTCCTACCCCCCCAAATCTAGTCGGATAGCGCTGAAATTTAAACATCAATATTTCAATCGTCTGAATTAGAATTCCTAAAATTTTGAAGGCGATTACTCCAAAATTAGGATCATTATAGCTGGGGCCGAATAATGACCTCGGCCCCAGCCTTATCAGGGCCAAATCCTTATCTCTTCATTACTCGGCCCCAAGCTGGGGCCGGTATGGAATATAATTTAGGGGGAAGTTCACGGGGGTGATATAGGATCCCTGCCCTAGGGCATGGGTCAGGAGGCGCCATATCAGCTGTACCCCACCCCACTGTTCGTCATCTAGGTGGAGACCGAGCACTTCCTCATGCTCATCCCGAGGCAGTGGAGCAGCGCGGAAGATATAGCAGAGGAACCGACGCCAGAGCCGTATATACTTTTCCTCGGTACCGTTCTCAAGGCGATCGAGCCGCCGGTCTATCCGTGGCGTACCTCCTCGGCCGTTCCGCATGATGGCACGGATCGGGGGTCGCGTAGTCTCTAGGGTGTGAAGCGCCCGGTCTATCGTTCGGTCGAATGATGCGACGATGTGCCTGAGCGCTTGGTTATGCATCCTCTGAGTGTCGGAGAGGTTGGTGTTCACGCCACCCCAGAACGGGATCAGCTGTCCGAATAGCTGTGGCCTCCCTGGCTCTCCGGCTAGTGCAGCCATCGCGGGGAGCCGACGCCCGTCGAAGAATAGTAGCCAACCCGTGTGGCTGAGCCACGGAGTCATATCATCTCGCTTATGTCGCTCACTGAGGACGAATAGGCCTAACTCAGCGGCGATATCTGGCGCACGGTCGGGGTCGTGTCTCTGGGAGTGGCGGATCCCGTTCTCGTCGTTGAGGGTCTCGGTAATCCATACTGGCGGTGGACGGGCGGCGGCGTACTGACGCGTAGCGTCGGATGTAGGCGAAGGGGCGGAAGGCGAGTTTGGAACACCATCCGATACTAGAGGGCCTGGGCTCGATGGCTGGTCGTGGTCTGATGTGCATAGGGGTATGGTGAGCTCGGATGGCTAAATACTCGGTATGGGCCGTCCGCTACTTACCTGGACTTACGATGGGTGGGTCATCATCGCTTACGGGTCCGGGGAGATCGATGATGATATCGTCGTCCCCACCGAGATCGAACTCGCCGTCATAAGGAGGCGCTGGTGAATCGGTGGGTTCGATCGTTAGGGGACGCGGTACATCCGGAGCAGGCCGTTGCTCCTGGGGTGGTTGCTCTGGTGTTGACAACGGCCGGATTGCTAGGACTTCCTGGGGCTGGGGCCGGGGCGGAGACGTCGTCCACCAGCGAGAGAATTTGGAATGCGCAAGCCAACGCTGGCCCTGGACCCGACGGATTCCTAGCTTCTGCGCTTGGGATGGATCGTGGTCGTGATTCCCTCGGCTGTGGTTCTTGACCAGTCGGTCACTTTTGGACCGGAATCCGCACGTGTCGCATATCCAGAGATCGTGGATCGCGAGCGACGGCAACGGTTGGGAACCGTCTGGGAGGGGTGTAAAGTCGGAGTGGTCGTAGAGCGGGGCGGTCCCGTCCGGGATGGCTGCTAGGTGTCGCTGGCATTCGGCGGAGTTGAGGATCCCATGTGTTTCATAGAGGTGGCGCTCCTTCAGACGGGCCGGGATCCCAATGCGACAGGGGCCGCAGACGATAGCGTTGTGACTCGCTTCGTACTCGAAGAGAGCACGAGATGGCGGTGGTCTAGCCATCGTCGTCGTCGAGGAGCTCCCGCTATCGTCGTGACATCGGAATCCGCTGAAGGACTCAGGGGTCAACTCTGGCGCGTGGCGCAGCGTGTGGCTGATCGGGCATCCTCCCCCCTCCCTTTTCCCCTCTAGATTAGAACCCCGGTTGGACGTGGGCGTTGAGTGCAGAGTGCATGAGTATTAGAACCCCAGTTGGAGCGAGGCGTCGGGTGCGTCTAAGCCTATGCGTCCGTCCAACTGGGGTTCTAATCTAGGGGGGAGGTTGGGGGGGAAGTCTTCTCCCCTCGCTCAGAGCGCCATACGCGACGACGGACGGAGCTCGTCGAGGATAGAGTCTATACATCGTCGTAGGGGGCTAGCGGGAGCGGCCCACGCCTAGTGGGGCCCCTAAGCCCCAAGGACTAATGGCCGACCGTTTCTGCGAGACGCCCCACCTAGGAAGTGGTCGGGGCCAATGACCGACCGATTCCGCCGACCGCCTACCGCCCCAGGCGATTCCGGCAGAACGTCCGGGGCCCGCCCCTCCCGCACCGACGTTTTTTGTTCGGGTTTCCCGACCACTACGGCCGGACTTCGCTCTGAGTCTACCTCCAAAGTTGGCTCTTCCCTCTAGATCCGCGTGCACATCAAGCGCACCTGATCTGCATCTTTCATCCGAAGAAGCAGCTGCAGATCCACATTCGTCGTGGTGGCTAAGATCCTCTCACGCGTCTGTTCAGGCGTTTCCCCGGCGTTTTGGATAGCACGAATCCGGTGACCACGTAAAAGACTCGCCATCACCGCGACAAACTCCACCTGCGAGAACTTTTTGCCCAGACAATTCTGTGGGCCTTCCGACCACGGGAAGTACGTACAACGGGGCGGAGTGATAATTCTCTCGTTTTCGATCGTAGTCGCTGCGTCTGCCTCTTCGGATATTGTCACCCACCGCGAGGGCTTCCAGGCTAGCGGGTCTTCCCAATGTTGAGGATGAATGTGCATAGTGAGGATGCTTGGGTTGATCCCTACGCTTGGAGGAATTATCACGGTTTTATCACCTACCTTTAGAGCTTGAGGCTGGTCACTAGTCCACTTAGGTAGAGACGGTATAGGTGGGAAGTGACGGAGAGTTTCAAGCTACAACAAGCTACAAAGTTCAGAACTAAAGGGATGAAGGAAAGATGGGGTTTGACGTACCATAACAGCTTTGCAGCGGGTTAATCTGGGGAAGAGCTCGGCATAATGGCCTTTTGTGACGACAACTGACTGTAATTCTTCAGCCACCCAGTCCTGAACCTCTGGATGTGCCGCCAAAAGAAGCATAGCAAAACTTAAGGTATTGGCAGTGGTGTCGTGACCAGCAAAGTTGATGACGAAAATATTCCCAAAGATCTCGTTGACGGTAAGCCCTTTTCGCGACAATTTGTTTGTTGATTCCATCATGTCTTCCTTCTGTTTAAGATCCATAGCGTGTACAAAAGACGTCATGAGACCGCCAGAGCCAGTCTTTCCCTCGTTTAATGCCTTAGTCTCATTGTTTAGCATACGGACCATGTCCTGCTTGAAATCATCGGCAGCTTTTGCAAGAACATGCCAGGACTTAGGGGCAAACGGGAGAGAGAGCAGTTTCCGTGGCGCGATCATCAATAAAATACAATTGTCGAGCACAGTCTGCAGTGCGTCACGGTAGCTTGCTGTCTCTTGGCTGTTCTCCTCTTGATGGTCATTGGCGCTACGGAACTGATATGACTTGCAAAATCCCGTGGCAGCAAGAACGTTCAGCGAGAGTGTGCGAGTATCTTTCGCAACGCTAACGATCTGTTTGGTATCTGGGGCAGCCCAGACGCCGACCATCTGGCTACTTTGCTCGAGACTTTCATCCCATACAAAGGACATGATATTTTCGTTAAAGGGAGTGGCTAGTACTTTCCGGTGACGGGGCCAGTCCGTCAAGCTAGCTGTAGAGATACAGGGCCCGTAGACCTCAAGCACCTCTACCACAAAGCACACAAGTTAGCCGCCTGATCGTATAGATGAATGCCCTAGTGACCGAACCTACTATACATTTTACTTGGGCGGATGAAATCCGTCCGACGCTGAAATATGTCTTGAATAGCTTCAGAATCGGCGATATTTATGTAGACGTCAATAGGCGTTACAATAGCCCACATAGGGCCGTAGCGTCGATGAGATGCCCCCCTATCGGAAAAGTACCATCCGCGACGAGAATAACGTCCAAAGGTGCCCCAGTCAATAGGCAGATGGTCGAGCACCGGCCAAAGATGAGGCTCAATGATCATCCAAACAATATTTTGCGGATCGATAAGCAGACGCACTAATGGAATCCCCATAGAGGACGCGCGACGATAATTGAGCTCCATGGCCACCAAGCTCCAGACCAGGTAGGCGAGGGCCAGGAAGCCCAGAATTTGCAGGAACATGACAATGTGGGATGGACGTTCGCCGTAGAATCGGATTTACGACTGTGAGGTCAAATGGTTGTGGAAGGGAGAGGTCTGTAGCCAGGAAGCGCGCAGCTATTAAATGAATGCCCGGTGTAAATAGTTCAGGCCCATGACAAGGGAGATATCTCGTCTTACGCCCCAATCCCCTCCAATACCGCCTTGGGCCCCACATGAAGTCACGAACCCCAGCGGTATGGAATAACAGTTACAGCCACAAAGCATTGATCCGCCAAGATCGCCTCTTCATATTATCTGATATGAACATAGCTGCTCGTTATCCCAGCCAATGCCATGGCATACCCCACTCACGATCTCTTTGTGAGACCTGAGATACAGTGGTAAGACGTGATTTTCCAACCCCGCGGGGATTTTGGTACTGTTACGCCAGTGCAAAATAGGGCAAGGCACTATTAATTTAGCAATCCTACAAATCCTGCAAAGGTTCAATAATGTACAGAGGTGAATTGGATGCTACAGTACTGCTGGGAGCAGTAGGCTCTCATTCAGCGACACTTCGGCCCTGAGTGATTGGAACTGACAAGGTTCAACGGCGTGTTGGACAAGCATGGATGCGGTGATCGGCGCCTTTTTCTGTCCCGGTACACCATATCACCCTATTTGATACATAGGTTGGCGGCGGGGCTGATGGATGCAGGCTAGCGGCGGAATGCAGATATAGTTGGGTATGCGTATGCCTAGAAACGCACGAATCGGGAAACCGGTTAGGGATCTTGTAATGTTAGTGGGCAATACAGTAGTGCTAGTAGCGGCATGGTACTGGACTGTTATGTTGCGGACAAGCGTATTTTTGACTCCAGACAAAACATGCAGATCGAAGATATGTGGGTCACTCAAAATCTGGGTTGGGCTCGAACCGACAAACAACAAAGAGCGCTTTGACTCCGGCTAGCACAAATCCTACCCAAGTACGCTTGATGACGTCAAATCCTAGCTTGATGAGACGTCTACATTAACCCTAATATGCAACTGCGCCAGGATACATATCTTCCGCCCCTTTTTTTGACGGGCTTTAAAACATCTCGGGTGACGATAGGTATGGGGGTGGGTGCGACGGAAAAATTTATTGAGTTTCCGTTTCATGAGAAGTCATCTAATCACGATAGCGGGGGGTATGAAAATCAAGCACGGGATAGCTCTATACCAATCCTTTCCTGCAGAAACAGATATCTTTCCCCTTGTCCCATAATCTGCCACCACCGATTTTGCAAATCCAATACGTCTCCCCAAACAAAGTGACAGTATGTTGGTCGACATGACGAGGAGCCTCTTCTCCACCTACGAGAGGGACATTGCTGCTGCTGGCGAAAATGGATATTATCGTTTCATTTACCTTCCCCTTACGGTTCTACTGCTCTGGAGACTGTGGGCTTTCACGATCTACCCGTGGTTCTACCCCAACAGATTGGAGTACCTGCCATACTGGATTCCATGTAAGCATCCGATACCTCATTTTTTCCTTAGAGATACCACAGCTGACTTGGCAAGATATGGGTACGTTACAAGATCTACCTTCGATGGAGAGCACTAACCAAGCCCGCAAACCCCTCCACTGATTAGGCCATGTTATACCGTTCTTTAGAAATTCTAATAGACTGTTCACTCGGGCAAAAAAGGAGTTTAACCACAAATTATGTGCTCTCCGTATCGTCGGACAGGATATGGTCATGGCAACTACTGCTGCCCAGATTGCGGCAATTGAGAAGGACACACACAGTTTTGGGTTTGAACCATTCGTGGATCTGATGTACGACGAGGTCTCAAGGGTCTCACCTGAAAGCAAGCCGATTCTGTGGCGGACTCCCGCCGAAGGCTACGTCTCGCTCTTTCCAAACCCCAAGCAGTTGTCTCCTGCACATACTGGAATACACATGCTGCACAAGCAGCTTCAAACTCCAGATGCGTTACACCGTTTTATGTCAGAGTCACTGGCTGGAGTTAGCAACACGTTACGGTGGAGCTATTTCTACGAGACGAGCATTCTAGCCTCCACGGCTGATGTAAAGGTTGTTTCCCTAGAATGTTTGGTCCGTGATGTACTATTTGATGCCCAAATCAATTCCTTTTTTGGTCCTCGTCTGCAGGAACTCGAGCCGAACATCCGAAAGATTCTCAAAGAATGGGACTGGAATAGCTGGCAGGTCTCGTATAAACTGCCATCCTTTCTGGCAAAGCGTGCAATTGGGCCCCGAGACCATCTCCTTGATGTACTGACTCAATATTACTCCACCCCCGCCGAGCATCGGCCGGGCTCTGTTCCCTTCGTCAGCGAGCTGTACGATGACTACCAAACAAGCCGGGCTATCTGATCGAGATATTGCAGGCATTGTTTTCACAATTCTGTGGGGGTAAGTTGCATTCCCAAAACTCCGAGCTAAGACCTTGAAGATGCTGAACCACCGTGGAAGACTTAATTCAAATGTCATCGCTATCTCATATTGGATGATCGCTCACATCATGAATAACCCGGGCGTTGGCAGCCAAATCAGGGAAGAGATCGCGTCTGTGATGCAGGCTATCGACAGTGAGCCCACGAAGAACGGGGCGACTCTAGTAGCAATGACCAAGGATCCTCTCCTGAACGGCTGTCCAGTGTTGAACTCGACATTTAACGAGACACTGCGGTTTACTGGGACCGGGAGCGGTTTCCGCAAAAGCATGCGAGACACCACACTTGAAGGTCGCCATATTCCCAAAGACACTATCATGATCATCCCACAAAGGGTTCAGATGATGAACACTGAGGTTTTGGGATCGGACGCCCGCGCATTTGATTGCCATCGATTTTTGCGAAACAAATCACTGCTCAGGAAGGGCGAATTTCGCGGGTTTGGCGGGGGCACCACATTATGCAGTGGAAGAATTGCGGGAAGGCATCAGGTGCTAGCTTTTGTTGCACAGTTATTTTGGAGATATGATTTGGAAGTAGTTGGCCACGGACAAGAAGTATTGGGCGTGCGAGGCAAAGCTTTCCCCAGGCTGAACGAGGCCATGCCAAGTCTAGGCCCAGGCAAGCCCATAAATGGAGACGATATGATCCTTAAAGTAACTCCCCGAAAGCTTTAGCATAGGTACAGAGTTTTCATGGGACGATTGCTAAATGGACAAGGCAACTTTGCCAATCCATTCTAATCACATTCTAGAATCAAGTAGTCGCTAATACTAGTTCGCTATGTATCTAATACAAAGTTAACTAAATATCGTACTAGGAGACCTAATCCTATATAGTGGCGTTCGTATACTCTACCTACTATTATAATTAGTAGAGCTCCTTTTCAAGTCTCTGACCCTTGACTAAGGCTTTCTTTCTTCCTATAATAACCTACTATAATTTGGAAATCTCCTAGGTCTTTTTAGCGTAAAGACATTCTACTAACTCAAAATTATTAGCTATTTCTTGATATCTCTCCCTAAGGGCTTTTAAAACTCTTATTTAAGATTACCTATTACCTTAAAACACCTTCAATAGGCCGATTCGCTATCTTTCTTTCTATACCTCTTTGTCCTTAAGTACGTCTAAACCTATTATCAATATCTAGTATATTGTAATCATAGGTGGACAAGAAAGTATAATGGCCCTATATGAGACAAGCACATAAACAAAATATAGGTTTAATATACTAAACCTTTCTACAACTTCGATACTAGTTTAGGAGTGTTACGGCTAGTATTAGGACTAGAGGCTATTGACCAAGTAGGATAATACGAAATAGCACTAGGTTCGTTAGTATATAGCTTTGCCTTACTAGATTTGCAACGTGTCCCTCGTACTACACCTAGTGCACGCCATTGCAATGGGACCCGGCGGGTAGGCTTGGCACGGCTCCTGGTAATATGGAGGGACTTATTATGTCAAAGTAGAGACAAAAGAGTTGTTCCACAGATTTTTGTATTCTTAGATCTAGATTCCGCTCTTATATATCTCATGGAGAGAGTGTTATCGTTTTCATTATCAGAGTCAGAACAAACACCCATTAGGAGCAAACCATAATATCTTAGTAGCTCAGTCGCAAGAAAAAAATAAATGGAAAAAGACACCGGGTCGATCAGAGAAGTGAGTATCGAGTAATCTTTCAGGTAGCAGAGAAGGGGTCCAGCTGGGTCCTCAAGACTTCACTCAAAGTACACTACTTATTTATTACTAGGAAAGCGGGAAGTGGGAGCCAGGTCCGGCAGCGAATAATTACTCAGTAGAGCCAAAGACAAGGCTAAAATTTGAGTAGAAATAAAACATGCTAATAACCCCTGTGATGCCGATGGTGGTGGCCACTATTCCCAGAAACTCCCATAGTCCTCGTCATAGGCAGACTCATCATCTTGATTCGCGTCATCTGGTGACCAGAAAAACCCCTCAACACTGCAATCGTTAAAGCTGTCCTTGACACTTTGAGAGACAAAGTCAGTGAACTTCCCCCCTTCCCATTAGGCGCTGTGTAACTATACTCCGCGCATGTGCAAGGGTTATCAGTTTGAAAGAACTGCTTTGTGCCTGGGACGTCCCGTATATCACTCATCACTTGAGCAACACCAGGGACGTAAACCAAGTCGTCAACAACGCAGACAGGCACACTATAAAGACCAGCAGTGTCGGGTGTGATAGACGTGAAAATGTTTGTTATCTGTTGAGCTCCCTCGACACCCCCCTCTTCTAGGAGCTTTGTGAAGTTTTGGTCCATCAATGAGTAGTTGAACCCAAATTGCTGCTGACCCGAAATTGAGGATGCCATGATGTCCCATCCAGTGATTGTTTGGTCACCATAAGCAAGTTTGCTGCTCATCCACGATTTTGACTCTGAGCCATTAATGCTGGGTCGCGTGAACAAAGACATGCCGGGAGTCCCGTTCGGACCGAATGTGATGTTGCACGTAGCAAAATACTCCCAACCGGAGTCAGTGGTCCAGTTATCTTTGCAAGTCGTCTGGTCGAATCCCCATGTCTTGCCATTGTACGGAACATCATCGCCATATGCGATGAACAAAATGTAGGCGCCTTGCGACTTAAGGGCTTTTGTGACGTACTGAGCAAACATAGCTTGCCCAAACCATGAGGAGACTTGGTCTTGAAAGCCTGTTTTGCTCCAATTTCCTGTGAGTTGCCAGCCGGTCCACTGGCCCCCGCCGAGAATTTGGGCGATGTGGTCTTGGCCTATGTTCTTGTCATAGAGAGCCTCGAAACCTGACTCTAGTTGTCTGATCTCGCTTTCGACAGCCATGTTGTATTTCGTAGCTCCTTTGAATTCCGAATCTGCGCTTTCAGGGTCATTCAGGGCGAGAATATCGCTAGCACCGCCTAACCCAACTTCTGCACAGATACCTACTGCGAGCAGGGTACCCCAAATCAGGTCCATTGACTCGGCCGTTACCAGATCGAGGAAAATAAAGGCGGCGACTAAGATCCCCATAAAAGCGTTTGCAATGCCTAGAATCTTGCCATCGTTCTCGGCTTCAGCAGGTGCCAGGATGGATCCGGCGATCTCGTCAATCGCAATGGCAATCGGGCTTTGGATACCCTTCACTCCCTGGATTACAATGTTGAGAAACTGGGCGAATTGGGCAATTGACGAGTCCAAAAGCGTTCCTCGAGTTTCATAAGTGGTAGGGTGTGATCGGCAAAAACTCGCTATGGGACAATTATAGTCGTCTGCGGTTATGTCGCAGTCTGTGTCCAACTCTGACAAGCCATATCCAAATTCGCGCATGGTCCGGTCTCTCAGAGATTCAAAATTATTGATGCCGGTCTTGGCTAAGTACGACTTCAGGAAGTCGTCCATTTGGTAGGCACCCCATTGCTGAGGCGTACCCGAAAAGTGTTGTTGGGTGCAGTTCTGTGCAATCGGCAAACCGCATGGCGGTACACCGGAGACGACTAGAGGGTATGTCGTCTTGTTATCGTGACTTTCCCCGCGTTTCTGAGAAACAATTCGACCGACTGTTTCATCTAGCCTATCAAGCCGGCCCGAAACCATAAGTGAGGTCTCCATGTGGGCCGTGACGTTCATATACCAACTACCATCCGCTCGCTGTTTCATCATACCACTTTCTTCCTCGTTATCGATACCGACAAAGGCTGTGCATGAGCTGCCCGCACATTGGGCTTTCATATCGACTAACTTGGCCCCAGGGCCGGCAGAGACGTCCCAAATGGAACCTTCTGGACCCCAGCCAGAACGAGCATCAGGCTTGAGATAGATCCATCCTGTAGGGATGGACACTTTTGTTTCGTATGAATAGGAGCTCGATTTGCAGAGACTTGGTGGAGCGCCCACCGTGAACTCGGTAGCTTGGGCATAGTAGCCTGGTGGAAGTAGAGGCGTTGAGGTTGTGCGAGTGATAGTTGCAGATAGAGCAGTTGAGGTTGGACTAGTAAGAGTTGTAGATAGCAGTTGAGTAGAATTTACCACACTGGTGATTGGAAGACGCATTTCGGGTTTAGTGTTTTTCTGTCTGTTTTTGTGATATGCGTCTGACCGAAGTCAAGGTGGAAAGATTTCTATATAGTTAGGAAGATCCCGGTACTTTATAAGATCACGACTGATCCTCCCATAATCCGGAACCCCCTGGCCCAAGAGGTGTAGAGTAGTATCGAATGAACTGGTGGCTGACACTCTGAAACACTTCTCCTAAACTCCATCCCTGATGGAAATTGGCAGGATTATGATGTTTTCAACTGGTCACTAAGTGAACTATACTGGGCCAATACAGACTAATACCAGTGTTATCAGCTGGGTAAGTAGGGCTCTAAGTACATAAGACATTACTACTATGTACTTAAGTATAAACATAGTAATGTAAGTAGTGATAAATACCAAGGGCAAGTTTGGGGAAAGAGAATTTCGGAATTCATGGAGAACATAGGGATTTAGACACATGTGGGGAGCGGAGTATTCTGAGTGCCTAAGCATCTGGTCGAAGCTTGTGGCCCCTGAAGCTAGTATGAAGGATTCAAGGCCGGCTAAGTCTATGACACATTTCGACAACCAGGAATGGTTTCGGCCCCAGAGCTGGTCCTTGTCATCCAATCAAGGCCTTTGGCCCTTCAAGAATCGGGGTCGTTGGCCCTCAAAAATTTGGGTGCTCTTGGCCCCGATCTATATTACAGATTGAATCTTCTTCTGAGGTTATTTCAATATTTGTTACGGGTCACGGGTCTACTTACTATTACTATTGTTATTACTCACGACCTATTCTCTTCATCCTCTTCCGTTCAAGGCCATAGATTGACCTTGGAGCCCTTCTCCAACAGTTCAGTGATCGAATCAGTAATCTGGGTCGTAAGAGCCTTCCCGCCCTGAAGATGTGGCTTATGCGAGCGATATCAGCGCCGAAGGGATTGTTCGCAACAATCGTAATATGTACTTTCCAGGGGGACATCTGAAGGGCGCGACGGATGCTCGATTTCGTTGAGCGAAGAGTGAATTGGTCCCACAGAAAATGGTGGCCATCTCGTCGAGGTACAAGGTAGATTTCTGGAGCAGGTGATGTCACAAAGCCTCCTGCATGACTGGAGTGATGGTACGGGGTCGTCCACCTTGCTTAGGCGGTGCTTTGACGCTGCCAAACATACCTATATTGGAACAGATACTCAGGATGGTACTCCTGTTGCATTCAGCAACCTGTTACATCTACGATATACTGTGGTAGATAATTCCCCATTGTGGGTCATGTCATAAATAGGCTCATGCTTTGAAGGAAGTAGGTTTGGGGCCATCTTGGTTCGACCCCTCGTGATTGATGGTTAAGATACCCATCTCTCGGGAGGGTGTTTTGGAGGTGGAAGATGCGATGGCGGCGTGACTCAGGGGAAGTCAGGAGCGCCATGGCAAGCAACTGAGGGATCACGAAACAGGGAGAGAAGAAGAACAGAGATGATGATGATATTCCTAACTGTGATCTCCCGGAAGGGAGGGTCTATCCACAGTCGGCGGTGGGCGCTGACGCCTCAGGCGCCCCACCCACCTCGTCAATATGGAGGGTGTCGAGTGTACAATTGAATTTACAGGCGAAGGCGTACTTGAAGTACAGTAATCTACGTAAGAAGCAATACACGTCCAACTGACGGGAGCACGATGATTGCTAAAAGTGGGGGCCATGTGTCTTGGTTGGATAGAGTGAGGCAGACTTACGCGCTTGTTCCTCAATGCGGAATGTGGGGTCGAAGGTCTTCTTGGCCCCCAAAAATTGGGGCTGACTTAAATAAACCTGTCTGGCCTCGTTATATAATTCATGGACAAGGTTCCACCGTACTGTTCTCTCCACACTTTCTTTCTACCTTGACCTCACCATTGAGTTTGAGGAAAACGGAATTATGAGTAGCAGGTCTTTACAAATACTGCTCTTGATAGCATGGCCTATCTGTGCCTATGCAAAATTGCCTTGCGGTTGGCCAGCCGGTATAGGGCCATACAACGCTTCTGGTAGCGTTAGTGTGCCGTTTCCCCAACCACCTGGGGACTCTCCATATTCTCCTTCAGGGAATTATACATTTTCTACCTATCTGTCTGTGGGTCAACCAAACGGGGACGGATTCATCTACCAGACTATGGCGGCCACCAATTCCAGTGGGGGTGGCCTCTGGGCCCAACAATTCGACTACTTAGGCTGCCTTCTATGGTCTCTACCATGGTCTCTTCCATCCACCTCTAACCACGTCAACGAGGGTGACAGTACAAGTTGCTCCGCGGCTTTTTCCTCAAGCAATATCTCTCAGATTCTTTCCAATGCAGAAGCTACTGCACGTCAGTTCTCTCTAAAGAATCGAGGAGCCGACGCATGCTCCCTACTCCCATTCGAATCAGCGTATCCTTCTATTGAATATAATGAAATCCATAGTGAGTCTAACCGCATTTTGCGCAAGTATAGAGAACCAAGATGCTAATAACAAATTCGTTGTGTTTAGGCATCTTCGGTCAACCTTCCCTTAGTAATTCTGAAAATAATGATAGCTGCTCCGCTGCCCAGCAAGGTGTTTTTGGGGCATCCGTGGAGGGTGAGTTAGATGACGCGTGGATATATGACAAGTATCTTAAAGCTGTTACTCCCGTTGTGATTGTGTCCTGGAAAAATGCATCTGCAAGTCATGGACAGCCTTGGGCTCAAGCTCAGTTGTTCTGCATATCTGCGGATGATATCACTCCAGGGAGTGTGTCGGGGTCTCCGTCCTCGAAGCCAAGTTGGTCGAGCTGCTACCTTGCTACCTTATCAGGCATTCTTGGTATTCTTACTTTTACCTTTTGATGTGTGGAGTACTACTTTAAACAAATACGCCGGGTATTGTGAACTAAACTCTCCAAGTTCCCAATGGATTGGTTCCTCATGAAGACCAAAATCCACGTGGGTGACCTGTGGGCGGGTAAGAGAAAGCGAAATCCCGCCCCAAACCCGCGTTCGGCGATGTGTAGCTACTACTTGGGCTCGGGAGTCATTCTCTCGGCTGTCAGGCAGTCCTGACAGCATTTTCGCATAGCGGCTGTATCTAAAGCAAGCTACATCGGGCAAATGAACTATTGATTGATTGATTGAGCAGAATAGAATCATTCCACTCTGCTTCCCACCAAAGCTCACACACCGACTTCAACCGCCCGATTCGCACCCATTCCTCGCATACAAGCACTATTTTCGAAAACATAATAATCAGATACAGAGAAAGCAGATTTTCTCCGTTCTATCCACAAAATCCGGTTGCAGACCTTTACAGGATCAGCTATCCGGCACTCATTTCGGAGCTGCGGTAATTGGTCATTCAATCCAGCAGTTATTTGTAAAAAGCTTTGCGGAGACGACGGGACAGACCTAGTAGTCTATGATAGAGGGAAAGAATGCGAGCTACCGGAGCTTGGTAATTGGCCAAAAGAGGAAGGGGAGATAAAGACGAAGTTGGAAATATTTCAGATGCATCCCAGCCACAGACTCCGCTCCGTAGGATTGTTCTGCCTAGGTAGATACATGACATCCACATTGAGCCAAGAACACCGTTTCTTCCTGCTTGCAGTGTGGCTCACTATGATCACTTTGCACCTTGGTTGTTTCCTTCCGCTTGCCATGCTTCATTACCTATATCTGGACAGTCGGTCTTTTTCACTTCGCACCATTTCTGGTAGTATTCAGAAAATTTGATTCGTTTGGCCTCAGGTTGGAGAGCTTGTGCAATGAGGCGTGCCTCATTGAATGCCATCGGACTGTTCTGGCTGGTCATGCCCATCATCGTCAAAGCTGCCGTCAACTCTCTACCCATTTCAAGATCATTAGGAGGTGAATCTCGGTAGGTCATATCTACAAGATTCTGGCGTCTTAGTCTGCCCGCAGGGGTAAGCAACAATTGGGGGTTAATGGTATCATAATGCATCCACGCAAAGGAGTAGGTGTCCGCGACATATGGGCGATAAGGCTCTCCATTAGCAATCTCTAGACTAGTTGTGAGTAAACCATTTCTATCTTAGGGAGATATGTCCAAAAGAGTCGTAAAAAGTGTTCAGTATTGATCACTCACCAGGCGCTTTGTAGAGATCTGACCCAAAGGAAGGCAGTGTGGAGGTCTTCGCCACATCAATCGAATGGTCAAAATCGATGAGCCGGTATTTTCCTTTTCCTGGGTCGGAGCAAAGGTTCCAGGACATCACATTCTCCGGCTTAATGTCAAGGTGGGCCACCCCTGCAAAATGAGTATCTCGGACGGCTCGGAAAGACTGCTGTATAGGAGCAATGGTCCGATCTGTAAATGCCTGGCCCTCATAATTGCGCGGATTATCAGCAACAATAGTAAGCTCTTCCTCAAGGTTAAAATCGAGCTTATCCATCATGACGATAGACGTTTGACCCATTGGCGCCCAGAAAACACCTTTGGCCTTCGCAACGTACTCGCTGTTAATCGATTTCATCAAAAGCGCACCGTCTACCCCAATCCTTCCCCGAACCTCCTTCACCACGCCTTTGAGTTGACGGGAATTCTTGTACTGGACTTCGGCGCCATAGACTTTTCCATAGCCTCCCTGGGTCTTTCGATTGGTGTCAAGATCGGTGATAGTTAAGGTGCCGGCAGCGTTTTGAGCATTATTAAACTGGTCTTCAGTTTGCGCAATTCTCCAAACGCCCTCGCTTTCCTGCCATATATGCTCGGCCTCTGCATATGTCGGAGTGCCGATCTTCTTTGTAGATGAGGTTGGTTCCATAGGGAATCAGATATTTCTGAGCTTGTTTTATCATCACGCTTAGAGGAGGACGGTGAGGGGATAGAAGGATAGGGATGAGCAAATGTCGGAGTCGTGCAGAGCAAAGAGATCAGAGAGCATAGTGCCCAAGCCTGTATCATACGGAGAGGCATCTTGTCTAAACAATTTTTCAAGAGGGAAACCATGAAGTTTTCGAAGTACAGGGTGCGAAGGTGTGCGCAGCATTTCTAAATATTTATACCTTCAGCCGGGGGGCTTGCGGTGGCCCCCAGTCCAAGTTTTCATGACCTCCCTCGTCCAATATTGGAGACAAGTACGTATCACGCTGATTGGCGGCCTTCGGATATGGCCCATGCTTTCAAGGGGCTAGTAGCTAAGATGAGGGATGTCAGTTTGGTAACCTTGTTTCTGCCCGCAATCTATAGGGGCCAAACGGGTTAGGCCAACAAGGGAAAAGGAACAGTTACTTCAAAAAATCATTCTTGCAGTATCTCGATAACCAGGGCCTCTACGGCCCTGAGAAAGTTTTCAAATATTAGTGACGACGAGCGCTATCGTCGAGTACCAATTTCATTGGTAAAAATGGTAGCGATCGTTGCCGCCGGTGCAAACACACACTAACTGCCTCCAAAAAGGGGGTGAGGGGGAGAAATCAAAACAATCAACAGCACCCCTCGCCCTCACTAGCATAGACGAAATCGCCCAGGCCGCGCAGGTGGTGCTCCAGCACATCAGAATGACGCGCGAAATCTGGGTTGATGGCCGTGTTACTGGCTTCATTAACCAGGTCCGCCAGTACGACTCAGCACGCAGCAGGGCGACGCGCTCGCAATAGCGAAGGTCACCCAAACGCTAGAGAAGCTGTCCAATGACACTTCCTAGGCCTTCACCCGCTTAAGCTAACGTGTGGATACTATCGAGAAAGCGGCGACTACCATATCGTCAAGCACAAACACAATCATCAGTGCGACACAAGCGGCGACGAACTAGATAGATTCCCGAACACCAAGGATTGGCAGCGAGGACTTGTCCAAGCGGCCGCAGTGTCTGCCCGCAGCAAAGGTACGTCATCTCTCCAGGAGTGTCGGAACTTGAGCTTCAGGAAGACCGTGAGGTCACCACGGTGGCGGTGCAACCCGTGTCCGATTTCGGGTACGAACGCCAAGGGAGCTCGTCGAGCCGGCGAAACGGCAGCATTAGATCATGGCGAAACAGAGGAACTCCGCTGCCCTTGCTGTTGTGGGGAGATTGGTTCGTCGCAACTCGGAAACTGCCCTCGTGGGATATCACGATGGTGGCTAACAGCACAGCTAGTGCGGATCTTCTTCTTAAGCTCACCGGCTGGATGTGTTGGAATCCCTGCTCTCTCTCTGTATCTCTCCAGAAACAAAGAACGCGATATGTCGTCACTTCTTTCCCTTTTCTCTTGTAGTTTATTATCCCAGAATGCTATGGGAACCATCGTATATGGGATCATCGCTTTATTTGCTGTGGTCATGATACCTGCAGCCGGTTCGAGAGCCTTTATCTGACGGACATTTTGCTCCTATTCCTTGCTCATTGGGTCCGGGAAATGCGCAGTGAGCAGAGAGATGACATTCCTTGCTCCCGTAAACCAGGCGAACACGCAGGAACAATCAGTTTCGTAGACTTCTGGCGATAGCACGACGAGTATTGACACAATGCTGACCAGTTGGTATCGTATGAAGGAGATTTCTTGAAATTGGTCCAGAGCCCCTTAAGACCTCCAGACTTGGGAACATCAGTTTCCAAGTAGGGTCGAATCTAGGAGCGCTTAGATTATGTTCTTCTCATCACGGGTGAGGTCTCTCAGCCCCATGCGATCATGGTATGCACTTAAAGCATCAGCAACTTGTTTCTCGACTTCAGGATTAAATTTGGATATCGTGGTGGTTGGCAATAATAGGAAGAAGTTGAGGGGTGGAATGGAATTTCCATTAGTCTGGGTTTCCATTACACTTGGGGGGGCCCACACTAGCGAGAGCGGGGAGGGCCGGATTACTAGGGGCGGGTACATGTACTTACTTCATTTGCTCAGTAGATGTGAAAGTAGTCTATTAAAAAAATGGTAATCAACCTACTAAGGAGAAGGCACTCGCGAGAACAATAAGCTTTGGCTATTTTGCTTTAAAATTAAATTATGGCCAACTATGAGCAGCGAGGACTCGATAGTTCAAGACTCGCCGCAGAGTCCTAGTTGGTATGAAGCGGCCATCTATATTTATCCTTACCTTCCTTGTTACTGGTGTTCCATAAGTGTTTTGATTATATATATATTGTAATGGAGTCAGATAACAATTTATATGATCAGTCAGCCTCACTGGAGTAGCTTGACTACTGCCTCATGTCCAGCCTGTGCTGCGAACGACAGCGGCGTCCGTCCGCGATGATCCCTGGAGTCGGGGTCAACATCCTCCGCGGCGAGCAGTAGCTTGACTACTGCCTCATGTCCAGCCTGTGCTGCGAACGACAGCGGCGTCCGTCCGCGATGATCCCTGGAGTCGGGGTCAACGCCCTCCGCGGCGAGCAGTAGCTTGACTACTGCCTCACGTCCAGCCCGTGCTGCGTACAACAGCGGCGTACGTCCGTCATGATCCTTAGAGTCTAGGTCAACCTCATCCGTTGCGAGCAATAGCTTGACTACTGCCTCATGTGCTTCATGTCTGCCCCCTGCTGCGAACGACAGCGGCGTCCGGTCGTATTTATCCTTAGAGTCTGGGTCAACAGACTCCGTGGCAAGTAATAGCTTGACTACTGTCTCATATCCATAACAAGACGCGAATGACAGCGGGGTCCGGTCATATTGATCCTTCGAGTCTGGGTCAACGCCCTCCGTGGCGAGCAATAGATTGACTACTGTCTCATGTCCAGACTCTGCTGCGAATGATAGTGGCGTCCGTCCGTAACAATCCCTTGAATCTGGGTCGGCACCCTCCATGGAGAGAAGTAGCTGGACCACTGCCCCGCGTCCAGTCGTGGCTGCGTACGACAGCGGCGTCTGTCCCCCAGAATCCTTGGAGTCTAGGTTGACGCCCTCCGTGGCGAGCAATAACCTGACCACTGCCTCATGTCCAGCGTGTGCGGCGAACGACAGTGGCGTCCGTCCATCATGACCCTTGTAGTCTGGGTCAACGCCCTCCGTGGCGAGCAATAGATTGACTACTGTCTCATGTCCAGACTCTGCTGCGAATGATAGGGGCGTCCCTCCCTGAGAATCCTTAGAATCTAGGTCGACGCCTTCCTTGACGAGCAGCAGCCTGAGTACTGGCTCATGTCCATTCTCTGCTGCTAAAATAAGAGGCGTCCGTCCGTAATTATCGTTGGGGTTTAGATTGACATCTTCCGTGGCGAGCAGTAGCTTCACCACCACCTCATGGCCGTTTGCCGCCGCTAGCGTTAGCGGCGTCTGGTTCGATTCAGATAGAGAATTAACATGAGCTCCTTCCTTCAGCAGCTTTTGGGTTGTTGCCTCTTGTCCATGTTTTGCAGCCCACAATAATGCTGAACTTCCACGTTGTTGTACGTTGTAGCGATAAAGGTATGGATTTATGAGATTGTAAAGACGGGCATTTGTTCGAGCAAAAGCATTTATATGCTCCGCGAATTCTAGATCCCCTGCGATGCACTGTAGCAGTTCATTTGGTAAACGAAGCAGCATTTCAAAGGTATTCGCTTAGTGGTAAAGACACGTTGCGTAGTCCAACCTTGGATGATGCTCAAGAGTAATGGGTGATGGCCAGGAACTTGGACAGGAGCTAAGGAGGGGCATTGTGGTACAACTATTCTCCACCCACAGCCCGCGGCCGACCTTATTAAATAATCAGACTGCCAAAAATCCATACATAAATAGGGGTAATTTAGAGAGCTTCATAATTAAACATGTCGTGACCTCCAGATTGGAATCATTGGCTGCGCCTGGTACTAGTGTATACCAGTAGTTTCGTGAAAAATATATGATGACAGGTCTCGCCGATGTTATGCCCTGAAACGAAGTGAGAGGAAGGGTTTGCCTTCGTGCGACCCTTGAAGAAAATTTTAATCTATGACATTGCAACGTAGTACCCGCCCCCTAGTAGTCGGGCCCTCACCGCTCTCCGTTGGTGAGGGCCCTCCCCAGCGCAATTATATTTCAGCGCAATTATATTTTTTCCCTACCTACCAATTTTGGAACCTATTTACAAATACCCCACCCCGTCTATCAATAGTATAAAGTGGCTGGCCGTCGTCTCCATTGACCCTTTCAAGCTCTGCCTCTCTTCTCTGATTCTCCTGCTCCCTAATTTGGTGTTGGCGATCCCATTCATCTCGCATCTGTTTAGCTTCACGTTCATACTTCCGCCTTTGTTTCTCCGCCTCCACAATATCCCTATTTCGGATGAGGGTATTCGAGTCCCTGACTCGTAGAGCGCCCCCTTTGGATGACTGGCGCTTAGACTTTTTAGCATTGGCTTGCTCCTGGTTCTCCTGGATGCGAATAAGGTCGGCCGATACCTGGGCCGCTAAATGGGCCTGTTGAAGACTTCCTTCCCAAATCTGCTCAACCCGACGCTTCAATTTATTTATTTTAGGACTGTTATTGTCTGGGAAGCTCTCTCTTGCCTTTATAATAGACTTTTGTAATTTTGCGACTGTTGTAGGTGGGGAATTGATCGTAGAACTTGAAGCGTGGGGTGGTGTTTCTGGATCTTGTATAACACCCCCCTCTTCTTCCCCCCTTCCACTAGGCGGCAATAGTTGAAATCCTACTGTGGGAGCTCGTATTCCTTGCCTCCATTATAGACGGCTAGATCTGGCTTATTATCTGGTCGTAGATCTTGGCAAATAACTTTAGGATTGAACGGCCAAAGCCCATAGTGTTTAAATGCATGTCGGACGGTTGAAGGTGTGAAAGTCTGTATTCGAACCCTATGGATTTGACGAAGAAAATCCCTCTTCTCTATAATCGAACCACCCCATCGTTTAGTCCGATTATTCTCCCTCCGATAATAGTGCTTGTATGCCTGGAAGGGCTTAGAATCAAGAGATTGAAGACGGTAGGTAAGTTTTGATGGGAAAAAGTAAGGTAGAATCCGATTCTGTTGACAATAGTTGATGAAGTCGATCTTCATATGGGACTCATGGCCGTCAAGAAATAATAATCGATAGTCTATACGATGTAGAAGTCGTGGTTTTGTATGCTCATCAAAATATTGTAACTATTGATATGCGCGGACCTAAATAATCAAATAATTAATCAATCAATCAATCAATCCATCCATTAAATAAATAGGCGCTTACCTCATTATTCTAGCCCGTTGGCGACGTCGCAATGACATAGTCATCAGGTAAATCTGGCTGATCTCGATACTAACTCTCAAGGTGAACTATGCCAGCAAATAATATCATCGGAGGCATTATCCAACCATCTGCTGCGATACACTCGATTCCTATCACTAACTCCCCTATACCCCTAGTTGGGACATGCTTTGTCCTATCCGGAAACTCAGTCACGACTTTCTGGGATTTTCCTTGGCCGAGTTGGAAGCTAGTTTCGTCGACGTTGTAGATATTGCTCGGTCCGACTTTGAGGGCTTTTATCTCACCCTCTAATTTGTGAGACCACTTAATTATTGCTGGCAACCTCTCTGCGTCTACCCTCTTTGCCTCCATATTTTTTGGGTTTGAAATTTGAAGGTTTTAGGGAGACGTTCTATAAAACGATGGACCCTATTTCTGACAACGTGTCGGTTAGAACCACTTCGTGACAAAATGTCATTCGTAGCACCTTCGATCTCGTAGGGAAGAGGTGAGAGATTAGCACAATCAAGGATACGCATCTAGGCAATTAATGCCTCCTCTTGGCCATTATTAAATGCTTTATTTGATGGAGTTTGGGCTGAACGAGATTGGCGGCCCAGGACGCGCCCCCTCAACTGCTGGTAGGAAATGTCAAATTCCCGGGCTAGGGGCGCGATTTTTGGCCTGCCACGATCATGGTACGCGCACAAGGCATCGGAGATTCGTTCCTCGAGATCTGTATTCGATTTGGACATCGTGGTGGTTGGTAATAGGAGTTCAAATTTGGTAGGTAGGGAAAAAATATAATTGCGCTGAAATATAATTGCGCTGGGGAGGGCCCTCACCAACGGAGAGCGGTGAGGGACCCGACTACTAGGGGGCGGGTACCTCGATAAAACGAAACCCCTCCGCCGCCCCCCTGTGCAATGTAGGTGCTGCGAACTGCCCATAGATTCTTAAATATCTCTGGTCGGGTTCATAGCCTTTACCCAAGGCTTCCAGAAATTCTGAATACCTTGTGGGTAATTCCACCCGCTCCAGTCGGCGTTTGTTAAACCCCAGGTATCGGACACGCCTTGAGTACCAGATCTTATTCGATAGCTACCAGCATACGCCCACATAGCCCAGCTTACATTATGAGCCTTGGTAAAGGTTCGAATGCAATCTTGCAGTGTCGCGTTAAATAAACTGGCGTCTTGAGCATTGCCGAACTCAGATAGAATCACTGGTGTCAGTCTCTGCGCAGGTGGACAGTCGCCAGTAAGATGGCACCCATCCGCTGGCGGTGGGATGCCCAAAGCATTGAAACCATTGCGGTAGAAGGCAGCCTCAATGATAGGACAGGTCCCAGTATCAATATCCTCGCTCATATCGTAGAGGTGCAGCTCCCAGACAATCTTGTTAGCCCAGGGATAGCTGTCCAGTTCGAAATACACTGGTTGCCGACGGTGTGCGTCTCGAATGGCCGTGCACTTGTAGCACGGCGCAGTAAGCAGATTCTTCCGTGTTGTCAGTGCCGACAAGTCCTGATCGTACTGCATCCCAGACCAAGTGATCAGCAGGTCTGGATTAGCATTATGAATTGTGTCCGCACCAGCGCTCATATTGCCTACGAGCGTCATCCAGTCGTAGTATAGATTCGTTCGGTTCCACGACTCCCGCAGCTCATTGCGTAACGACATGGAGATGACATTGGGATGTCCCTTCGCCCAGGTCGCCATGTATGCCATGCCACGATGCCATCGGCTGACATCAAAATCCACGTCATCGAACCATCCATTGCCGTCTGTATGCGAGCAACACCACTCGGCGGTACTCATCTGAGTGTCTGGATGGATAAAAATACCTTTTCGGAATGCAAGCCGTGCGATATCTGACCAGATCTTGAAGCGCGTTGTCTTTGGGGTCCAGCTAGGGTTCCGCATAATGATATCATCGGTGAGCTTGGTGCCATTTACCTTGCCCAAGCCGTTGATCATAGCCTCCTCGAGAGGAACATCCATACCGTCGCGTTCGTAGATTTGATCAATCATTTCGACGGCATAAGTTCTATGTTGTTCCGATTCCGATCATCAGCTGTCAAACTAAGTGGAGAGGCAATGATTTCTCAAGAAATCTCACAATCGTATAAAGTTGAATCCAATTCCGGCCATATCGTCTAGGATATCCGCAGCGGACTTAAATTCTAGCCCTTCAGGTATCATAGTTTCCACTTCACAAGTTGTTAACAAGAACGTCTTATTTTACTTGTGGTAGGATGACTTACGGTGTGCAGGCCAGTTGACTCCGGCCCATTGGATCACGTCGCCTCGGGAATTAACGATATCCCTACCCTTCGTGCTGAAGGGGCCATATGGCCACGAGGATCTATGTCGGACATTGTCTCCCCTGGGGAGCACTTCCCCCAACTGAGGATTATCGCTGGCCGATCGTGGCAGATGCACAGACTCTGCGCAAGTAGGGCCAAGAATTGTAATGAACCTTAAAAGGCATTTGACTTTCATCGTTCTGTTAGTTTCAAGAGCCTTGGAAAACTAAGAGCGGTGATCAATTATTTTGACTTGGAAACAGAGTGATAAGAAGATGGCTGTTTTTAAAGTGACTCTGCGTTCCAGCTTAGGTTCATTAAATATCGAAAACAAGATATGGGCTTAATGACAATACCGATCCCCTCCCCAACGCCGGGACCGTGCACGTAGTGTGGGGAAGAGCCACCACCGCAATTTCTCCGATTACAGTATGGTCAGATGGCTGGCGCTTGCTACAATTAAATTTTTCCGCGGTGGGGGGGGGGGCGAAGAGAGGAGGGTGATGGGTAAGTAAGGAGGAACCGATTTGCCCGGCAGAGGAGAGACTGGTTGAGAGACTGGTTGGTCCTGTTATTGTTGCTAGACAGCATGAGAACTTCTTTTGTGCAGTTGGAATGGCAACTATGTCCAAAGCCCATCTCCATCAGTGCTACTAATACATATGCAAGTATACTTGTTGATCTAAATCAGCTGTTGTACCTTCATTCCGTCTGGAAGACCTACATTTCGGGTCATTTCCATATCTTCACACGGACCCAAACTGAAAAAAGCTTCTCAAGGAAATCGGAAAAGAGAAAACGCTAAATTTAAATTCACCCACCAAGTTTGCAGATGACAATTCTTCGAGGGGAGTGATAGAGCAAGCATTGAGGAATGTTGTCACTTCCGCATATTTACTTTGTTTTCACCTTTTTGTCGACTTCCAAGCAGTTTCAAAGTCCTTCCAATGGCGCCACCAATGCCGCTACCTCGGAGTAAGCTACTTCACAAATAAAAAGCAACTGAAGGTGAGGTGCGTTTCTTCTGTGTATTTTGTCAACTTGTTGTTGAGAGATATCTCACAGCGCTCCGTAGTTACCTAGACCTTTACTTGAAATACATATAATATTGGCAGCTCTCTGCGGATAGCTGTCCGTACGCTCTTCCTGTAACCAGCGTATTTACCCCACTGAACATGGAATGCCCATAGTCAGTGATTGCATTGTGCTATGCGTTTAACAGTTGCGTGTAGAATAAATTCGGTCATCTAGTGGTGAATGAGGATTCCGCGCCCTTCTCGTTATGGCATACTGGTACCCCAAGATCTGCACGAGGCAGTGTTGGCTCAGAAGGCGGTTTTGATGGAGGGTTGGGCCACATACATGTATTTGGAGAGATACTGTGCTCACAGCGCGAAAATTGAGGATCTTTTGGAAGAGCCTCGACATTTTTTGTTCGACGACGACATATGTATAATATATCTAGATGTGTTGATCAATCTCACGGGTTTTCACCAGCTTTTAGTCTGCATCCCGCAATCAAACCAGTCCTACATATACAATATTCATCCTCCTTTCCAACTCCTAAATATATGCATGCGTCATTCAAACCATTTATACTCTAGCGGTCCTCCCATACTTAAGCAAACCCTAATCTACTAAACCCATCTCCATCCAACTTACCCCCAGAGGTAGGGCTCACTTTTCCCTTACTGCCCAGCACGCCTATCCCGAAAGGACAGTTCCTAAATGTCTTTAGAAAGTTACTCACAAATTTTTTCCCGATGAGACAATAGTAACTAATATTTGTTAATCAACCCAAATCCTTCAGCCGCGTATATGCAATATGCAGTACATTCATCATCAAGTATCATCCGCTCAGAACACTCCTTCTCCATAACAACGTATACATCGAATCCACCCCTCTGTCCATCTTCACCAACCGCGGGCAATACACCTAATACCCCTTCAAATGGCGGCACCGGAATCCTTACCGCCCTGGGAAATTCGAAGCCAAACTCATAAGCATCAAACAGCCGCATCCCTGTCCACGATGTGTCCATGATGTTCTGCGGTTGCCAGTCCCACATCATGGTCTGTCTTCCTGAAATTCCTCGCTGTACATGCACCGGATCGGGTACGGATGTTGACTTAACGTCAGGTATAGATCGCCGCACAGCCGAGGCGGCCTGTGCAAGACCAGCCTTGGACAGGAGTGCACTAATGTTGATCGGTTCTGTGACCGACATAATGAAATCATTTCCAAATTATTCGCCTTGAACTAATGAGGGGAATCGCGCGCGTGTGTCTACTGGGTGGGAGAAGGTAGTTTTTGTGGAAGTGGCGTCCGACCCCAGATATGGGAGACGCGCCCGAATCATGGCTCGCCATGTCGCCACTAAGATACAATCGTACGTGGAGACGTACTCATCGAGTTCTTTTGGTATGCACATGCTTTTCAACTGTTGGCAAGCCTCGACGGGAAAATGGTATATTTGCATTGTCGTCACAGGTCGTGGTCGAGGTTCGTTCGTGAACTGACCTTCGACATCGATTGGGCTAATCTCATGAAACGCAATCCCTTTGGTGACCTTCTTCAGCACGCCCATCTCCACTGCGCTAGGCGTTGACCCAGCATTGAAATATGTCCGATCCAGAGCTAGTTCAAAGAATGCATTGGCTGACCATTCATCGCTGCTTTGGTGCTTGTGGCCTAGAGAAAAAGCGTATGATCGATACTCTTTGCATCGCCACACATGTGGTGTAATGCCAAAGTCAGTATGACACCACCGCGAATAAAGTTGGCTTAGAATACCACTACAGGACAACCATCATCACGTCTGAATCTAGTAAAGTTGGAGCCGGGTGGTGTTGGGTTGGCCACCTTACTGGCAAAAACTTAGGGGAATATCCACTAGCTGCGAGCGTCTTGTACGTTGGGAAGGAGTCTGTCCACTAATCAAGATAGAGCACGCTCAGGTTGATAGGCTCATGGTTTTTCCGGACGATAGTTATCCTATTCGCCTTCGTATCGTTCTCAAAGTTGCCGCTAATGAGAGGAATGTGAGTTAGAGCATTCTGGAGTCTAGTTCGAAAACTCGCCATGACTTGGTCCTTATTTGTAGTAAATGGAAGGGCAAACACGAGACAAGGGAGAGTAAAGGTATGTGGAGTCTGTTGATCTAGATCCGAAATCTCACGCCTAGTTTCTTCGGGTAGATCTCTATAGCTCCTGGAAAAGGCATTGAAAGTGGGAGAGAAAGTGCGCGTTGACAGCCATGGTCGCTTGATTGAGACACCTAGACGTAAGAGGCAACAAATCATGTAAGGTGAACTGTAAGGTCTGTGATACGGCGAGCCAGCCAAAATTATATAGCCGCAGATGTCAGGGCACATCTCCACCTGGTAATTTACAATGTGATCCGTCTGCTACATTCTAGCACTCAAAATAATAATAACAAAAATAATACTGTTAGAGGACTTTTGAAATTCTAAAGGCCGGCAATCCTCTTATCGCTAGTGCGCCTAAGGATAAAACATGGCTAAAAGGACTAGTAAGATTAACCAAATTCATAGTTGGGGGCGAAGGAGCTAAGGCTATATGCATGTCGCGCCGAATAAACCAAATCGGGCCTCGCCCAGAACGCCTCACTCTAGACCCACGCTAATTAAGGTCCACCATGTCTGGCTTAGGTCTTCGCTAGCCAGGCGCACAGATTTAATCTAGTATGAAACGGGGATTGCTTCTAAAAGGAATGACAATGCCACCGCGGAGGCAACGGCTACAAGCCTAATTTGGCTTACCTGCTTATTTTGTGTATGTTGAGATCGCATGGCCGTGGTCATATGACACTCCCTCTCCAAGAGCCGTCTAGATAGCCCATTAGATAGCCTCATTACTTCTACTTTCAGACATCTCACACAATCCATTGCACTCATTTATTTCACTCCCTGAATGCCAGTATTCCGCTCTCTCAAGAGTGTTACACATTAGTTAGTCAACATCTAAATCATCCAGAGTTTTAGTCATCTATTGTGTACAAAATCAGAGAACAAGAGATTTACTTTTTACGCGACTTGCACTTCCATTTGCGACGTCGTAGAATACTCAATTTGGCCCAATCTTTAATTTATGAGTCTCGATTTTTTCAGCTTTTAAACTTTCAATTGAGGCTCATTACGTCTTCCTCTACCCTTCACTATCTTATATCAAAAGCTCTGACATTCGGACGGCTGTCTAGTTCACCGTTTCGAGTGTGTTATCTAACCGAAGAATGATATCTCAGTTATCCTCGTGGGCCGCAACAGGTTCCATGGTCGCCTTAAAGTCCACTTACTACGTGCGCGACTTGTCGGAACGAGCCACGACTAGCCCTCGCCATTCGTCTAATGATTTGGGACGGAATGTTACGTCTCAGCATCATTAGCTTCGGTTTATGCCCGATAAGGGAGGGGCCGATGCAGAGCACGACCAATAAAACAAATGCCGCATCTTCACTCGCACTGCTGGTAATGAATTACTGGGTGTTAAAAAGGTGTGAGACCATCTGGAAGGCGGGACCGTGCGCATTTTTGAAACGTGCTTCAGGAGATCTGTTGGAATAGCTAGTGGCTACATTTCCCGCTCAGAATAAAGTATAATATGAAAGGTGGAAGAAGGAGGCCTTGAATTCTTGAACAGAATAGATGGTAGATGGTACCTACAAGATACAACTCGGTTTCTTTATGTATTCATCCACAAACGCGTTTCAGCAACGGGGCACGTGTGACCCCTTGCGACTGGCGCAGCTTTTGCGGCTATTACGCGGCTGAACATAGGCGAAATGTTGGTTGGTGAGCCTTGCACCAGCCAAAATAACGAGGAGCTGACTGTTCGCGACACATTTGGGGCCAAAACAAGATCGCTACTCACGTGCGTTTCTCTATTTCATTATTCTCCTATCCGGGTAGATTATTTTACCTTTGCATCAAACTCTGAGTCGGACTAAATTCATGCGAGGACAAGATAGAAAAGCCCTTCCCTCCGCAAACTTCGAACTTGTCGGTCAGGAGACTCATAGCCATACATCTCCGATATGGGAACCACTTGGTCGCAGTTCTTTCCCCCTGTGCCTACTCTGACAGAATCAAATCTTCCCAACCAAAAAGGTAAGATTTTCCTGGTGACTGGTGGCTACTCTGGCGTGGGTCTGGCTCTGTGCGAGATCCTTTACCGGGCTGAGGCCAAGGTGTACATTGCTGGCCGTTCGGAAGAGAAAGCCACGCATGCGATTGCAAGCATCAAAAAATCATGTCCGGATTCAAAAGGAGACCTTGCCTTCCTTCTCCTCCGTCTTGATGATCTTGCAAGTATCAAATCTTCCGTGGAGGCCTACACTGCCGTCGAGTCTAGACTCGATGTTCTATTCAACAACGCTGGGGTCTCCAACCCCCCACGCGGGGCCATCTCACCCCAGGGCCATGATCTTCAATTCGCGACAAACTGCCTAGGCCCTTACCTCTTCACCCAACTATTACTTCCCACGCTCAAATCTACTGCTAAGAAAATGTCATCTGCTTCTGTGCGTGTCGTTTGGACAGCTTCGATTGTCGTCGACATTTCTGCTACCAGCGATGGGGTGGATCTCGCCGAGCTTTTGCGACCAGACACAAACCCTCAACGCAATTACGAAAACACCAAAGTCGGCAACTGGTTTCTGGCCCGTGCCCTTGCCTCCGAAGCCGGGTCACATGGCATATTGAGCGTGGTCGTGAATCCTGGGAACCTGAAAACTCCGCTGACCCGTCATTTGTCTCCAATGGTGCCCTTTCTTGCAGCACCCTTACTGTACCCTGCAAGAATGGGTGCTCTCACTGTGCTTTGGGCTGGTCTCTCGACTGAGCTAGAGTTAACTGACGGGGGCAAGTATATCTTGCCTTGGGGGCGTTTACACCCAAATCCTAGGCAGGACATATTGCGAGCGATGCAAAGGAAGGAGGATGATGGTACAGGGCCTTTAGTCAAGTTTATAGAATATTGCGCTGATCAAACTCTGGAGTACATGTAACTGGAGACGAAGCTGCCTGGTGAAGCGGCTTTTCTTCATGATTCATTTCATTACAACGACGGAGCAAGAACAATTCCATGAATCTTATCGTATATTATCCATTCCACCCAGCCATCGAATGTGAAATGTATGTGTATTTTTTTTAGCTGACTCGAAGGTACAAGCGCGTTGGTACTAATTGAGCTGCGCCTTATCTACAGGCAATCTCACTCCACTTTGTAACGAATGAACTTGTAGCGGACATTTCTATCGATCCTATTTGAAGAATCGAGAGCCTGTTTTCATACCAGTGGTATTTTCCGGCTATGTGGTCCTTAAACTTGTCGCTCAATAGAGCGGAGGAATTCCCGGAGGGACAGGGAATACATGCATCCGGCCCCCGTGATGTATTCATGTGGCCGCATAAGGACCGTAAGCACTGGACGCCTGAGCCATTCAGGTTAGTAATATGCCAGGCCGCCGGTTGATGGATGCCGAGTCAAGCTGGCCTGTGGTCCGCGGCTTATTGGCGATCGCCTCATAAGCGAAGTCCGAGAATCAGTGTCTAGGTAAGCCAATAGTCCAGCGCATGTCCAACATCGAATACCTTTTCATCAACCTTCTACCTTCGGCGACGGCATTGTAAATTACGGTAATGCTAGTTAGCGGTCTGCGAAAATCAGCCTAGCTTTAAAACGTTGCCTAAGCCATCTACATCACATGGCGTTTCCCTGCGCCATATTTCGCCAGAGTTAAAAACGTAGTCCACTATGTTTATGGGTTATTTACTTCTTAAATCGTGTTGTGAGATGCCCGCACTCTAAATCGACATAGTGCTCCTTGGCTTATTGTCGGCAAGCGTACGATAACTCATCAATATGACGCGAGCAATCCATAGTGGTGCCTCCCTTCCGACCCTGCCATTCACGCTGTTATCAAGTCTATTTCATAGCAGAGACTCCGGTATCATACAATGACGCGTGGTGCAACCCCGCTTTGACACTAGAACGCCACCTGCATAGAGATCGACGATATATTTACTATTATAGGCTAGGTCAAATACTCAGACTAGCAGCGATCCTACTTACATGTGCTTGGATTTGCTTAAGTCCTTTGCTAGTGGTCGTTTAATCTATTTTGACTATGCAACTGACATAATGATGCAATAAATCGTTGTCAAAAAACAGTAAAAAATCTTTCATCTGTTTGATTCATTCCTACTGGCTACGTAATTACAAAATAAGTTGGTTTATAAACAACCTATAGAATGAGTCCCGCCTAACGGCGTGCTCCCTTCAGTGTCCTATTTCAACCCTGTGGCTGAAAAAATAGAGTGGTTGACATCACAGATGGACACAATATGGCGGGGATTCTGGCTGTCACTATATTATGGGACTACGATCGGCGCTTTGACGTCACTTGGATCCTGAGTAGTCGAAAGGACTATCTATATAAGCTATTGGTTGCACCTTTCGCGTAAATGATCTTGACTTTTAGTGAACTTCTTCTTGGACTCACAGCAACGTCTCACTTAAGCCTGCACCTTGAACTCGGTTTTTTGTCCCACTTTACGTGAACTTCATTCTTAACAATGGCTATTTTTCATCATCGCGATTCAGCTCCCAGTTCGTCATCAGCTACTCAAAGTTTCGATGATCCAAATCAATCTCGTAACAGTACAGGGGGGTTCTTTGGACATCGTTCTTCCCGTTCGTCTGTGTCATCAGTGTCTCACTCTTCCACGAGCAACACACACCGGCATAGCATTATCCGTCGCCATCCCGAAGACGCGTCCATCCAAGCAGCTCGTGAACAGGTTTCCAGAGCGGAAGCTGCCGAGCGCGAGGCAGATAAGGCCCTTATGGAATCTCGCAACGCTGTCAAGCAGGCCAGAGACCATGTCAAGCACCTAGAGAAGGAGGCGGCCGAAGAGTGAGTCATTCATCGATCATTCATAGATGGGTTTAACAAATCTAACAATCTAACTCTGCTATGCACAGAGCTCGGCTCGCAAAAATTAAACAAAGCCAGGCTAAGTCCATTTCTAAACGTGCAAAGCCACTGGGCCGTAAGCTCTGGCCATAATTCTTAATATCTGCCGACTTCTTACTAAAGCATGACAGGACACATTTAACCCAGCCGATTCAATACTCCAAAATATGATATTGACATGAATGTTTTGTTTTGTATGGAACATCGCCAGATGATTGTTTTGGGTCTCTTTCGTGTATGATATGATGTATACTAAATCTATCATGTTACCGGGTATAGTTATAATCTCTTTGATGATACTGATAAAACTATGACTTAGACTAACTGCTATATCTCTAATATTTGGCTAATTTGCTATAACACTGGGGGGACAGAGTCATTGAAAGTTTGTTAAGCTTCCAGCTGACAGTGTGCACAACCTTTCAGGGTCCAGTTCGAACATGCTGCACTTGTTATACGATTGCTCTCGGCAGCTACAGTCTAGGTAGACTTAGATTTCTTCTTTTCTTTTTAAATAGCTCAATTTGGTTTCTTGCCGGCTTACGGGTATCTATGTGTTTGTGGTAATTAAAGTGCGGAAACCCTGTCCAGTCAAACGTTGTATTTCCGGTGCCTATTTTGAAACATCTTCTATTCCCGAGTTACGGCGAAAGTATACGTCATTAAAGGAAAGATATATTGTAGACCGCCGATTTCAGGTATACCCGGCTTGCAAGAAGTGTTTAAGAAACATATGTTTTCAGCGATCATGAATACCTTTTCCTCTGAGGTGGAGAAGTGAAAATTTATGGTGTACAAGATCTGCATGTGACCGTCTTAGAATGGATTCACAGCAATCTTGAAATTCAACACCATGGCTAGACGGAAATGCCGAACATGCTGAAAGGGTTTAAACCATTATATTAGATCTCTATGCAGGTACTTGTACTGCTTCCATTTAAATTGTGACAGTCAGCTTATCCTGCTGGCAAGCACTCTTAAGTTCAGCGAGCGAAGTCTTAGGAATTTGAATGCGCCAATACTCTAAGCTGAGAGATATATCAAAATTGAAAACGTATCAGTCGAATAGTTGTACATCTTCTCTGTTTCCATGATGATTGTTTGGAAGCTCATTGTTAGATAATACGCTTTGTAGGCTTTTATTGGCGACAATGGTTGACCAAATCCTATATATCCCGGGGTGCTTACCATTAGGTTTTCGGAGCGCGAGTGGGTCGACGAGAGGCGTGAATATTTACTTTTTACAACATAACTATGGTGAACAAGCTTAGGAGCTTTTGTGACTGCAGTCGAATTGGTGACAGCACTACATGTATCGTTGATTGCAAGCAATGATATAGCCGGGATGTCATCGGTGTAGGCATTCTTTACCACCGCCAGCATCATATCCGACCAACAGCTGGTATATAACGGTCACAATCCTCGCCGACATTTCAAAACAAAAAGACAATAAAACCAGACAGGGATTTACGTATTGGTTGCTTCCTCATCCGACATGGACTCGTTACAGTTCGGGCATCGCATGTTCGAACGGGTACGCCGGGGTGAGCGTCTAACCGACGAGGAGATAGGCGTCATCGCAAACAAAAGTATAGAATTGGCTGGGGTGGAACCAAGTAAGTTCTTTGAACCCAGAGGGGATTTGAAGGTTGCCAAACTTGACCGGCGCAGGAAGAGAACGCTCAACCAAACCAGATCAGGTGTTGAGCAAACCAGTCGATGAATTCAGCCAACAGGACGCGAGAGAAGTGAGCTCAAAAGAGGTATGTCACCGCTTCCTCTCGGGGTGGGACGAATACACTACTAAACGGCCCCTCAGAGTCGAGCGTTTGCAAATGTTCCGGCAACGGGCTCGCTATCATCAAATGTTCAATCTGTCGCCGAAAGAAATGACTAGAAGGGGCTAGACCGGAAGCAGGACTTGGATGTAACAAATATGGTATAGAACCTGTGATCTGGTAGAAGCCACTATGTGCTGCCTGGCCCTCGGAAAACATGGGTGCCCTTCAGACATCCACCGTATCCAGTAGTCCTCTGGCCGCCAAAATCGGCGTTCGCCAATACTTGATTACCTTACTTTTCCGCCTCGAATATGACCTTTTGGCACCTCATGTGGTTGAAGTCATCGTATCTGTATTCAGTCAGTCTGGACCAGCTTCACGGGACGGCATGCTTACGCTTGGACGGCTTGGGAGAGGGGACGGATGTCGTGAGACATGAAGCTATGTATGACTGGGTTAGCATTCCTCATGCAGTATTCCGGATTGCAACCATCTTACTCCAACTGATCTTGTTTCTTCGCCAACAAATCCATTGCTTCGCCGAAGATACCTGTATCCGCAACATTAGCCACGCAAGAATGGTCGAGTCAAGCATGCCTACTCCGAACTGGACACCGTCCCATCTGAATACGCAGGTTCTTTGCGTAGGCCTCATTTCCGGTCCAGGGGATCTCGCCATTGTGTACTCCAACACTCGAGATGAGACCCCACGGCCTAAGCATCTCGAAGCCCATTCGCAATGCACTGCTGTGGCCGACGACCTCAATGACTACATCGGCGCCTCGCCCATCGGTGAGAGCCCTAACTCGTTGTCGCAGACCGGATTCATTTTTTTGGAAATTCCACGCTTCCGCCCCGAGACTACGTGCGAGCTCGAGACGCGACCGCACACTATCGATGGCAATCAAATGTTTCGGCTGATACTCGAGGGCGCTGACCAAGGCGCAAATCCCTACGGGACCACACCCAAAGAGCAACACCGTGCTATTTTGGATGGCAGCGGCATCCAGGCTGCGAAAGGCATTCTTCGCCGCAAAGTAGCCAGTGGGAAAAATGTCGGCCATCAAAACCAGCTTCTTCTCATCGATGGCCGCTGGTGCGTGAAATAGGGTCGAGTCTGCGAGAGGAACTCGCACATACTCAGCCTGGCCTCCGTCCAGCACGGCCGAACCGTACAGCTTACTTTGGGCGCACCGGGAGGAAACCCCACTCGCGCAGTAGAAGCATTTCCCACAGCTGATGGTGAAGGGAGACACGACTCGATCGCCTTTCTGAAATACCTGCACCTCCATCCCAGTTTCTACAACCTCGCCCGTGAACTCATGGCCCATGATGAAGCCCGTTCCTGACGGTTGATGACCACGAAAGACGTGCAACTCACTAAAACGCTCTCGAGTGTCAGTAGCAGGTGAAACCAAAAGGTGAGTAACTACCCAACGCGCATTACTCACCTGCCACACAGAGCGGTGTACCGCACTTTGAGAATCGCATCGGTCGGATCTTGGATCTGGGGTCGCGGCCGTTCCTCCAGCGCGACCTGCAGGGTACCCTTGAACACCACGGACTGCATGACGAGTGAATCTCTAGTATCGATAATGAATTATATTTCAACCCTTGAATGATCACGACCGACAGATCATTTAACGACAAGGTGCAAGTAGTATTTTGGTTGCTGTGAAACCCGTTGAGGGGTTTAGGTTGACCTGCGATGGCCCTCTCCCCTGGACCTCGGTTGTGCTCGGATGTACATATTTGCACCGGAGGCCAGATTTGTTTCCAGAGCGCGCAGCGCGACAAAAAGCACATCTTCCCCGTGCTTTTTCATTTCATTTTATTTTTCAGGCGAGAGGATTGCCAGCCCAAACGACCAGTTGATCGAAATCTGATCCACGATCAACTGCGAGGATGCAGTTCACAGGCATCCGAGAATTGGATCAACAGGAGGACCGCAGCTACTTTTGGCTACGAGCTACGACACGGCCAATGTCGATGGTTCAGCAGGGCCCAAGCCTCATTTACGTAACCGTGGGCAAGTCGGCGCGAGAGTACAGCCTGGGCCCCAGATCTTGCGGCCATGAGCCGGTGGTTTTTCTGGGATCAAAATTCATTATTCTTCCATATTTAATTTTATTTCCGGAGCAAATCCACGCTATGTATTATTACGGTGGAAAAGGCGCAACATGATTCTTGTGATAGCCCCGACCTCGTGTTCCCCTTCGTCTTAGGGTAATTAGCTCCGAAGGAGTGCAACAATCTCGACAGCGGCAAGTGATGCTTTGCGGCGCGGACCCAACGGAGTGGCTAGAAAGGCCAGAGCTCCCCCGCATCGCGTTCCTCGGACTTAATTACATCACAGCATCATGGTAGGCCGATTTACTAGCCCACCCAATGCGGTCGAATCACAGACACGCGAGATCAGCAAGGGTGAACAACGCCATAGCTACGTGGGTCCGGCGTTGTTTGGTCCAGTTGCAGTTGCGTCTTTTCTCGGCTCCTTCGTGACATCACCATTATTAGGTCCTTTTGTTCAGGAATTTTGCCTTTTACGGCTATGGCAAAGGAGCAACCAGGCACATGTAGAGCTTGACGGCGTCCTTCCTGGCTGACCTATCGACACTGGAACCGATTCGAACGATGTCACGCGCGCCTACGATGGATCGCGTCGATCTCCACCTACCTGATCACACCGTGATTCTCCGCACCGTTGGGAGTTGGATGGGTTGGGGTGACGCTAGACCGGGTAGTGTCCTTGGCCGTCCATCCATAGTGCGCCTGCTCCCCAGACTAGGCCCTTCGGCAAGGCGTGCATCAGTTGGACGAAGAGCTCGAGCATCCGCGTGCCATCTCATTTGGATTTCTGGCTTGGCTGAAAGCGCTAGGCGACGCCGCCAGCATACCAAGCTTTACCACGGCTGACGGGACGTCATGGCCGAGCCGGCAAACTCGGGGGCGAAGGTCAAAATAGAAAGCCATCAAAAACATTACCGCAACAACAGAATCTCTTGCAACTGCATTTTGCGAGGGCCCGAAAGAAGGTTTGGACCAGACATCCTGACCACCATGGGGGCCAAGTGGTGCGCGCGCGTTCCCTCGACATAAAACTGGATCCTATCAATCGGTCTTCATTGGCCACCATTGGAGGGCCCATGATTCGCACGTCCTTGAGAAACCCGTGCAAGACCACTTTAATATCGTAATGTATCCTAGAAAAATAATCATGAATAATTATTAACCCCGATCATACTTCGGAGCAGACTAATCTGCCTGCCTCCTGGTGCGTGTGCCGGGGCTTGAATCATGGCGCCATGTACGATTCCCGCGATGGGTTCGGTACTGGGGGTGGCGTGCAAGTACTTATAACCCGGAAGGACCCTCCTCCGGTGGAGCACCGCGCCATTCTTGCTCTCGTGTCGAACTGATCATGAAGCAAGTCGGCAATATCTACGTGATTGCGGCCGTCGCCGTCCTCGGCGGCGGCCTGTGTTCGGCTTCGACATCGCATCCACGTCGGCGCAGCTGACGGGAAACACGTACAAGTGCTACTTCAACCAAGGCCCCGACGGCCCTCCGTTTATCGACAAGCTGAACTGCACAAGGCCGACATCCACGGTGCAGGGGGGATCACCGCCGCCATGGCGGCCGTCTCATGGCTCGCAGCCCTGATCTCAGGCCTACTATCAAATCAATTGGCCCGCAAAACTTCGATCATGATCGGGTGTCTTATTGGTACCGTATTCTGGTGCGTGACGGCGCCGTTGGCTCTGTTCGCTGACCTTTTCTCGCAGGGTCGTCGGTCCAACTTTGATCTGCGCCTCGCAGAACATCGGCATGCTCATTGTGGGCCGTATCATCAACGGTCTGAGTGTGGGTACCAATCCGCCCATGTGCCCATGTATATCAGTGCTTCAGCGCGGCCATGTTCCTCCATGTGTACTTCATCTTCCCCGAAACCGCGTGCAAGACCCTGAAGGAGACAGAGTTGATGTTCGAGGACCCGAACGGGATCCAGTACGTGGGCACGCCCACCTGGAAAGCCCACGTCCAGACCCGGAAGACGATCGCCATGGAGACGGCGACCTGGAGGCGACCAAGGCGCACAACCGGGTCCCCGTCGAGGACGAACCGGCGGCGCGATCATCGACTGCGGAGACGACCACGGAGAAGACGGCAGAGTGGCCTACGGCTAGCGCATAAGGGCCAATGTAGTGTGTCAGTTGGCGGGTGCATGATGCGAGGGGGAGGATCGACAGGAACAGGTGATGGATGGATGTACCTAGTTCCCTACATCGGTAGTTCTATGTCGTCCGTGGATGGAAAGGACCCGTGCCTGGGCCGAACCGTGGATGCCCGAATCAGGTGACCCCCGAACAATCATCTTCTTCCTCGTTCTTGCTTTTCCCTGCTGCGTCAGGCCCACTTCTTGGCGTCGATCTCCTTCCTTCGTTATCGCGGCTTTTCGTTCTTCGTTTTCTCATTCTCCATCTTCCCATTCGTTCGCCTCACCTCCTCCCTCCGCCCTGAATTATTCAGAACCATGACCCTCCAACTCGGAGCCCTTTTCGATGGTTGAATCGGCAATGCCCTGCGATCCGCCTTTCTCTGTTCCCCTGTGTGCGCCGTCGGGGCCCGTCCACTCACTATGTCCGTCGAGGGCGACAATTTACCGCGCGGGCCCTGGGCGCAATGGATCCGTAAGTCACGTTTCCTCTCTGCCTTATCATCGGCTGATCATTTCCCTCTCTCCCCTCGTCAGGTCTCATATGGTCCCTCTTCGCAACTCCCGCCCGCCGCGACCGCCAGGGCTGGCGCCCGGTGGCATTGCGGCCGCCGTACCTCGCCGCACTAGCCTGCCTTACCCTCACCCTGCTGTTGGCCTTGGAAGGCCTTCGCCAGTACAGCGATAAGGAGGGCGGGTTGGCATTCTTTCCAGACACCGATGAAGTCTCCGCCTTGCAGTCGTTCGGCTATAACTACGTCCCGATCATTGTCGCTCTCGTGCTCTTCATGATCTGGACGGTGACTGATTTCGACGTGCTCCGACTCGAACCCTATTTCCAGTTGTCACAGCCACACGGGGCGCCGGCCAATGTTCTATTTATCAACTACAACTTCGGCCAGACCATCCTCACCCCGATCAATGCGGCGCGGCGCCATCATTGGGTTGTGCTATGGGTCTCGTTGATGACAGTGTTGATTCGCATGATTCTTCCCGCCCTGCAAAGTACGGTTTTCGAACTCCGCGAAGTGACGGTTGTCAAGCGGGAGACGATGCGCAGCTGGCCTCATCTAGTCGACCTAGCCACTCAGGCAACCTGGATGTCCACCCAAGCCAACAACACCGTCGACTCGGTGCTGTCTTCGGATGAGAACCTACGGCGATCTCGCTCCGCCAATTACGCGATTGCACCCGTGGAAATCCCCGCCACCATAGAGCCGGAGTCCACTCTGTGGTCTCTCAACCAGACCTTGTACTGGGCCCAGCTCAAATGCCGGGACGTCAAGGTAGACGACAGGCTCTCGGTGACGATCCACAAGCCCCAAAATGGATACCCTAGCGTTTCGTGGAACGCCACTGGCATCGCTCTGCAAGACGCGAATGGGGATTCTACCCAGTGCAAACTGGACTTCCACTATGATACTGTGTTCTTCCCCGAGACCGACTATCTGCAGGTGCGCTACTGGGAGCCTGTCGTCACCAATGTCACACTGGCCGAATATCCACACAAAAGACACGCTTTCTCGTCATCTGGGTGTGATCCGTACGATCTTTATGGCATGATCATTGCCATCAATGCCTCGCACCCAGACTCCGCTACTGCTCAATATGGTGCGACGGGTGTTGCCTTTGCCTGCGATATCACCTACCATGAGGCGGAGGCTCAGGTTTCCATGCATTCCAATAGCTCGATCACAGGAATACAGGTTGATCAGGCTACCATTCGGACGCTTACGGCCTCCCAGTTCAACATCGAGCATTTCCAGGCTCTCTTATCCCAACGCTCGCCGTATACCAGCGATATGCTCTTCATCAGCGAAAATACGACGACAGGAAGACGCACCGTCACGGAACTGCCAGTTATCAGCGAGGAATTGGGGGATTTACAGCCGCTGTTGGTGCTGGATACCTCCACTGTCATGACCCAAGCCCAATTCAAGGCCAAGATTAAGCGTGATGTGAAACAAACATTTGTTCTCACCCTCGGCCGACTGTTTGATCCCGGCCGCACACCAAAGATCGTGCCTGCACGTCGCATTTCGGATCAAGTCGCCATCGCTGTCGTGAGTTTTGCAGCGTTGGGTTCGGAGCTCATTCTGGGGCTCGCAACTCTCACTGCGTTATATCTTCTCCTTCTGTACCGGTGGCGGGAAACCTTTCTCCAATGTGATCCAGGATCCATTGGTGCCATGTGCAGTATCGCGGCCGACATCTTCCACCCAAGCAACATTTTGGCAGAACCGCAGTTAGAATTCCATCAATTCTCCACGAGACAACTACGGCACATATTTCGGAACGCTCGCTGCTATTGGCGGCCTGGGCCCTCTGGAAACCGTATGGAGATACTCGCAGAAGATGGTGTGTAAACACCCCATTGTACCATGGGTTCCCCCAATATAAACTGACCCGGCAGAGTAGGCTCCCCCGTTCAACTCAATGGCGAGGATCTGCAAACACGCGTCGACCCCATGCCACACTTCCTTGTTATCCCTTTCTTTATTGTCGAGTGTCTGGCCCTGGCGGCCGTCATCATTCTCATGGGACTAGTCGTATCTTCTCTCCTTCGGGATGGCCGATTCCGCCATCTAACGCAATCCGACTCAAGCACCTTCCAAGTCATCCTTTCCTTTCTTCCTTCGGTAGTAGCGTCCTCGGTGAGTTCGCTATGCACATCCATCTACCGCAACCTGAGTGTCCTCGAACCATGGGTTCACCTTCAACGGGGCATGGCCTCGGCACAGGCGTCATTGTCACTTAACTATTCCTCACAGAGCCCGTTTGCGGTGTTCTTCAAGGCTGTGCGCCACCGGCACGTGTTGCTGGGGCTGGTCTCCCTTATATGTGTCATCAACATGGTCTTGACAGTCGTTGCCGGTGGGCTGTTCACACAGCAGCTTACGGCTTCCACTCTTCCCACTGGGGATCTATCCATGAACTATAGCCAGTTCACCTTTTGGCAGACCGATTTTGCCGCCGAATTCACCGAATATGACCTCATTCAAACTAGCATCACCAGCGGCGTCCCCATGCTGTCGTGGACGAGCCCCAACCAGTCTTTTATTCCTGTCACCGTGCGCGACCCGAACCCCGATATTGTCTACGGGGCGTCGACCCTTGGCATTGGGACAGCGCTTCAGTGTCGGCCTCTCTCCCCGGCTGAAGCTCTCGTCCGCAACAAAGGTGATGGGCATCAATATTGGCAGTACGCGCTGTTTGAGGATCCTTCTGTCCAATGCAATGCAAGTATGCCCACCCTACGGAGCAAGGACGAAGGGATTGCTCTATCTATTCATTTCCTATCTCCGAGCGACATGAATGATTCGGATCGTTGCCAGACCTCCACTGTGCTAGTGGTCGGTCGTTGGGACTATCGGGCCGATACTCCAATTACGGACCAGAACACCATTGCGCTGCATTGTGAACCTCAGATCCAGTTGCAGAATTTCACCATCGGCTTCGATCAGCGGGGCCAGATTGAAAGCAATAAACCCGTCGCAAACTCTTCTATCACATCGGGTACCATGTTTGACAATGCCACCGTGAGTCTTGGTCAGTTTAACAGAGTTTTCGCCGCTATCCCCCAGAGTTTCGTAGGCAACACCACCTCTCAAAATGGAAGTTACAATATCTCTTCCTATGACTGGGCGGGTTTCTTGGTTGCGCGTCTCTATGAGCGGGACGAACCGGGCCTTGAGTACTTGCACACAGAGCGTCTGATGGACCTAACTCAGACGGTGTACCAATGGGTGTACAGTACCTACTTCTCGATTTGGCGTGATATTTATCTTGAATTCCTCCCCGAACCACTACCAGTCGCCAATGCGACGGTGACTCAAAGCACCTGGTGTATGGTGCCTTCGATTCCTTCTCTCGCCATCGCTCTCCTTATCATCGCACTCGACACTTTGGTGGTGCTAATCGTCTTTGGGACTCGTCGCGGGCGGTTCCGTGGACCTCGATTGCCGCGTTCCATCGGAGCTGTTATACCCTGGGTCGCGCACAGTCGGATGCTCAATGATTTCCGGAAAACGCACACGTGGAGCAACAGTCAACGGCGCACTCACCTCTCCACCCTTAATAAGCGATATGGGTTTCGTATGTTTATGGGTGCAGATGCCCGGTGGCGTTTCGCCGTGGACGAAGAACCACCAGGCCCAGAGCCGCCTGAGGACCCGCCTGGAGACCAGGCGCCGGAAGGCGCTAAAACCACGTTCGTCCAGCTACAGGAACTTCGTCGGCCCCAAGATCCGCTGTAGCACCGACATTCTCACATTCATGCGATATGATTTTATGTCGATTTTAATGCTTTTTGTTTATATGGGGTGTCACCATTATGGGGTAATTTACAGTGATATGGAGAGTATACATAGACGGACAGACGAGCCGGCCCTGGTCTGGTTCGTTCCATTTGGATATTGGATCACCGCATTTCTGTTTGCATATATTTCTGGTCCACTGGTTGTGATGTTCCGCTGTCCTTGTGATTTTCTATACCAGCATCGCATCTGTTAATGGAACCAAAAAAAATGTATTCATTCTGATAACCACAATTCGCTGCTCCAACAATCAGCTATGTTCACCTACAATGCGGCCTTCAATCGGCCGTCGATTGCCCGCAAGATGACATAGAGAGTCTCTAGAAACGGGGCCGCAATCCCTAACTCTCGCGATTTTCGCACAGGAAAGCCCAAGATCACTTCGATCTCCATCGGTCGCCCGTTCTTACAGTCCGTTTGCATGCTGCTACCAATACCCGGGATTGCGTTAATCTTTCCCATTAGCTGGTCAATGAGGTCCTCGGTCAGTGGCACCCCACAGCCGCGACCAATGTTGATAACTTCGCGCATAACCTGTCGGGTGAAGGGCGTAGCATCCTCAGAGGAGTGCAGCCAGGTTTGCGTGTCCACCATGGTCAGGGTGGTAAGCGAGTTCCATGCAGCGTTCCAGACTACTTTCTCCCACCGCTGCCGCTGCATATCCTCCAAGATCTGGAACCGCGTCTGGCCGTGCTGGAGCAGGTCTGCGAATCTCTCCAGCCGCTGGAGCTCGACTTTGTCATCGATCTGTAAATTTGGGAAGAGGCCGATCTGCATGTCCTCGGATTTGGTATGTTTGACAATGCCAGGACTCGTCTGCGTGGCTCCTACCCATGTCTACGGAAATCAGCCGGGGCGCTCAATGGAGTGATTGGCGAGCATACCACGCAGGTCAGGATAGAACACTGGGGGAATTTCCTTCGAAATGGCTCTTCATTGCCGACACCGTTCTGGATAATCACAATTGTAGACCTGGTATCATCGATCACCGGTTGTAACTGTGCCGCCACGCTGTCCTGGTCAATGGCCTTGTGGGCGCATACAATATAGTCCATCTTCGGTGCCTCAGTGGGTGATTTGACCACTGTCAGCCAGGTCTCGTCAGTTTGATGGTTGGACAGAGCAAATCGGCAATCTACCAACCTCGATGCGGGTGAAATGTGTGCTGGCCGTGGTTCTCGCTATCGATGGTAATGCCCTAACCCGACAAGTCAACTTATTTTGTTTCTCATGCCAGCTAGGAGAGAAGGGTTTACATTCGCAGACACCGCATCGTAGTTTGACCGTGCTACTACCGTCAACCGCACGCGGTCAGAACGGCTGAGGATGAAGGCGTAAAAGGAGCCAATCCTGCATTGATCAGACACGAATACTCTTGCGCAGCAGTGAGGAACACCTACGCCCCTAGGCCGTATAGCAGCACATCGATCTGGTCTGACATGGTTATCGCATGGACGAAGCCGAGCAATGAAGAATAGTACGTTGTGACCGAATTGTGTAAGACTCGGTTCAACCCCGCCCTTGTTATAGCACCCGGCCTTCTTCCGAAGTGTGGGAGCGTGGGGGTGGAGCCGCCGGGGTTGGCGAGAGTGACCCCACGAAACGTGGTGGTAGAAGATTCACTCATGATTATTCTTATTCTGATTGAAAGATAGTAACACCTTACAACTTCACACTGCCGATCAACTCCCGTTCCAGCCGGCTAGCATTGACCATCTCCGGCCGCAGCTCGCCCAGCGTTGTCACTCCTAGAAACACCATGTTGGACTCGATCTCTTGCCGTAACACTGCCAGCATATGCCGCACCCCATCCTCACCGTAACCGGCTGACAAACTAAACAGAAATGGCCGTCCCAGCCCGACGGCTGTAGCACCCAACGCAATGGCTTTGAGCACATCGGTACCGCGGCGAATGCCGCCGTCAATGAAGATCTGCATGTTGCAGTTGATCAGGAATGGCGCAAATTTGCGAATCTCTAGTAGCGTCAGGAGTGGCGATTGAGCACTACATATATCAGTATGCATTGATTGATATCACCATCCCTGAGGCTCAACGTACGTGTCTTGTGATCGGCCGCCGTGGTTGGAGAGCACGATGCCCTGCACCCCTTGCTGGTACGCGAGCACAGCATCCTCGACGCTTTGGACCCCTTTGATTACAACAGGGAGGCTGGTGAGTTGCCGAAGCCACGAGAGAATGCTCCAGTCGATAAATGGAGAGATAGAGTTAGCCGCGGTCTTCGCCACTCCGGCTCCCTGCGCGCCACTGTCGCTGGCCTGCGTTCTGGTAAGCGTTCTTATTCCTTGCTCATTGTGAAACAGGTCCATACCGTCGCAGTCAGATTCAGTCGTTCATCCATTTCGCGCTTGCCCACAACTGGTGAATCAACCGTGATCCAGATGGCTCGTGCCCCAGCTGCCTCGGCACGCCGCACGAGATCCACAGACTTGCTGATATCCCGGTTGACATATAATTGCTGGAAGATGGGCTGCTCCGGAGAAACGCAACTCTGCACAACCCGCTCAATTGGTATGCTCGAGCTGTTGGCTAGCACCTGGACCAATCCCTCTTTCCCGGCTGCTGCGGCCAGCGCACACTCGCCGTCTGGATGAGCCAACTTGGCAATGCCGACAGGCGACATGTATACTGGAAGAGATGAAGGATAGCCCAGGATAGACACTGTAGCATCAACTGTGGAGATATTGCGAAGAATTCGGGGCCGCAACGCGACTTTCTGGTAGGCCCGGACATTCTGTCGCTTGCTGATCTCGTCGTCGGCGCCCGATGAGTAGTAGGCCCAGGCATTGGCAGAGAGATGGCGCTGCGCGACCTCCTCAAAATCGTGGAGGTTGAGGAGACTTCTCAGCGGTGGCGGGACATCAGATGCACTCTTTTGCTCTCCATTTGCGAAATCAGAGTGACCGTAGGGTGCGGCCAATTCAGCCGGGTCGATCTGACCACGCCAGGCTGTCTCTGGTAAAGCTTCAGCTAGCAACTCGGGAGAATGAACAGAGTCAAAATCGCCGGTGGCATCCCTACCCGCGCAACGCAGGATGACCTGGGCACCGCCTGGGTGTGAGTCCAGAAAATCTGGTGAATCTGTCAGCGTTGTCCGTCCATCCAACATCCGCAACGTACCAGTCACATCGTAGACAGCGCCATGGATGGCCACCCAGCATGAGCGGCGGCTGTTGTGTTGCTCGATCTCATTACGCGAGAGCTTCATTGTTCTTGCTCATCCACTGATTGCATACGAGAACTCTTCACCATGAAGATAAATCGGCTCGGCTGATCCCCTTCCCCGCTGGGGCGTGGGGGTTCCCCGCCGATCATCTCCACTCAGACGATGCCTGCGGAGAGTACTATGGTGAGAAACCCCTACGTGATCGGTGCATCATTCTCTTAAAGGCTTCGGCATGACAGAAACCCCCACGGATACGATGAACATCCACAATAGTTAATAGTTAACCAATCTGCTCTGGCATTGTTTGTCAACCCTGGGCGACATTATTGAATTCTTCCACCAATCAGCCAGACTTAGGGTTTCATCTCAGCTCGTGTCGGACTTTATCCGTGCAAACCCCCGCGTGGGATGCTCGTGTGGGGAAGACCGTCGCCCGCCGGTTATAACTAATGGGATAGCATCCCGCAAGAAGGATACGCTCTCCAGCTACACATATTATTCTACCATGGCGAAGATCAAGGCAGTCGAGTATTTTCGCGTCAAGCCCCGCTGGTTGTTCGTCAAAGTCACCGACGATGAAGGCCTGATCGGCTGGGGGAGGGCACCCTCGAGGGCCACTCGCTGGCAGTTGAGGGCGCACTGGACGAGATCATCGCGAGAATTGTGGGCTATGAAGCAGAGTACGCAAGCCATTGTCGCCTTCTCCTTCCTTGATGCTGACCCTTATCGGCTGCAGCGATATCGAACACATTTGGCAGACGATCTGGCGACTCGGATTCTACCGGGGCGGGCCCGTCTTCATGTCGGCCCTGTCGGGGATCGATATTGCGCTGTGGGATCTGAAGGGCCGGCGGCTAGGCGTACCGGTATACCAGCTGCTGGGTGGCAAGGTACGTCACAAAGTGCAGGTGTACGCCTGGATCGGAGGGGACCGACCGTGTGATGTTGAGGCCGCAGCGTGAGTGTCTTTGCCCGCCGGGATACCATCCAGCTGACATCCGTAATGAACAGTAAGGCTCGCATTGCTCAAGGCCTCAAGTGTGTCAAAATGAACGCCACCGAGGACGTCAACTGGCTGGACTCGCCCGCCGTGCTCCAGTCATGTGTGGAGCGGTTGAAGCAGGTCAAGGCGCTCGGCTTGGATGCGGGCCTGGATTTCCACGGCCGACTACATCGGCCCATGGCCAAACAGCTGATCAAGGCCCTGGAGCCCTATCAGCCCTTGTTTATCGAGGAGCCGCTTTTATGCGAGCACCCTGAGGCCATTAAACAGCTTTCGAGCCAGACGAGCATCCCCATAGCCTTTGGGGAGCGACTGTACACCCGATGGGACATAAAGCGCTTCTTGGAAGATGCGTCCGTGGACGTTCTACAGCCGGACATTGCTCACGCCGGCGGGATCTCGGAGACCAAGCGGATGGCGACCATGGCTGAGACGTACGATGTGGCCATCGCCCCTCACTGCCCGCTGGGTCCCATTGCCTTGGCAGCCTCGCTCCAGGTAGCCGTGTCGACTCCCAACTTTGTCATCCAGGAGATGTCCCTAGGCATGCACTACAATGTCGAGGCAGGCGACATTGACCTGAACAGCTATCTTGTGGACAAGACTGTCTTCGAGATCCAGGAAGGCTTTGTGGCCGCGCCTACCAAGCCCGGACTAGGAATAGAGATTGACGAAGAGCTGGTGCGGCGCATCAGCCAGGAGACGGAGCCCTGGCAGCCCAAGGAGTTCTATGGGCCCGACGGGTCGATTCGCGAATGGTAGTGGAGCTTTCTAGGACATAATTCATAAATACGCATATACCACGGTACACTCAGGGCAACTTCACCTGTAGCAAAATGTTACTGTTTCAGTTGTAGTACTTCCCTTCGTAATTATGTTCAGCCTTTCGCCCCACCCCCACGCCATCCCCGCATGGGGGTCAACGCGGCCGCGGATGTAGTATTTATGCCGTCAAATGCCCTCTGTAACGTCCGTCGAGAACAAACAATATGGATTTCTTCTCGCTAACTGGTAAAACTGCCTTGGTGACTGGCGGAACGCGTGGCATTGGCCAAGCGATGGCCCTAGCCCTAGCTGAAGCCGGCGCCGATGTGGTACTGGTACAGGTGTGTTTGTCTCCTTGACTATGGTGCAACACAGCTGACTTGGCCCAGAGGGATACCAGCAACCAGAACACCAAAGAGCAAATTAAAAAGCTGGGACGAAAGGCCACCATCTATACGGCCGACCTAGCATCGCAAGAATCCGTGTCGGCATTGGTGTCAACGGTCGTCAAGGACGGCCACGACATCAACATTCTTCTTAATTGTGCCGGAATTCAGCGACGACACCCAAGCCATGTGTTCCCACAGGAAGATTGGGACGAGGTCTGTTTCTCTCAGAGATTTCGTACCATGCCACTCCTGACCCTTTTTACAGGTCCTCCAAGTGAACTTGACCACCGTCTTCACCCTATGCCGCGATGTCGGTGCCTACATGCTCACTCGCACACCCGACAGCTCTGGTCAACGCGGGAGCATCATCAATGTGGCCTCGCTTGTCTCGTTCCAAGGTGGGCTGACGGTGCCCGCCTATGCAGCGGCCAAGGGTGGCGTGGCACAGCTCACCAAAGCACTCTCAAACGAGTGGGCATCCAAGGGCATTAATGTCAACGCCATCGCCCCAGGCTACGTCGCAACAGACATGAACACAGCCCTGATACAGGACAAAGAACGTGCGGCCAGTATCCTGGCTCGCATCCCCGCGGCGCGATGGGGCAATCCGGACGATTTCAAAGGTCCGGTAATCTACCTGGCTAGCCGAGCCAGCGCCTACGTGAGCGGCGAGATTCACACGGTTGACGGAGGCTGGATGGGGCGGTAGTCTCTCATCAGGAGCAAAGAAGAACTCCCATTGCTATTTAATATAAATTGTGAATGAAGCATCTTGGCAAGGTGAACTATCATCCTTTAAAATTAAGCGGAACGAAGATGACTCCCTGGACTGAAATATCTTTATACCGCGTAACGCAGTGGAACAAGCTGTCGTTTGTTGCATTGGGAAAATCGGGACTACCACCTCCCTCAGTTCATCATGCGATGCATCGTAGGTAACCTCGGTCCTTTTGCAGAATAAAACAAGGCATCGGCTCACCCCCTCAACGCTGGTCGGATTGCGAGGATCCGAATTAAGGATCCATGGAGAATGGCATGCTGGTATTATGCGGCACTTTTTTTCTCCTCATCTAGACCAGTCGAACGGACCTTGACCGAACGAGCCATCGGCGAGGTCCCCTTTGCAATCACTAACCAGCAAGGTCCCGACACCAGTAACCGAAGCACTCAGATCGGTCACTATGCGTCATAGACACTGGTGGCCAAGATGCCCCAACCAGACCGGTCCCCGGATACGCGATCCCGACATCCCCAGAAGAACGTGCGGGTCGTCCGGCATCGAACATCATGTCTACATGCCGATTCCTTCTAGCCGACTCGATCGGTATCTGTTGATCCGATCACCAAGGAGCCGAGCTGAGCCATGGTTTTCGTTGCGGGAAATGCCATCGAGAACGCTGCTCATTGGGCGAACCAGGATCGGATACTCGGTCGAGTCGCCAAAAACGGCGGGAAAACGGGGATCAGCAAACGATCTTCAATCGGCAGTCCCTGAACGTGCGGCTCATCACCTGGAAACCCCCCGATGGCCCATTTCTCCAACAATTCGCGCAGGGCGGACTGCCAAATCCGTCGATCTTCTCCCCATGTGCCCTTGGTTAAAGCTAGGGCACCTCTTCCGAACAGGGCATCGGATCGACATCTCATCGTTAATTGCCTCTTTCTTCCATGCTAGCCACTACAAGACCTCGGGCCCAGAATGACGATACAGGTGCCCTCGTCTGTTCTAACTCTCAGCCACTCGGAGTGGAAGATCCTCGATCCACCATGAGTAAAGATAAGCACGCATGTGGAGCTCGCAACAAACCGGATCATCGTGCAGGATAGTGGAGGCTTCTCCAAGATCCCATGCAAGATGGATTTGCCGGTCAGAGTGTCTTCTCTGAAAGATATAAAAACCCCTTCAAATTCCACCTCGGAAAGCTCCATTCTTCAAGCGACTGGACATTGCTTCTGGATTGCAAATCTTTGTTCTTCGAGACCCATCGCCGTTCACCGAAAGTCATACTTATCTCTTATTTGTTTATTCCTTTCGATTATCCATAATGAGGACCTCTGTTTCTATCCTTGTCATTACTCTTGCAGGCACTGCCATTGCCGCTCCCTTCGTTGGGCCCAAGAACTCCAATGGCACCTATGTCTTCCCAACTTCCTCGGGCATCGTGACTCCTTCTCTGGTTCCCACCAGCAGCCCGCTCCCCAATCCTTTGGCTCCCTCCAACAGCACTTTCCTGCCCACGCCGGTGATTGATTCGGAGCCTGCGGATTTCAAGCGCGGTGACTCTCTGGCTATCCCAACGGATCTGGCATCTCTTTTGTCGGATGCCCACTCTGTGGAGGCGGCCCTCGCATCCGCTGGCGGCCAGAAGAAGCGCAGCGAGTCTCTTTCCATCCCCACGAATCTTCCTTCTCTGATCTCCGATGCCGAATCTGTAGCCGCTGCTCTAGCCTCCAGCGGTGCTCAGAAACGTGGCGAGTCTCTGTCCATTCCCACAGATCTGCCATCTCTGCTCTCCGAGGCTCAGTCCGTGGCCGCGGCTCTTGCGTCGGCCGGCGCCCAGAAGCGTGAGGTCTCTCCTTTGCCTCCTGCTACTCCCACTAGTACTCCTCTTTCTACTCCCGTTTCTATCCTCACTTCTTCTTCTTCTTCTTCGACTCCCTTCGGATTTGGTTCCCTGCCGTCCGGGACCTCTTCGTCTCCTTCCAGCCCGGCCTCTGGTATTCCTTTTCCCACTGGTCTTCCTCTGTCCGGCCTCTGAACTCATTGAGTGCCGATGACTGTGCCTTGACACCAGAGTCTTTTCTCGGTCTCAGAGGAAACTGTCAGCTATGGCATCGTACGGGTTATCATGTCTACGGTTAATCCCGTTCCGCTCGTTTATGATCTGTCTTTGTTTGTGAGAAATGTTCGGGGGACTTGACTCGCGAGACTGTATTACAACATGAAATTGAACTGTGAATTAGCTTTGAAATTACGGCCTCTCCTCGATGCGCACTTTGGCCCCATCTCTGGCTTCGACATCTATTAGTTGCTTCATTGATACCGTCAGTCGTACTGAGCTCAGCCTTGTACATGGAGATTTTATCAGTCTCATCGGTTGATATACTGCCAATAAAAGAAGGGGGGCGGGCGTAAAGTTGTACATAGGCGGTAATGATCGTGTTGAGATAGCCAACCCGACGTAGGCTCCAATCCTCCAATCACCGCGAGCTTCTTCTTGTATCTGTTCGAAACAGTTAGAATCTCTAACGAAAATGGCTTGGATTGGATCGCGCTACTTGTCATCAAAGGGTTCAAATGCTTGCCGTGCCTCAACTCCTTCAAAACAAATGTTGAAATGCTAATCCCCTTCCGTAGCGTCAGGGAGAGGATATGTTTCCCGCATCTGGTTTAACGGAGACTGACATAGGCGCTCGTCATGGTCTTAGATGGAGTCTTGGGCAATGATACAAGGACCGCCAACCCGAGTGAAGAAGACGGGTACAGAGAAAGGAGGATACGAACACCATGCTCGTTCGTGGTCATCTGGTTTCTGAATCCCCGCGCTTGCGTGAAAAAGTGGCAAATCATGAGGAAAGCCGGAACGTTAATTAAACACTCGGTTGACTATGTCCGCTAGCTATTGGATCTCTTGCTTTATATACGACGCACATCACGCTTCCTGAAAACGCTTCATTGGTCCGTAACTAGACGTGAAGGCTCTTAAAGGTCGTCCCCACAAGAATAGTGGGATGGCGCATAGAATACTGACCAGCTGGATGGCCGTCATTTCGCCGAAAACGCGTGCCGGGCCATGGCGCTCGATCCAGTCCGCCGCGTAAAGGGATAAAAGCATTCCAATCGTGTTTCGAATCACAAAGATGATCACCAACGCCTCGCCGGTTACCTGAAGGGGTCAACAACGGGGTCCATGGGAGCTGAGCAGCAAATACCATACCGGTTTGTAGGAGTCCAGCGAATAGGTTACGGCGACATTCGAGATGGCAGCCACTCCAAATGCTTGCATGGCGTTGCCGAACGCTGGGCCGATCCAGTGCGTCTGGTACGCAACGCAGAGCCCGAAGATTAAAATCCCCGCCGGGCCAATGGTGCCGGGGATCACGATGGCTGGCAGTCGATATTCGGGCATACGGACGCCATCATGTCGCGCAGTGCTACGGGTCGAAATAATATCAATGAGCCGGCCACCGAGATAAAAAGCAAGGACCGCGCCGATGAATCCAGCTAGTGACAGCAGCCCGAGGCTACCCAATTGCCAGTTATAGGGTGGTTTTAAAAATGTACGGGCTGCTGTCAGTTGCACAACGATATTCCTATGGCCAGGATTAGTGGCTGAAAAGGGGCAACCCTAGGTAATACATACCATCCGACGGAGATTCCAATAGTGAAAGCGCACCATATCAATGGCGGGTAGCCGGCATTGGCCAGAATATCCATCAAGGCTCGAATGAAAGAGGCCTCACGGTCGTACCCGATCGTGAGGGACATCCATTGCCAATGCGACCGCTTGATTGTGGACGATGAACCCGCTGGAGGACGCCTGACGTATGAGGTCTCTCGGATCGTGAAGACAGACACCACGAACATCACCCCAACCGCGATAGCGAGAAAGTAACACATCCAGCGCCAGTCCTGCTCTTGGACTAGGTATGCGTTGATCAACGGCCCCAAGAACAGGCCCGCGGTCAGCGCGAGGTGAAAGAACATCATGTAGTGGCCACGATCCTGGGGGCCGACCATATCCGCAACGACGGCGGGGACCGTCGCATCTGCCGCCGCGGCGGGAAATCCGGAGAGGATGCGCGAGGCAAGCAATTCGTTATAACTGACGGCCTGGCTGGACCACACGTTCATCATGGAGAGCGCCAACATGGCCACTAAGTACACCGGGCGCTTCCCAATCACCCGCATGAGCGGGACCCAGAAGATGTTGCCCACGCCGAAGAGGAAGACATTGAAACACACCAGCTGCCCGGCCTGGGTCTGACTGACATGGAATTCTTTGATGATCTCCTGCGTCGCGACAGTAAAGTTGCTGGAGTTGACGTTGGCGAAAAAGGTGAAGCCACAGATTGTCAGATACGTGGACATCTTGGCCCCCACGGACCAATTCTGTACAGGCCAGTGTCAAATGGGATGGCCATGAGGTGGGTATGCCGTACCTGCGGGTGGTTGACATCTTGCGCCTCGGCCGTCTTCCGTTCCTGATCATGGCCCATGGACCTAGCGCGTTCGTCGGCTTCGGGCATGGCGCCCTGGTGGCTGCACGATTCATTCTTGAAGTCCTCCATGTTATTTTGTGAAATTGTTCCCTGTGTCCCGAGGGGGGGGGGATTCTAATAACCGGCGGGGGTCTCGTTATCCCGTAGAGTATGGGGAAAGCATGGGATCGGCAATTCCGACTGCTGGGAGGGCATTCTGGTTGGTGATGAGCCTACCCTAGGTGATCGGAAATTCCGATGCTCGTTCATTTGGATTTGAGGTGACGGGTGGTAGGAATATACATCCGACTGTCTACGGTTACACCTGGGAACCACCTCTCGTAGTTACCTACCACGAACTACTATCTAGTCAACCATTGCAACATTATTAATAACATTGAATCTATAGTTAGTTCACTATGTCGTTAGTTAGTTAGTTCCTCTCGCCTGCCCAGGGGAGAGCGACCGGCGACACCCCCGAAGTCTCGTGAGGAGCCACTCTTTCTCCGTGGAACTTCCATCCTTCCTCCCTTCCGTTCTTCCCTACCCACCAACTCCACACCTCCTTTCACTCTCACTCTCACTCTCGCGCCCACTCGAACACGATCAATGGGTCTCTTCAGTCGCGCCGTGAAGGTCACCGCCGCTGGTGGGCTGGCCGCCGTCGGCGTCTTCTTTGGCGCCACCCGTAACGACATCTTCGAGCCCATCGACACATCCGACCACATCTTCCACTCCTCCTTCTTCCACAAGTACAACCCCAACAAGAACCCAACTGTACATGACGTCTGCGTCCGCCGCGTGCCGTTGGACAAGATTGACCCCGCCCTGCTGGAGAAGAAGGGCAAGCTGGTCGAGGCATTCTGCGCCGGCGTCTGGGGTGGCATGGGTACTTTTGCCTCATCCTGCAATTGGACGGACACAATCCTGGAAATGGCTAACTGCAATTCGACGTCTAGGATACATCCCCCAGCGCGCTTATATGGCCCGAAAATACCAGAACCCCGAAACTGCCAGCCACCTCTGGGAGCGCAAGGACCTCCTCTCGAGCACCTACGAGCTAGGCACGATCATCACAGATCACTTCGAAGTGGTCGAGAAGACCGAGGACCACATCACCGTCCGCTGTGGCGATTCCCCGCGCATCCGAGAGGTCCGCGACTCCGACGGGCTCTTCGAGATTGGCGCCGTCATCAAGCAGGACCAGGGCGTCGCCGAGTTCAGTTTGAAGAGCTGCTTCTACCAGGGCCTGGGCAAATCGGAAGCGGCGCCCATGGGCCCGTATGTGGCATGGCTGCATCGACAGTACACCAAGCTGCTGCTGGAGGCCGCGGTGCTGAAGAAGTGCATGCGGTGAAGACATTATTGTTTGTAAATACGTCCCGAAATCATAATCTACGACGAGTCGTCTCCTGTATGGATTTATACAAAGCAGGTCCGGTGTATTTCCATCTCCCATTGAAATTCTCTGATCCAAATGACACATTCATGCCTTGACCTCCTCGGACTGAGGCTTGTCCGTCGCATACAGCACATCCTGACCTTCCGCGGAAGTGGCGTCGCTAGTCAGCGTGACGGTCCAAACCGTCGGGATCGCAATGACCAACGATCCCATGCACAAGCCCCAGTCCATGGCAAACTGCGCCATGGCGGGCTTCTGCAGTGCGTTGATGCGCCACGCCATCGCGCCCCCAGTAGCTTGGAAGGTCTTGTATGCACCGACCAGAATGGCCGCCACGGCGGGCGAGTTAGATCGGGTGCCCATGAGCCAGTAGCAGAAGGACTGCCAGAATGCATCGTAGGCACCGTAGAAGATGTAGAGGAACATCGGACCGACGGACTGGTGGCTGTCCGTGTAGTCGATATCCTGCTGTAGTCCCAGCGCCGTGCGGTGATCGAACCACTTCTGGAAAGCATATCCGCCGCCCCAGATGGCCATGCCCGTGATGGAGAGAAACGCCCAGCCAACCCGGGCTCGCATGGGCCGCGTGAGCCACGGCATGTCCAGCAGGAGGCCCATGACCAGTCCACCGAGCATCTGCGCCAACCAGTACAGGGCACCGTTGAGCGAGCGCGTGCGGATATTGAAGGTCAATCCATTGACCACGTTCTGCTGGTACGAGTAGAACACATTGGCCGAGAAGAAGAGTGGCAGCATGCACAGCACCCGCCAGTCGCCCATCGTCTGGACTGAGAGCTTCGCGACGCGCCGCCAATTCTTCTCGCTCTCCGGCGTTGCCTCCAGCTGTTCAAGTCGCACGGCCGCGGGTGGGCAGATGAACACGCCAAGGAGCCATCCAATGGCCATGATGACCAGGAGGGCAACATATGTCCCGTCCGATACGGTCCCGCTCGTCGAGTGGAAATTGAGGCCAAAGCTGGCGAGAGAGCCCACGCCGCCACCGAGGTTGAAGATGACCCAGAAGGCCGCAATCGCGCGTCCTTTTTGAGACTCGGGCACATAGGTGGTCATAATGGCCCCTTGCGCAACCCACAGGAAGGACGCACCCACGCCGAGAATGGCGCCGGCGGCAATGACAAAGGCTCCATTCTTCGTAGCTGCCGAAAGTAGGATGTCAGCTCGTTCCGAGTCAGAGATTCGATCGGGGACATACAGTTGAAACAAAGCAGACTGCCCGAATACAGGGGATACGTCCATCCGCCCAGCAGCAGACACACTCGCGGACCCACGCGGTCGAAGATGGGCCCAACCACGAAGAGCGCCGTCCCCGCGGTGGCAGCGAGCAGCGCGACTGTCGCGTTAGCGGCGACGGTCTCGTTAACCTGGCCGGATCCTCCTAGGCCGGCGAGGGCATTGTACATCTGGCATCGTTAGCTCCGGTTCCCGTGGGACGACGCACACGACACTCACTCCGGGGCAGCAGAAACAGATGAAGCTGATCAAGATGATCTGAGACCAGCAGTGCGTATAGAGCTGGTACAGGACCGAGCGGCGGCGTTGGCCAGTGTTGGCGACCACGTCGGACATGGACACCTCGGGGCTCATGGGCTGCGACATCTTCTCTCTAGTCTCTCGCCCGATCGATGGCGAAGGGCGAGACGATGCCATCTTATGGGGCCCCCGCGAATACGAGCCTTGTTTGGCCTCTCCGGCGCTAGTGCCCCGAATTCCAACCACCGCCGTGGCATCTCGAGTGGAGCCCCTGTCGGCTGAATGCTTGCGCTGATCAGCTCTGTACACGGCGGCGACGGCCGCCGTGTAGACTCCACATCGGGCAGTTCGGTTCAGGAGATAACGCTCGGTGCGACCCTGGCTGGTAACCCCACGCGGCTAATTTTTTGTTTCGCGTACTGGAGTGGGTTTATTGCATTTTGGCAGGACGTATTTCTCCGCGTGGGATGGGCCTGACCGATCGGTTATTGATAAGAGACGTGCATCCATGAGGGTTCCAGAGTGTCTAAGTCGACCCTCCGATTGGCACACCATGGATCTCAGCAATCTGTCGCAGCTGCAAACCGAAGGGGTCAACCCTCGGACTTCGCACATTGACCGCTTATCGACCATACAGATGTGCACGGTCATCAATGCCGAGGACCACCTGGTAGCCGAAAGCGTTGCGCCTTGTCTACCCGTGATTGCCGATGCCATTGATGCACTGGCTCCACGGGTGCGAGAGGGTGGCAGAGTGGTGTATGTCGGCGCGGGGACGAGCGGGAGGTCAGTCATCACCCCAGATCAGAATACATGCATGAGTAGTGGTGACGGATGATGAAAAGAGGTTAGACTCGGCATCCTAGATGCGTCAGAAATCCCGCCCACTTTTGCCGCTCCTCGATCCCAATTCATCGGCCTGATTGCTGGCGGCGATGCGGCGATTCGGCAGGCGCAGGAGGGCGCAGAGGACAACGAGCAAGCAGGCGAAGCCGACCTAGTAAGCCTCAATCTTGACCCTGCACGAGACAGTGTCATCGGTATTGCATCTTCAGGGCGCACTCCCTATGTTCTTGGGTGTCTCGCATACGCCAGGCGGCTGGGATGCCTCACGGTTGGGGTCGCGTGTGCCACTCCCTCGGCCATGGCTTCATCGGGAAATGTGGACTACCTCATTGCGCCTCTTCCAGGGCCGGAAGTGGTCACTGGTAGCACTCGACTCAAGGCGGGCACTGCGACAAAGCTGGTTCTGAATATGCTTAGTACTGGCACGATGATAAGAACCGGCAAGACCTACGGCAACATGGTACGTTCTCTCCTCTCTCCGAGTCGTGTGCAGCTCTGGGCTAATCGTAGTGTTCCAGATGGTCGACCTGGTGGCTTCCAATCTGAAACTGGAGCAACGATCTCGGAATATATTGCGCAAACTGAGCACAAAGTGTGGCGGCTGTTCAGATTCCGAACTAGATACCCTTCTTGTCAAGTGCAACCACAGTGTGAAACTCGCTATTCTGGTTGCTGAAACGAGTCAGTCAGCCGAAGATTGTGCTCAACAGCTCGAGTGTGTTGGAGGAGTGCTGTCAGAAGCTCTCTTACAATCCGAAGGGCCACATTGGTCCGCGATGCCTGCTCGGAAGTTCGTCCTGTGTGTTGATGGTGGGGGGACAAAATGCGCAGCTGTGGTTGCGGATGATACTGGCGTTATTGGCCATGGGTCCGCCGGCCCATGTAATCTGTATGGCATTTACTTAGGTATATGTCTCTTCAGAGCTAATTTATGTCTATAGAACCGATAAGATTGGGGGCATGGACGGAGCCGTGACCACTTTGCTTGACGCCATAAAAAGCGCCTTGAAAGATCAGCTACCGATAGGTGCGGAGTTCACAGAGCCCATGTGGAAGGAGTATATTCGGACATGCTTCCATTCCGTCTGGATCGGCCTTGCTGGCCTGGATCGGGCTGGATTCTCCATCGAATTGGCACCTAAACTAGAAGAACTGTTTGGGCTGGATTACAACATCGGTCAGATCCGTTTGACGAATGACGTGGATCTCCTAACTGCATCTGTCGCAACCAGCCATCATGCACCCGCAGCTGTCGTCTTGATTGCGGGAACTGGGAGCGTGGCCATGCGGTACACTTGGGCTGCGGAACACGGATTTGTCCGAGTAGCTCGATCAGGCGGCTGGGGTCATCTCCTGGGCGACGAAGGTGGAGGTTACGCCATAGGCTTAGAAGCGATCAAACACACTTTGATTGTTCTAGAAGAGATAGCCCTAGGTTCACGAACTCAAGAGCTTGGCGAGTTGGAACAGGGAGTGGTCCAACAGCTCGGATGCCGGGTTGTGGCGGCGAGTAACGTCGACCTTTTGAATGCTGTACTATGTCAACGCAGTGATAAGAGCGTCAAGGCCCGCATCTCCACTATCGCACAGATCGTGCTGAATCTAGCCGGGTCCAACGAGATTGCTACAGCTATTGTCGAAAATCAAGTCGCATTTCTAGTCGATAACACGTTCGCCCGGCTGTTCGACCCCAGATGTCGCGAGTATACCCCCCCTGAGGAGTGTGAACTGGTACTCTCAGGAGGATTGATGAGGAATGCGGAATACCAGGAAGCACTGCAACGCCGTCTTGCCTACCAAGGTTTGCGCTTCCGGTCGACGGGAATAGTTGACAATGCGGCGTCTGTAGGAGCCAAGCGTCTTATTGAGAGGAAGCATCTTTATATATCATAGAATCTCAGTGGAAGTGCGTAAAACTCCGAATGTCTTGAACCCCCTAAATGGAAGCACAATCAAGACCCAATACTTTCATGTCAAGTCACCAGAACAGCCTCAATTACGGATTCCATGCCAGGACTCTGGCCCAGATGCCAGTGATTTGTAGGCCCACGCTATCCAGCGGATCCCTCCAGTGATGCTCCGATCGCTCCCCGAGAGCCCCAATGCTCATCATCTGAATGTACAAAGATGTTTGAAATAGAGTGATATTGGTATCTGGCAGGACAAAATCAACCATAAGCATTCGCGAGTAGTCTGGCAGACAGTGTTACACAGGATTTGCCGGCAGATATGGTCTGGCCAATCGTGGAGAATAGTTCGGAAGTAGTGTACTGGAGCACCGGAATCGGTTTCGGGTCAAAGACGAAGGAATCAATATAAGTGCTATGATGACGGGAGTTCCAAGTTGGAGAAAGAAAGAAGAAACGAAAGAATAGTCGGAGCTATCTACACGAGACATGTCACCATGTCAGGCACAGGTCACACTGGGGGGCTTTTATTAAACAAAAAAAAAAAAAAAAAAAAAAAAAAAAAAAATAAGGAATCCAAGCCATGAGGTTGTCTTCAGTGTACAAAGTGACATCTGTATCCTCAAGTGTTGTGCAAGACATAGAAAACTGAGTATAAATCTCCTTACTGTATTTGGACGATAACCCAGAGAACAAGACACGCTTATGTCAACAGCCAAGTAACGAACTAACAATACTTATTCACAGATAAATACAAGAGTCTCGCCTATCATAACTGTAGCAGTTGTACTACTAGAACAACGCTAATTGTGACAAAGTGAAGACAGTCCTTCAGTGGGATGATCAATCGAGCTGGCTGGCGACCTCCTTTTTGATCCTTTGCTACTCTGCGGCTGCACTGTGTACGAAGTCAAAGACTTATTACCATCAGGCTAGGTGGAGACTATCCCAGCGGGATTTCGATTCTGGCGGACCCGTCTCGGGGACCTCTGCCATGTTGCCATGGCGCTAGATGGGATCATATTGAAGACGTGCAGGAAGTAAAATAGCACTAGTAAATATTGTGATAGTCTTCGGAACCCGCTGTTTCTATCAAGTGCTTGACAAACACAGCTCCAGAGTCTTTGTCCTGGCAACCGAGCGGCAAGCCCCCATGTCTGGGGAAGCAATCCGGTTTGCCAAGTTGTTTGCACCTGCATCGGGGAAAATATCTCAACGACTCTTATCCGTCGGGGAACTTTCTGTCCATACCGCATTGGTCTGTTTGCATAAGGCTATTTCCGAGCAGGGCGACACCCTCCGTTGCGCTTGCTGCTGGTCGACCGTTTACAATCTACAACCAACACTAGTGGTCTGAGCTGGCACCACCCGCGGATCTGTCAAAAGCCATCTTGAATGAACACAAAAACAGTTTGTCGCGACTTGAAGTTAATAGCCCAGGGCGGAAGACCTGTACGCTCCCGACTATCCCGAACGCATTAGTGCATAGAACCAAAACACGAATGGCACTTCGTTTCGTGGGTTGGCCGACGTCCACAGAAGGGCTTAAATATCTTCGGGACACTCTATTTCACAAATAAAGGCCGCATACTCTTGTCCCTTCCCAATCTTTCTGTCATCGACTTCATCATGGGTATTCAACGCGGTGGCCAGATTGTACAGGCGACCTCGTCAAGTACCACAGATGCCTTGATCCAACAATTTGGGCAGCTCCATGTACTTGATGACTTGATTCGACTGCGGGCGGCAGACATGGTTCAGCATCCCATCCTCGCGTATCCCTGTTCAAATACGGACACCGCGACCGCCACATACGAATACTACACTGGACGGGATATGGACAACATGATAGACAAGGCGGTCACCTGCTTAATGAATGATGGCTTTCAGCCTGTAAGTAAGCATCTGAATCATTTAACTTGGATTACGCGGGCTAACCCTTCGCAGCCTAAGGGCAATGGCTCAATTGTCGCAGTTCTCGCACCATCCGACATCAGCATGGTGATTACATTTTTCGCCCTCAGTCGATTAGGCTACACCGTCATGATGCTCTCACCAAGGCTATGTGGGGATGCGTGCGTGGCTCTGCTCGATACCGTCGGCTGTGAGACAATTATCTACGGGAATACTCTCAGCATCCGTGCCACAATTGGCGACATCCTTCAGAAAAAGCTCGTCAGTTGTCGTCCAATGCTTTCCAAAAGCAATCTCGACACTGAGGAAACTTTGGTTCTCATTCTACACCGTAATCGCAACTCCGAGGCCCAGTGCAACAGGATCGCCCTTATTCTACATTCCTCTGGATCAACAGGAACCCCCAAACCTCTCTTTCTCAGTCACCGAGCTTTGATGACCCATCCTCTACGAGGTCCTGGCCTGACATCCTTCAATTCACTACCCTGGTACCACCTCCATGGCCTTTCTACAGCGTTGCAGGCAATGTGGATGAAGAAGACGGCTTACTTGTGGAACGCCGCATTACCTTTGACCGCTGAATCAGTGGTTGCTGCTCTGGAGGCAGCACGACCCGAGTCTGTGGCTGCTGTTCCGTACATGCTGCAGTTGCTGGTCGACAGCCCTCGCGGAATTTCTGCCTTGCGTAAATGTCATCTGGTTACTTATGGAGGCGCGCCATGTCCAGACGAGCTGGGGGACTGCCTAGTGAGCCAGGGTGTGCAATTTGGTGGTTCCTTTGGACTGTGCGTTAATCATACCCTAGATTATACACTGAAAACAGCTGACAAGTCCTCTAGGACAGAGGCCGGGCTAGTTGCTGAATCAATATCACGCCCCAAGGGTGATATCGCCTGGAACTATTTAAATTTTTTTGACAACATCAGGCCATACATCTGGATGAAGCCCCTCGGCATGTCGCTCTACGAGTGCGTTTACCTGGCTGGTCATCCAGCGTTGACTACTTCCAACTCCAACGAGCCCCCAGGTTCTTTTCATTCAAGGGATGTTTTCACCCCACACCCAACAATTCCACACCGATGGAAGTATGTGTCGAGATTGGATGATTGTATTACCCTTGTCACTGGCGAGAAGATTCTGCCACTTCCGATAGAAGGCTACGTCAAACAGCATCCTCTGATCTATGAAGCAATTGTTGTTGGAGTCGGGAAGGCAATCCCGGGGCTTTTGATCCTGCGAGCTGATCAATCTACACACCTATCGGAACGTGAATATATTGACACAATCTGGTCGGTGGTCGAAGAAGCCAACGCCCGGTCAGAGCAATTCTCACAGATCTCTCGCGATATGATTGCCACTTTGCCTTCCACATCCGAGTTTCCTCGAACAGACAAGGGATCTATGATCCGTGCCCAGATATACTCTCAATACAATGATCTCATCAACGGCATGTACACGGAAGTCCAAAGCGCAGCAGATGGGGGAATGACACTCGACCTTACCGGAACGCAGTCCTATCTGATGGAGCTCTGCAGCAAGGACCTTGGAATTCACCTCACGGGCGTAGACGCCAATTTCTTCTTAGAGGGAGTGGACAGTTTGAAAGCGATACACCTTCGACGCTTGATCCTTCGCCATTTCAATATTGCGTCGGCTAAAAGTCTGGGACAGAATGTGGTTTTCGAGGCTGGCAGCGTATCAGGGTTGGCAACGTACATTTGCGCTCTGCAGATTGGTGGAAGTGTCACTTCTAAGAAAACCACGACAGTGATGGCTGAACTTATCAGCAAATACTCAGCATTTCGAAAGCATTTGCCACGCCGAGCGATCACTTCAAGTGGAAAGAGCGTGGTAGGTTTCTATATATACATGCTCCTATTGACCTGCACTAACATCTCCAAGGTTTTGACGGGAGCCACAGGTTCTATTGGTGCACACACGCTATTCGAACTTCTCAAGGATGATTCTGTATCGACAATTTTCTGTCTCACTCGGCGTTCATTGCCGCAAGAAGCTGTCTTGCAGGCTTTAGCGGAGAAGAATCTGGATGCTTTGCCTGAACAGAAAGAGAAGATTATCTCGTTGACTTGCTCCCTTGACGAGCCAAATCTTGGGCTTCATGAGCACATCATGAGCCGCATGCAAGATTCTGTGTCTCAGATCATCCACACAGCATGGCCGGTAAACTTCAATCTTCCCCTTACCCAGTTCGAGCCACATATCCGCGGGATCTACAACCTGATCCAATTTTCTCTGTCTGTTCGGCGACCCGAACCGGCCGTTATGATATTCTGCTCATCAATCTCCACAGCTCTTGGATCCTCCTGCGCTGAAGTCCAAGAGGCCCCAACGCAAGATCTTGGAAGCGCCCTTCATATGGGCTACGGACAGTCCAAACTCGTAGGAGAGAAGATCACCAGCATTGCACGGCAATCCGGAGCGAGAGCCTTTTCTCTCCGAATTGGCCAAGTATCCGGTCATTCGAAGAAAGGCCTGTGGAACGACGCCGAAGCACTCCCACTCATGATTCGATCGGCGTTGACGGTCCAGGCCCTCCCAGCCTTAGAGCAGACCTGCTCATGGCTCCCAGTGGATACACTGGCCTTGACGATTGTTGAGCTGGCAAATGCTTGCGCCGCTCCGACTTGCGACTATGGGACAAATATGGCGTCGAATTCGGCGACCGTTGCGTACGTTGATGACTCCATCTATAACGTGTCCAACCCGCGCGAATTTTCCTGGGCATCATTACTCTCATCGCTGAGATGCGCTGGATTTCGGTTCGACACGGTGTCCTTTGAGGAATGGCTGGCGATGCTTCGCGAGAGCGAGACAAGAGGAGAGGAGAACGTCAACCCTGCTGTCAAGTTGATCGGTCACTATGCGGCTATGCATGGGGAGAGGCGATCACAACGGCTGTGCCCTAAGAGATTTATCACTGAGAAAGCCGAGCGGGACAGTGTTACTTTACGAAATGGTCGGTTAAAGATTATTGAGGACGGGATTTTAAATTGTTATGCCCGAGATTGGCTGGAGCGGTGGGTTGTTTGAGGGCAATGCATATAGCCATTAAGCCGGCGACGATGTGGCCGTTGCTGTAAATAGATCAATGGGTGTCGCTGCCTTTGTGGATTGAAGACTTTTTTTATTCATCAACTACCTAATGTTATCAAATGAAACACAATCAGTCAGAAGCACACGGTGTTCTCGCCGACACAAAAACAGGATACAACGAGCCGAAATACAAACACGTCTATGAACAACAGTCAAGGAAAGGCCAATTATACAACAGAACTCCATAACTGGGCTCAAAGACCTAGGTTTACATGGAGAGAATAGAGACATCAGACCAAAAGGGCGAGAACAAAAGCAAGGATAGCTCCAAGGACATTTCCAGTCGCCTTGTGAGCAGCGCCGGTAAACACAGCGCTGACACCAGTGGGTGAAGAACTGGGACTATGTGTGGAAGCGTCAGGATGAGGGATGAGAGGCACCGAACTGCGAGAAGGTCGTAAAGACGGTAGGAGGCCGGGTGCACTGGTTGCAGGAGATAAATTCTCAATCTCTGTTGGCTTGTGTAAAGTAACCGAATTGACAGAGTCTTTTCCAGGCGCAGAATGATCGTTGGATGCAGCGTTTGAGGTCGCGCTCTTTCCATTAACGCCGTGGGCTTGGGTAGACATTGCCGTGTTCTGTGGCTCAACGACTGTCTCGACACGAGTGGCTGTGTTCGAGGAGCCGGCCGGTTTCAAGTTCTCACCATTAGACAGATCTTTGGTCATCTCAGCTCCATTCGCGGTGACGGTGTCGGTGCAAACAGTTTTGGTCGAAGTCACAAAATTCGTCACGTACAAAGTAGCAGGTGCCTTTTTGACACCGGTAGTAGCCAGAGCCTTCTCAACGGTCTCGTGGTGCATAGACTTTACCGACGTCGGTTTGGCCTCAGTTGAAGAAGTAGTAACTGCCGAATGCACAGTCGTGGCACCCTCGTGGGCGGAAGTAACCGATTGGGTTTCCGCAACAGAAGGCTCGGCCGTCGTGTGAGTCGTGGCAGGAGCATGGGTTGTCGTAGAGTTCGAAGCCGGGCCATTCACGCTAGTTTGGTAGATCTGTATAGAGTTGATCTCCCAGTACGACTGCTCGAAGGCGGATGGGTTCTGAGCAACATAGTTGATGCAGCTCTGCACGGGATCCGAACTGGACATGGGGCAGCCCGACTGGCCAAACACGCCGCCCGCCCAGTCACCACAGAAGGTGACATCAAACACGAACGACTGGGACTTGAAGCTGTTAGCCACGTCACACCCTTCCTGCACCAGCGCCATCGGGGTGCCAAACTCGGTGACATCGGGCTGTCCGCTGGAGATGGAGGACGGGATGGAGCGCCGAGGGAAGAACCAAATCTTCAGGAAATCGGCAGTCCACTCCATGGCGTACACACCGCCACCCTGTCGATTGAACGAGGTGCCATAGCTGCCCTTGTGGCCTTCGACGACGCAGCCTACGGGTCCCAGGTCCGCTCCACAGCCTGTGGCATTGACCACACCGGTCATGCCCTGGTCTGTCAGACTGCAGGTACCGCTTGTGTGCATCACAATCTCATTATGTTCCTGCAGGTTCACGCCCTCAATGATATCGATCTCACCATCCTGTGGCCATTCCATGCCCACGGACCAGAACGCAGGCCAGCTCCCGCAGATGCTTCCCGGCATGTGCGCGATGTCGGCAATGACCAGACTTTGGTCATAATACTTCTTGGTCCCGATGCGCACGGAATCGCGGCCTTTCCCACCCGGGCTGAGTTTGGTGGTGTGGTCGACCCCTAGGTACAGGGTGCCGCTGTCGGTGACTTTGACCAGGCCGGCATCCTGTGCGCTGGCTTGGTCCAGATAGTTGACATAGCCGTTGGTCGGGTCTTGTCCAACGTGGAAGTTGAAATACTCCAGGAAGTTGTCGGCCTGCCAACGTTCCACCAGCTGATAGGCGGCGGCACTCGACTCGTTGGCCGTGACGGGAGATGCCAACAGGGGTAGGATCAGCGAGCCAGCACTGAGTGAGAGCCAGGGAGAAAACATCTTGCCCAAGACGGAGGAAGGCTCAGGGACTTTGGTCCGAAAAGCGACTATACGCAGTCTGTAGTTCAGCGAGAGCAGTCAGTCGAAAGGATGAACCAAAGACAATCAGGGAGAAACGAAAGGAGGAACGAAGGGAAGGAATGTGGTGTCCATAGCAGAGGGAAGCGCGATGGTCCGGTCAGGTCTGGTCCATCCGCTGAATGTTGTTATTGTCCATTGACAACAGCATTCTCGGCGCAGGAATCCACGACACGACTCCATTCTTCACTACACAGGATACCCGGCGCCTCGACGGTGCCAATAGGCAACTTGCACCACAAGCCAGTGGAAAGCAAGGACGAACGTGCGTATTATTCTTCCTTCATCTTGGTCGGCTTCCAGTCCAGCTCACATTCCTGCTGTACCCACCCGCCAACCATACCTGATACCTGAAGAGAGCGACCGCTGACGATTGAACGGAACGGACGAAAGAATTATTGACCACAGTACAATTTGCGTTCTACCCTTGATCCACTGGGCCTCTACGCCATCTCATCCATCACCATTGCGGACCGAGATACCGACCGCCGCGTCTGGAACACTTTCTCCCAGTTTTTGTCCCCCCATCCCAGAATGCAATTGATCTCGCCGGGGTGGGTATATTGTTGCAACACTCCTTCGCCGTCAGCATCAGAAGGGCATAGAAAACGTAGGGAAAGACCTCGTGTCGCAGGAGATATCCCTCGTATCTCTGCAAATACTCTACCACCCGTACCACCGACCGAAGTAAAATTAGAGCACGGGTGGCGTAGCGGGCTACCATGTGTTGGTGCCAGACGTGGGCCAGGTCGTCCGAAGCACGCGACGGTTCCGGCGGATGCGCGTCTCAAAAACCATGGACGTAATCATGAAGCCAAAGAACATGATTTGCACCAAGAGACCACCGAGAATGCCCCAGGTGATATTGGAGCTACCCTCGTTGAACTCCACTGCCATTGGAAATGGGGCTTGGAAACCTTGGAGTACCAGACTGGGAGCGCTTCTCCCACTCTCGCACATCTCCATCTAATTCTGTAAGTATATAACCCATAGCCTGGCTCTTGATCACCTTTTCATCACGTTGCCGCTCTCTTAGGACATATAATCAGCCCTCGACTCGCAGTTGTCAGCCCCTTACTTATTTTTGCTCTTCACCTTTAGCAAGCGCTTCCACACCGATCCATATTAAATCATCTACAACGCAATTCCAGGCATCACTTCACTCCCAACCAATTTCTGAAGCTGCACCAAGGCGAAGGGTGACCCGATCACGCTCAAAGGACGCATGTGCAGTTGTAATAATGCCTGGATACTTTTGATATCTGCCGATGCCTGGATTCCAGGAGAGCACTTTCCGTCTGGAACTATAGAGCCACCCTCCTCCCCGCCGAACCGGCCCAACTCTTCCTTCTTCCTTCTTCTACCCTCTTCAACAACTCCATCCATCCATCCATCCATCCATCCATCCATCCATCCATCCATCCATCCATTCATCCGTCTCTAATATCCCGTCGCTTTTCTATGCTTATGTATATATATACATCAGGAAGCTTATGCCCTTCTCGCTGGCTTCCATCATGATGCTGAACTACATATTCGAGTCCTCTCATCACGGGGTCCCTTGATGCTCGGCTATGGCCCGTGCGCCTGGTCTGTGCGCGCGGGTGACCTTCGGCAGTGAATGAGCTTGTTGACAGGCTATACTGTGGTATACTCGATCGAGGCTTTGGTCCTTCTTTCTTTCTCTCTCTGGCCGTCGTTGGTAATAAATTTCTCTGAGTAACATCATGAGCACTGGCTCACTGCCGAAATCCGTACGGCACCGAAATAGTTACCCAATCACTAATTTATATTGACCAAGCTCTTACAATTTTCGAGACTCAAAATCAAGACGCACAAATTTTATAGACTAGGAGGCCTAGACATACATTATATTCTAAATGCTTTACCGCAATTCCAAATCAAAGTCCAGGGTCGGTGTTTGAGTCTATGACAGCCGCTTCAAGCCCGAGACACCGGACAGACCATCACGGATATCTGAAGGCAGATCGTCCTCATTAGGACCCTCACTATACCTATTCGTAGATCGGGGCTTTCCGTGGCGCAATCGATCTCCTTTGAGGATATTGGACTGGTCGATCGCCTCGTTGTCGTCGTCCGCTAACCAGAAGTCAATGTTTGTTGCTTTATACCACCTTGCAACCACTTACCGAGCTGCTCATCAGTGTTAGCATACGGCGGCTGCATGGGATCTTCATAATCATCCTCGTCGGCTTGGACAGGAACCTGATTCGTCAGGTTCGGATTTGTCTCGCCCAGGTACGTATCGTCCACAATCTCGTCCGGAATGGGGGCGGCGTCGTTCTCGGCCTCGTAGTTGTCTTCGGCCTCTCTTTCAACGCGGTTGGACATTTTTGCGGTCAAGATAGAAACCTTTGACCTGGGTAAGTGTTTTGGTAGAAATGAAACCTCAGAATAAAAGCTGATAGTAAGGTGTCAAATTCACAGCCGTGATGTGACAATGACCCGACAGAGCCGATCATCCGGGATGCCAGACCGATATTTATTTACGGCTGCCATGCTTCGGATTCCCGCTGGTACCACTTGATGCAAGCTTGACATCAACCGGCTGGTAGTTCCGCGTGGGCGAATTTCTATTTTGGCACCCGGGTGCTCAACTGCCAATGCAATCATCAAGAGATAATTCGATAGAGTTCTCGACTTTCTAGGCCTGAGGATTCGCCATCAGATATGTCGTCGACGGCAATTTCATTTGCCTCTTTTGACGCTGTCATGATGCATGGCTTGGGTCGATGAGGCTATAATCCCGTGCTTTTTCATGAGGTGTGCCTTGATCATCCGTCAAGACCCAACAGGAATTTTCAATTTTGCAACTACGGCCCTTTGTGATCCTACCAAAAAACAAATAAAAACAAACAAGCAACACATTTCAGCTCTTGATATTGTTGTCATCGCGCATCACTACCATCATGTCGAACTCGCGGGAAAATACTGAGGTCGATGCCTCCACGGAGGACCGAGTGAATGCCATGCGCGGCTATAAGGCGTGAGTACGAGGTCGCATCATGCTTGATCATCAAACTAAGCTATTCTCTAGAACTTTGAAAAATCCCAGGGTATCCAACGAGGCCAAGCAGCATGCCTCGGAGGTGCTGAACAACGAGCTCGGCTGGGATAACCCACGGCAGGAGCTATACAATGTCCGGGATCGCAACAAAGACCCCAACCGTGTGGCTGGTGGTTTGAAAGCGTAAGCCCTTTCACGAACATCTGTTCTAGTTATCGATGTTGACGACAGAGATTCAGTGCTCAAAGCAACGCTCGTAATACTGAACGAGGCAAGCAAGGCTCTGCGAAGAAGCTTGACAAGCTGAGCCAGCAGGCCCCCGAGGAGTAGATTTAGAATAGACCGTTGTATATGAAGTGATAGAATATGATTTGATTCGGGTTTTTGTTCCTAATCCATGGACGGATTTGGATAGAACACATCATCCGGCCACTTACGCAAGATATCAAGTAGGTGGTCGAATGGAGCCACCAGGAGCCCCACTGCCGTCTCGAACGGCAGCCTGTCCGGTGCTTCGGGGTGTGCTCGGGATGGTACAAAGATTTTGGTGCGGCGGACCGACTTGGCCAGCTGATTGCTCTCCTCTTCTGTGATGGCTCCCTCTAGCTTGACCAGATCCATGGTCTCTTCGTCGTGGATGTGCTTGGAGAGGTCATCCATCAGCATGGTGATCGTGGGAACGAAACGCGGATCAGAGCAGTTCAAGTCCTGGAAAACTTTGAGGCGTTCTTTGAGCTACGACCGAGTTAGCGTCGTGTCTGACCTTCAACCTGATCACACTCCCTGACTGTCTGATGTTCCTGCCGGTCCTTGTCGACTGGCTGATCGCCGTTGCGCAGGTATTTCGCCATCGCCGGATAGACCACCAGCTCCTCGGCTACCGAGTGTCGAGCTAGCTCCCAGGTAAACTGGTTTTGGAAGCGAGTCCGCTCATCGGCATCCTTGGCGCTGAGGATTGTCTCGTAGTAGGATTCGAGTAGTCGGTGGTCTTTGGCAATGGCATCGGTGATTCGAACCATCTTGATGGGTTGAGTATTGATGGGTCGAGTATACGTGTTAGCTCCGCTGTCCTAACCTAAACCCAGGTAGGTAGTTTAGCTATATCTCACCACATGGAGTTTGAAGCCATCATGACGTTCCACCTGACCTGCTATACTTACATCCACTGTATCGCAGCTGATGGAATCACATTCCGATCTGTGCAACCTGGAGATCGGGCCATCTGACGCCGCCCGGAGATGGAGTTCCAGGCATAATGTATGGATGTGTGTGGTGGCTGTTGATTCGCGGGCGGGCAGTCCACCTACGGGATGGGTTTGCCTGCTTGCTGCAGTCTGTGAACCTTGTTTTTTATTTTTTGTTTGTTTGCTTCATCCAGTCTGCCCTTGCCTATTTATTCTACCGACCGTGTCTCTATTCACCATTTCCCATCATCTCTCGTCTCATCTCTTAGGATGAATGGCTCTGAGTATAGTGCCTTCGGTCTATTAATAATTCTTCCACTACTGATCCACTCTATAGATCGCTAAGGGTCTACCCGGTCAACCGCCAGTCTCCGACCGACCCAAGCCACAACACCTATACGTCTGTCTCAGCACCCGTGTCCACTGCCGTGGCCCAGGGGATTTGTGGGCACATTTGTCAATGGTTGTGGTCTGGATGGCGGGGCACCGCGTTTGAAGATCCACAAGTCACTCGTGATCCTCCTCGACGCGCTCCGAACCGCGCAAACAGTGCCACGGACTGCAAAGCCTGCCGTGAATGGCATGTTCCCTGCGACCAAGCCCACCCCCAGTGTTCGCACTGCTGGCAGCAGCAGATTCTTCTGTTTTTATGTGACACCCAAGATCAAGCCCAAGCGCGGTCAGGCGACGGGGCTAGAGCCATCGGTAGACCGCCATATTGCCAATGCGACCAGGTGAATGTCCGATCTATGAATGAGTGTCTTGACGATGCAATGAACTTCCTTGTGTGCATTTCTTCCCTCAACAATCCATGTTTTCCCTATGCTTTTGAGCGCGGTAGTGCAGCGAACAGCGGTCAATGTGAAGATTAATCGAGCCATTAGATCCGTGTGATTTTGGTCTATCAAAGTTTTCTATGCTCAGCCATCACTCACTTAGTACTGTAGATCCGGCGCATTCAGGCGATTCGGCGTGAATGACCAACGACACCAGCCTCAACCCCCCACGCCTCAGGCCGATTGCAAGAGCAAGAACATGGGGATATCCCTCACATTTGTCTACCAGCCCTAAAGTCCACAGATGTCTACGAAAAATGCGGTGTGGGCATGGTGCTTTGGTCGGAGCACTGTGAGCCGACATCTGCTCCACCCCTTTGTTTATAGATAGAGCTTCTATGGGATGGACTTTCCATTCCACTGCCTGGGAATACCCTTTTCTGTGGCTAACGGAGTGCACTGTTGCGGAATATGCTGTGGTAGAGACATCGACTCCGATTGACAATTATATCCACACAAAATCTCTATTGATGTTCAATTGATCCGAAGGTCTGTCTTGCCGCTCCCAAATGTCTGTCACGATCCTAACTATCATCTACAGATGCAGTCTGAGTACCGCCGCCTAGTGGACGCAATCCGACGTCAGGCTACTGCCCACCCCAAGCAGCGCTTCCTGGTAGCCATTGCTGGAGTCCCCGGTTCAGGCAAAACTACCACCGCAGAAGCAGCGGTACGCCAACTCAATGATTCTCCCAACACACGGGCAGCCCTGCTCTCCATGGACGGCTTCCACCTATCCCGGGCAGCTTTAGACCAACTGCCCAACCCCGAGGAGGCGCACATCCGCCGTGGTGCACCATGGACATTCGACGTTACCCGTTTCGTGTCTTTTGTGTATCGACTCCGCGAATGGGCGGACCATACGCCCTTGGCAGTCCCATATTCGGAGACCTGGTCGGCAGCAGACGAGATTCGAGTCCCGACCTTTGACCATCAGGCCAAAGACCCCGTTGAGGACGGGTTTACTATCACGCCCGACACCTCTCTCGTCATCATTGAAGGAAATTACCTGCTTCTCGATGAGCCCGGGTGGCGAGAGCTGGCTGATCTAGTGGACTACCGCGTCTTCGTGGAGACGGATCTACTGGAGGCACGGGAGCGAACGGCCAAGCGTCATGTCCATGCAGGTATTGAGAAGACGCTGGAGGATGGGTTTCGTCGAGTGGATAGCAATGATTATTTGAATGGCCTTGCCATCCGTGACAAGCTGCTGGCTCCGGATATGATAGTGAAGAGCATTACGGTAGCGAATTCGAAATAGGAAGTACAAATGCCCTCAATGCGGCGTTTGATCTGTTTCTTTCTCTCTTCCGGGAAAACCATTTTCGTCCATCCCATTTTACTCCTTGATCGCCTGCTTGTGAAATATATCTACCGGGGATTAGCCTTGTTTTACATATCAACATAGCAGCACTCACTTGGGACTTCCGGCATCCAGCTCGCCCGTGATTGGCAGAAGAACTCGCCCTTGGGCGGTAATGCCTCGGGGTCATCGAGAGAGCCGACACAGATATAGCGGAAGTGATCTTTAGCGGCAGTCTGTTCGCAAGTCAGTCCAGAGACATATCAACGAGGTCAAGGCAACAAACCCCGTATTCCAGGATGAAGCTTCCACAGTTGTCGCAGAATTCTCGATGAATCACGACTCCGGAGCCATTATCCGCCTCATGCTCCTTTGGTTTGCCTGTTGTCAAGTGGAAGGATTCCTTGGGGACCTTGGCTGTGAGACCATAATTTGTTCCGAAAGCTTTCTGTTTGATTGCGATGCGTTAGAGCCCTGCGACATGCTTTGTTGTAATCTATGGACCTACCTTGCAGTTGCGGCAATGGCAAAGCGAGGTGCGGGCGTCGTCAGGAGAGGCCAGACGCAGCTCGTACTGTATTTTGCGACAGAAGCACGATCCGGGATACGTGGGCATTTTGTTTCTTTGGTCCGAATGTGAAGTCGAGTTGGGCTCACAGCCATCTCGGCAAGATCCTCGAGATATGATGACGTCACTTGTCGAGATGACAGTCCGGATTGCGGGAAACGAATCCTGAATCGAGTAGAGACCTGACTAATATAACAATCCTAGAGGGGGAGACTATGTAGTTGCGGATTAGATCAGTGTGGGGGTGCGCGTAACAGAGACATCGATCTATGAGATTGGAACTATATAGATTCCACTCTTCCTCCACATGATTCAATTGCACGAATTACGACTTATATCGACGCACAGACCGTGACGTAACTCCAATATTATTCTAACCACCGACACGACTCTCGCGGACTCTTGCGACCATGGAATGAGCCTCGCGCGTGTCCTTCCCCCAAACATCATCCGATCCCATGGCGACCCAGCAGCATCAGCCCGGGCTCCAACAGCGATCTGTCGTCTCCTCCTTCATCTTCTCTTGTCCCGATGATTCGAAGCCACTGGTCGCCTTGTTCCGGCGCAGTGACAAAGTGAGAACGTATCGGTGAGCGTCTCTGTACATGTTGTTTGGTCGTCAATGCACTGTCGCGCAGGCTAACGCGAGGGTCTACTGGTAGCAATCATCTCGCCGCCATCTCAGGCAGCATCGAAGCTGGCGAGACACCGCTTGCCGCCGCATGGCGTGAACTCTCCGAAGAGACCTCCTTAACCATACGCGACGTGGACCTGTGGCGGCAGGGAAATCCGTATTCTTTCAGTGACCCATCCGTTGGACGGCGGTGGACCATCCACCCGTTTGCATTCCGTCTCAAAGGCCCCGCTGAGGGGGGCCGAGGAGAAGAGGCCATCCGCATTAACTGGGAGCATGAAGGATGGGAGTGGCAAGATCCTGCAACGGTGAAGGATGACGACCAATTTGGCGGCGTGCCGCATCTGCATGAGAGCCTGCGACGCGTTTGGTTTGAGGGCGATGTGCCTGAAGGCGCCAGCAAAGCACTCAACGCCGGCCTGCACCAATTGCAGACGGACCGCCAGAGCGGGTCCCACGAGTTGACCTCCATTGCACTGCGGATCTTCCGAGATGTACTGGTGCAGCTGCACGGTGCGGGCGAAGCCCAATGGTGGGTAACTGCGCGCCTGGTGGCGTGGCATCTCTGGAAGAACGGCCGGGAGAGCATGGGTGCAGCCACTATGAATGCGTTGTTACGGGTTTTGGCCGATATGGAGCATGTCCTGGATCAGGATCTCAATCCTGAGCTTCGGCGAGATCGACTGCTTGCTGCAGTCGACCACCACATAGAGCAGCGCAAGATGATGCCCACCCGCATCCAGCAGTCCTTTGCGGCATATCTTCGCGACCACTTCATGTCCGAACCCCAGCAGGCACTGTCCATTCTCACTCTCTCCGCAAGTTCGACCATTCGAGATAGTATCGTGGACGCCTATGCCTCGTTTCCCATTTCTACGCTAGATCTACGGATCCTGGAATCACGACCGCTTTACGAAGGCGTCAGCATGGCCGCAGCCCTTGCCGCCGAATTCCAGTCCAAGTTTCCAGCGCCGGGGGACCGAGATCTTAAATTGACGGTTTACACTGACGCATCTGCCGCTCTCGCGTCCCATAATATTGACTTTGTGCTGCTAGGCGCAGACCGAATTTCTGACTCCGGATGGATCAGCAACAAGACCGGGTCCTTGCCGGCGGTGCTCAGCGCGAAGCACGTCTCTCCCAACTCCAAAGTACTTATTTTCAGTGAATTGGAGAAGGTGGCTGAGCCCGGCGCGGTGGACGAGCATCGCTCGGAAGAGGGCGACCCCCATGAGGTAATTCGTTCTTGGATCACTGGGAGCACCAAGGGCGCGAAGACATTCGAAGGAGAGGCCAAACATTGGGTGAAAAACACCTCGTTCGAGTGGGTGCCCGCACCTCTGATCGATGGTTATGTTAGCGAAGAAGGTACTCTAGACGTAGCAGCCATCCAAAGACAGGCGCAGCAGGTGAAGCAAATGGCCGATCGGTATTTTGGCGGTGGAGTGGATCGATCGATTGATGGTGAAGGTACATAGATCTGTACTAAGTGTGACGCAAACCCTGACAACTCCCACTTCCCTCTTGCATCCATCCATGTCGTCTCCCCTTCATCCCGGCACCCACTCCTTCACTGTCCCAGCCAAGGGCTTGACTTTAGAATATGTCGTCCGCCAGCCATCCACATTACCCAATCATCTGGTCGTAGTCCAATGCCCCGGCTGGGGTCTCGGATCACAGTACCTCCAACGCGGCCTCTCCGATCTATGGGAGTCCTCGCCCAGCTTCACCGTGGTGTTCTTTCATCCGCGCGGCACAGCAGGATCATCGCGACCGCGAGATGGAAGCCAGATGCGCACAATGCCAGACATGGCCTCGGACCTCGACGACCTGCGCTCTCACCTGGGTCTTGACCAGTATCCCGTCCTGCTAGGCCATTCCAACGGCGGTGCCATCGCTTTGGGCTACGCAGAGATGTATCCGGACCGCGTCCAGCGGCTGATCCTGCTGAACCACCAAGTGGTGGGCTTCCGGGACCGGAGCCAGCTGCAGCGCGAGTCTACACGGCACGACCCGCGGTATCAGGGAGCCTGGAAGAATCTATTGCATCGTCGGACCGAAACAGATGAGGAATTCACTGCATCGGTGAATGGGCTGTGGCCGCTGTATTTTTTTGATCCGCAACAGTATGTAGACGAGCTTATACGGGATGTTGGAGACCAGCCCATGTCCGTGTGGTGTTATCAGAACCAAGGACGGTGCGATGAGAGCTTGGAGAGTCCAATGCAAATGATGGACCGGCTACCTAATGTCCGCGCAAAGACACTGATGATCTTTGGCCGTGACGACCTGATCTGTGGGATGAAGATTGCAGAGCGGTCGAAGGAGGGCATCGCAGACTCGCAGGCCATTCTCTACGATGCGTGTGGCCATTTCCCCTGGATTGAGCAGAAGGAGCGCACACTGGCTGATATCCGGGGGTTTATCCAAGGAAAACTGGAAAGTCAAGAGCCGGCTACTGTGGATTGATTCAACCAGGTTCATCAGGGCCGTACAGTAAATCACACAATCAACAGAACCGGAGGAGGATCTTCCTCACGAAACCAAACAAATAACCCAAACACCGAGGGTAGAGGACAGGCTCGTCAAAAGACCTCTACCCATAAGAAAAAAAGAGCAGTATATGCAGAAGAGAAGAAAGAGGTATCATCATAATTCAAGTGTCTCGGACACGGGCCTGACGCTTGGCCGTGCCGATGTGGGTATTGTACACCTTGGTCGCGAATTTCAAGCTGGTCAAGGTCTCCGACAAGTGGTCCTGGAGTGGGCTAACCATGACGAACATGAGCGTCTTGGAGTTCCCTCCCAGCGAAAATTGGAGTAGGTAGGTGAGCTAGGTGGTCGTTAATACGAGACTCACAAAAGACAAGTGCAGGAACATACCTTGCTGTTTCGGTAGGGGATGTGTCCACCATCCTTGCCCTGGCCTAGGGCGGCGATCACATCGCCAAGGGAGCTGAGGCTGCGGTTGATGTTCTGCGTCTCCTTCAGACGATCACCTGTAGCACCGCTGTGGCTCAGGCGCTCACTACCCGCCAGATCGACCAAATTGAGAGTCCCTTCACTGCGTTCACCGGTGATATGGTTCTCACCAATCAGTTTGAGAATGAAGACGGAGTGGGATCGCGATGAACGCTCGTTGGCCTTAGTAGCCGCTACGGACCGGTTGGCCGCCGCCTGTTTGAGGATGGACTCGACCATCTCAGGGGAGTCGAGGTGCACGGTGTTAATGTCGGTGATGGTAGTCTTACCACGCTGCATGTCATGACGGATTTCGTGCTTCTTCTTGTCGAGCTCCTCTGGATTACCCAGAAGGTCGTTGAGGTTCTCGTTGTAGACCTCGACAAAGTTGCCCGCCATAGTGTACCGCCAGCCTTTTTCCTCCAAGCCTTGCGCGGTGTCGTAGATCTGGTGAACGGCACGGGGAATCATACCGTCCAGTGAGGACATGGTGAATGTCTTGCCACTGCCAGTCTGACCATAACAGAAAATACAAACGTTGTAGCCATCTAGCGCGCTCTGGACCAGCTGGCTGATCTCATCGAAAATTTCACCATTCTGGGTTGACGGGCCGAACACACGGTCAAAGGAGAACGTGTTGTTTTTGCGCGAAATCGTACCGAGACTGCTCTTCTCTTCCGGGCCTAGGACATTGATCTCTTTGGCGTCGTCCGACTGGTCGGGGAACTGCATCGGGGTAACATCAGACTCTGGTTCGCCGTTCACCGATGGACGAACACGGCAGAACACGCGGATGTTGCCTTTGAGTTCCTGCACCTGGTTGTGAAGCTTGCGCCGCATGGTCTCCTCTTTGCGTAGCTTTTCCTTGATGGCATCAGTCTCCGCCAATGCATCCATCATCTGCTGGTTGCATCGCTCAAAGGCCTCGGATTGTTCCTCCCGTCCACCCTCTAGGAATTCGATACGTGCCTTGAGGGCCCGCAGCGAAGACTCTAATGTGAGGCTGTTGCTACTTGCTATATCCAAGTTTTGGCGGAGGTCCTGGGTGCTCTTCCGCTCGCGTTCGAGATCAAGTTTCATGGCATGGATGTCCTTCTCCAAAGAGGTGAGTTCACGATCCTTCTTCTCCAATTCGATCTGTGTCTTTTGGGTATCCATCGCAGACTGCGTTGAGAGCTGGCCCAGTTCCCGGACGCGGGCAGCTTTCTCATCCTCGATATTCCGTTCAAACTGCCTTTTCAGCTCCCGGATCTCCTCTTGATGTCGGGCACTCAGTATTTCCGAGTCCTTCTTGCCATCCTGCTTGATCGACTCCATTTCAATGCGATGGCGGCGGTCGAGATCATCCACGGCTATTTCATGCTCTCGTCGTGCATCTTTCAATGCGTTCTCGGCGGTACTGAGCTGGGTTTTCAGTGATTCCAATTCCACCCGCAAAGTCAGATTGGTTTCCGTCAGGCCGTCGCGAGAACTTTCCAGTTCGCTGACTGCGTCAAGCAATTAGAATGGCTCACACTCACTCAAGACTTAGCTTGACTTACTTCTGGTCTTGTAAAGATCCACCGTCTCTTTGAGACCAAAGCTCTCCTGTCCGGTTTTGTTCAATTGCGTCATCATCTTTAGGAAAAGGTCTTCCATATTGTTCTCCCGAGATTCCTGGTCCCACTCGGCACCTGTAGCATGGTCAAAAGTCTGGATTGAGGAATCCTTGCGAAGAAACGACGGTGGCTGCGGTGTTCTAATGGAACGCATTGGGGAAGATGACGGGGCGTTGTGTCTTGGTCTGACAGGGGTTTCCAGCACAGGGACTCTGGACATAGGCATAGGAGGTTTGTGGCAATCCTTGGGACGACTGGGAGATGGGCTTCGCGCTGAATCGACGACAGCTCCATACGTTGTCAACCGAGAGAAGTCAGAGCACAAGGTCCCAGCCTCATCAACAGAGGATGTGACCGAGTGCCCGTCATAATCCCGGCGACTCCGTGCCTCTTGGGTTTCAGATGGGCAATAGGGGGTGCGGGTAGGAAACAAAGGAAAATATTGCATACCCTTTCGCTTTCCGAGAACACTGCCTGTCTCTTCGCCATGGGTGGCCAACGAGGTTGCTGGGCGAGAGCTTGATGTAATTGCGTGCTTGCGGGTCGCACCCAGGGACGAGTGTGGCCGAGATACCGCGGAGGGTGGTCGCGCGCCATAACCGACGGTGGCGGAGAATGATGCGTTGGTCGGCCGGGCGGTGGTTGAACCTGGTCGTGACATGGTCGACGAAGCAAAGGAGTTCCCTCTATTATGCATTTTGGGCGGGCCGTTGGTCGGGCGAGTGACGGAGCCAGATCGTTTCGTTTCGGTGGGATTAGCTGTTTTGGGACGGGTTGCTGCTGTCGTGATGAGTAACTCGAGTTGCAGGGGCAAGTGTGAGAGTGTTGCATACGTGAGACGCTCGCCTTGCTGGCAATAGAGCCAGGAGGAAGAATGCCCGAGCGCGAATTAGTTGTGGCGGAAGTCATCTCGCGGAGACCAGCTTGGGGGATGCGCGTCCGGGCAGATGCCCTTGCGTGTGTCTGTCGGCCGGTCAGTCCCTGTCAATCCAATCGATTAATGTGTTTATGTACCATGTTCTCATCCTCCATGGTGGGACTCGTCGTCCGCCAGATCACGGGCGAGTATAGGATGCGGACGAGGAGGAGGATTTCACGGCCAGCCACGGTCCTCGAGGGAAACAATAATGGTGGTTGGGAGAAGTGTAGTTAGTTGATTGCAGCACTGACTGTTGTTGATCGGCCCTCGTTTCTGGAGAGACCGAGTAAACAAACAGCTGACTCAGCGGTACACGTGATCTGTCATGTCCCGAATGGTCTTTGTTGCAATGGGTTTCTTTCGGTCGGTGAAATCCTTATTGGACTTGCAATCCTCTCCTTGGGCGTACGATATTCTTCCTCCATATTGTCTCCATTCTTCTTGCTATCCCTCCCCACTATCCATTGTCTGGCTCCCTGACGTCGGGATCGCCCTCGACTCCACCGCATTCCCGACACCAGCGGCACCCCCCGTTTCACCGTCTCCACGACTCGACTCTTTCTCTCCTCCAACTTCTGCTCCCCTCACTTCCCCCCATTTGTCTTTACCTCTCCAATTCCCTGGTCGCACATCATGTCCGGGCGGTTTGTACGTTCTTCCAAGTACCGTATGGCTCTCCCTTAATCCCCTGCAGACTGCACGGTAAAAGGCTAATCGGCCCGTCTTAGGCCACGTTTTCGGGCGGCCGACACGAAAGGTACACCCTTGCCGAATCCTTATGCGCCCAACGCATCCGTTTGACTCCGACTGCAGGAACAATGCTACGATAATCTTCGCGTCTCGAAAAATGCCTGGGATACCAACTTGGTCAAGGTGCGTGTGGCCACCCACCCATCCACCGCTCCTGTCACCCGTCTCACACGCCACATCTAGGTCAACCCGAAGTATTTGGCAGTCAATTGGGAAGCTGGCGGTGGAGGCGCTTTTGCTGTTCTTCCTCTGGAGGAGCGTGGCAAATTGCCCGACAGATTTCCTCTGTTCCGTGGTCACACCGCGGTCGTCCTAGACACCGACTGGTAAGGAAACAGTGCGCGCAAGCTGGGGGAGGATGTCGAGGAAATTGCAATTTACACCATCCGTGCAGGAACCCTTTCAATGATGATCTGATTGCCTCGAGCTCGGATGACGGAAAGGTAGAGTCGTACAACCAATCTGCCTCTTTCTGCAGCTGACCAGCTCCAGGTTTTGCTCTGGCGGGTCCCGGAGAACTTCACCGTCCGCTCCGATGCCGATCCGGATGATATCAAGGACATTGCGCCTGTCGGCAAGCTGACTGGGCACCCCAAGTGAGAACAGCCATCAATGCGCAACCGTCAGCAGTGCTAACGGCCTTGCAGAAAGATCGGCCACGTGCTTTTCAACCCCGCGGCGGAGAACGTGCTGGCAACGGCCTCGGGCGACTATACCGTGAAGATCTGGGATATCGAGGCGGGTGCTCCGAAGTTGACCCTGAACGTCGGCGACATTGTGCAATCCCAGTCATGGAGTGCTAATGGCTCACTTCTGGTCACCACCTCGCGAGACAAGAAGCTGCGGATATGGGATGTGCGTCAGGAGCGGCCGGCACACGAGACGAATGGACACTCGGGAGCCAAGAACAGCCGCTCGGTGTGGCTGGGCGAGCGCGACCGGATCGTGACTACCGGCTTCTCCAAGATGAGTGACCGCCAGATGGCCCTGTGGGATATCCGTGCGGTACGGGAACCCATCAATGGTTTCAAAACGTTGGACTCGATCTCCGGTGTATGCATGCCCTTCTGGGACGATGGTACCAACTGCTTGTATCTGGCTGGACGAGGGTAGGTGCTTCACATCAATTTCTGCTGCCGAATACTAATTCGTGCAGCGATGGTAACATCCGTTACTTTGAGCTGGAAAATGACAAATTCGAATTCCTTTCGGAGCACAAGTCTGCCGACCCGCAGCGTGGTATCGCGTTCATGCCTAAGCGCGGTGTGAACATGCATGAGCACGAAGTGGCCCGGGCGTACAAGACGGTCAACGACACATACATCGAGCCCGTTTCGTTCATTGTTCCCCGTCGGTCCGAGAACTTCCAGGATGACATCTACCCGGCCACGATTGGTGTGACCCCGGCCATGGGCTCGTCCGACTGGTTGGCTGGCAAAGAGGCGATTCCTCCCAAGATCTCCATGGCCAGCCTGTACGATGGCCAGGGTATCCAGGAGGTGTCTGGAACTCAGGACAAGCCGACGGGCTCCATGGAGCCTGCTGAACCGACGCCCGTCGAGATGAAACCTGAGCCGGTGGCCAAGAAGCCGGAGCCGGAGCCTGTGCCGGAGCCCAGCCCTGTGGTGAAGCCAGCTCCATCGATGAAGGAGCAAGGCGCGTCGATGGCGGCAATGGTGAACAAGTTTGCCGACTACGAGGAGGATGCCGATACTGCTGAAGAAGATGACGACGCCTCCAGTTTTGAAGAGGTTGCTAAGCCGGTTGAGCGCGCCGCTCGACCGGTCGTGGCCGAGTCATCCTCGCCTCGAGTCAGCAGCCCTCTGCGGCCGAAAGAGGAGCCCAAGATGCAACTAAGCGTCGCTGTATGTGGATAATACCCCTATCAGGATGTTGAAGTGATTGTATGCTAATTTATTATCCCACAGAACCCCACGATCTCGTCCCCCGCTAGCGAATCGAGCTTGCCCGCCGCTACCGTACACCGGGAAATTGAACAGATCAAGAACCTGATTGCTGAGCAGACCAAGACGATTGCCGCGCAGGCCCAGCAGATGCAGATCCTGACGGGCGAAATCGAGTCGCTCAAGAGCAAGCTGAACTAGTTGGTATATGTCTTCTTGATTATGTTACTGTTATGTGTCGATGGGTTGGAGGTGCTGGAGTGGATTCACTTCTCTCGTGTGTTGCGTATCTACGATGTCTGGTCCGGCGCAATGTGGATAAACATGAATTGTTCTTAGCGGAATTGTCAATACATGCGGATCAACCTGTTTTGTGGTCTTAGCAGTGTAGTTTTGTTCTGGTTTGTCGGTAAGTATACAATAGGGGTTGGCGTCGCTGGGATATATATATCTCTCTCCGCTCCGTTGATACTATCATCCCCATCAGTACTAGAGATTTATACATTAATCAGGGCAACCCTAAGTCAATTATAGCTGGACAAGCATTTAATCTTCTATCTACTCGGGCTGGTCTGACCGATGCCCGGAAAGACCATATCTACTGGACTTTCGGTCCCGTTCTCACCAGGGAAATAACGATGTGTAAAAGGGAAAAGAAGCCACTCCAGTTTATGCCCATGTAAATCCCTCCCAGTAATGCACCGTCTAGTGATCAAGCTCATCTTCATATTTGTAGTTGATGCGACGGCCGCCCAGCACGCGGTCCGGCCGGCTGTCTCGACGGCCCGATTTGGCCAATTCACGTCGCTGCTGCTCACGCAGAAGACGCTCGCGATTGCGCGCCTCGCGCTCAATTGTGTGCGGGTCCTTTTCCGGTTCGGCTGAACCGTTCAGACGGTCTTGAGCTTGGCCATCGTCGGTGCGGCTGCGCTTGGTGCGGCGGGCATGTTCTCGAGAAAGGTGGGCATCTGCGTTGGCCGATTCAGATCGATCACGACGGGATCTCTTACGGTCCCGCTCGCGGGGGCGTTCTCGATCAGACTCCCGCACACGGTCTTTCTCACGTTCACGGTCCCGACGACGCTCGCCTTCGGCATCACGATCCCGATCGCGGTTTCGGTCCCGACGACGACGTTCTCGATCCCGACCACTCTCGCGCTCTTCCTCACGGTGACGGGATCGCATGCCAGTGCTGATCCGACTGGCGAGATCACGCCCGCCCTTTTCTGAAGATGGTTTGCTGCGTCCATTGGTTTTTGGCTCTTCTGCGATTTGGGATAGACGGTCTGCATGGTGACTGTCTCCATTGCGGCTCGGACTGCGGCTGCGACTGCCGGTACGGCTGCGATGACGACGCGAGTGGTGGCGACGACTGCTTTTTCCGTCTCCGTCACTTTCGTGGTGTCCTCGCTTGGAGGACCGGCGGGAAGGTTTAGGGGATCTGGATCGGGAGGGCCGATCTTGATCAGTCCGGCCGCTACGCTCGGGGTTTCTTTCACGTCTGCTATCTTGGTCGTGCACACTGGGAGAAGGAGAGCGAAGGACCTGGCTCTGTGATGGTGATTGAGACCGGGATCCCACGGGTTTGGATGGGGTGTTGGCTGGGGATTGCGACTGGACGTCGTCGCGAAGAGCCTCCGAGTTTGCCCTGCATGAATGTTATGTTAGTATATCGGCTGGCACTTCGGTTCCCAGAATGCTTACCCTTGTGACTGTCCGCGCGAGTGACTACCGGCCAGGCCCTGGACTTGGAAGCCGCGCTGTCGGAATACGCTGGTATTGGGGAGACCTTGTCGCATTGCTCGCGGTGCAGCCGGGGCACCTTCCACTCCGACACCACGAGGCTCCGTGGGCGTATTAGTGGGCTGATAGGGTCCAGACATCGGACCACCGTTAAACCCACCGCGGCTAGGTCCGCGCATGTATCCCCCTCGCCCGTATCCAGATCCCATACGGTTGGCAGACGGACCGGGGTTCATTGGAACTGGCTGATCGAAGCTGTCAATAGTGGGAATCCCCTGGAGCTGTTGGTCAGTGTGATTGTCCGGCGGACCCTCTGCTGCTGCAGCTCCTTCCTGGCCATCCTCGGCGCCCTCGGCGGTAGCATTTTCACCAGATACCGGGCCAGCATGGGGCCCATCGTTCCCGCTTGGAGCGGTACCGTTCGGGGAAGACTGGTTGGGGAACCCTGGTGAGTGGGCACCTTGTATAAAGGGGCCCGATCCCCCAAAACCACCTCGTCCGGCACCAGCAAAGTGGCCTCTGCCCCGGCCTCGAAACCCACCACGACCATGCCCATGATAGCCCGCCTGGAAGTCCGGGTTAGAAGGGTAAGGAGACATATTAGATCCGGCAAATGCAGCTCCGTAGGGAGAGCCCGTGCCATTTGCGAAAGCATTTGGATTAAATTTATCTTGGCCTCCGTGCCACATGTTGTTTTGCTGGGAGCCATCCCATCCTAAGGATCCATACATGCCCTGCCCGTTGTAGTTCACCCCCATGTTCATCATGCCCGTCATGTTCATTTCGTAGTCACCGAACATCCCCTGATTTGCGGCCATCGGGTCCATCGCCATCGGCATTCCTGAAGAAAGAGAGTCAGTGGATTGGCGGCGGACAGGGATGTCTAGGGAGAACGTACCCATCGCGTTGGGGAAGCTGAACATGCCGTTGGCCATATATGGGTTCATTGCACCAAAATTGGCGCCCCCGTTCCAGCCCATGCCGGGGAAGCCTCCGGAGACCATGTTTTGGGGCATGAACTGGAGATTTTGTTGCTGTGGGAAGCTTGGCGGGCCGGCCAAGGCGGATTCATCTTGGGGGATTGGCGCATCTGCCTCAGCGGGAAGATTGTTCGATTCAGCGGAATTGGCCGTATCGGCATTTTGGACAGAAGTAGCCTGCTGGTCAGCTGCCGGTTCGAGCTGTGAGAGTTGTTAGCTGGGAGCTCGCAAGGCACTCGGATGCAATAATCCTACCTGGTCCGCAGGCTCTGGCTCGGTCTTTGGCTCGATCTCGGTTGTCGTGCCAGCCGGCGGCACATCGGCCGAAGTGTCTTCTGATTTTGACTCTCCCGGCTGAGTCGCATCCGGAGACTTTGAGACCGGGGCTGGGTCCGTCACTGTCGTCTCTGTGGGTGTCTCTTGCGGAGCTGCGACGCTGTCTGCCGGTGTGTCGGGCGTCGGCGGGACCGTGGCCTGGCGATCCTTTTCCCTCTTCTTCTCCTCGGTGCGTAGGAAGGCCTTGAGGGTGGTCCGCAGAGCTTTGTTGGGCTTGCAGAGGTCCGCAGAGACTGGCGTATGTGCGCAGACGGGACAGGTATCGTGGAGGGACGATTGGCCTGGGACCGCGGTCTGTCAGCGACTGACTGCTTCAGGGTCCTGCGAGGGAATGATCACTTACAGCTTTCGCAGATGGACTGGTCGCAGCACGGCAGACGGAAAGCGTTCAGGGCGAGGTTGCTGCAGATGGCGCATCGCAGCTTGAAAGGAATCTCGGCCGGGGTCAGGGCGGTGGCAATGTCCATCAAGCCAGCCGGCGCATCCGCCGCAGCCATGGCGGCTCAGAGGGTTGAGAAGGGAAGTGCGATTCACCGGTGGGCAAGAGCAGACATAGACATGGCGGAGCAGGAAAGAAAGCGCGAAGAAGAGAAGAATCAGACACGCGACTGCCGTTTGGGGGACGGAACAACCTTGGTCCGGGAGAGGTTGCAAGACCCGATTGTCGACAGCCTGCCATTTTATGCTACGATACGGGTATATGTATGGAGAGAGGTCCCTTCTAGGAGTTAGGTAGGTATCCATCAGGTATAGAGAGATCGATATTCATAGGTCACTGGGTACAGATCGAGGTAGAGAGAACCCTAGGATCCGGTATCCAAGCACCAACATCCCTCCCCAGTCCTCAGATTAGATCAAGTTATTTTGGTCCCTCAGCGACGCCGACGGGCGATACCATCGAGGGTGGCATCATCCCGCGGGTGGTGTCTCCGGACTCCTGGGAATCATCATTGGCGGGTGGGTGTGCTTGGAGCAGCGAGGTCTGGCCGGACGCAATGTCCTGTCTCACCGATGGTAGTGAAGGCCAGCCGGGACTCTACATGGCCCCGGCGAGGTTAGCCACTGTGAATTTTAGTAAATTATCATCATCATCATCAAGAATGCACCGAAGGGAAAGAAGGAAAGAAAGAATGGTGGATCCGAAAGATAAAAAGGGCCGTGGTTCCCTGGAGAGCTCGGGCCACTTTCTTCTTTCTTTCTCTTCCTCTCACTGATTACTACGTACACTTCTGCAACACACTCGATTATTGTACTACTGATGCTCACACTCACCACCACCCCAGCATGACAGAGGATAACAACTATCGCCCTCGCTCCCCAGACCTCTCCTCGCTTCAATTCCCTCCCTCCACCGCTCCGCCCGACCAGTACGCGCCGCTGACCAGTCCGCTGGCTCACCGCGCCTCCTACGACGCCTCGCCTTTCTTCTCCTCCAACTACCAGCGCCCGACCTCGGCCAGCCGGACTCCTCAGCAGTACGTGCCACCGGTTCCCCTGACCGGCTTTGATCCCGACATGGCCCGGCGCTCGTCGCGACTGGCAACCACGGACGGCGCGCCCGTTGCCGCCGTCCCCGAACCCTTTCACACCCCATACGCAATCGAACCCGTCGCGGCGCCCATCATGCCGGAGCAGAGACACCCACAACCAGGCGCAGGGATTGAGGTCAAGACCAAGTTCCCCGTGGCGCGCATCAAGCGCATCATGCAGGCCGATGAGGATGTCGGCAAAGTCGCCCAGGTGACGCCAATCGCAGTGTGTAAGTGATTTTCCCTTTTGGTCCCATGTTTGCTCCGAATTGACCGTCGACAACAGCCAAGGCCCTGGAGCTCTTCATGATCTCCCTGGTCACCAAAGCCGCCCATGAAGCCAAGGAGCGCAACTCGAAACGCGTCACGGCCTGGCACTTGAAGCACGCGGTGGCCAAGGACGAAGTATTAGATTTCCTCGCCGACATCATTGCCAAGGTGCCCGACCAACCGGCTGGGCGGAAACACGAGGACGACGGCAGCGACCAGAACGAAGGCCGGCGGAAGCGTGGCGGGCGTCGTCCCAAGGAGGAGAGTGATTAGCGACGTCCCATGCAACGACTCATGACTGTGCTAGATGAATTCTTGGAGAGCAGGCGCACTGGGCACACTTTTCCACGGGATTTTCCTGTATCTGTCTCTTGCGTTTTCTTTTCTTTTCTTTTTTTTTTTCCTTTTTCTCTGCTATTATGATCTGGCGTTCGGCCGGCTGGGGATGGTAATATTGTGAGGACAGGTTTCTTGTGAATAGCTTCGTATTGGTCCTGCATTCGATACAGTTCATCGGATCTATGGTTATTGGCAGGGTGATGATTGATTTGGATGTAACTACAAGTTGTACTTGTGAAAATCAACAACACGTTCCACCCTCCACCCGGCTCCACACTCTCCTTCTCTTCCGCCCCCTCGATCTCGACCCGAACAACTTGCGAACGGGGATCATGCTGTTCGCGCAGCATCATGGACTTTGTATGTGTGGTCTCTTGCTCTGCTATGGCTGGCACTGATAATCTCCCTCTCTCTCTCTCTAGTGGTCTCGTCTCATTGGCGGCTCGCGCACACTGTCTAAGAAGACCTCCAAGGCCACCTTACCCACCGAGCGCCTGGCAGCATTCAAGCGCGCCTGCAACGCTCTCCAGGTATGGAATAGACCCCCTTCTGGCTTTGGTTACAGACTTGCTCATTAATATCTGGCTTAGCAAATATGGCGCTCCTCCAATGCCCCATCAGGCGAGCAGTCGGCGGCCCACGCTCGCGCTTACATTGAACGACTGAACTCCATCCTCAGCGAAGAATCGCGTGGCCCGGCACCACATCCCTGCGTGGCCTATGCGGCCTCGTCCCAGGTCTTCGTCACCGTCACCAAGCTTGCCTTGTCCTACTACGATGAAGGGGTGCTCCGATCAGCCACCCTCTTCTTCAACTCCCTGATCGACGCCGAGGTGGACGGCGTGGTGGACAACCGACTGTTTGCTCGCGCGTTAGTGGACCTCGTGCGCCGGTCCGAAAAGCCAACCGATGAAATTGAAGGGAGACTGGTGGAATTGCTATTCGGCATCGCCAACAATATCCGTCTGCAACCTGCCATCCTGCCCGCGTGGTTTGGACCGAGGGCAGCCCAGGATGGAGAGTCACCCGCCCCGAGCGGGACGGAATTTGCAGGCACCATGCGCAAGGATGACTTCCCATTGTTTTACTTGCTAGTGGATTATGTTCACAGTGAGGGCCGTGCCGGTGACTTTGCGCGCACGGGACTGCTGTACTTGATCGAGACGGCGTCCAGGTCGAAGGACCTGGAGAAGTGGTTGATTGAGAGCGACTTGGCTACGCTGATGGCCACTGGGCTGGGTGCGCTCTACAGCCAGCTCGGCAGGTGAGTTTTGACCCCCATAACCAGTGGGGCTCTGCTGATGATACTCCAGTCTGTCTTTTACCCCTACCGGTGACAACGTGCCTCACATCGTTGCCCTATCCGACCACGCAAAGCAGGAGACAGCCCTGCAGCCGCATCTCGGACAATCGATGGATTCGTTTATGTCATACCTGTTGTTCTGGCAAGACACGATCGACCATTGTAAGTCCGCCGAGGTAAACGACACCTTGCTGGATCACTTCCAAGTGCTCTTTCTCGAGCAGCTTCTTTACCCTTCTCTGCTGGAATCATCGGACGTGGCGGGCGGCTCTACAGCAGCCGTGCTGACCTACCTGTGTCGGATTCTGGACTCGGTTTACCAAGGCGAGCTGGTGCACCGCATCTTACATTTCCTGCTGGCCTCTGCTCCCCCAAAGGAGCAGATGGACATGTCCGCCAGCCGGCGGAAATCGCTGACGGTGCTGGCGGCGCTCTCATCCGAAGCGGCCCAGCCGCCTCCGTCGCTCTTCAATCTCCGCGATCTGGCTCTCCTCGGACTGCAGTCGTCTAACCGACAGACCGTACTCGCGACGCTACGGCTTTTGACTGTTGTCTTACAGCGGCATCACCAGTTCGCACGGAGCTTGATCCATACCATCCCCAGCCAACCAGCCCAGCAGCGCTCTATCGGGGCATTGAACGCCGAGCTCGAACAACTGGTGGGCCAGGCTACATCGCTTATCGATGATCCGAAGCTCAACGAGTCGTACGAAAACTATATAGCCGATGCGACCTGGGTTCTCGAATCCCGTTTGTGTCTGCCTGTCACTGCCGGGGACGAAGCCGAGGCAATCCCGCTACCGATGCAGCTCCAACAGGACGATCCTCTCGTGAAATCGCTTCTCGAATGTCTGGGAACATTTTTTACCAACAGTGTTATCGTCAATCTGGCGCTAACAGGTGTCTTTATCAGTCTGGCCTCGTCACATCTCTTCGCGCTGGATGGCTGGGTGCTGGTCGACCCGGCCCAGTACGATGCTTCCCTGCCGGATGAGACGGACGATGCACTGGACCGCATCAGCCAGGCCTACCAGGCGCCTACGTGGCCGCCGAGTGCCGCTCCTACATTGACCCGTGCCGTTCAAAACTTGGTGGACCAGGTCCGTCAATGGCAGCGGGATCTTCCCGACTTCGATGTCCTGGTCGCCGCCCGACGAGAGCTCCTGCACCAGGACGACCGTGCTCGCACCCCAGACCGATCGCGCGAGCCCTCTGAGCCCCGGGCTCCCACGCCAGCAGACCGAACGCACCCTTTTTTCCCCGGATCACCAGACCCTGCAGCCTCCCGGGGCCGTTCCCCTCTCCCTTCTAGCTCACCCGCCGTCGCACCGAGTCCCGCACGCCGCAAGGCATCGATGGCGCCGCAGACCGAATCCCGGGGCACCTCCGTCTCTCGCACGGTCGCTGCGGAGGCATTGCGTCAGCGACTGGCCACGCCGTTCCCGCCTACCGCTGCTGCTGCTGCTGCTGCTGCTCCCACGACGGACGACACTGATTCTACCAAGCCCGAAGAACCCACGGTCGGTGGGGAACGGGCATCTGCGGCTACGCTGGGACATGTGCTGACGAACGTGGTGATCCTGTACGAATTTGTGCTGGAGCTGTCGGCGGTGGTGCAAGTGCGGGCGAGTCTTTTTGAAGAGGCAGGATATTAAATGAATGTACTTAATTATTATTATTATTATTTTAGACACTCCGTTCTCCGTACACTAGTAGTTAGTACTAAATGCAATTATTTGGAGCCAAGTGGGGTGCCAGGAGGCTTTTGATAAACTTCATGATGACATTAGCGCCCTTTCTTCGGCGCTCCGAGGGGCTCCTTATTGAGGACCACCATGTTCTCGAAGGACCAGTGCAGAAGATTAGTATGATGGTGTCGACAAAGCAGAAGCCCCGGGAGGCGTGCGCATGTCGGATACGATACGACCTTGGCGAGAGGACTCTCGAAATATCCTCCAGTGAGATGGATAACTTGGTATGTCAAGTAGAAGAGCAGTGTAACTATCGAATTTAATAGTTAGTTATTCTGCTTCGCCTTCTCCGTCAATAACCTATCATATACTGTGTTATGCCGAGCCCTACCCAACCTTACTAACTATAGAATTTGGCCCCTGAATCCAGTGGGTCTTCCCGTCATCCGCGGAATTCCCACGCCCCCCAAAGGCTCACGTAACACTTGGCCATGCTGTCTGTCAGACGGAACACACTCTCTCTTCCTCTTTCTCCCTCTCTCTCCTCTTCTCCCTCCCTTTCCTCTCCTGTTCTCGCGGAATGACCGTCCGTCATGGCCCCGGAACACCTTGAGCCCCTCGACCGCGACGACCGCGAGGATGCGCCGTTTCTTGCCCCTTCAGCCCCCGGGTCCCCCATTCGCGCACGCCATTCTCACAGTGACTCGAAGGCGAGGATCTCATCAGACCTGAGGCCCGAACCCACCAATGCCTCCGCCAAAGCCATTGGTTTCCGCCTCAAGGTGATCCTGTTCGCCATGATCCTCATGGTCGAAGTCGGGTTCGCCTTCCTGGAAGGACCGATGGTCCGTATCTTCGAGGCGATTGCCTGTCGCCAGTACTATGGTGAGGTCGATCCGTCCAAGATTGGAGCGAATGGCCAAGTGCCCGAGGAGCTGTGCAAGATACCGGACATCCAATCCGAATTGGCCGCGGTCAAGGGGTACCACGTGTTTTTTGATGGATTGATGAGTATGTTGATCATTTCCCGCCTTCTCCCCTGATGTACTCTCAATTGACTGACCATCTCTGGCAGCTGCTCTCCTCGCCATCCCCTACGGTCTGCTGGCAGACCGGCGCGGCCGCAAACCCACGCTCTGCTTGGCCATCCCCGGCTTTGCCATTCACACGATCATCATCCTGACCGTGACGTGGTTCTCGGACATTTTTCCCCTGCGCGCGGTCTGGCTGTCGTGCCTGGCCTGGCTGGTCGGGGGTGGTCCGGTGGTGGCGTTTGCCATTATCTGGACCATGATGGCCGACGTGACCACCGAGTCGGAGCGATCCACGCTCTTCTTCCAGTTCGGCATTGTCTCCATGGGCGCGGATTTTGTGTCCAGCGCGGTCAGTTCATGGCTGATGACCATGAATCCATGGGTGCCTATGCTAATCGGCTGGGGGATTGTATTCGCTGGCATGTCGCTCACACTGATGCTGCCAGAGACCAAGCATGCCTTGCCGGACGGCAAACCCGAGCCCTCTCACGTTGAGCTCTCGGAACTATCCGAGGCCAGCGAACCCAAACATCACTATAACAAGCCCGAAGGACCGGGCCTAGACCAAGACGACAGTGACCTGGACCTTGACGGTGAAGACCCCCTGTCTGCGGCCCCCCCCAGCGCGTATCCGCGTCAGTCCCTGCTGGCCAGGTGCCGTGCCAACTACCGATTTTATGTGGCACCGTATACATTCATTCTGAACCGGAAGCCGGTCCTGCTTCTGCTGAGTGCATTCTTAGTGTACCGCCTGAGTCGGGGCTCGTCTTGGTTCCTGACCCAGTATATTTCCACGCGGTATAAATGGACTCTCGCGCAGGCCAATATGTTGGTGTCGTTCAAGCCTCTGGTGTCTGTGCCGCTTTTCCTCTGGGGAATTCCGTATGTCAAGAACCGGATGTTGAACCCGCGACGCTCGGTCGCCGAGAAGGATCTCTGGCTGGCTCGTGCCAGTCTCTGCTGCCTCACGGTGGGAACCCTCGGGATCGGCCTCTCCCCGTCGGTGGCGGCTCTGATCCCTAGCCTGATCATCCAGACCTCTGGGTCGGGATTCATGTTTCTGACGCGCTCGCTGATCACCACGCTGGTCGAAAGGGACCAGACTGCGCGTCTGTACACGGCGATTGAGATCCTGCAGTCGCTCGGCAACGTTCTGGCCAGTCTGAGCATCACAGCGGTCTTCCAGCTGGGCCTGCAACTCGGCGGGTTCTGGATTGGTCTGGCGTGGATGATGACGAGTTGCCTGTTTTGCATGGTCGGTCTGGCCATCTACTGTTTCCGACTGCCAACCTCGTCGCCCGCAGCACCAGAGTTCGTGGTTGGAGAGCTTGACGAGGAGGGACACGTGGAGTGATTCTTTTTTGGGTGTATATTATTGTATATAGCGTGTCTGCATTCGGGAATTATCTTTAGACCATGTATGTTAGACGGCGCATTACCAGGATTGGGTATACATCAACAATAACAACAATCATGAATCATAATGACTCCTGAAGGAATCTATATAATGGCAGCCTCAGGCATCACATTATCATGTGACCGTCCTTCACATGTCTCCGTCCCTTCACTTTCTGCTGCTGCTGTTGTTGCTCGACTTCCTTCGCAAGTAAGTTCCTAGCGCGCTGGGCTTCCCAGCCGTACTCTCGATCCCTCATTGTGCTTCGAGGTCAAACAAGGAAATAAAAGCCAAATGGAAAAGTTCTCCCAATTCCGGGATCGCGGTATGTGCTTATTGATCTACCTAATCCTCCCAACATCCAAAAACTGACTTCGCCAGGCTCGGGCATTGCGCCCTTCCTGCCCATCCCATCCGAGCCCGTCGGCCTGCAAGCGCCCTTGCGATTCTTCCTCTTCTGCTTCCGCCTCCCGCTCTTGATCTTCGTCACCGTCAGCTACTTTCTCGTTCTCCAATGGCTTCCGATTGGTTCGCTGGGCAAGAAGGCGGCCCTCTGGTGTATCCTGGGCGTGCCGAGTATCTGGTGGATTGATCTGCAAATTGACGGCGTCAGGAAAGGGTTCGTTCTCTCTCCATCACTCTTGCAAGTGCAAAGGTTGTTGACAATCGCTGTCTAGATCACTTTCCAAGCAGCAGCAAGCCCGCTTGCCCCAACCGGGTTCGGTCATCGCCTCATCTTTCACCTCCCCCATTGATGCCGTATACCTCGCCGCCATTTTCGACCCGGTCTTCACCGCGTCATACCCCGATTGCCGCCAGGTGCAGCGGATTTCCCTCCTCCAGGCCATCTTCCGTGCCTTGGCGTCTCCATCCACACGACCCGCACCCGGCACCAGGATGGTGGACATGGCTGATCTGGTGGAGAAATACCCCAACCGCCCCATCGTCATGTTTCCCGAATGCACGACCACCAATAGTCGAGGCATCTTGCCTTTGAGCCATGCGCTACTGGGGGTGCCGGCCCGGACCAAGATCTTCCCCGTCAGCCTTCGATATACCCCTGTGGACGTGGTGACCCCGCTCCCGGGTAGCTATATAAGCTTCTTTTGGGCTCTGCTCAGCAAGCCAACGCATTGTATTCGCGTGCGCATCGCTGAGGCGATTGTGAGCAGCCGCAGCACGGCTGCTATCGACATGCCACCGGCCCGATCTACACGCAACTCAAACTATAACACAAATTACCTAGATACCATGGACCGTGATTCCGCCATGAATGGGGACGACGGTATTACCACAGCTGAAAAAGCCCTGCTCGATCATGTGGGTGAATCTCTTGCCCGGTTGGGCCGGGTCAAGCGTGTTGGTCTCGGGGTGAAGGATAAGCAGGATTTCGTGCGAAAGTGGACTAAGACGCGCAGCACCTGGTGATTGATACTTGGTGGTACAAATTTCTTCTCTTTGATAGTCTCTAATATACATGCTTGCAAATTTCCATTGCACGTAATACGTGCTGCTACATGGCAAACTGGTCGAATGTGTCCATCATGAGAGAATCCTGGAAGAAATTCTCGTGGCTGTTCTCAATGGACCAGGACAGTCGGTCCAGCTGCCAGTCTTCATGTGCACCCCACGTGGTTCCCATTGACGGATTTCCCTGCAAAGGTGCAGGAACGAACTGCTCGTTCGGCTTCCACGCTCCGGGATCTGGCTGGGGTTGGAACCAGGGCCTATCGGCCTTAGGCGCCTGCCACGCCCGGGGGTTGCGTCGAACATGGACCTTGCCCAAAAGGGGAACCTTGACGGTCAATTGATGCATCTGGTCCCCGCTGTCGTCTTCGCGGAGCAGATGATTCAGTGCGGACAGGGTTGAGGCTACGTTCTGGGAATAGTTTGAGTTGGGGGCACCGTCTGATCGTTCGCGCATGAGATTGACGACTTGGCAGACTACCGTGTCGATCCGGGTCTTATCGATGCGCAGGTTGAAGCGATTGGTCGAGGGCGAACTGTGACTAGTGAGGAGGAGGACGACCGTTGCGCTAAACACCTGGAGATCTAACATGCCCGATAGAAAGAAACCAGGCGGCAGCATGCGACGGAGGAAGAGATATCGGTGCGCGATGGACTCGCAGGCGTCCATGCAGGCTAGACGGTGGTAGAAATACTCCTCGCCAGCATCTGGGCGCATAGTGAAGGGTAGATGCACTCTCATCGAGATGTAAAAGTGCATCGCCTGGACTATGTGGTCCGGTTCGACGCGCTCCGTGCCTCGCGCCCACCAGGACTCTGGGGTTTGCGAGGCCAGTGCCCTAAGCTCTCGAACCAACTCCAGGGTCGAGGTATACAATTCGGTGCTAGACTCGGCGGCTGCTGAGTTCAGGTCGTCTAGCTGCTGGACTTTGCCGGCAATGTCGGTCAATCTTCGAAGATACACCCCCGGCTGGACAACGCCGTCAACGATCAATGCGGGCTCGGTGGTCTGTTTATGCCGGCTGGTGTCCGCGGGGATGTTCAGGACCATGCTTAACAGTCGGTCTGCAGAGCATATCAATTCCCACTGTTGGGCCCGGCAGAGTTGTGTTTCGTCGTCATCAATCCCGGTGGTCTTGTTGTGTTGCGTGGCGTGGAAAGTCTTGGGAAGACCCATTAATTCTGCAATTGCAATGACATGGCGGAGCCGAATCCACGCTTTCTGGAAACTACCCTGGCTAATTAGACTGTCAAGTTGTTAGTTTAGGACACAGAAAAACAACCGGATGTACTCACAGTCGAATGAAATGCGTGAATAGTACAAGCCCTCGTGTTGTACTAATTAGTTTATCGTGGCACAGAATCGTACTATCCACCGTCTCGGAAATGACCCTGGAGAGGGCTAACCGCCGCTGCCAGCATTCATGCTGCGTGTCTGACCTGTCTTTGCCTGCAGGCGCTTGCTGAGCCGTGAGGGCCATGGCAAGTAGCCACGAGGCAAGGCGGATGGGGTCCACGTCTGGATCATGCATCTCCTCGTAGCTTTCAAGAAGTTCTGGTTCGGATTTGGGGGTAAATGGCTGAGGCAATATGATACTCTGTAAGGTAAGCCATCCAGGCCCCATTTTGGAGATATCTGATACTTCTTCTCGCGGCGGAATTAGCACCTGCAGCGCCCGCTTGGCAGTTTCGAGTAAGTGTGTTGATGCTTTCACCTTCCGTTCTGCTGCCTTTTCATCCTGTTGAGGGGAGTCTACACTGAGCCAGTCGTTTTGAAAGAGTGACCGGAGATGCAAGGGTTGGTCTGCCTCGATGATGTCTGAAACGCTGGAATTACCGTCGGAGCTTTCAGCTCCAGGACTCGGTGGAGCTACGAGCCCTGAGGGCCGAGTGATCTGATACCCAAGTCTGGATTCGATGCCATACACGGCTTTGGTCAAGTTGTCGACCTGTGACTCCAGCTGAGAAATCCGGTATCGTGAAGACCGATGTGACTCCGCTGGCCGGGCGATATACGTTTGCGCCACACATTCGGAGCCTCGCTCTTCACATCGCCGGCACTTTGGTGCGTCTTCCGATACGCGAATGCAACGGACTTTCCGTCGTCGGCCTGGTACGGATGATTAGCTGCTGGCCATGGTGATGCGGTGGTAACCTCTTACATTCCGTGCAGCTTTTGGTCCCTTTCCGACATCGGGATGTCTGATCTGATGGCATCTCTAGAAAATAGCAGACACTAATATAGCTGCAAGCAGAGATGCGATGAAGTAGATGGCGAAGGTATTTCGGCTGGCGGACGAGCGCCTGTCCGCGGACGAAAACTGGGTCCGAGACCGAGCATCCTCGCTGCTCTGATTCGCTGAGTGGTCGGTGATCGCCGGCCGATATACCGACCCTGGGAGATTGTTGCTCTAGCACGGTCGAAGTTACTTCAGAACGACGGGACACATAGTGTCGGTCTCGCGCCTAGAAAAGGCCGAACAAAAGGCGTATAAAGAGGGTCCAGCCGAGTCCAGGGGTTGTCAGGATGCACATTCCATCCTCCGCATTCTGTGCCCTCCCACAGCCTCTGTGCAGCATTCTGACGGCGAGACCCCGCAATGTCTCTCCAAATACGATCAGGGGGGCCGTATCCCCCCAAGTCCGCTGGGTTGGGCGGCGAGCCGACGACAGTTCCCGACATCCCTGTCTGCGGTGTTTTCATGTTCCTCTATCTCTGCTTCGCCGTCGCGAACATGACCATCTTTCAGCGGAACCGTCGGCGGGGAAAGAAGTTCGTCCTGTCGGCGGTACTATTCGGTTTCTGCATGGCCCGGACAACGACACTGGTACTGCGCATCGCTTGGGCGACTCGACCAACCAATATCAAACTCGCCATCGCGGCGCAGGTCATGGTCAATGCGGGCGTCTTGATCGTCTACATTGTCAACTTCATCTGCGCTCAACGCATTGTGCGAGCAAGGCAGCCAAACATCGGCTGGAATCCTATTCTGCGAATTGGCAGTAGGGTACTATATGGTTCGATCGGAGGTGCGCTGGTCATGGTGATTACCGCGATGGTCGTCTCGCTGTACACCCTCAACCCCCACACCCTGAAGCAGTGTCGGGACGTCGAGCTCGCTGCGCTTACCTACCTGCTTACCTTCACCTGCCTACCGATCGTCCAAATCGCTGTAGCGCTTTTACCACCTCGTTCCAAGGACCAAGAGACGTTTGGTGAAGGCAGTGCAAGAGGCCAGGTGATCATCATAACCCTGTCTTCATGTCTGTGTATGCTCATCGCCGGCTTCAAAGCCGGTGCGATGTGGAGCCCTCCGCGCCCAATAACCAATCCGGCCTGGTACGACTCCAAGGCTTGCTTCTTTGTCTTCAACTTCACGCTTGAAATTCTCATTCTCTTCCTCTTGACCCTCACCCGGATCGACAAACGGTTCTGGGTTCCCAATGGTTCCAATCAGCCAGGCGATTATACGCGACTGCGAGAACAGATTCCGTTCCAGTCAGAGATGGAACCCACACATTTTGGCCCCGATATTGCCAAGGAAGCCAACTATCGTCCACGGATCTAAGCAGATGCGGCCTTTTGCCTTGTATATAATCAAGTAGAACCCCCACGCTCTTTTAGAGTCGGCGTGGCATGGTATATAGAATGTATATGTATAATCATACTTATCTGTGATTGCCACGATCTGCTTAACTGTTTGAGATATAATGTCGTCGCGTCTTCTCTGGAGGGCCTTGCAAGGGTTCTACAGTCACGGCCATGGCCATACACAAGCTGCATGCTGATCGAGTTCCAACTTTATCAAGACGGCGAGTCCCGCTCTGTGGGAGTTGATAACCACGATTCGCTTCTGCATAAAGGTGGACACGAAATTCCGAGTAGTTTGCTTACCTGCAATGCAACGACAAGGCAATAGTCTTTAACGCCGTTATTTTCCCAGGCTCATGACGAATAAGGCATAGACTCGGGGCCTTGGGTTAACAGCAACGGCAACTCGAAACGGATCCAATCCAGATACGCATTTCCTGCGAGCAATCCAACAGACGACAGGGACGGAGTTAATCAGTTCGAAACACTACCTACTGTTCCCGGGCTATTACAATCATCGCGCCATTCATATCCACAGTGCAATACCACTGACCTTGTCACCCTCCAAAAGAGTAGTGCATTCCCTGGTTTGTACAAGGCGCACGCCTCGCACATGATGAACGTTTCTTCGAAGAGTCTCTCAAGCAAGAGATTATAAGGCCCTACAACTAGGACCCCAACAACTATACCACTAACACTAATGACGTCTTCCTTCCGAAGATCCTTAAAAGCCAGCATCGACCAATCATGCAGTATGCGTATGTGGGCGGCAAATTAAGCGATGACCTTTCCGCGTGGATTACTCGACGCATTAATGCCACCGAGAACCAGCCTGTGGACTCTGTTGTCTATGACACTGCTAATGGGCCGGGCCCGAACCAGTTCTTTGCAACAGAAACTTCATAAATAAGCTGCATATTAATGAGTCGAGTTCAGAGCATGCCTTGGTCGTGGGGTAGTAGTAGTATTTTGTATTCCACATGCGCCAAGATCCTGAATTTCCTCGGCTCTAGCTTCGGTTGGAACTACAATGTGACAGCCGCTATTATTGCGGGGCGCCTTGATTGCCTTCCCAAGGAGTTGGCGGTGTTCATCAAGGCCGAGCGCCGGGGCGCCCTGTTGATCTACCCCTGGATATGAAACCCCCCGCCTAGATCGACGCCACTAGACGAGATTGCGAGCTGGCTAGTCGCATCCATCACCAGTCTACTGTAAGATGTGCATCTCGCCTGGCTGCGACAATACATAGTGGCGCATAGGCCATGTTCATCAATTGCCCGAAAGGTCCACCTACGGTACTGTCGACGTCGATTCTGGGGCAAGGTAACCGATGGTTCGCTTCTGCGTGCCTAGCAAGCTTGTGTCATCGCGCCGCGCACTTGATTGCATTTACTCTCTTGGGAAACAGAAGTGACACTCCGCGTGGAAATGGATGTCTTTCTCCACCTGGCACTTCAGGGATTCCGCACATTCCTTGGTCGGGCTGATTACTCCGATGGGTTTGTTTACAGCCGCTGGAACCCGTGGCGCATCCCCTAGTGGCTCATTTCAAAGGGATCCTCGACTCAGAAAGGCCTTATAATATGTAGCCCTCCCTGTTGCGCCTCGTCTTTTCCTTCTGACCGTCGGATCGGCTCTTTTTAACTCCTCGGCCCTCTGCACCCTTTGTCCGATCAAAAGGCTACGATCCATCACCGGTAGCCCCTGACGGCAAATCACAGTTGCACCTTGCCTAACCAACAAGCATGAATTTCATCCGGAATATTCTTCTCGCGCTGGGGGCGGCGCCGGCAGCCGTGGCAGCTGGTGGTGACGGCTTAGAGTCGTGTCTGAACTCCGCAGTGACTGGAGGCGGCAGTGTCGCTTTCCCTAGCGACCCGTTCTACCAGATATCGGATGTGAAACCCTACAACCTGAATATTGCGGTGACCCCGGCTGCTGTGGCCTTCCCTGCGTCATCGGCGCAGGTTGCTGCCATTGTGAAGTGTGCCGCAGACCGTGGATACCATGTCCAGGCCAAGAGTGGTGGTCATAGCTATGGCAACTATGGTATGCTGAAGCATGTGCCGGATTAGTTTGACGATAACTGACAAAGTCTTGTAATAGGCCTCGGTGGAACGGACGGAGCGATTGTTGTCGACCTCAAAAACATTCAACAGTTTTCCATGGACAATACTACATGGCATGCGACCATTGGAGCCGGTACTCTGCTGGGAGATGTGACGCAACGTCTTTCTGATGCCGGAGGACGAGCGATGTCGCATGGAACTTGTCCACAGGTTGGCTCGGGCGGACACTTTACAATTGGTGGTTTGGGCCCTACCTCGCGACAGTTTGGTGCGGCTCTGGACCACATTATCGGGGTTGAGGTGGTGCTGGCCAATTCGAGCGTTGTGTGGGCCTCCGAAACCGAAAACCAAGATGTTTTCTGGGCCATCAAAGGTGCTGCGTCTGGGTATGGAATTGTCACCGCATTCAAGGTCCGGACTGAGCCCCAGCCCGGCACCGCCGTGCAATACACCTATTCCCTGGATATTGGCACCGCGGAAATGCGCGCCACCCTATTCAAGCAGTGGCAAGCCTACATGTCCAACCCGGACCTGACCTGGAAGCTGGCATCTACCCTCACTTTGCTTGAGGAAACCCTGATCATCACGGGTACTTTCTTTGGGACTATGGAGGAATTTGACAAGCTAGGCATTGACGACCACTTCCCTGGTGCCAATGGCAGTGCCGTCGTCATTGAGAGCTGGCTGGGTCTGGTCGCTTCCTGGGCGGAGGACGCAGCTCTGGAGCTAGGAGGCGGTGTTCCAGCGAACTTCTACGCAAAGTCGAACTCGTGGACGAAAGACACCTTGATGTCGGACGAGACAATCGATAAGCTTTTCAATTACATTGAGAGTGCAGACAAGGGCACCCTTGTTTGGTTCCTGCTGTTTGATTTCCAGGGTGGTTTCACCAACACTATTCCCACCCATGCGACTTCGTACGCACATCGCGATGTTCTCTTCTGGCTGCAGTCGTATAGCATCAACTTGCTGGGACCTGTCTCGCAGACGCAGATCGACTTCCTTGAACATGTCAATACGCTAGTCAGCACCGACGGTGCTCCGTATGCTGCCTACCCGGGCTATGTTGACCCTCTCATGCCCAACGGGCCTGAGGCTTACTGGGGCACCAACTTGGAGCGACTGCGCCAGATCAAAGCCGAGATCGATCCCAACAATGTGTTCCGCAACCCGCAGAGCCCTGCTCCGGCGTCTCAATAGATGTGTGTCTCGATGATTGCCCGTTGTGGATAATGATGTATATACTACGTCCTTCCTAGGTATATATTTTAATTTTAAGGTCTGAATAATGGACCTGTGGAGAACAAAACTCTACTTAATGGGGGACATAGGCCCAGCTCTATCTGACGCCCAATCTATTTGCAACTACGCTCGTAGAACATTCCGTCACCCACTGGGTGATGACTGGCCTTGCAGGGAAATGGAAAGTTTTCCCAGTATGCTGTAGATAGCGGGCTTTGAGTCAACCATATTGTATTCTTGATCCGAGATCTCACCTTTATTCTTTCTGATGATGCACCTACCTAGTCCATTTAAGGCGAGGTGCACTGTTGGCTGTGCCAATCAACCACTGTTATGATCTTTGCTGAAATCAAGCTGATGTGGCTGAGTAGCTGAGAGAGTAGAAGCTTGTAGACTAATCTTGAGTGAGACTATAGACTAAACATGTTTGACACGTATAACAAAGGAAGGGTTTCAGCAAGAAACATTGGCATAGTATTGACTTTGCCCATGCGTTGTTTGTCTATTACACAGCACACCAACCCCTGCACTATATAAATCTCAGGAAGGCTTTCTAAATTTCAAGGAGGTAGACCTACTGTAAATTTGACTACAGAACTATTCTCCTGAGGCCCTCCGTTCTGAGCCACAGATGTGCAATCAACATTTCTACACCTATGCCCTCTGTGAGCATAGCTACCGCGGAGATCGCAAATTTTGCAGTGAAGCCGGCCTACCTTTACACCTACGTCAAAGATGTTCGGGATTTATGAAGGGTTCCCTACCGCGAAAAGGCGTACAGAATGAGTGGCGCGATGAGAGGCCTGGAATGTGTCATGAATGTTCTCTGGCTTTGAATGTTGAAAGGGAGGCTTGGTTTCGTGTGAGACAACACCCGTCACAAGGAAAGTAGGTCTTCTTAGAACAATGTTCTCCAGGCTGGTATTTGGATTTTGGATGAAATTGCCTTCAGTGCTATAAACGTCAAGTTTAAAAGATTTTTCGTCTCTACTTAGTGATTACACGAGAGTTTTGAAAGCTCCAAGATCAATTCCTTTCAGTAATACATAATGGCGGCCTGCCATGCCATCTGTCGTAGGTCAAGAACTATATATTAAGAAAATGTGCAGCACATCTCCAAGTCGAGGTTATCTTTCCCTCCAGACACCTCCAGCCAGTATCTCAATCCTGCGAGCATAGAGATCCATCATATGCATTACTGGGTCTCCGAAGACCACTCCTCGCAGCTGAGCGTCATTAATAACACACGCTTCAAAAAGCTGTCGACGCGGCAGAGGAGGGGGGCCATCTGGTTTTCGAGCTGGTGCAATTATAGGACCATTCAACGGACCCCGGTCTCGGTCACGAAGCAGAACGAGTTTGCCTGCATTGGCTAAAGTGGCGGGAGGAACGTGCCAGTAATTTGGTGCCGGGGCAATCTTGTAATCCCGAGGCCGATAGAGGGTTAGCCTTGGAGCAGGCCTAACGTACAAATCCAGCAAAGAGACAATGTACGCCTTATCAGCACGAGTCACAGGGTCACCCTCATTGATGAACGAGAGAAATAAAGACTTCGATCTGGGGAAACCTGATGAGAGTGGTTGCTGTAGCGGGCGAATAGAGATAGGTGGTGCCCCGAAGGTGACACAATGAATAGACCTGAAGCAACCGCGGAGATGAGTGAGGTCAGATTGCACCATTGGTGATTCGGATAGAATATGAAGATACAACAGGCTGGCCACGGCTCCGCCAGCGGAGTGACCAGTGATCAGAAGCGAGTAGGACATGCGAGAAGGGTCTTCAGCTAGAAGAGCCCGCAGGTGTGCCGCGATGGGACCAACCATTTTGCGTGCCACAGATAAGAATCCAGCATGACAATAGTTGTGGAGGTCATCAAGAAAACCAGCAGGGGATGTTGGCGCCGTGTGGAAATTGACGGCCCAGTCAAGGAAGCTCTGTGTGCCACGAATGGCGAAGACGATCGTATTCAGATCGTCAACGGGCAGAGACTTTATGACCATGGCTTTGGTGCCCTGGCGCCAATCAGAATCAACATAGGCATGTCGCTCTCCGCCTACAGGCCCGTCGTATACGCGCCGCGAGTACTGGGCTGCGAGTCGGAGTAGAGGATAGCTCGGTATAGATCTAAATCAGATATTAGCTCGGTCGATCGGGTTTATTTGAATAGACGTACAGCTTCAGCCGTGGAAGATTGGATGGCATGCGCGAGTTTTCGTATAGATATACTTTGGAGAAATAATCCACTGATCCAGATCTGTTCGGCTTTTTGCCTGACTTGTGGAGATTTTTCAAATCTGTACGAAATGGAAGCGAGCACCCCGCAACTGGACCTTGAGTCAATAGCTGGTTGACCTCTTTGATATACTTGACTTACGGATATCCCTTTCCCTACCACCAAAGGAGCCCATATCGATCGACGTAATGACCTCGTCCAACACACGGGACGGGGCATCTCGCAGGTTCACGCCATCTCCGATGCTTCGATGAATCAAATGGTCGAGGTCCGAGATTGTGGCATTGGCCTTTCCAATAGTGTGGCTTAGAATACCAGAGATCGGATGATTGAAGGTAGAGTTAGTCCATTCTGTCAGACCAGATAGTGACGTTGGCAGAATGGCCGGCTGAACACTAGCAGTGGGTAGAACTAGAGGTGCCGGTACTTGTGGTGGAGGTAGTTGAGCCATAGAAGCTGCTGCTATCTGACCACGGTTGAGGTACGGATGAGATGACGCGAAATGTGAGGCACATGGGAGGACTTCGACAGAGTGAGGGCCACTCGGAGCCGCGTAGATTCGTCTTTGCCGAAAATCATCGTACTCTCTGCATGGATCTAGCGCAGATTGGTCTGAGCTGTACGCCCGCCTCGAGCGTTTCGACAGCCCGAAGACCATTATAGAGCGACTGGGCGAAGACAAGAGATGAACTTGATGTGAGCAAATTCAACTCTGTGGGGTTGGTCCATCTCAGCACCACTGGGTTCAGCTCGGTTGGATCAGCCAGATACGAGACCCTGAAGCTGTCGCTGATTTGTAGATGCTGGCCGCGAGACCACCGCCACAACGCTGGATGGCGACGGGTCAAAGCGCAGCACCGCCTCAACAGTGAGCAAATCGGAGGTCCCATGGCGGTGATCGACAATCCGATGCTCGATTGTGGGATGCTTAAGGTGAGAATGGACCAGAAACAGATCCAAAATACGTTCTTCCCGGATTTTTCTTAGAAATAGCAAGAGTATGGGTTTAACAGAATAAATTCATTCTTTTATAGGCTGTTTGATAATTTTGATATCATGAAGCGCAGGCCCGAATAAGTACATCGCTTTTTGCCCGAGTCAACGCCGGGGGAGACCTTTCAACCCTACGGTTCCATTTATTCTACAGCGTCGGTGATACAGCCTTGGCTGGCATCCTTGACATTTCTGTGGCACATATCAGAACTTAATCTCCTAATTGGAAAAAGGGACAGGGGAAACTAACCTGGCGTATTTGCCGAGGGTACCTCTCATGGTAAGACCAGTCTCAGGCAGCGTTCCAGCCGCCTTACGGGCCTCCCACTCCTTCCGTCGCTCAGCAAGCTCAGTCTCGGGAACTTCAAGGTCGAGAATACGCTTCTCGGCGTCGATGGTAATGATATCGCCATCGTGGACCAGGCCGATGGGGCCACCTACAGCAGCCTCAGGGACAATGTGACCGATCAGGAAACCGTGAGAACCGCCGGAGAAGCGACCATCTGTAATCAGGGCACATGAGTTCCCCAGACCCGCACCCATCAGGGCGGAGGAGGGCTTCAGCATCTCTGCGGGCTATATTAGTGACAGTTTAGGTGATGGCAGAGCAGCACATACCAGGCATGCCGGGAGCACCCTTGGGACCAGTGTAGCGAATGACCACCACAGTCTTCTCCTCCTTCTTGATCTCGTTGCGTTCCAGCGCAGCGATGAAGTCATCCTCATCCTCGAAGACGCGGGCTTTGCCCGTGAACGCCGTGCCCTCCTTACCAGTAATCTTGCCAACACTGCCACCCGGGGCCAGCGAGCCACGCAGAATCTGGATGTGACCAGTCTTCTTGATCGGGTTGGACAGTGGGCGGATGATCTTCTGGTCCTCGGGGAAATCGGGATACTTCTCCAGGTTCTTTGCCATCGTCTCACCGGTGACGGTCATACCAGAGCCGTCAATCAGGCCCTCCTTGAGCAAAAACTTGAGCAGCGCGGGTGTGCCACCAATGTGGAACAGGTCAGCCATGACATACTTGCCAGAGGGCTTCAGGTCTGCGAGGAAGGGGATGCGGTCCGAGACGGCCTGGAAGTCGTCGATGGTAAGTTTGATGCCCACGGAGTCGGCAATGGCAATCAAGTGCAGGACAGCGTTGGTAGAGCCACCGGTGATGTTGACAACGACCATCGCGTTCTCAAACGCTTGACGTGTCAGGATATCGCGTGGGCGGATGTCCTCGGCCAGCAGCTTCTTGATCGCACCACCAGCCGCCAGACACTCCAGGTACTTGGCCTGGGAGTCGGCCGGGTTGGAAGACGATCCGGGCAGGGTCATACCCATAGTTTCGATAGCCGACGCCATGGTGTTGGCCGTGTACATACCACCACAGGCGCCCTCGCCGGGGCAGGCATGGCGGATGACGTCAAAACGTTGGGGCTCGGAGATCTCGCCAGTGATGAATTGGCCGTATGCCTGGAAAGCCGAGATGATATCAATATCGGCATTGTTCTGGCTAGCAGCACACCCGGGCTTGATAGTGCCACCGTAGACCATCAGACTGGGGCGATTGACGCGGCCCATAGCCATCAGCACACCGGGCATGTTCTTGTCGCAGCCGGGGATGCTAATGTTGGCGTCGTACCACTGGCCGCCCATAACCGTCTCAATGGAATCGGCGATCAGGTCTCGGCTCTGAAGCGAGAAGCGCATGCCCTTGGTGCCCATACTGATCGCGTCACTGACACCCACGGTGTTGAACTGGAAGCCGACCATGCCGGAATTCTGCACACCCTCACGCACCCGGTTGTTCAATTCGAGCAAGTGCATGTTGCACGGATTTCCATTGAACCACACCGATGAGATTCCCACCTGTGCCTTGTTCATATCCGCCTCCGTGAGACCGACCGCGTACAGCATGGCCTGGGAGGCACCCTGGGACTTGGGCTGGGTGATATGCCGCGAGACCTTGTTGAGAGCCTTGTCATCGTTCTGATAGCGGGAGAGGGTCGTGGAGAGAGTCCGACTAGAGAGACAGAGAGCAAAAAAAAGGTCAGTGGTTCTGTTGTCAAAGCTCAAGCTCTACTGCGACTCACACTGTCGCGTTTGACCGGGACAGGCTCCGGAGAGCCGCGGGCATCCGTGCCCGAGTTTGGGGCAATAGCATTGTGAAGATGTCGAGGTCGGAGGTGATTCACGCCAAAGACCAGAGGGAGGAGCACGAGATGACAATGCCGGATGGTTGCCGGGAATAATAATGCTGAGGGGAGGAAAAGCCGGGGTCCACAGAAAAAGCGGCGACCGGAGTTGGTGCCCTTGCTCCCCGGCCCCACGGGCCGACCACCCAATCCCAGGCGGGCGGTTGTCAGCACGAATTGCATATTATTACAGTGGGATGCCTGGGGATTATATTATGATAAATATTTTTTGCCAGGGTTTATAGTAGAGGTATTTCATTGATGATTCGTGATGCCTCAGGCAGAATCGAGCGTGACCGTATGAGCTTGCCCTAATTCGTTTTCTACAGGGCGGGACTGCTCCTTGAATTGTTTCTTACATATGGCAGGGTATAGATAACGCTATACGGCATAATCATCCGCGTTGAACATGCCATCATGGAAGCTGATGATACGATCCATGTCCATAAACTTGGGATCGAGAAACATCTGCGATATCATATTCAGATCACCAGTGCCGGTCTGATACTCGGACTCAAGGGCCGGAATCTGGCCATTCGGCACACTGTGTACTCTCTGCAAGATATCCGGCACCGAATTCTGCACTGGTGGCTGTTCCAAATGCGATACTTCAGCGGTATATCCCGATGGATCTATACAATAAAGCTCCTCCTGGACGCAGCGGGATTGTAGGTCTCGCAGCTTCTGCGCATACCGTCCTGCCAGGTCCGAGGGGAGGCGGCCCTCGTCATATCCCCTCCACAGCCTCGACATCTTGTCCAAACACTCCACTAGCGATGGGAACTCTGGTGCAAGGGCTGCTGATGGGTAATACTGCCAGTGGATCAGGAGAGCACGGGCAGCGGTGAACAGACAAAATGCCAACAGGTTCGCCACGGGGAGCCTTGCAGGCAGCGTCTTGAGGTAGTTGCGGGCGATGGCTGCAACCTCGACCGCCGCGGCCGAACAGGTATCCGCACTGCTGGCGCTAGGGAGACGGGCCGCAAAGGCCCAGCTGGGCGCGGGAAATGCAATGGGCTGGTGCAGCAGGATGGTGGAAGTGTTGTGCGAGACGTGGGCGAGGGTCAGATTGGGATCCATGCGGCTGTCCTGGCGAGCCATGTCGGCCTTCCATTTCTGCGGAAGTAGCATCTTCCAGTGGGTGAGGCGTAGGTCTAGCTCCTTGAAGCGCGTGAGCCAGCTGCCCAAATCATGCTGGTCGCGCATGTCGACCCGTTGCTGTAGAAAGTACGTGGAAACCTGGCTGATGGCCTCGGTCGTTTCGATCGAATAGGCATAGGCGCCCACCGTTGTCATGTTGATCGTGGGCGAGGGCTGAGTCGGCGAGCTCTGCCGGACTGGTGCCTTTGTTCATGTGATGGGTGTTGTCTTTGTTGGTATGACAGAGCTGGAGATGGAAGAGCATCACGAAATGGACGGAAGGCGATAGCCGAACACCTGGAATAAAGCAGATTTCCTTCCTTAGGTGTACTTTCAGTTTTTCTCTCAGAGTAATCAGTCCTATTCAGTCCATTTCACATTATGCCGTCTGATGTTGCGGTCTCATAAAATTATCTCCGCTGATACGCTAATACTACAGCAGCTCGCCTGCCGATTGTGCTAAAAGGGTAATTAATTACCAACTTAAATAATTAACTCATGTTCAACCAACACAGGCCTATAATAGACAATATCTCTTCATAAATAGCATCTTGTCGATCAGGGGCGGTTGTGGCGGTTGTGGATCAACGTTTGGGGGCAGCACGAAAATTCTAACACTTCTGTGCGGCTATTCTGTGCAATTCATAGGCGGTCGAAGAACATTGAGCGGGGGCTATTTGCAGCGTGGCAGCTGGAGGTAACGCGCTCTAATGTGTGCGGACAAGTGTGTGAGGAGGATTACTAAGGTTTGTAGATCCACTTGGGACGATCAATTGAGCATGTGTCTTTCTCTTGTCTCGTGGTTCGCCAGAGAGTTTAACATGTTGGGGGCGTCTATAGATCGATGCTTCCTACCAAGCGGTAATATAATCCTTCAACTAAGAATAGTATAGTCTACAACTCACCTTCTTGTTTAGGTCTTTCTTCCTACTCCGTACATGAACCGAGGGATTTGGGGGACCCTCATATTCGCCCTTTTCTAGTTCACGATGGTGAGCGCTGGCTTGCTATGAATACCTTTTGACTTGCACGTGGATGACTTGAATGGATGGAAGGTGATTTTGATAATAAGCTTGTTGGCATTCCTTTTATGGGACGGTACTATTGCAAGCAAAACAGTGTTGGTGGCAGAACCTATACCCAGACAACTTAGGAAGATATAAGAAGCCATTTTCACCTCTGTAAAATAATGCATTCCGAACATTATACGAGACCTTTGTTTCTCTAGCCATGATGTACGCCGATCCGGTTCTGCTTCTGCTGCTCGCATGCTGCCAAGTTTTTGTACTGGCCATTCCTCCACATGTAAACAAAGCACGCGCGATTACTTCGAATCCATCAGGTAGGATATGCTCAATGGCACCTGAGCAAACTTCTAATAAGGTCAATCTAGTGGCATCAGCTACCGTTACGCCAACATCGAGTCTTTCATGGTACCAGTTTGACTGCAAAGCACCGGCTGCTACGGATATCAACATGCCTGGTTACCAGCGCTGGACCGCGATGGACGGCCTTGGCGCGTGGGGTGATGCCAACTCCTACTGGCATGAACACGCAAGCGATGGCGTCTCATACTCCGAAGAACTATCTTACTTTTTCAAGGGACCCAGCAATATAAACTGTGGTATCCTGGCTGATAAAAACGGATGTGATGGGACTGGGTCCATTTCGTGCAATCAATGGAATCATCCAGCGGGATACTTCATTGTTTCCTCAATGATGCTCCTTGAAGATGTAAGTTTTCCCACTCCAGCCAATCATCTAGAAACTAATTGGACGTACAGCACTTTCAAAATCTCTATGATGCTATCCCTGACGCTCGTTCAGCGGTTACGGATCAAGTCCCGGATATTACTTCCACGTTTTCTCCTTCCACGACCGAGAATAGTTTCAAGTTTACAATAGATATTGGAATGATGGCATTGACTTCATTCCTCGCACCTTGGTGGAATATGTGTAGGCCATTGCATACCTCCCACTCGCGCCAAGTTGGACTAATCGAAACTCTTCTCTTACAGTTTTCAAAAGCACGGTACCGAGCGATTTGTTAAGTACATTAAAGGATACTTTCAATGGGTTTGTTTCTCAGACAGCCACGTTGTTAAAGGATGAATCGTCACTTTCGTATGTCAATGGCATCTACACAAAGAGTATTCCCAGCTAACGATACCACAGTGACCAAGTGCTTGGGAAAGAAAACAACGTCACTGGGCAAATCTACGAATTGACAGAAGGTTGGCAGATAGCAATCGATGGTACAGTGTCCGACCTGTTCAACGGGTCTGCCATGTCAATTGGAAGGCTTGCAAATGCTATTCAAGACGGAGCCTTCCTTCAAGAAGCAACGTTTCCTTCAAGTGTGGAGAATGAGGAGTTTATGAAAACTGCTCTCTATCAATTTCTGATCCCAGATGCCTGGTCATTATCTGATGAAGTCGTCTTCATCATGGATGGGGGCATCGACTGCACCGACAATGTCCTGCCGAGCAGTGTGTCTGCGGTTGACGAGTATATTGACTCAGACAGCACCCCACTGGGCGTTTGCATTATGAACCATGCATACTATCTCGTTGCAACTGATAGCATCCCGGCTGAATCCTGTGACGACCAAAACTTATACGGATCAGGATCGTGCACTAAAAACAAATTTGTCACTCCATATGGGGCGACACAACTCGACGGCTCAAGCTGGGGTTCCCTGACCTGGCAGGCCATGGTCAACAGGTGAGTGAGGATTGATGAGCCGTTTTGCTACGAAGTGGTCTGACATTGATTGCCTTATAGCTCTGTCCAGTCATATCTCAACAATGATAATCAGAACGGGTGGGCTACTCCGGACCCTACATCGATTGAATTTATCTGGAATATGTTTGACAATGGTGCGTCGACGCCTGGAATCTTCAATTTCTATATGTGCAGTGGAAGTGAGGCTTGGAACAACTGGGACGAGCACACCGTTCAGAACTCGGATGTCAAATCTGCGCACTACCCATGCAACTAAACTGAGAGTTGGATGCTTTAGGCCAAATTCTTGGCCCAGATACCGAAACAGAATCAGTTTTGTTGAATAAATTGTCAAATGAGATAAAAGGAAATCTGATTCTCACCGCTTGTTGATTCCGTAAACCTTTACGAGACACTGCGCGGAATATGTTGATCTCCGAAGAGTAATAGGAACCTGTCACCTGGTGGAAGGAGAGAAAAGTGTTCATGACTTGGTGAACATATTATTGGGTCCTTGTATGCTTTTTAAATGCCACGAAGCAGGGGTTTGGTTGGTTCGGACTACTTTCCGAACTGAATGGGATATCAATTAAGATTCATAGTGTCTAGCATGTGTAGTATGTGAATAGGGTATAACAACAGAAAAAAGCAGGTCTAGCCAACAAGAAAAAAGAAAGTCCGAATGCCGACATTCTCTTGGGAAATTAACACGCCTGACGAAAAGGGGAATAAAACATATGTATAATAAGAGAAGAAAAAGACACAGAAGAAGCGAAAGAGACAGCCGCTCAGTAGGAGACCCGCTCTATGGTACTTCCCTGTCACCTCTTTTCAGTCCATCGGGGATGTCCATTGCATCGCGTACCCACTCCATGGCTGCAATCTCATCGAGTGTTTTACGCCGAGTGTTGCGCTTCAATAGACCTTCGACACACTCCCGGGCACCTTCCAATCCACGGCCTTTCTCAGGATCCCACTCCTCGTCGTCGTCGGCATACCGGTACCACGCCCATTCACAGCGGGCGATACGGTGCGGCGTCCGAGCGCGTAGTTTGGCGGGATCACCGCGAGTGCCCGGGAGAACATCAAACGGCAGACGATTTTCCATGATGGCATAGAGCAGCACGCCGAGCGCCCATGCATCCGTTGCACGACCATCATAGGCCTGGCCCATCAAGATTTCGGGGGCCGCGTAGTCCTCGCTACCACAACGTGTGTGTAAAAGCGGGCTCTCCGGGGGCTCGGGAATGCGTCGTGAAAGACCAAGATCGCTGAGAGTGACAACAGCACGGTCGTAATGGCTCCAATCATCCACAGCCTCCATGGCTTGTTCCGGCATGGTGAGCAAAACGTCTAGAGGTACTGTGAGCGCACTTCTCGAAAAAGAGACACGGAAGAGACTCACTTTCGAGTTTAATATCCCGATGCACAATGTAGTGGGAATGCAAGTATCGCACAGCATCTACCAGCTCTGTGAAAATACGACGGATAAGGCCAGGCGACATGCGCCGAGGCCCCGAGGTTGCGTATTCGAATAGATCCCCCCGGGGCAATAGTCGAGAACCAGTAGAGCACGCTTCGCATCACTTCCATACGCCTTCAACTGGACCAAGGACGGGTGGTTGACTGATTTCAAAATGTCCACTTCACGCTTGAGCGACACCTCCAGCCGTTCCTCGTCCGCCCCACCAGCTGGGCCATGCTCAATGATCTTGATCGCGACCAGCTTCTGTGACACAGAGGGCTCCATATCGCTGGGCCCATCGGTCGGCCCATCGGTCGAGGGCGAAAACTGCGTACTAAGGCCCTGCTCCACTCTAGCTGCCAGACTGACTTGGCTGAATGTGCCTTGGCCCAAAACCCGTAGTTTTCGGTAAATGCGGGCTTGATCCGTACGAATGGAGCGCACCGAATAAATTTCTTCGGGGGTACTGAGCGGCGTCGGGTGACGGATGACTGGTTCGACGTCGCTGTCCCCATAACCACTCCCACTGCTGCGAGGAGGGCTCGGCGGGCGTATGGTGGGTAAGGCGATTCCTCGATGAACGGCCAAATATTGTTCGCGGTGCAAGGTATTGGATTTCGAATCAGTACTCGAGGACGATGTGATACCTGGTACACCTGCTCCGGAGACTGCGATAGGTCGCGGGGAAACAGACGGACGACCGGGAGGCACATAGTCGCTCAGACTGCGATTGCGACTATGTGTCGAGGTTGATTCCCTCCAAGCACGGGTTGGAACCGGCGACTCTCGCCCGGATTGCTCTAACCCGGTGTATGATTTGTTGCGAGGCCGAGTCGACGGGCCTAGCATCTGGGAGGAATCGCTGAGCCGCAAGCTGGACCCGCTCCGTGACGCCAAGGAGGACGTGCGTGAGAGTGATGGTAAGTCGCCCCTCCGCCATGGGGTCGAACCGCCGATAGGTGACGGCAGCGGGGTGATATCACCCATGGCGTTGAGTTGAGGGGATGACATGAGTGACGCGGGCGACAACGATCCGGCACTCGAAATGGGAGCCGCGAGGGCGCGCAGGCTCGGGGTACGATGCGGGAAGCTCCCCGACGACAAGCTGTTCGAGGCGAGGGGATCGGATTCTTTGCCTGAGCTGGTCGGACGGACGCTGGGCAAATCGGTACGGATCTGAAGCTCTGGCAGCGGCGACGCGAACTGGTACTCGGGGTGCAGTACGGAAGGCGCGAGTTCGTCTACTGAAAGGGCCGACTGAAGCAAGAGCGTCTCCGGGGACCTGGTACGGTCGCCATGACTGCTGCTGGGAGCGGCATTGAGGGAGTCACGGGGCGAGTAGGTCAAACCAGACCTATCGGCCGGCGTACCGGAGTCGGCAGCGACCATCGAGCCAAGCGAGTAACTCTGTCGCTTGGAATGCGCTAGACCGCAACCGGGAAGACCGCGACGCCGCGAAATGACAGCGGCTCTACGGTTGCTCGATGAGCTGCGATAAATAATGGAGGGGTGAGAAGACGAGCGGAGAGTTCAGGGTCCGCTCGTTCAGCCTCCTCCAGGCCCGCTTGTTTTTGCCGTTAGCGCGGAGGCCCGTTGAGGGCCAACAGGTCTATAAATAGCGGGCGCGTGGACAGGACAGCATGTAGAGTGGGCGTTAATTTATGCCAGTGCAACAGCAGAGCAGAGCGCCCCCAGTGTGGGAAGACACAAAAAAGAGGTTGGAGATGCGCAAGACGAAAAAGAAGAGAGTCAGAACAAGTTCGCGGGGAGCGGGTCAGGTGACTAGCTGGATCACCCGATGGGGTAAGCCGAGTGGGCGAGAACCCCCCGAAAGGGGCAGGCGTGGGGAAGTATGAAGTACAGGTCAACTGCATCGGATGGAGGGTTGTATGCAGCCACGCTCCTACTCCCGTCTACCACTTGCCGGGGATGCTGTTCCCCATGGGGAAAGCACAGGGCCCATCTTCTGCAGTCCCGCCCTTGTCTCGGCTATACGAGGCTAAATTTAGCTGAGAACAATCGAGGTCCAGGATCACCGCTGTCATGCAAGAGGCAATCGCAATTGCTACGGGCCTACGCAAGATCGAGTAACACAACGATTTCACTACGCAAAACTGAAAAACAACATGCAATCTAAAACCGATTCTCCGGGAGAATGAGCTCTCCAGCCAGCTGGCCATAGGCTCCCTCGACTTCGCTGACCGTCCTTCCCTGCACCCAGTAGCCCTTGCCATTACCCGACTCAGCCACGGCCGCAGCCGCAATGGCCCACGCAACATCTTCTGGGGAGCTTTTCAGCGTGTCCGGGTGAGATGCCGCCTCCAGACCCTGGACCATCGATGTCAAGGTCAACCATGGGGCAACCCAGGAGATGGAAATCCCCGACTGTGCGACCTCGCGAATTTGAGCCGTGCTGCGGACCAGCCCCAGCACCGCATGCTTACTCGCCGTGTAAAGCGGTTGCGAGGATACAGGGACATAGGAGGCCGCAGATCCAACGACCACGATCCGGCCTCCGCCGTGGCTCTTCATGTAATGGATTCCGAGCTTGAGTCCAAACACAACCGAGTTCACATTGATGTCGAACAGTTTTGTCGAGGGTCGTTGGAGACCGTGTACGGTTTGCTCGTCCGCCAAATAATTGTGTAGAACTTGCGAGTTCATTTGGGCGTGGGCGTCGGATGCTTGCAGCAGGGCGATCTCAGGGTTGACGGCCGCATTGCAAACTAGCAGGTCGACCGGGCCAATTTCACTGGAGACTCGGTCGAACAATGCCACCTGCTGGTCCCAGTCACTGACATCGCACACGTGATATGTTGATTGAGGGCCGATGGCTGCGCAGGCACTCTTCAGGTCTTCTTCCCGCAGATCCACTAGGACAACCCGGGCTCCATTTTGTGCAAGGAGGGAGGCTGTCGCAAAACCAATACCTCTGGCGGCACCGGTGATTATGGCAACTTGGTTGTTTATGGCCTTGCGCAACGTATCTTGGCTAGGTCTCGGAGTGGCAGACATTTTCGGAACTGGTAGGATTGATGGTGATATTTCTGGCTGACAATGGGGCTTGCAATACTAGCCTTATATAATAGTTACCAACAGGTTCTCCTCTCGGGCCCGGCATCTTCTCGTTCCGTTTCAGCCGAATCCACGGGTAATTAAAACCCTGTAGGCCTGTCTTGCCAATACTCTAGCTGCATACGGCGATAACCCTATAAATCGCTGTTCATTTTCGTCATTCTTTTTATCTATGGACATACGCCTAGAAACTCGACATTGCTTTATGACGGTTAGCCACTACACGACTTGTGATACTAGCCGAGGGAGCCAGTGCCTCAAAGCCATGAGGCAGCCCCGGATAGATATGGCACTCCGTTGGGATGTTGGCGGCCAAAAGTCGATGCACATACTCAATTCCCTCATGGACAAAAATGTCCAACTGCGGGCAGTCCAGGTAGAGAGGAGGCAGCCCTTCCACACTCTGAACTCGCGCAGGCGCGGCGTAGGGCACCACTTTATGTGTGCCAACGTCCGATCCTAAATAGGCAGTCCATCCAGTGATATTATCGTCCAATGTCCAGAAGGCCAGATCACCAGCGTGGTTAGTCACTGTGCGATCATCCAGCATGGGATACATCAATATCTGCTTTGCCAGCGGCGGTGCAAGAGTATGATCCCGCGCCTTGAGAGCCAGGGCTACAGCCAGCCCTCCTCCAGCGCTTTCCCCCATGACCGCAATGCGAGAAGGGTCGATTGAGAGCTCCCCTGAGTGCTCGTAAACCCATTGTAGCGCCGCCCAGCAGTCATCGAGTGGAACAGGATACGGGTGCTCAGGTGCCAGACGATAGTCCACAGTGAGGATCTGCACACCGGTCCGTGCCGTTGCGATAGCTAAAGGTTCCGAAGTTTGCGCTGCGCTCAGAGCGATAAACCCACCGCCGTGGATGTGAACAATTGCCGGCTCTCCTGCTTCTCGAGTCTCGCGCCTGGGTCGAAAGTGATAAATCGTCACCTGGTGGCCGTCTGGTGCAGGGACGCGATGAGTAAGTTTCTCGACATTGTCTGGTAGTTCGAAATTCTCATTTGTCATGGCTTCCATCATGGCCCTTCTGGTTGCAATGTCGTGCACGGCGGGTCTCGGTGTTTGGGCCAGTTGCTGCAACGCAGGGCCCGCCAGGCTGGCAAATTCTGGATCATATTGCAAAGACATTTTAGATATGCAGCAGTAGCAAACAGTAGAATAAAGAGTCGATGGACAGGACGTGAGCCGTCTTAACTAGATCCTTCCGTGCCCAAAGCCCCTCGGCAGTGGAGCTTCCGGTCCCTATGCCTTCGTAATTTCTCCAATCTTACCGTTCCGGATCCACTGCTAATATTCCCACCCGTTTCGGAGCCCATGGTCATCTTTGTCCGTTGTTGTTGTCGTGGAGGCAGATTGTGGGGCAGCTCTTTTAGGTAGGCCACAGCGAGGAACCCGCGTGGTGGATAAGCCCTAACTCAACGCTTGTACCACTCGGAATCTCTCACTTCAGCCAGTTAATAATAAGTACAACCGCTAGTTACATGCACCAGGTACACACGCCATGGTGGCCCCCCATATTCCGAGTTTTGACGATCTGCCGCCCGTCGAAGGCATGCCCCAGGGTTGTGCTTGGGGTGTTTTCGATGTGGACGGCACAAAGGACGTATATGGGACGCTCAATCTACTCACCCCGGAGGTCGTCCAGGAGGCTGCCACAGAAGTCCATCAGGGTGTCTCGATTTCGCTGAAGTGAGTTACTGCCGGAAACGGACATCACGATATTAGACATTAACTTTGCTTAAATAGTTGGCCTATCGGGAGCATCAAAATACCAAACTTTTGGCGAAAAAGCCTCTCGCATCGAGTTATGAAACTGGAGGACCAGCAGGCCGGTCGTCATCTCGGATTTGACGACGAAGTAGGTCTGGCGATTCCTGTCGCTCAGAACAAGCGCTTATATTCTCTCTAGGTCGAGTTCAATACGCAAGCCAGCAGCCAGTGGGATAGTTTGTGTGCGTGCCATCTCCCAAACTATTGATTGAACCCAAGCATTAACATGCCCCAGGTCATTTCCTTCATATTCCCACTGGGAAGGCGTATAATGGAGCCAAACCGACTGTAGAAGCACTGGAGAATTCGACAGAAGCTTCCCAGAAACTTCCAACGATAAACCGTAAGACCTGGTTTAAACGTTTGTGACAGGTTGAATACTCTAACCCTTATCCCAGACTGGCACGACCGGGGTTGCATAGCGGGCCGAGGTGTACTGATCGATTTCAAATCCTACGCCGAAGCGAAAGGGGTCTCATATTCGCCATTCTCCGGTTTTCGCATTGGCGTTGCCGATATCGAGGCTGTAGCTGCCTTCCAAGGAGTAATCTTCCAACCAGGAGACATTCTGATCATCCGATTCGGCGTTACCGAAGCACTAGATAACATGACAGGTGAAGAACAGGCCGCAGCTTTCGGAGGTACCCGCTACTGTGGCATTGAAGGAAGCAAAGACACGGCCAAGTGGCTTTGGAACAAACATTTTGCAGCGGTTGCTAGCGACAATGTTGCAGTTGAAGCCATGCCACCCATAGTGGACGGGGAAGAGAAGCCGCCAACGCATCTTGTTCTACACCAGTGGTGTCTCAGCTTGTTTGGTCTTCCGTTGGGTGAGCTGTGGTATCTTAAGGATCTGGCTGAGAAGTGTAAAGCAGCTGGCCGCTACAGCTTCTTTTTTACCTCGTGCCCCTTGAATGTGCCTGGCAGTGTAGGAAGTCCGCCAAATGCGCTGGCAATCTTGTGAGCCCAAGGAGGTATATTATGTATTATTTGACTTCAACGATAGAGCTGAAGGTGGAGACTCACAGGTTTGAGATGGCCTGGATAGAATATTCGAGTATAAATAGAGAGAAGTCAATATGGATCAAGTAGATCGCTTCGGTACAGTAGGAAACGCAAATTCTAATTGATTGACATCTAAATACATTTTTAAAATCAATTTCAACGTTCTGTCTGAAAGCCATCCCATTGATCCAAGGCCGCGTTACAGCTCTTCCACCAGCTCTGTATACCACCCAGGTAAATGAGCGGCTCCCGCCGTTTACCGGGGATGTTCGTACCCATGTACCATGAGTCAGTTTTCGGATACAAAGTATGTTGGCTCACGGCAACTACCTGGTCGCGCCATGCCTCTGCCGCAGAGAGGGTGGGCTCAATTGAGTTCAGGCCTTCGTTCTGCATTTTACCGATTGCTTTGCAGATCCAGTCAACTTCCATTTCAATGAACGGTGGGCCATTGGCCAAGGATGTTGGGGCTTGCGGTCCATAGACCATGAAGAAATTCGGCAAGTCTGGAATCATGATTCCCAGGTGGGTGAGAACCCCGTTCTGCCACTTCTTCGCCAACGGAATGCCCTTCTTATCGGTGATTGACATGTCTAGCAGACTACCCGTGACGGCGTCGTAGCCAGTAGCAAAGATTATAACATTCAAATCATCATGCTGTGTCGCGTCTCCATCGCGAGTCACGACTCCGCTGGCATTGAATTCGACAATAGGAGACGTCTTCAGGTCATGCAAAGTGACATTAGGACAATCAATCATCTCGTAGTAGTCTTGCTCCAAGCTAGGGCGCTTCGTTCCGACAAGATACTCCTGCTTGAGCGGCGCCACGATGTCCATCTTCTTTCGGTCGGTCATACGGGCGCGCACCTGCTGGACCCAGTAGTCGTAGAAGATGGAGTTGGCCCCTTCATCAAGCAGGAAGTCGTAGTAATTGGACACCAAAAAGCTGTACCCGCCTCGTTCCCACAGCTCATCAAAAAGCTCATTCCGCTCCTCGGGAGTGGCCTGATGCGCCGACTGGAAGCGGGTGTTGTGCGGAAATCCCGCTTCTGACTTATAGGAGCGTTCGAAGAGACCGTCGTAGTAGCCTTTGAGCATTTCGGATTCTTCGAGGGAAATTTTGCGCTGCTTCATTGGAATGGCAAAGCAGGGCGTGCGGATGAAAACCGTCAGCTGGCAGTCTTGTTTGGCCAGCTCCTGCACGATTTGGAGGCCCGAAGCGCCATTTCCGACAACCCCGACTCGCTTTCCCTTCACATCCAAAGTATCAGGGTAGTCTGCGGAATGAATAAGCTGGCCCGCATAGGTGTCCAAGCCAATGAATTGCGGATAATGCTTCTTGTAGGAGGACCCGGTAGCGGTAATCAGGTATTTGCAGGTTGCTTGCAGTCCGGTGTTGGTGCGAACAGTCCACCGGCAGGTTGTATTATCGTATTCCACGCCTGTCACAACGGTGTTGAAGAAGGTATCCTTGCTGAGACCGAGAACCTTGTCAACGTGCTGAAAATATCGGCGCAGTTCATCGTCTCCTGGGAACCTCTCGGACCAATTCCAGTCTTTCCAGACGGCAGGAATATTGAACTGATACGAGGGCATCTCGGAATCGACACGCGCACCAGGATATCTGTTCCAGTACCACACGCCCCCAAAGGCACTGCCTGCCTCGATAAGCTTCACGGACAAACCCATCCTGCGAAGCTTGTAGAGAGAGTTGCAGCCGCCAAAACCACCGCCGATGACGATGGCGTCCATGTTGATCTGGGGATCAGAACGGGTCATTTTGTTTGCTGAACAGGATATTCAATGGCAAAGAAACAAAAAAAATGATTTCGGGGCTATTCAGCAGTAAAGCGTGATCGAGGAAAATAGCTTCTTTTTGATAGCAGACATTTGCGGTTCTCATTACGCCGGCTTCCGCCAGACGGCTACACAGCATCCGAAGCAGTAGTTGAAACCGAGTCTCGAGAGAAGATATCGGCGATGTAGGTTCCCGACAGATCAGGAACCTGACGGCGACATAGTTTCAATATCGAACCCACTCTGGCCCCACTCGTCCGGACCGCGGATCTTCACGTTAACACATTATGTAACTACCATTTATATTCAAAAGGATCTTGCGGTCTTGTCCTTCGGAACATGTCGTATCCGCATCCGATGCCTTGACAAGAGTAAGAGCAGCCGAAGTCAGGTTTTGTGGAAGCCCCGCGTTTGCTATTCCGAACACCGGCACAATAAAGGCCGCGTCTCTCCAAATTTAGTTCTGTTGACAACTCCCTTCGCCAACCCAAATTCGATCGACATGTCGTGCCAAGTTGAAGGAACCGCTTTCATCACCGGTGGTGGATCAGGTAGTCATCCCCCCTGTCTGAATGTGCATGAGGCACTGCTAAGTTACTCAAAAGGAATTGGCAAGAGCACATCAATTGCTTTTGCAAAGAATGGTATCAGCGGGCTTGCTCTCCTTGATCTCAATCTGACTCTGTTGGAAAACACTCGCGATGAGATACAGAAACAATACCCTAATGTTCAGGTTGAAATCATGAAGGTAAACGTCGCAGACGAAAAGTCGGTCGACGAAGCGCTGCGCAAGGCAGTGGAAAGATTCGGGTGCATTGACATTGGGATCAATTGTGCAGGCATCAGTGGCACACCGACCCCAACTCATGAGATGTCTCTGGAAGAGTGGCAGAAGGTCATCAATGTCAACCAGACAGGCGTGTGGCTCTGTCAACGGGCACTAATCCGACAGATGATCGGTCAGAAGTGAGAGCAAATCAATCGTCTTTTTAAAAAGAAAATCCCTAATAGCTTCAGCTCGCGTGGTCTGCGTCATGGTCGTGGTGTGGTCGTCAATGTCTCGTCTATGTTTGGTGTAGGGGGTCCTCCGGGTCCTTTCAGTATTCCTCACTATACGGCGGCAAAGCATGGTATGTAGAGCACCGCTTCTTGTTCGACCGAAATCTAATGGATTATAGCGGTGGTCGGCGTCACAAGGATGGTACGGTCCATCAGTACAGGCGATCGTCTCATCACTAACACGCACTAGGACGCGAAAGCGTATTCCCGACAGGGTATCCGAATCAATGCTATCTGCCCGGGGTATTCATGCCCATGAAAAATAAGACTAAGAAATACTGACGTCTCGCAGATTTGTAGATACCCCCATTATCAGCGCGCAGATTCAGTCCGGCTCGATGGATTCTCAGTTCGAGATGACGCCCATTGGGCGTCCGGCCCAGGTCGAGGAAATCTCGGATGCAATCTTGTTCCTCGCGTCCCCCATGAGCAGCTACATGTGTGGAGCAGCACTGGTGGCAGATGGAGGATATACAGTGTAGATTATTGGTATCTATTATGAACATTGTATCTACACAAGCATAATATCAAAGTCCGCCTCCTTCGCGATCTCTTGCCACAGAATATCTGTCTCTGGTGGGGCTTTCGCTCGTCGATGCCATAGTGCCAGCACTATCTCGCAGAGAACATTGATATTCTGGATACCGTGACGACTCTTTCGGTCGAAATAAGCCAGCATGCGAGTCTGTAGCTCTCGCCGTTCGCATTCGGCTGCAGCAACGAAACATGCCCAATTGTAAGCACAGCCGCCCCCGTCGTTTGTCAAGGCATCGGCGGCTTCCAATTCTTGGATAGCCTTTTCGACCAATTCTTGGACATCACACAGTGGCACGCGACGTAAAGTCCGGCGAAAGTATACAATTGTTGCATAGTAGAATGCATTCAATGCATGCTGGATGATTATGGACTCCCTGGTAGTTGATGTGGACATGCACGGAAAATTGAGATAGAGTTCCAGCTCGAGACGATCCAACATATCAGCATGTATTGCAGTGTGGGAGTCGATGAGTGCATTCACATGGGCGAGGAACTGAACTAATTGTGTGGTAACCCCATGGGATCGTTCTAAGTAGTGCCGTGATTCGGAAGGCTCATTGAGGAGCGAAGCGAGCTGCGATGACATAGGCAAGCTGCAAAGTGATGATAGGGATAGGTAGCTTTTCAGTAAACGAGAAGCGGTTGTACTGCGTAACCATTCATCATGAACCTCATTTTCTAGCAAGCCTAGTCCACCGGCCACATGGGCCCGCCATCGACTTCGTCGACCAGACATGGCTTCAGCTGTGATACAGGAGAGTATTGCTGCCAACGTGGGTTCATTTATTCGGCGTGCTCGTTGCAAGTTGCATCGTAGATGACGCAGAGCCTGCTGGTCGTGATTCACCGCGAGGGACTGATATCGAGTGTCTTTGCGAATATGAAAGAGACTAAAGGCAGAAGAGGCGCAGATGGCGTGGAATATGGACAGGTGTATATTTGATTCGGTCGTAGGAGCACCAAGTCCCTTCAGGGCCATTGGCATGAATACCGTCCGGCAGGGGTTATCTGGGGTGTCGATCAGAAGCATGTTTCCGCTGAGAAAGACAACCCAGTGGTGGACCAGTTCAGTCTCGGCTCGCGGTAGTGGAAAGGGATTCAAGGCAGTCGAAGGCGACAAACCTAACGAACTCCCTTCATAATGTTTGATCAATGCAAGTTGTTTGTCAAGATCAGGGTAGAGATTTTCGAAGTGACTTTTTTGGTTGATCGTGAATGAGAGAGTGGCGATTCGAGAATCTTCGTCTACCGTTGTGACAGGTTCGGGTGGATTTGGAAGTATCCGTCTGTCATCTTCAGCGATTGATGACGACTCTGTGGTGTAGGACTCCTCCGATGTCAATGCAAGTGAAGAAGACTGGTCACTATCTCCAGTGCCTGTTGTTGAATCACCTGCGCCAGGCTCTGGGATTCTCTGGTCCTTTCCCTCTCTATGCTCATGCGAGCTAGAGAGAACAAGCGTTGAATTCGAATACCTGATGCATTCTGTATCTTTCGGGTCGGCACTTGATGCGGAGAACACCGAGAAAGGCCCTCGCTGTTGTGCGCCGCCATCCGCAGAGCAGCCATCTAGCTCGGCCAACAACGCCGTGACAGCCGCTGCAGACATGCTATACGCTGGCGGTGGATCCAGTGACAGCTGGCGGCGATGAGATCGACTGCCCGGGGCCGGGGACCATCCCAATCGCAGTCCATAGCCTTGGCATTGCCATCCACTGCGTAGACACCGCAGACAATGAGGGTGCACATCGTCACATTTGACCCGGCGAGCGCGACAGGTCCAGCAGCCTGTAAAGGTCTTGCTGCGCGCTTTGCGGGTCTTCACATTCTTCGTTGTAGGAATATCGTTCATCACAAGGCTAGGGTGGAGAACCGGAAGAGGATGAAGTTTCGGAGCTACGTGATAAAATTGTTCTGGCGAGTCCCCGCTCCTCGGCGCTCGCCGGGTCGCTGGGATCTACATTAGGGCTCGAAGCCAATTGTTGCTCACAACAATGGCCATTGGCGAGGAGTAAATAGACTTTAGAGCGCGTCGGGCAGATCAGGGGCCATGGACTAATATGTAATGGCGTTGGGGGGTACTCATAGTGCCCGTTTAGAGTGAGAAAAATCTCACCGAGTTTGGTGGCAAAATGTACTTACATTGTACTATAGTCTATAAAGACATTCTTAATTGACATGAGAATTGCCAGTGGATGCACTCTAGCATATGTCGCTCGAGTTTGTCATATTTATAAATTGTTATCGCTTGCAGTCGTTCTTGATATATATATTACTCCGGATATCCATGGTGATCCTTGCATCGCTAACTAGCAATCTGTCACACCAATAACCATTCATTGTGCAGAATTTACAAACCCGAAATTCGCCATGGGGTTTTTCGGTGTTTCAACTTCCCTTGACAGATTGACATGGGGTGGTCGAGGCTAAGATGGGACACGGCATGCCGATCTCTGCAGCCCGGTAGGGCAATCGCAAGGCCACTCACTGCGCACTCATTTGTTTAATTTGGAGACTACGGGATGCCGGGTAAAACAAAAGCGGAAAAAACTGTATAGTAGTAATGTGCAAGATAATTGAAGGCTTGCGGAGAATAGCTGGATCTCCCGCCAGGACCTGCTGTACAATATTACAGCCAAGACCCATAGGAGATTTTGATCAGATGCAAGAAGATATCTCTATTCAAGTCCCTGGCAAATTAAGGAGACGTCACTGGAGAGACGCCGGTTGGAACGTCGTAGCGAATCGATCCCAGATATGCATGAGACTTTTCTATGTACACAGACAGAGGAAATAAAAAAAAGTACAAATCCAGTAACACACCCCGTTACCAACCCACACAAAAATGCGAAACATGGATGCTTTGAGCGCCGGAGTGAAGAGATCGGTTGGGGATAATCAAAAGCCGTTGTTAGTTATACATCGCAGGGCGAAAGAGAAAGGGAGATTGGTGTGGTTCGCCGATAATAAGAGGTCGTGGAAGGAGGGCGTCGAGGATACGGAAGTTCGGACGACCGGAAAGTTTGCTAGATCAGAACTGACAAACGCCAGAAATTTAAAACAGGGCCCTTCTCGTGACCTAGAGGAGGATGTTAAAGAAGGAGATTTAGCCAGAAAGAGGAGGGAAACGTACGGTCCAAGCACCAGCAATGGTGGCCACGATTCCACCCGAGATCATCATAGGCTTCAAACCACGCGTACTCTTGAAGAGCATCCCGCTCAGAGCACCCGCCGTAATGCTGTTAGCAGCATCATGTTTGCCCCTCGCGTATCCGATGGCTGAGTTGAAACCATTGTACACCATAGCCACGACACCGGCGGAATTGCCCAAGAACGGGCCGCGGCGGGTAATCGAGTTGAGGACGCCGTTTAAACGAATCTTCGGTGGCGCAGATGCAGGTGTCTTGTTTAGTCCCTCCGCGAGGCCCCATGCACCCCCGAGGGTGAGTGCGGTGAGATAGGTCGTGCCCGCACCATAACACAGGTCGTCGGACCAGCCCCGGGATGGCAGAAGTGATCGGGAGCCGGGGAGTTCATCGAGGGCAGAGTCTTCGAGGGTGAGATAGTCGAGCGTGTCTTGGTTCAAGCCAGCCAGAGGGTGCAGTTTCGTCGGGTCGGGAATGGCGACCTCGGAGAAGAAGGAGGTGGCATCCTGGTGGGTGGAAGGGTCGTAGGACTCGGAGCCCTGGGTTTGTTTGCGACCGCCGAGCGAGTCCCAGATGGGCATTGTGATGATGAAAGGAGACGAAGGAGGGGGGCGAGGGGAGGTCAAGGAAGGTACGAAGGACACAAGAGGATCACCAGCTTTGCTTTCCGCCTTTTCGCGATCCCAGCAAAAAACTTCGAGTCCCGTGACTTGGGCCCGGAAGAATGTACGGCCGACACTAGGCCCGATGGGGTAGCCCACATCCAAAAATCATTCATCGAGTGACATCGATGTATGTCCTTCGTCTTGATGGATGAGGATTCTTCCAACGGTGCACCATGCACCGTGTCCATCGGCATGGATGAGATCGCACAAAATGTACAATTTATGCCCCAGAAGATACTTCAAGACATCGCCCGAGGCCCGCTCGTTCAGTACACATTGACTTGCGAGGATAACCAGTAAGGTTCAGTCAAAAACATGCAGAATCAAATCCTAACTCTGTTGACAGGAAAGTGAGCCGGGTGTGGAAGTCTCTGCTACAAACACTATCGACTCCGTCCCTCTCGCATCAGCATACCGCGGCTGCTTGCACCGCGGTCATTGCGTTTATTGATTCATCGATCAATTCCCAAAATGAGGAGACTAAGCGCTTGATACTGACATCTGAAAACTGGCTAGCACTATTCGATATCTTCTTGAATCGATACGAAGATGCCAAGCCGAAGCCTTTGAGGCAGTTGTTGGCTTCACTAACCTCCATTCTGGCTAAGCATTATCACGGACCCAGCCGCACATTGATCCAGGCCAAGATTGTGGAGGCTGTCATTCCTAGCATTGTGCTCGGTGAACCGAGATCGCGGCTGAAAGGCTGTCTGGTGTGTCTGGAGCTTTTCGTTCGCAAAGGTGCCATTCTCCCCTCCGAGCTCCTCCAGTTGGCAGGTCAGTGGCTCGCACCAAACATGGAAAGATGCGTCTCTGCTTTTGGAAAGGACTCTTTTGCCCTATTTCTCAACACTCAACCCACCAGCAGTATCAAGCCGGACGAGTTGTCTGACGAAATGGCGGCAAGGGTCTTCGTCTTCGGACTCCTCACTCAAACCAACAACAAGGAAATGGCGTCCTCATCAGGTGGGCTGTTGAAAGCCTTTTTACAAAGGATGAAAACCGAAGCTGTGTCCGAAGTGTCCCAGCGACAACTGTCGACTATTTGGGTCACCCCTGCCAGGCACTTGGTTCTTCAGAACATGAATACTCTCGAAACACAGTGCAACCAGCTTTTGGAGCCTTTATTCACAGTTGATCCTAGTGGGTTTCGGACCTTTGTCGAGACGCTCCCTTTGAAAAGCCTGCTGCAGGGCGATATGTCAGAGGCTCCGCTCGACGAGTACATGTTGTTGTTTGCTACTCTTCGAGTTGGAAAGAAAATCAATCTTGTCCATGATGACCGTAAGAGCTGAATGCTTTTTGCCATGGATGGTCTAGACTAACCATTGATAGACGGTCTCTCCGACCCTAGTGGGTTTGCAGATTGTGCTAAGTCGACACTCGTGCTGAGAAGCGAGGTTATTGGCAAGTTCTTGCTCCACCGGGAGCCTAGTATTCGACTTGCTGCCTTATCTCTGCTCATCACCGCCGTTTCAACGACGAAGCCGCTCACGCCGGCGGCTTTTGAAGCCATGCTTCGAGGGCTGCCATCCATGCACGCCGACTCGGATTCCTACACGAGAGGCGAGATGCTGAGCTTAACGCGAAAGCTTATTGTCCGTCTCAAAGGTGGAATCTTGAAGCGTGATTCTGCAAAAGCCCAAAATACAGTTCCTAGGAAACAGGTTCCCGACCTCGCCAAAACTGATGAGGAGACGAAGTCCTTCCTCATGGCTTATATTCACTTCTTGGAAGGAGACCTTTGTGTCACGGCGTCGTACGCACGTCACATCACAGCATTGAAAGCACTGAGGATGTTGATCGAATCTGGCCTGGACTCTCGGACTGACATCAAACCGGTGAAGTCGGAACTTGAAAACCGCTGGAAAGTGCATATGGAAATTTTCCACCCTGGTTTGCTCCGGCTTCTCCTGGACCTGCTCCTTGATCCCTTCGAGGAGGTGCGAGCAACGTCGTTGTCGATAGTGAACCAGTGCCCTCAGCATATTTTGATGAGTGGTCTATCTAACAGGGCCAACGATCAACCTGGTGCAAATTTGAAACTGACGAATGCTATTTCTCGTGCTGAGTGTATTGCAAGTAACACAAGCCGGGCCGACAATGCCGACACGGTGGCTCGTCTATATCATGTTATCTTCTGTGCCGCTTCAGACAGTGGTTCTGCTGGTTCGAGTTGGTGGGCAACTAAAGTCTCAGTCGTTGACACTATTCTGCAAAGACTGGAAGATCGACTATCATCTCCCAAGGGAATTTTCACTTCTTCCATGCGAGAGGCGCCACTTCACGGCTACATGTCTGGACTGAGATATATCGTTCTGACGCCCAACTTCCAAGCCTTGGTATCAGCTGGATATGGTTCTCTTGTTTGGAGATCTTTTCATGATCGAATTGTTGCTGTATGCGATAAGATATGGCTGGAAGTCAAGCCGGTGCTGTGCATCGACTCACCCGAAGGCCACACCGACGAGCCCATCGAAGATCTTTCAGTGGGACCCAAGGATATTTTATCGTATTCCTGGAGAGCACTCCGTGAGTCTAGTATGTTGCTTCATGCTACGATGGTCAATCAGACATACGGCCCACCGGGGGATGATGGACTACAGCGAACCGATTTCGAGAAAGTGGGCCGAGCAAGTTTCACACAACTCGCCGAGCTGCGCCATCGCGGTGCCTTCTCGACCGTCTCACAGACGTTCGCTACCTGCTGTGAAAGATGCAGCAAGTCCGACAATCCCTTAATTCGGGAACTTCCTCGGCAATGGTACCAGGAAGCCAAAGCAACCATATTTGAATCGGCCTCGAAGCTTACACGCCGATCTGCTGGTCTGCCAGCATTGATTACCGGTATTCTGTGCTCCGATCCAGCCACAACATTCTTCAACGAAGCCATGGAGGAGCTCCACGAGATCTCTCGTCTTCCTGTGGAGTACGACAAAGACCAGCAGTATTTGAAGCTGCCTCAAGTTCACGCAATGAATTGCCTGAAAGATATATTCACAAGCACCAAGCTTGGCCAATATTCTGAACAGTTTATCATGTCAGCTCTTACTCTGTCTGCGGATCGGCTGGGATCGCCAATGTAAGTGAGGCTTCACATCAGAAAACACGTTATATCTAACAACAGTACAGTTGGGCACTTCGGAATTCAGGCCTGATGCTCTTCCGTGCCTTGTTGAGTAAGATGTGCCGTCTGGTTTCTGGGACCGGATTAGGCTTCGGTGGTAGTTCTGGCTCGGAGCCTGGTGCCAGAGTTTCATTTCCGAAGTACCCGGGTCTTCTTGAGCTTTTGTCCCGTCTTCTCACCCCTACCGAAGACAATGCGTCTGCTGTGGGAGGAAGTACAGATATTGTGACTGAGCGTGTCTTCCCAGCCCTGGAGTTGGTTGGCGAGAAAATCCCGACATTCTCTGACAACCATGACACAATGTTGCGCGCATTGGTCCTCGAGCATATGAAGAGCCCTGTTTGGGGAATTAGGGAACATGCGGCTCGCGTGTATGCCTCTCTTCTCACTCGTAACAACATCTTACAGGATGTGTCCAGCCTTGTGGAAATTTCACCATCAGCCGCCACGGAAAATTATCTTCATGGAATAGCGCTTTGTGTTCGATACTCTCTGCGCCGTTTCTCGTCTACCACTGACGTGTACTGGACGACGCATATTCAAGGATTTCTGGAAACAATACGTCGAGTCTTTGCATCCATCCTTCCGCTGGCCAGGTCTCCAGCTGTCGCTACCGCTCTTATTGAGATTCTGAATGATGCAGTGGAACGGGCATTAAAAGCAGAAATCGAAGCTAAAACTGCATCCTTTCTTGATGAGGTACTTCAGGAATTTGATCTCCACGGCATTCTAACTCATGTCTTCGATGCCTCCCGTCCTGGCTGGAACATCTCCAGCTTGACCCGTGCATCATCTTTGCTTCGAAGAGCGCTTGCCTGGTACATGACATTGAAGATGCTCGTTTCAGGAAAATGGGAAGAGCTTACTCAATTTTATCTTGGGGTAACAACATTCGACGCCGACGCTGCTAGGTGGATTTTGGAGGAGCTTGAGGAGCGCCTTGGTGGAAAGAAGAGATACAGAAAGCCCCTGGCTGTTCTTTACGCCTCTGCGATTCTCGCAGACTCCCCTCCGAATATCAAGACAGCGGCGGCATCGAATCTGGCCTCTATTCTTGAAGGGTTGCTAGTGTCTGAGTTGGATACTGTCAAAGGCATGGGTTTGCCATGGGAGAAGATTGGGGGGAGCTTCCGGCCCGAGTCCAACATCCAGCTCTGGAACCGAGACGCAACTGACGCAGAACTTCGTCTCCGTGGGTGCCTTCTGACGATCAGTATCGCTTCTGGAGAGTGGCAGTCTCCATCATCATTAGATGCAGAGCTTCGCGGCTGGGCTGTCAAGTTGCGATCTGCCCTGAGTGAAGAAACCGTGAGTAAACCAATGGTGTGTTGCATATTTCAGCACTGACAGGAGATCCGTAATAGGAATTCACGTCTCGCTATGCTGCAGTGGCGTCTCTCGGCAGCTTTTCCAGGATCCTGCGAGTCCCAAATTACCCACCGAGAGTTGACCCCATCTTGTTGGACATATACCTTGCCCTATACGACATGCTCAATGACGATGATGAGGAGCTTCGCGACATGGCTGCAGCTACCGCGTCCTGGGCCTTATCCTATTCATCTGTATCACCAGCGGCGGCTGTCGCTCTCGGGCCGCTGAATGCCAGTGCACTTTTGGCCGAGTTCATCGCCAATAACTTTGCCGAATTTCCTACGCTCACTGAGTCTGTGGTTCGATACATCACTGGACAGCAGCCTCGCCTCAGTGCCTCTGACACCCGATCACGCCTGCTGTCCGTGTCGGATATAGTGGCAGAACATCGGAAGGAAAGCACGGTTTTGTTCATGGAGGAAAAGCAGAACTTGTTCATAGACGGGGTTCGAGAAGTTGACGTGTGGGCGCCAGCACTTTTGCGCCTCAAGGAATCCGCATACAAGGATAGCGTCGTGCACGATCTTGCGTGCTGGGCTTCCCAGGGATTAGCGTATCTCACCGAACTCGCCGGCGAAAGTGCCGGGCAAGATGGACTTTTGGGATGGATCTCAAAGCCCGAGACCTTTACTTTAGGAGTGCGGTTGATTGGAATTGCCTCTGTCCTGGTGTCGGAGAATTTTCCTTTGCCAAACTATATGGGCGGTGCGCAGGACGAGCTGCGCAGGCAGATGCAGTCTCTCTGGGTAATAGGAGAAAAGGCCTCGTTTCACCATGAGTGGCTGTCAAGGATTCGGCAGGGTCTGGGAGCTGGACTTAAAAATGTATAGATAGGAAAGAGTAAAATAGAGGGCAATGCAAATAGACACGGTGGGTTGGACCTGGTCGCGATTTTTGAATACTCCCTGCCTTTTTTCCTGTTCCCTGCTTCAACCACCACCCATCTCTCATGCACCATATCACCACGCTATCTGCCGAGTACAATCTCAATCGTCTTATTCACCACAGTTGGCTTCCACGAAATTTGAATCTATCGGGCATCTGGACTGTCAGCACGTCTGACCTTTCAGGCGGACAAAACGCTCGGTATGTTCTTTCGTCATTCAGCTGATATTATTCCATCTGACAGAAAGCAGATCAATCCCCCCATGCAAGGAAACGAGATCATCGCAACAATCATTGGAGTCGGGCTGGGCGTGGTCGGCATCGGCTGGGCCATTTACTGCTGGTACCGACACCGCGTGAGCACCGGGATTTTTATCAGCCAAGTCCATGGCCGACTGACTCTAGACCGTCGTGATCATGATGTGGAACGGGGAGAGTATGGGTCATATCTGCCTCGGTACGATCGACGCGGCTGGGTGCGCGCCGTCCGTGTCGAGCCCCAGCCCAGACTGCGCGAGCCCGAATATGTGATTCTACGACAGTTCCGATCACCGGGAGATCGCATACCGGAACGAGATACACGCCCGAAGCAGCAGAACCAGCAATACAATCAGCAGCAAGGGAAGCAGAAGCAGAATCAACAGAACCACCAGCAGGGGAAGCAAAAGAGCCAGAACAAGCAACAAAACCAGCAGCAGCAGCAGCAGCAAAAGGGCAAGCAGAACCAGCAGAAAAAAGACCACGTTCAACAGCAGCAGCCTTCCAGGGCACAGTCGCCTGCTAATCGGCAGGTCGGATCGAGGACTCCTACGAAGGGTGCATCGGATCAGGGGTGGGACAAACCCGACAACCAGGATATACACAACAACGCCGTCAATGCGTGGGCGCAGGAGGCAGGTGGGAATACAAATACTGCATGGGATCAGGAGGTTAAGGGGGGGCAGACGGAGCAGATCTACAACCAGTGGTAACTAGATCAAATGTTAACTTAGTTATACTTCTGCTTACCTAAGAGACTGGCGCAAATGGTCGTTCTCCCGTCCCGGAGTCAGTGACGTTGGGCGCCCCGCAGATCCCCAGGCATCGGAGCTGGGCCTTTCTGGTTGTCTTTGGCTTCACTTTCCTCTCTGCCAGTAAGATGTGGAACGACGAGGACAACAACCCCTACGGGGCCTTTGACCAGTCCCATCTGTCGGACTCGCTTCATTCGGCTGCCCTCTCCCCCGGTAAGCTAGCTGCAGCTGCCGCCCTGCCTGCCTGTCTGCCTGGAATGCAATCAAGCTGACCTGCCTAGCTCTCGACGCCCACGATCCCACTCCTCCCTCCAGTCGAGACTCCGATCTCGACCCACCCGACTACCTCTCTCGTGCAGATGATCTCAGCGACCCGGAAGCCGAGGAGGACGCGGCTGATTATGCCGCCGCCAGCCAACAATACCCCCGGAAGAGCGTGTACGACAGTCGCGTCGAGCAGATCCTCTATGAGAACCCGGAGGCCCCCATCCTCATCACTGATGCAGGCAAGAATCATGAAGGGGGCGGGGGTTATATCGTTTACACAATCCGGACGGCGGTATGCATGGTGGTCCAGCTGGGAGGAACGGGGCTGAGCTGAAACTTGTGACAATAGGACCTCGAAGTTCGTCGTCGTTACTCCGAATTCGCATCACTACGGCAAACCCTCGTCAATCTCCATCCGACTCTAATCGTTCCGCCAATCCCGGAAAAGCATAGTATGGCCGACTACGCCGCCAAACCCACCAAGGCCAAGGAAGATACCGCAATCATCGAGCTCCGGAAACGCATGCTGGCCGTGTTTTTGAACCGGTGTCGTCGCATGAAAGAGATCCGCGAAGACGGGGTGTGGTGGAGGTTCCTCGACCCGAACGTGAGCTGGGTAAGTGTTGCCGCGGCAAGATTGCATGTCATCTACTAATCTGTGTATCATCAGGGTGAGGTGCTACTCGCTCATCCCGCCTCCTCGGTCCCTAAGAACAATCTCAAAGCGCCCCCTCTGGATCCCGCTCATCCGACGGCGGCCCACGGCTGGCTGCCAATTCCATCGACCTCTGCAAAGCTCAAGGCAACCGGTGGAGTCACCACGACTCCTGCATCTCCTACCTCACCTTCTGAATCGACCGATGGACCTCCACCGGCCATACCCGGCCCCGAAATTCTAGGCCGCTTCCCGCCTGAGTCACGGAAGCTGAGCGAACTGGAGCTGGATCCATACTTTATCAACTTTGAGGCCTCCACCCGGGAGCTGGAGCTGCTATTGCAGGGCAACATTGAGAAAGTCAACCGTCGAACATTATCGCACCTGTCCTCGCTGTCTGCTGATCTGATGGAGCTTGGCGCACGCTACAATGGATTTTCCCTATCAGAGCAGTCGCCGACAGTGGCCGCAGCAGTGGAGCGCATCGGTCAGGCTGCGGATACTTCTTACATTGAAACCGAAGAACTATCATCGGCTCTGAGCGCGAGCTTTTCCGAGCCCATGCGTGAGAGTGCGCAGTTTGCCAGTGTGGTGCGCGGAGTTCTGCGATACCGGGTGCTTAAGCGAGTCCAACAAGAGATGACTCGTGACGAGTTAGAGAAGAAGAAAACGCTTCTCGACTCCCTCGAACGAAGTGAGCTGGAGGCCAAACGCATTGAGCAATATCTCAACCGTAGCGCTCCCGCCGGAGGTCCTAAGCCTCAACGCTCACTGTCCACTTCGTCCACCGTGAGCAGCGAAGCCGGAAGCACAGCTGAAGCTTCAGGCGAATCGGAATTCCCGCCCACCCATGGCGAGTCAATCAGCTCCCCACCCATGTCGCCAGGAGCCGGGCACGGGCGGCCCGACTCGTCACCGTCCGCCTCCCCGGCACATCGCAAATCGTCCAGCGGGACGTTCGTCGCGAACAAGATCTTTGGACGTATCAGCCACGCGATCCATGGTTTCGCAGACGTGGACCCGGAACGAACCCGTCGGGACCAGATTGGGAAGACCAAGGAGAGTCTTATCCAGGTATGTGGGCCTTCCAAATCTGTTTCAGATGGCTTGGCGATGCTCACCTGTCTCTAGTTGGAACAAGCACTCGAGGTGTCCGAGAAAGACGTCAAAGATGCCAGTGCCGGGGTGCTCCAGGATCTCAAACGCTTCCAGAAGGACAAAGAAGTCGATCTGCGGCGATACATGGTATGCAGGGCACCCACTTCCCGCCGGGTCCCGATTGAGGCTAACCAAATTGATTATATAGGTCGCATATGCGCGGTGCCACTTGGACTGGGCGCGGAAGAATCTGGAGACTTGGACGGAAGCTCGAGATGAAACGCAGAAAATCGTGGCACGATAGATTTGTTGTGTATTTCTTCCCGTATAGCTCGCTAGCTAGCTGTAGCTGAATGCATTCCAATAATAATAATTATACTCCACATATACAGCATAATGGCTTTGTCTTAGCTGGACTGCGACGCTGTCTTGCCTGTCACCGCATTCCTGCCGGTGGAACCCGCAGGATCGACAGAAGCCGCAATCCACCATATCCGCCGTTCACCTCCCTCCTGTCGCCCTTGCATATCGACTCGAGGACGAGCAAAGTGATCGCTGCGCCACTTGTCAGACATCAAGCCATACTGAATGTCTGCATTGGCTGTCTGCGCATCCGAATACTTAGTCTGGCGGGCACTGCGCGGTATTTCCGCATTCGGCCAGATCAAGCTGCTGCCCATCGAAGCATCGATCGATCTTCGACGCATTCCAAACGCCTTACAGGCATGCTCCCCAGTGACAGGCCGAGTGGACCCCGTTGCATCCCTCCCGGCGTCCTCTCGTCCCGCCCCGCGCACCCACCGGCCCTAGACGGGTCCCGCCGTGCGTCCCCCGACTGCAAACGATGAGTGACCTGGCCCGCCATGATTGCCAGGAGTGCGCCCTTATCACGGCCGGTGATGCCGCCCGTGGGATGGGCTGACAATTTTCAGAGCCAGGGGTGGTCTTTGCGCTCTCTTTGGCTTCACGGGCTTCCTCGACGCTGGGTCAAAATGCTTCCGCTATTGGCGTTTGTATGTTTCTTTTCGGTTGTGTTTGGTTTGAGCATCAGGCAGATCCCGGATACGCAGCAGACTACATCGGTGTTTCCTCCGACTCGTCAGACGCAGCAGCACACACATGATCCCACTATCATCCGTGTTGGTGATGAGTATTATCTCTACAATGTCGGAGAGCATATCTTCATCCACACTGCGCCCAGCATGGCTGGACCGTGGCAGAAGATCGGCAGTGTTATGGATGGCAACAGTATGATTGATAAAGGCGATCGTGCCGTGCCGTGGGCTCCGTCCGTTATCGCCGTCGACGAGACGTACTATTGCTTCTACAGTGTCAGCAGGGCTGGCTGCCGGGACAGTGCGATCGGGGTGGCGATATCCTCCTCACCGGGTCCTGGAAATTGGCAGGATTATGGAGTTGTCGTGCAATCCGGCACAGGGGAGGACTCCGGCCTCTATCCATACAACCAGTCCAATACGATTGATCCCAGTGTCATAATTGCCGACGATGGGCAGGGATATCTCTCTTTCGGGAGCTACTGGACCGGCATTTACCAGGTTCCTTTGACGCCTGATTTGTTGGGTCCTGCCAGCACGGCCGAGTCAGAGGTGCGCCATCTGGCCTATGAGCCTGTAGCGCTCAGCAAGCCCAACCCGAACGCCAATATGATATGCGGCGATCCGACAGGCCCGCATGCTATCGAGGGCGCTTTTATGTCGTACCACAGTGGTTACTACTATCTATGGTTCAGCCACGGCCGATGTTGCGATTTGCGAGAGGACAAGCTCCCACCCGCAGGGCAGGAGTATGTACAACACTCTGTCACAACCCATATACTAACATCTATCCCAGATACAGCATCCGTGTCGGCCGATCCACCAGCCCGCGAGGTCCCTTTATTGACAAAACGGGCACAGATCTCGTTGACGGGGGCGGAACCATCGTCTACGGCTCCAATGGAGATGTTTATGCCCCCGGCGGCCAAGGCGTGCTCCGTGATGGCGACACTGACGTCTTATATTACCACTATTGTGCGTGCCCTCGTGATCCCTCCGCAACGACATATGCTAATGTCTTCTGTAGTGAATACCACTGTTGGCATCGCGTTCTCGGTAAGTACATTTCCCTAGTCGGCTTATGGACAGAGACACATTATGCTTGTTCCTGCCGATCCTCCTTCAATATCCCCCCACTTGGGCAAGGCACGTCATTAGACCTCCGTATCTGACACATCTTGTTTCACAGGATGCTATGCTTGGATTTAATCCTCTGATCTACGTCGAAGGGTGGCCTGTCGCCATGCCGTGATCAGTGCACACGCGTCATTACTTCGAATTCGGCTCGATGTTTAACTTCGTCCACGACAGTCAATTCATGCGAAAAGAAACAGCTAATCTCGACCTAATCCAACCTATCCCTGCCGCGCCGATATTCCTTCCTACGCGAGCTCATCCCAAAAGTCATCAACGATTGTTATCATTTGCACCGATAGACCTTTTTACTTGTCGTCATATTCGAACTCTCATGGGTTTCCACTCGGTGGAGTTTTCAGTTCTTTGCTTCTCTATTTCTTTCTGCATTACCGGCGTCCGCACATTCGGGTATAGAATTGCCGTCTTCGATTTTCCTGTTTTACGCTGCGGTATATTTTGACATTTTGTGCTTCATGGGAGTACATACTACACACCGCGGCTGACCAGTATAGACGAATAGACATGGGCTTTTGCCACACAACACTACCACTCCACGTCAGATAAGCTCTGTGTTATGCTCTGTAACTGATCGATATAAACTAAGTGCATGCATGCTAAAGTCATAACTTTATGATGATATGCAGATGCAGTCCTAAGTGTAGGTCCGCCGTAACGATGCGCACTCCCTCCCGTCCCCTGGATATCATAATGCAACCGAGAGCCGCCTAGTCAACTCCGAAAATGAATTTCATTAAAAAAAGCCGCGCCACCCATGCAAAGCCGTGTTCATCAAACCGTATACGTCGTCCGACGTTGGATAATTCGTCTTGCCGCATCCTAAAGAGTCGATCAAAGAAGAGCCATGTCAAAACCAGTCATCCGAATCATCAATGAGCTCGTCATCCAGAACCACCCCCGAAAACAATTCCTCTTCCTCTTGCCGGCCTACAGGGGCTGGAAGGCCATATCGCAAAGCCAGGATCTCGGGGTACATACCCCCAAGCGAACTCTTGGAGCGATGAACAGCCGGCCATGAAGGAGACGACGACCTGGGAGACTGTGGGACGGAGAGGGCACGAGGTTCGCAGTTTGGCTCCTCGTCAGCTAGGATGAAGAACTGGTCCTGTCCATACCCTCCATAGCCATATCCATACCCCATGAATCGGGTGTGCCGAGCAGCGGGGGATTTTTTTGAGTGTGCACGGATACTAATGTCGTTGTGTCGACGGTCCCGAAGACGAAGCGGGTGTTCGTTGCTGAAGGACATGCTGTCGGAGGTGACTGCGACCGAGTCAGAGTCCTCAGACCGTGGAACAGAAGGCCGAGTAGCGGGCATAGCTTTGGCCCGGCGTCGCTGAAGAGGAGCATCAGGCACAAGCGCCTCCGTCAAGTGCGACGGAGCTAGCATGAACGACTCCGGCCCTTCCTCAGTGGTATCTGCAAAGAGTCTCGCATACTCTGAGTTCCTCATATAGTCAGGGGCAAGCCCAGGGCCCAGATCAAGAACGCTGATCTCACTCTCGCTGAGAACACAGGCGCGGTTGCGGATGGAGGTGCAGAGGCTTGACGTTGTAGAGGATGCGTCGATGGGTTGCTGGACGGGGGATCGTTCCACTGAGGGCAGGTTTGGACGGTTGTTTCTGTCATGAGATCCAGGAATCGAAGGGACGATGACCTGGATTTGAGGCATCTTTGGTGTGGAGGCTCGGTTGATCGAGATGAAGGAATCTTCGCTGTAGAGGATGGTGGAGGTTGGGCGAATGGTATAGCTCGAAACCATGACCATTGAGCAAACAAGGAAGAGGCTGATAAGGAAGAGAACAAAGAGAAAAGAAGACAAGGAAGAGGGAGAGGGAGGAAGGAAAGAGAGAAGGGAAATGGGAAGGAAAGGGAAGAGTTGAGAGGAAAGAGCCTACATACACAAAGAGGAAGGACAGGATGAAAGCTGGAGGCATGCATTCCACACTAGACATCTAGAAATTAACTGGAACAGGGACAGTAATCTAGAAGCCATCAAACCAAGGCGAATTCCTCCCATATGCGATGCAACCGCATCAACTCGTAGATGTAAAGAACACAAATGACCGGCCATGCCGCCAGGACCATCTAGGTAGTTATCATAACATACACATGAACGCAGAAGAAAGGAAAGAAGACTGTAGAGTAGGCAGAACAGCATGGCAGATTGCCATCGTACAGCATCACCAGAGATGATTGTCGGAAGTGTGAGGGGACCCATGAAAAAGATCAACCCCTTCATGTCTTTTTTTGTATGTACCCGAACGCCGAATGCGCCAATCGCACTTTTGTTTCTCCACCATTAGTCGGAGACCATCTTGTCATCATCACCCACACGCAGCTCGACAACGGGCAGATCATCATCAGAATTGTCCTCCATCAAGGGCGGAATATCTTCGAAAGAGGGATCGGTCTCGGAACCTGGACCGGACTTGAAACCCTGTGGGCGCCCAGCTGGAGGGGAGTCTTTCAGATCGAGCAGACGGGCATCAAGATCATCCAAGTCGCCGTCGCCCACGGCCACAGTGCTATCATTGTCGTCAAAAAGATCGTCATCATCGCGGATGCCGTTAGAGAAAGATCCCGGAGGATGGGCTGTCATCTGTTCGAGGTCGTGAGCTTCGGGCACTCGCTTGAAGGACCAGGAGGGGTCCTCGTTGATGTTCAGCGGGTAGCATCTCTCCTCGTCGAGCTCGAAATCATTGCCAGTGAATTGCATACCTTCCAGTCGGCCGGTTTGTCCACTTTCGGACTCGCTGTCTGCGAGGTCGTCATCGTCGTGTGCTCCGTACCGGGGAGGCGAATCATCCTCACCCTCCTTCGTCGCCAGAGGACCGGTTCGCAAACCACCATCTCCCGCTTGGTGAGCTGCTCCGGCTCCGATCAAGGCGCTCGACGACCCATTGCGGGAGGAGCCGCCGAGGCACTGACCTTCCCCCGAAGGTGACTGGCCACGCGAGTCAGTGTCGTGCTCGCCTTCCTCGGAACCACGCTTATAGTTGTCAACGATCTTTTGGAGTTTAGGGCCACCAAGAGGACGGTTGGACCGACGCCGGTAGAATAGTAGATACGCCCGAGAACCAACAGCTTGCTGTGGGTTTGTCATAACGGTGGCGTGGGAGTCTAATCGAAGTCAGTAGACAGCAAGAAAAAGAGTATGCATATGCCTACCATTGAAACTGCACCACTTGTCCTCGACAAAGTTCTTTGCATACGCAGTGTAGTGCCCGCCGGCCATAGTGCCAGAGTGATTGTCCACGCCGATCAAGTCATAGACCAAGCCGTTGCCGTCGTCAGGGCCTTGCACGCGGCCGGTCATATCCAGGTTTTCCAAGGGAAATTTGACAAGGGTGTCAAGCTTCATGCGCATGCCACGGACCGGGGCGCCGAAGCGCTTGAGATGAATTACCATGATATCGGGGGCCTTCCATAACTCGAACTTCTTGCGAGCTTGGCGGTGCTCCTTGCAACGGGGGCAATACCAAGCATCGCTTTGGGACAGAATCTCTTCCTTGCTGAATTCATCCAAGCACTCGTCAAGAGTGATGCCCCGGGCCTTGCGCTCTTCCCGCTGCGCACGACGCTGGATAAGCTCGCGGTCATAGAAGACTTCAATATTCTGCCATGTACCTGCGCCTCGGAGCTCGCTATCATCCCGTTGATTGCCACAAAATAGCGCATCATAGGCGTCGTCATTCCAGTCAAGCAAGATGGCATCACCCGGGCGGATGAGAGGCCATTCACGATGTTCCGAGTCATCATCGGCACCGTTGGTGTTGGATTCAACATCAATATCAGAGCCGTCGGTCTCGCTGCTTGCATCGCTCTTGTCTTCTTCCGGGCTTTCAGACACCCCATCCAAATCTTTCTTCGGGGCGGACGCAGGCTTGATCAGACTGGAGATCAGGGGATAGTCCTTAGACTGATCAATCGACCGGCCCTTGGGAAGAATTTCCCTAGTCTTCATGACCTTGGCGTCGAAGAGGCTGAGCAGCGCTGGGGCGATTGTGCCAGCCAACGGGTGAGCCGGAGATGGCTCATCCGCATCTCTGTCCTGAGTGGGTGTGGGCGAGGACTGTGGAGCATCATGCATCGAAATGTCAACAATGCTGTCCTCGTCTTCGACGGAGGAAGTTTTGATTGTGGAGTCGGCGGACTCCGCATCATCTTCATCCATCAGAACAGTGTCCGAGTCCTCGGAGCTTTGGGCCGACCGGACGAGCCCATTCTGGCTCTCGCTGAGAATATCGCGGGTCGTCATGCTTGCAGCAACGTTCAGAAGCTTGTGGAAGATGGCACCGAAATCCTGAGCTTCTTCGCGATTGACAACGATGAAAGACGGGTTTCCAAAGACGTCGTACTCGGTCTCGTTTTTGTTTTTGATCCTCCGTCGGTTGAAGACGGGGACGAGAGTGCTATCAGCTTCGGGCGAGTTGAACTTCGTGGATCCGCGCAAGATCCCCTCTTTCGTCGCCGAGGTGGGAGTTGCTTCGACCTCGTAAAAGACAATGACATCGTGAGCCGAGAGGCGCATCTCTTGAATGGGTTGGTGGTCACTGTCAAAATGCTTGAAGAACGTGCTGTGGTAAACCTCGGACACGACGATTCGATCGGCATCACTGTCCATCTTCTTGGCAACCGCCTCTTTCCACATTCTCAAGCTGGCCGTTCGATCAACCTCCGCGGTAACCCTCAGCGGCTTGCGCCCAAAGCCAACGTAGATGATCTCCCGCGCGAAAGGCTCCTCCATCGGGATAGGCAAGGTAAGGCTGCTGAATGGATCAAAGATGATGCTGACCTTGTCGCACTCCGGGCAAACAAGAGTCGATTTGTACATTCCAGCAAAAAGATCAGTGATGACAGAGTCATTGCGGGCCTTGTAGATATCCCAGGACTTGGTTGCGAACTTCTCCAGTGCTTCGCGGTCGTGAACCATCTCGTCCGTCGAATCAGGCTTTTCAATATACGGCTTCTTTTTGATTCGGTTCAAATCCTCAGAAAGACCGTCCAGAAGGAACATAAGAAACTCCTGACTATCGTGCTGCTCGAAGCCAGACATTGCCGGGTTGTATTTTCCAATTGTGCGACGAAAATACCCGGGGCTGACATTGGATGGCACAGGTTCACGGTAGACATCACGCAGCAGACCAGCATACGATTTGGCGATTGCACCGTTGTAGGCAAGCGGGTTGTCCGGGTTCAGGTCCTTTTTGTGAGATTCGCCTGAAGGTTGACATTAGTGTGGTGAAACTCAGCCATGCCACAACCTGCATAGCAATGGAGGATACGTACTGAGAAAATAGTAGGTCAATTCCTCAACGGCTCGGACACATTGAGTCGCCGCATTTTGATAGCATGTGTTGCCCAGGTTCTCGAAGCCGGTCAAACCCATATCTCGACCACGTCGACCTCTGTTCTCGGGAGCCGGTGTGGATCGGCCGCTAGGAGTCGGGCTTTTGTTGGCAAACTGGGTGGATATCTCCTTCTTGGAATGGACCGCGGGAATGCCCAAGCGCTTGAGCGTCTGCGCCGAGGCCTCCGACACCCATTCTCCGCCTTTCGGTCCGCCAACCTGCTCTTCGAGGACAACAGTGTCGGTGCCCGCAAGACCAGCGACGTCCAAACTCATTCGACCATTGTAGTTGGGGTTGGCAGTCTGATCTTTGACGCCTTCAAGTAGCACCCGCTGACTGCCTTCAGACAAAGCCAGAAAAGCGTTCAGATCGACGATGAGAGTCTTGTGGCCAGGAATCAGGCCTGCTGCCGGTGCTGGCGACGCAGCGCGGGAAACTGCAGGGGTGGCTGATGCGGATGGGTTGGTGCTTTGCAGGCCACCAAGAATCTTCCACACTCGAACCTTGGTGTTCATGTCAATTCCAGCCAGCTGCTTCGCCACCGTCAACCACTTCTGGAAGGACATCTGGCGGCTGGCCAAAGTCCGGGGGCAGGCCTGTTCTTCTCCTTCAAAATCTGGGGTGACATGCCGGCGGACGGATTCAACAGCTTGAAAAAGGTGAAAATAGGCGGGTGCAGTTCATAAATGATATTCTCCATGTCGCCAGCTGGGTTGGTGTTGTGTGCGTAGCGAACGATGACGGGCGACTGGTCCGCGAGCCCATACCACTTCATGATCAAGTCCCAACCTGCCTGCGGCACAAGCTCAAAATCCTCGCTGATCTGGAGACCAGGCCGTAACGGTACATAAGGCTCGTTCGCCTCGTCTCTGAAACCACTGGTCTCCGGGTCGGTATCCAGAACGATGTCCGAGTTGTCCACCGGTCCCAGCTCGCTTTCGAGAGATTCCTTGTCTGCTCTGTCGGCTTGTGTCGAGCTCCGCGCGAATACCTTCTTCATCCATGTCATGGAGATCACATAGCCTTTCTGCCCATCTTCCAGAGGCTGCATCACCAGGCTAGTCACTTGGGCCAGCTGGTCATCGATCGAAGGAACATCGTGCGATTGGGTCGCGGACTTGGAGTGCTCTTGGCTGGAGTTGGGCGCGCTGCTGGACGGAGTGGGATAGATGTTGTCGTCTTCCGGACCGGTCAGGTTGCCTGAATCGTGCGCGTCACCACCCCCGATAGATGTGCTGACGCCGCCCTCGGGGTCCGAATCCGCAATCTCGGAGGCAGGTCGTTTGACACCCGGCGAGGGCGACCGACGGTCGCCATTTGTCGGAGGAGTGCCGTCACGGTGGTCGGACGGCATCACGGAGTAATCGCTCGATAGGGAGAGGCCAGCGTATGCGGTCGCGGGGGTCGGCGAGCGGCCACCGGACTGGGGGCGAGTACCAGGGACGGGGAACTGGAGATGAGCCGGCACGTAACGGGGCGGCGAGAGCGATGAGCTCTTGCTCCGGGAGTTGGAAGTAGATGAAGAGCGACGGTCTGGGGGCAAGGCGGAGGAGGGAGGCTCAGAGTGGCCGTGACGTCGGGCCTCTCCTGGGCTGCTGCGAGGCTCTGGGGAAACTTTTCGGCGCTTTGTGGAAGACGTCGTGACAGTGAGCTGCGCACGTTTCGTGGCAGCTCGCGGCAACGGAAGGGGAAAAGAAAGGAGGATAAGGGACTGAGCAAGCCACCCTCTTCACCTTCTTTGATTTTTGTCGGATTTGCAATCTTCGAGGCGGAGGAGAAAGCAAAAGACGTGCGAGGGAGAAAGCGAGAGCAAATTCGACTGGCAGAAAATGTTAGTCAGTCTCCGCCTCCAGCGTTGCAGAGAGAGGGGGAGGTAGCAACTTACAGGTGTGAGGATGTGGGAAGCAGGAGAAAAGAGCAGGTGAGTGAGGATGGGAAATAGAAGAGACCAGCAGAATACGAGGTATATAAGTCCAACACTGGCAGTGAATGTGAAGCTATTGGAGCTCAATTGAGCGGAAGCCCTAAATGACGTCTATTGTGCAGGAACCCATTATTCACCATTCACCACAGCCATTAATCGCCATTCAGGTGGAATTTTCATTCACTGCCGGAGTTTGCTCTTGCGGCTGTATTGTCAGAGTTGGCAATTCACTACTACAAGCAGAAGACCAAAAGAAAGAATTAAATCCAGGCGTGTGGCTAGTCCACCGCAGGCGAGAGATCAAGACAGACAGATTCAGAGTCCATGCTCTGATCAACCAGCGTATCAACCATCCAGCTCCTTCCGTTTCGTTTCCCAGTCTTCTGTCCATCTCCGTCTCCTTCAGTCAGTGAAGATACTTGACCCAAATGAGGTTGTCAGGCCGCTTCAAGATCAGTTCCACATCGGCGCGTGTCTCGGTGTTGGCGAAGGGGATGGTGCGATTCTGCTCCACGACGGCTTCGATGGTGCCATGGTACATGTACCGATCAAGACACTTTGCGCAGAGCGTCAGCCCACATCCGACTCCGATCGAGGATGGCGTGGGGTCGTCCTGATGAGCGCCGCAGCAGTGGGTGGCCGGCTCGAGGCACAGCGAGCACCACGGCTGCTCGGGCCCGGGGACCGATGGTCCGGCAACCATGGTGTCCGCGGTGACGAGGTGCCTCTCTGCCCGGAGGAGGGCATCAAGCGCTGCGTGCTTGTCGACCGAGCTGTTGACAATCTCCAGAGGAAGTTTTCTGCCCTTGTGCTTAAGGCACTGAAGGATCCGGATTCGGGCAAAGACGCACTCAACACACATGCGGCTGGGTTCATTTCCATCCAGCTGGTGGCCATCTCCCAGTTCAATCCACTGGCCACCGCCAAAGTCCGCGATTTCAACGCATCGCTTGCCAAGTCCCTTGAGCCCGTACGCATAGTTGTTGCACCAGTGGCAAGGGCGAGTCCCATCATCGGGAGCCTCGTACAAGAATTCCATGGGGTGGGCAAAGTATGTTGTTACCCGATACTGGCGCGTAACTTCCCTGTCGGTGAAGGCGTTCGAGAGATGCTCAATGGATACCATAGAGAAGGGAGTGTTGTTGCCCTCGTCAATTCCTATGTTTGGCGGAGGATCAAGAAGATCCAAATCATAATCGGTTGCCTCAGCAGAGAGGAAGCCGGAAGCATTCGATGCCTCGCCAACATTTACCGTGGTTTCAGGATTCAAGATGTCTGGGTCGTATTCGGTGGGCTCAGGCCCAAAGGGCATGGAGATGTTGTCCCTCTGGATTGTGCCCCCCGCCAACGTGGTCGTAGGATCGTCTTCAGTATTCTCCACGCCATGGATTTCTGATGAGACACTGCTCTGGTCTCCATCGTCAACGGGGTAACTGGCATCATACTTCGCTAGCTGGGCATCTTTGCAGTAGTCGTTGTCAACGTCGGCCATGAGACGGACAGGAGGCCTGACAGCTGGTCCAGCAATGCACTTGAATCCTCGCTCGTTACAATAAGTGCACGGCAGACTATGATCATAGTCGGCAAAGATGTACGAGCATTTGGGGCCACCATGGTGACTCTTGCACTTCTCGCAATCTCGCTTCCAGCGAGGCGCGGTTGTCAATTCGCACTCCAAACCGTCGACCTTGCAGCTGTTGCAAGGGTATAACAGCGGCTTCTTGATCAGGGAGCAATCCACGTCCAGATCTTGGCATGGAACACATGGTTTTCCAGCGGGGGCCTCAGCTCCAAAGTTCCCCAAGTCGTTCGCAGCTGGCATGAGGACTTCCGCCGTCACGTCATCATCGTCGTCGAGCTCATCACCCACGCTCGTGGTAGTTCTCTTATGAACTCTGAGAGCATAGCGTGAGGCAGTAAGGTGGGTGTCTTCAAGGACGTTGACGGTCTGGTATTCTTCCCATGTGTTAGGCTGCACGTCGTGCTGAGAGCTTACAATCGATGACAGTAGCGCCTTGCCAGAGTTAGAGCCCAATCGAAGTGTGACCATGGAGGTGGGTGGCAGGCTTCTCGCTCGTTTAACAGGTCGGCTGCGACTTCTCGCTGGCTTGCGCTTTGGGAGAAGCAGGCGACCCCGAGGAGTAGAATCCTCGTCCTTGTCGTCATCATCGATCCACGAAGAGAGAACATGCTTATCTCGCTTTCTCAGGTTGTAGACGGGGCGGGATACATCCTCGAAGACGATTTTGCTCGCCGTTCGTGGGAAAAGCTGGCAGGCCTGCGCCAGTCTCTCCTGTGTGTACGCCATATCGAGCTGGTTCTGTGTCAGTTTCTTCAACACCGATAAACAGATGAAATGATGTAAACTTACATTTGCTTGGCTTTCTCGATGCTGTGGAGAGATGAATGAAGAAGGAGGGTGAGGGTTTGAAAAAAGATCGTGATGGGGTTTTGCGATGATAGAAGTCTCGGCGTGGGCTCGCCGGCCTCAGGCCATCGACTCATGTCGGAGCCTGATGTATAAGACCTGTACAAATACCGGAATCTTCTTGGATACTTCTCTATCCTGGTTTTTGGATGACCGGCGTGGAATCAACTTCGTGATGCCGGGCTTTTAGGGCTCACTTGCAGATGCCACCGAGGTGCGGATAGCAACGGGCTTTAAGGCTGACATGAGCTGAACAACTCGACATAGAATCTTAACTCATTTTCCCAATCTATGTCAGTAGACACTGCAAGAGTCTGTGTGAAAATGCTCATGCTCCTCACTTGTTTCATATAGTGCAGCAATCAGTAAACTCATCTTGCCCTATTGCATCCTTTGTTCAAGCTCTCAAAGGGCTGGTACGCACGAAATGATCATTTGTTCCTGCCTTGGCGATAGATAAATGTTCTTGAAATAAAGCATTCTGGGTTCTTCTTGCTATGGGTCATCATACAGGTTTATCATATTTGTTAAACGACCAAGTATGCCACATTCAGCAGGTTGGCACAGACAACATCAGAGGTACGAGGCTCCAGGTACTAAGTTTTTGACAGATAGCAAGGTCGATCATTCTCTTCAAGTCCGCACTTCCGGGAACCAAATTCCCCTCCAACATCAGCAAAGATGATCTCAGAGAGCCCCTGCTCGGTTTGATCAGGACAAGTTTTGACAACATGTAGCATAGTATATTGTAGCCATCAGTAACTGAATATATCACCCTTCTTAATGATATCTGTAAGCAAGGTTAATTGTCATTGGTTCTTTCAGGGCGGTGGTGCCCGGGGTTGGCATCGCAGGCTGGGTTGACCGCAGAGGTCGAGTAGCAAAAGTTGTGCTGGGTGTACGGCCTGTTGTGATCGGCAAGATCCGAAACGTCGATTCAGACCATGGGGGCACGCCAGTTCTAAGGGCAGAAGAGCTTGAGAGTTCTTGCGAACTGTGGGGTATACTTCTGACTGGGCTGGATGTCTCTCCAATGTTGAGCATCAAAGAGCGTGAAGCCGGCAGCAAGCTAGGGATGATGCTCGCGACTGGACGAGATGTTGCAGGCGAGGTCAAATAGATCAATGATGAAGGAGAGCGGCGTTCATGCTTGGCTAGGGCCGGGGCTGCTGTAATGCTAGGCGTGGAGGCAGAGGCTGTGGTGTTGAAAGTGGACAGCTCTGTGTTAAATGGAACTTCAGATGAAGACACTGCGGTTTTGGCATGTTTCCTGCTCGAAGCCTGGGTGATGGGGACGTAAACGAAGATCATGGTGAGAATGGCAGCGGCTGCGAGACAAAACACGATGACGCCAAGCATCCCCATGGATCTGGATATAAGCGGCCTGAGACCGCAGCAAGTCCATCTAGGGGATTTTTCCTCGGGCTTTTCGGTCCTGGAGCAGCCATGATATGCCAGTGCTGCTTCCCACAGCTCATCCGGGTGATCCCTTGCGATCTCAGCAAGAATCGGGGCGATTGGGGGATCGATGGTGGAAGAAACTTGCGATGGAAACTGAAAACTTGAAGGCTCTGAGGACGGAGGCTTGGGGGACGAAGACTTCGAAGATGAAAGCTCCGAGGATGAAAGCTCCGACCATGGAGGCTTCAAGGATGAAGACTTCGAAGATGAAGGCTGCGATGATGGAGGCTTCGATGATGGACTCGGCGAGTCTGCCGACTGCGAGACTGGAATATTCTCATCAGCCATCTTGAAAGATCGCAATATCGTCTCCCTGATACCGGCACCTTGATAGTGGACGAGATTCAGATACCAAATTCAACGAACAGATGTTTTGAGAAACAGATCAACATGTGCAGAAGAGACGAATATAGTGAGGCATTTACCATGATTTATTCTACCACAGTAGAGTTAGATCATCATCATCGACTAGCCCATTTGGAGGCCGGGCGGGTCTCATCTATGAATGCCCGTTTGGGTTTAGTTCTCCAGCACCACCGATGCTTAATTTGACCTCGGAGGCTTCGTCGTGGCCGACACGGGTTTGGCTGCGGACGGCAGTCCTTGGCAATATTATGATGTCCGATGATGAAAATGGGTTGGTTCAGGCTCGCACGCTCATCTGGACCGCGGATCTAGAAATATATTTGACCAACCTTGACCGGGCTTGGATGTCTACATTATGGTTTGGCTCTAGGTTTGATACAAAAAGTTTGAAGAAGACGGGAGCTACATTAAGCTGGTAAAAGATACATACAATTCCATTGATTCATGGACCCGGACTTAACGGGAAGTCGTCGAAAAGCTAGCTATAAACAACCAAAACCCCCGTTAAATAACAGAACAAATCAATCGGGCACCGGGAATGCAGTCATGAGCAAGGGAAAGAATCCATCAAATCAAAATGTGGCGCCAGGTCATGATCATCCATCTTTTGTGCCAAAATAAAAAACAATCATTTCAAAGAGCGCCTGGGTATATCCAAACCGTCCATCGTCCAGACATGCCATATTAGACAAGAAGCATGATAAACAAGGTGCGAGAAACCAATACACCGCGTTTTCAAATGAAAAAGCATCAAATGCAAAGAACCAAAGAGCCCAATCAGGCTCGGAAATCGTACATGCGAACCTGGTAATCGTCACCACCAGTAATGAAGCGGCTGTCACTCAGGCCGATACAGTTGACGGCAGCAGTGTGGCCTTCGTACGTATCTTGGCAAGTGGGGATGCGAGGGTCCCAGATCTTGACCATGCGATCGGATCCGCCAGATGCAATGCGAAGAGTGTCAGCAGAAAGCGCCCATATTCCTTCCAAGTGGCCAAAGAAGGTGCGAAGGCATCGGCCGGTGTTTGTCTCCCACAGGCGGATGGTAGCATCGATGCTGCTAGTGATGATGTACCTCGGAGGTTCCTGGCGGTCCGGGTCCTGGTCGAAGGAGGACCCGAATGGAGAAGGTTGCGCAGACAGGGATTTCGACTCAAGCAGAGGGGAAAGTGTGTTCACGACAGCATCGCCGTCCCTGGATGAAGTGCTGATGTGGTCGTTCTCACACTCTGCTAGATGGTTTTCGAGTTCGATTTCTCGCGGCAGAGCAATCACCTGCTGCACCGCCCCAATATGATTGGGGAAGACTCGGACACAGGTCTTCGTGTCAAGGTCCCACAGACGGGCCGCACCATCATCACAAGCTGTCAGGACTGTGCGGGATTGCGTATCGATCTTAACAGCATTCACACAAGCCGGGTGGGGGAGAATAAACGTGGATTTGTCCTTGAAGTTCCAAATCTTCACAGTTGTATCCACGGACGCGGACGCAAGCAGGGTCGCATCGAAGTGAAGAGCGATGACTGCCTCGGTGTGCCCGTTATACTTGGAAATGCATTCACCTGTGCGCCAATTCCATACCCGGATGCTGTGGTCCAGGCTGCCAGTGATCAGTTTGGTATCATCGAATTGAAGACAGCGCACTCCAGCCCTGTGGCCACGTAGCGTGCGCAGCTCTTCTCCCGTATCCAGATCCCAGATTTTGACAGTGGAGTCATAGGAGCCCGTCATCAAAACGTTATCCTCGAACTGCAGGCACATAACGCTGTCGGTATGGCCGCGGAAGACCTTGACAGCGCAGCGCCGGTGCTTCCACTTCATCCCAACGACGAATCGGTCGCGGTAAACGTCCTTCCAAGGTCGATACCGAGTCTTAAAATACTCATCGTCATCCTCAGAGCGATGAGCAGCCGAAAGACAGTGGCGCTTTGACAGTGAATTGTTAGATCCCTCCGTACCAAACTTGCGCTTTCCAGAAGCTGGAGACTCGACCACGGAGCAACTCTCGCTCGTGACAGCCTCGCCGGAACGGGTGGAGGGTTGATTATTGCCCCATGTCGTGGCCCGCAACTCGATTTCGCGTTTCGACTCCCGGAGACGCTTCCGATCGAGCAAAGGCAAGCCCCATCCACACTTGTTGCACTTGCGGCGAATGTGTTGCTCGCACATCCGGTGCCAGACAACATCATCGTCGGCGAGAGCCCTCCAACGGTGTGAAACTTGTGCGGCTCGGCAAAGAGAGGCTGTGTCGAGGTACTGTAGGATTTTGAAGGAGAGCTCAGGGGGAAGGGCCGTGAGGAAGTCGATTCGAATGAGTTCGCGAACACTCGCCGAAATAAACGACAGTTGCGGAAAGCAGCACTGTGAGAGAATGCCCTGCAGCATCAGAGTCCGTTGTTTCGCGGGCGCGGCGGAGAACAGTGACCAGACATGCGCGATGCCTTGTTGATCACTCTGGGGAAGCGTCTCGAGTTCCTGTGGCCTGTTAGCAACCCCACAAATCATATCTCATGTTCAAGTCAACGTACCTTTTGTAACTGGCCCATTGAAACCTCATCGGCTTGACGCCTGCACGCCGAGTCGGGTTGGTGGCGATAGCAGAAGCTGGCATTTCTCGGCCGGGACCCGGAAGGCGTCCCTACCCCCGAATGCAACGGCGTAAATTGTCTGGGGTTGTACTTCTCCAGAAAGGGTGTGACATTTTGCCTCGCAAGTTCAGCGAGAGCATCGTTGGAGGCGGGAAGCGGAGAGCGGTTGGACTCGGTGTTCTCAGCGCTCCCCGCTCTGGCCGACGCAACGAGATTCTCCAGGCTGGACGACATCTTCGAGGAATCGCCCATACGTCGTATCCGGTGAGACGGAGAGAGACAGTCGCTACCGCGGGGCGAGATGCGGTCTCTTGGGTTGGGCGATAAGGCTCAGACGCTCAGCATCTGCATGCCAATTTCGATCAAGCGCTTGCCAACGAGGCAGTCAGGTCTGTTAATAATATCGAAAAACTCTCCCAGTCAATAGAGAACCCACAAGGAGTGCTCGAGAGACAAGATAGGGTGCGAGTGAAATATATGACGGAGCGTGGTGAGTACCCTGAGCGGTCGAGGGGAGATAACGGGCGGTGTGGCAAGATTTAGTGAGAAACAAAGGGTAGAGGAGGCGAGTTCGAATAAATATGTCGGAGCTGGTCAGACCGCTCCTCGATTGCACAATCCGCTTGAGTCAGTCCAGAATGCTATGAGCCCATCAGAAGAAATCATACTCCTCGATCACGCAAGAAGAGAACCAAGCCGCCACACCTGACCCAATCCATCACGTGATCTCCGATGGCGCCATCTCCACCGCCTTACCCTAAATCACCTCATCATTGCTGCTGCTGGTGTGATTGCTCAATGCCAGCCCCAGACTGCCCTCTTGAGGACCTTGGGGACTTGGTTATTTTCTCGGCCGTGATGTGACGCATCGCTGTTGTGTTGACTATTATTGAACGGGTGCTCTGTCTGGTTGGACTTTGCCCTTCTGGGGAGTCGGAGCTCCCGCAAAAGCAAGGTAAGATCGCTACTTGAATGCTAGCTCCTCTTTTTCACCCTCGTGGGAGGTTGCACAAGCTGTATACCATGGAGAAGCTCGTTATCGGTAGATATTTTCCTTATCAACCACCTGGGTGATGCTAAGGCGATGCAACTAGAGCTCTTGTTATCGCCTACTTGCACCATTACGATCCTATCATCTTCGGCCTCGCATTCTTGAGTCGTTCGCCTACTCATTCCCTAAAATGGCGTCTTCACAGTCCTCATCGGCCTCCAGCACCCGTGCAGCACTCGGCCATGATGGCCATCGTGACGCCCAATCGAGGCCTCAGTTGGACACCCTCATTTCTCACCTGCTTGCCGCAAAGCGTTCTCTCTCCTCCATAAACCATGTCTGGCGCGCCAATGAAATTGTTACGTCATCTCGTTCCGCTCTCGAAGAAAGTGTTGTCCTCTCTGCGCGGACGGGCTTCTTGCGTCGGGGCCTCAACCACCAGCTACGACTCCTCTATAGCGTCCGGTCAGAAGTGGAGGAGATCTCGTACCGTGGACGGGAGGACTTCTCCGCCTCGCTCAAGAATCTGGATACCGCCGACACTCGGCTAAAACAGACGTTGGATCTCCTCCGCGAGACCATGGTCGATCCTTCTTTCCGACCCCAAGGCGAAGATCCCAAAAGTCTGCACGACTTCGTGGACGAGAGGGGCGTGGAGGAGCTCCATACAGCAATGAAAGAGTCGATTGATCGTACAAACACTGCCCGCACGGAGCTGGATACTTCTAACCGCGAATTTGATGATGAGCTGGACTCGATCAAGAAAGCGCTCCACCACTATCGGACAGCCACCAAACTGGCTTCCTCTCGCGCATCGGCATCGTCATCCGCATCTGCATCGTCATCTGCTTCCGACTCTGGTCTCCTAACTCTATCATCCATGCCCGGGATGCTACAAGCCCTGGAAATGCACGCGCAGGAAATGGCCAGTCTCCTTGAATCACTCGTCCGGCACTTTGATCTTTGTGTCACGGCTGTGAAACACACCGAGGGCGGCGGTGCTGCTGCCCAGTCCATTACCGGTGATATCCCTGCCGGCGCGGGTGCCATGCCCAACATTGAAGAAGAGATTCATGCCAATTTGAATGCACCTCTTGATCCGTTAACAGGTTCGGAATACCAGGAGATGGTTAGCGTCTTGATGAAGGACGCAGTCGAAGCGGAAGATGTGGTCGTGGAGATCCAGGATCGGATTAGCGAGATGGAATCCACCTTTGACCAAATGCTCTCCCAGCGAGATGCGCTTCAGTCGGTCTCTAGGGCCACTGCCGAGGTGTATCGCCACCTGTCCACGCTTGCATCTACTCGACTCCCGCGCTATATTTCTCAGGCACACAACTTCACCCGTGTCTGGCACGAAGAGCATGACCGAATCAACAACGGTCTAGGCGAGCTCTCCGACCTGCATTCGCTGTACGATGGCTTTCTGAATGCATACGACAGCCTCATTCTCGAAGTGGCGCGTCGAAAACATATCCGACACCGGGTGGAGAAGGTCCTTCGCGAAACCAGCCACAAGCTTGACCAGCTATACGAAGAGGATGTTGCCGCCCGCGAGGCGTTTCGCGTGGAACAAGGTGATTTCCTCCCCTCTGACATTTGGCCCGGAGTTGGTCGGGCGCCCATGCAGGTTCAATTTCTGCGCCTTTCAGGCGGCCACCTCGAAAGTACTCTGGCAGAGGGGCAAGAACCCGAAGAACCGGATACAGGCGACTACCAAACTGATATCAAAAAGGCCGCCCAAGATGGGGAAGGCGAATCGATACCTGATCTATCCAAACAAGTCGTCGAACAAGCCTATGCGCGACTCAAGGCACGAACCAGAGGCGTTGCGTAAATCACGCAGTCATTCAACTCTTGACGATTCCGCTTCACAACTCCTTGATCTCTCTCTCATCTAGCGCGGCGTTGTCCCGAGTCATCTAGCATTTTGAATCGATCTATTTGCAGTCCTTTTACAGTGTTTATGATATCTCATGTGTCGCTACCATTTTCTTCGCTTCTCCCATTCTAGGTTTCAACCGCGCCACAAATGATGAAAGCTCAATTGGTCTGATACTTTGCTCACGATCATCCTCGGACACTGTCAGATTCTGCCCTGCCAGATGGATACTCTCCGCCTTTTGGGGATGTAACCGCTGCAGGTGGTTTACTTGTCATCGATCGATGGCGATAGCAGCGAAGGAACATGACGTTCAAAGAGAGCGCTGATAGGCCGGTTGGATCTTTCCTAGCTGGTGCTTGGTTAGATGCCAATAACATGATACTGTTCATCAATTGTAGTCAATTCCTATATAATGTGACGCAGGTATCGTACTAGAGTTATATCCAAATGCTCCATCCGTATATGCATTTTCATCAATTCATAAAACCCGTGTCCATGAACATGCAAAAAACCCCATGCGGATCTATTTCTTCTTTTTTGTGGACGACGCAACGAGACGCTTCTTCATATGCTTGGGCATCTTTTTCGATCGTTGCTCACGCTTTTCCTCTTTGACCTTTTGTTTGTGTTCGCGTTTAGCATCTTTGTCTTCAAAACGCTTCCCACGCGGCTGTTTCTTCTCGAACGGGTCACGAGGCTGTGCGTCATCTTCATCTCCACTGTCCTCGGACTCCGAACCGGATACAGAGACACCGCCGCTAGCATCAGACTCGGCATCTTCTTCCTTCTTGCCGCGCGCTAGGAGATCACCATACACCAGGTCGGCGCCGCTGCCATCACGAATCTTCTCCGCGTCGCGCTCAACATCATAGACCTGCTCCAAAGTTTGGGGAATGTATTGCTGCCGGAAGACGGCCGTGTCAACTTCCTCAGACTCCTCTTCTCCGTCGGCATCTGTACGGGCCGCAAAGAGCTTCTCAATGGCATCGACCATCTGTTGATTCGAAGAAGTGATCTCCGCAGGCCCTTCAGTGGCAATGATGAACTGGAACACTGTCCGTTCAGACAGCGTGTGCACGCCCTTGCGACGGAAGAAATCGCTCACGTTCTTAATATCCATGCGCAGGAACTCCAGACTGCGGGGATGATCGTGCTCGACACTTTGGCTGACATCGATGATGTAGAGGCGCTCCTTGTGATAGAGAATATTGTACTCGCTCAGATCAGCGTGCACCAACCGGCAAGTCTGGTACATCACGCGCATAAGCCCCAGCAATTCGACGTACAGGCTGTGCCATCGGGCTTCAGGGTCGGAAATATTGAACTCCACGTCCTTCAGACGGGGAGCACCTAGTCCCTTGGAGCTGCCGAGAAAGCCCATGACCAAAACATGTAATCGAAGGAAGATCGGCTCGGGACAAGGAATGCCGGCGGTGTGGATGCGTCGCAGATTGCGCATCTCCTTCTCCGCCCACACTTTCACCATTGCTCGGTTGTTGCTCTTGTTGTATCCCTGGCGGAATCGGTACTCGCCTGTCACATACTTGTCTCGGTCCTTGAATACCAGGATGCTCGTCTTATAGACCTTGATCGCTCGGTGTTGGGGGGCTGCGTCCTCGTCGTCGTCCGGGAACGAGATGGCATGGTACACGTTGGCCTCTTTTCCAGTCGAGAGGCATCCGTGAATCTCAGAAACAAGGCCTCGATTGATCATCTGCAACAAAATCATCCGAGTACGTGGGTCCAGCACTTGCTCCGACGTCGCTCGATCCGACTTGTCTCCTCCGCGCTCGCCTCGAGTTGACAACCCGGCCTGCTGGTCATCGAGCTTGATTTTGGCGGCATGCCGAGTCAATGACTTGGCCTGGTCGTCCACGGAGGCGTAGGTGTTCACCGTCGGTTTCTGCGTATTAGTCTTGGGATATGTCCATTTCGGCACATTGGGGTCGGCGGCCAGGTCGTTCAGTTTCCGTTGGCGGTTGTAGGCTTTGGTCAGATCGGCGGAATTTTGAGATAAGAAATCGCCCTGATCCATATCCTCCTCGAAAATATCATCGTAGTACTCTTCATCGTCATCCTCTTCCTCTTGTTGGCTGGTGAGATTCTGCTCCGCCAAGTCAGACTCGTTGCTGCCTGGGTTCACGTAGCCTTCGTTGGGAACGTAAGTATGGCTTGGGTGAAGGCCATCAGCGAGCCCAGCAGCTTGAACAGGAGTCTCGGCAGGCGCCATGATTGAAGTGTCACGGAAGAGAGAATCGAATCGTCGACTTTTTTTTTCTGTGGATCAAGTGAGTCCCTCACCGCCCGGCAGAACCCCGCGCCCATCAACACGCGGATTCGCTTCGCGTTCTTTCTCTGTCGCGCCATCCCGAGAGCATCGAGCCCGCCTGTCACGTTCTTTCTGTCTTTTCGGGTCCTCCGAAGACAACTGTTCTGGACCAGCCAGGGCGCATATATCTCTCATTACTACACGCAGTCGCGTGATGCCCAGTTGTTCTAGGGGATTTTCGCGTCGCGCGTCTCGTCAAGATGTATGTCAAGCAGATTATCATCCAAGGCTTCAAGAGGTATGTCCCTGTCCCAACTCCTTTCCAGGGCCGTGTTGCTAACTTACGAACTGTAGCTACAAGGACCAGACGGTCATTGAGCCCTTCTCCCCCAAACACAATGTCATCGTGGGTCGCAATGGTTCTGGTAAAAGCAACTTCTTTGCCGCCATTCGCTTCGTTCTCAGTGATGCCTACACCCATCTCGGAAGAGAGGAGCGCCAGGCTCTTCTACATGTACGTGTTCCCGGGGACGATCGCGGATGCACTTACTGACCCCAGGCAGGAAGGATCTGGTTCCGCTGTGATGTCTGCCTATGTCGAGATCATCTTCGACAACTCAGACGATCGGTTCCCAACTGGCAAGCCTGAGCTTGTGCTCCGTCGGACGATCGGTATCAAGAAGGACGAATATACACTGGATCGCAAGAATGCCACCAAGAACGATGTTATGAACCTCCTCGAGTCCGCTGGTTTCTCACGATCGAATCCTTATTACATCGTGCCCCAGGGCCGAGTCACTGCCCTAACTAACATGAAGGACTCTGAACGCCTGGTTTTACTCAAAGAGGTCGCCGGTACGCAAGTCTACGAAGCTCGCCGTGCGGAATCTTTGAAGATCATGAATGAGACCAACAGCAAACGTTCCAAGATCGACGAACTTCTGGATTACATCAATGAGCGTCTTGCCGAACTCGAGGAGGAAAAGGACGAACTTCGAAACTACCAAGAGAAGGACAAGGAGCGTCGGTGCTTGGAATATACCATCTATTCGCGCGAGCAGCAGGAGATTGCGGCTGTACTTGATAACCTCGAGGAACAGCGACAGAATGGCGTCGAGGATGCAGACAATAATCGTGATCAATTCGTTGAAGGCGAGAAGGCGATGGCCCAGATCGATGCTGAGATCGCAGAATGCCGACAGCAAATCGAGTTCCTAAAGGTGGACAAGTCTCAACTGGAGGATGAGCGCCGCGATGCCTCCAAGGCCTTGGCCCAAATCGAACTCCAGGCCAAGTCGCTCATCGACAACCAGTCCGCTACTCAGGCATTAAAGTCTCGCCATGATGCCGATCTGAAGTCATTGCAATCGGCCATCCGCGAGCGTGAAGGTGAACTTCAGGAACTTCTCCCTCGGTTCAATGCCTCAAAGGACCAAGAAGACGCCATCAAGGGGCAGCTCACTGAGGCGGAGACATCACGGCAGCGCTTGTATGCGAAGCAAGGCCGGAACTCGCGGTTCAAGAACAAGTCCGAGCGCGATAAGTGGTTGCAGATGGAGATCCGCGAGAGCCACACGTCCATCAAGTCCGTCCAGGGAGTCGTTACCCAGACTCAAGAAGACATCAAGGAGCTGGAGAGCGAGATTGCCTCCTTGGAACCCGAAACCGAGCGTCTGCGAAAGCAAATTGATGGCCGTGGCGACAGCATGCACTCGGTAGACCAGCAGGTCCAGAGCGCCAAAGAAGAGCGGGACCGGCTCATGGATCAGAGAAAGGAGCTCTGGAGAGAAGAGGCCAAGCTAGACTCTGTTCTTTCTAACGCTTCCCAAGAGGTGGACCGTGCTGAGCGCAACTTGTCCCAGATGATGGACCACACCACTAGCCGCGGAATTGCAGCAGTCCGAAGAATCACTCGTCAGCATAACTTGGAAGGTGTCTATGGCACATTGGCCGAGCTATTCGACGTGAACGAGCGGTATCGGACCGCCGTCGAGGTCACCGCCGGTCAGAGTCTGTTCCACTACGTCGTTGATACCGACGAGACTGCGACAAAGGTTCTGGAAGTCCTCCAAAAAGAAAAGGCTGGCCGTGTGACATTTATGCCCCTGAACCGTCTTCACTCCAAGCCTCTCAACATGCCGCGAGCCAGCGACACAATCCCCATGATTGACAAGTTGCAGTTTGACCCTGCGTACGAGCGAGCTTTCCAGCATGTGTTCGGCAAGACCATCATCTGCCCCAACCTGCAGGTTGCATCGCAATATGCTCGCAGCCACGGCGTCAATGCCATCACCCCGGAAGGAGACCGCTCTGACAAGCGCGGTGCTCTAACTGGTGGCTTCCACGATTCTCGCCAGTCGCGTCTGGACGCAGTCAAAAGCTTGGGCAAGTGGAGGGACGAGTATGAAACGAAGCGGAATCGCGGAACCGAGATTCGCAAGGAGCTGGAGAAGTTGGACCAAGTTATCACCAAGGCGGTTGGTGAACTGCAGAAGCTGGAGCAACAGAAGCATCAGGTGCAGAATAGCAGTGGCCCGCTGCGACAGGAGCTGCGAAGCAAGCGTGACCTGCTACAAAACAAGACCGATACGCTCGATGCGAAACGCCGCGCTCTTCGAAACGTCGAGGCCAACTTAGCAGCTTTGAACGACCAAGTCAGCGCGTTCGAGGCCGAACTGTCTTCGCCTTTCCAGAAAGCTCTTACGAGTGAGGAGGAGGCTCGGCTGGAATCATTGAGTGTTACTGTTCAGGGTCTCCGTCGACAATACCAGGAGCTGTCCGGTAAGCGAAGCGAGCTTGAGGGCCGCAAGTCGGTGCTAGAAGTCGAGTTACGGGAGAACCTCAACCCGCGTCTCGATCAGCTTCTTAACCGGGATATTGATGAGGCTGAAGAGCAAGTCCAGGGCAACCTCAAGGAAACTCAGCGCGAGCAGAAGCGCCTTAGCCAAGCTCTAGAGAAACTCAACAGCCGGTTGAAGCAAGTGGACACGTCGATCGAGGAAGGGAACTCTCGCGTCACCGAGCTTCAGCAGCGCAACTCCGAGACCCGACGAGAGATGGAGGACTTGGCCCGGTCTATTGAGAAGCATCAACGCCGTATGGAAAAGAGCATGCAGAAGAAGGCCGCGCTCGCCAAGCAGGGCGCCGAATGTGCTGCCAACATTCGTGATCTTGGTGTTCTTCCAGACGAGGCGTTTACGAAATATAAGAATACCGACTCGAACACTGTCGTGAAGAAACTCCACAAGACCAACGAAGCACTGAAGAAATACTCGCATGTCAACAAGAAGGCTTTTGAGCAGTACAACAGTTTCACCAAGCAGCGCGAGACCCTGACTTCCCGTCGTGAAGAGCTGGACGCATCGCAAAAATCGATTGATGATCTCATCTCTGTGCTGGATCAGCGCAAGGATGAAGCAATCGAACGGACTTTCAAGCAGGTCTCTCGGGAATTTGCTAACGTCTTTGAAAAACTCGTCCCTGCTGGGCGTGGCCGCCTGATCATTCAGCGCAAGACGGACCGTACTCTGCGGCCCGAGGATGAAGTAGACTCGGAGGACGAGGAGGCTTCACAAAGTGTCGAGAACTACGTTGGTGTCGGTATTAGTGTGAGCTTCAATAGCAAGCATGATGACCAACAGCGTATTCAGCAGCTTAGCGGTGGGCAGAAGAGTATGTCTCGACTATCCCCTTTTTTCCCCCTCCTGTATTGTCTCTAACCTTGCCTTTTCCAGGTCTCTGCGCCCTGGCACTTGTCTTTGCTATCCAAGCATGTGACCCTGCTCCGTTCTATCTGTTTGATGAAATCGACGCCAACCTGGATGCCCAGTACCGGACGGCAGTGGCGCAGATGCTCAAGTCCATCTCGGACTCGACCAATGGGCAGTTCATCTGCACCACTTTCCGGCCGGAGATGCTGCATGTGGCTGAGAAGTGTTACGGCGTCAGCTTCCGACAGAAGGCCAGTACGATCGATGTGGTCTCGCGGGAGGAGGCGCTGAAGTTCGTGGAGGAACAGAAGACGTGACGGCGGTGGTTATGATCTGTGTGTGTACATTGGACATTTGCTTCGGATGGACTGGCTGGCTGGCGCATGCTTATTTTTCGTTTACTACAATATCCATTGCTCTTTCTTCCCAACCATTGAATATATTTTGGAGTCCACATCCATGGTCTAGTTTTCTAGTTGACTCTGTGGAAATGCAACGCTGTCGTTATCACATCAGCTCCTCTGGGGCATACACATCTATTTTATGGCTCTGGGGCTGACTCTCCGGTCCATTCCACGAGGATCTCCTCTGGCACATCGCGCACCAGGATATGGACATGTTCCAACGCCCTGACGCTCTGCAGGCCAACCCAATTCTTAAACCACATCACATGGGACTGAGGATCTGGGAACCGTTCGGGGTCCTGCGCCAGGCGGGCCACGAATTTCTTCTGCACAAAGTCCACGATCAGGGCACGCGACTCATCCGTCAAATGGCCCTCGTACGACTTGACCGCAATAGGCGTGCGCAGCCAGACGACCAAGTGCGAAATGCCAGGACTGACACCGTAGGGCCAGTCGTTGCGAAGGATCTTGTAATCCTCGGGATCCGCAAAAGGGACCGGGTTCTTGAAGGCGAAGACAGTCCCCGCTGGAGCTGCCGTGGGCGTGGCGGTACTATTAGACCCTTCCGACTCTGATCCCGCGGGGGAGGTCGGCGTGGACTGCCAGTTTAGCCGGCGCTGGCAGATGTACTCCATCACGGTGCCATAGCGCATCTTGGTTTCCCGCGACCAGGCCAAGTATCGGCGGAGATCGGAGGGCCGCCGCTTCAGTGCGCCGAGATCGTCTCGTGCTGAGGGGGGATGGGCACGGATGAGTTCGGGACTTGCTGGGGACTGCGAGGATGACTATGATCTATTCACCTACCGATGATGTCCTTTAGGTCGTCCCAGTCGTGTGGCACGAAGTCCGCGTCGTTCATGGCCAGCAGCTTGTGGTCGAGCTCGGTGAGGTTGAAGGCGGGTGGTGGCTGGGTCATGATGTCGAGTTGAGCCACCAACGCATGGAACACAGGAGGAACTATAGTCGTAGTGGCGGGGGATGTGGGTGGTGGAGTGCACGGTGTTTGTGTTCAGGAACACGCAACTGGAACGGGAACAGAATTCCCCCACGACCCCAAAATAATTCCCCAATTCCGCCATCGGCCCGTCCGCCTCTACTTTTTCTTCTCTCGTCCCCCACTCCCACTCGCACTCCTCCCACTTTTTCCCTTCCGCCTTGATTTGATCCTATTCGAGGATTCTGCCCACCATGAGGTAGGTGTCTCACTGGCTGCAAATTCTCGACAATGGCTCACCACTCCAGTGCTACCGCCCTCCAATATCTTCCTTACGCCGTGGCCGTCGTTGCCGTTCTCTGTGGCTATCTGATCTTCGGCAGCAGCAGTATGTTGCCTCGATCCGTTCATATGGTGGCGAAGAAACTGACCTCGCGCCGCTACTCACAGAGCCTCGGAAGGTCCTCATCCCCACCGAGTTCCAGGACTTCGTGCTCAAGGAGAAGACCGAGGTCTCCCACAATGTCGCCATCTACCGCTTTGCCCTGCCCCGTCCCACTGACATCCTGGGCCTGCCGATCGGCCAGCACATCTCCCTCGCCGCCACCATCGCTGGCCAGCCCAAGGAGGTCGTCCGCTCCTACACCCCGATCTCGTCCGACCACGAGGCCGGCTACTTTGACCTGCTCGTCAAGGCGTACGCCCAGGGCAACATCTCCAAGTACCTGAGCGAACTCCAGGTGGGCCAGACCATGAAGGTGCGCGGTCCCAAGGGTGCCATGGTCTACACCCCGAACATGTGCCGCCACATCGGCATGATCGCCGGTGGCACCGGTATCACCCCGATGCTCCAGATCATCAAGGCCATCATCCGCAACCGTCCGCGCAACGGCGGCAACGACACCACCCAGGTCGACCTGATCTTCGCCAACGTCAACCCGGACGACATCCTGCTCCAGGAGGAGCTGGAGAAGCTGGTCAAGGAGGACGATGGATTCCGCGTTTACTACGTGCTCAACAACCCGCCCGAGGGCTGGACCGGCGGTGTGGGCTTCGTCACTCCGGACATGATCAAGGAGCGTCTCCCCGCCCCGGCATCCGATGTCAAGATCCTTCTCTGCGGCCCTCCGCCCATGGTCAGCGCCATGAAGAAGGCTACCGAGTCCCTGGGCTACACCAAGGCTCGTCCGGTCAGCAAGCTGGAGGACCAGGTGTTCTGCTTCTAAGGGCTTCGGTGCCTGGGGGTGCGGATGGTCCAACCTGATCTACCGGTCCTGTGCGGGAGTTGACGGGGTGTATATTGGCGTGTCCGAGTGTGGTTTCGATATTGTCTATAGACTTAGTTTCCATCGAGCAAAGATATCACTAGCTGAAGAATCCTTCCCCCGTCCTCCCTCGATCGTATACTCCGGGTGGAGACCACGTGACCCCCGGTGAGTCAGCCAATCGTGACTCGTGGGCGAAAAAAAAGTGACCCCGTCGCGCCTTCCGTACTTGATGAGTCTGCGAAGCGGGGCCCGGCGAGTATTTGACTCTTTGCGACTGTCCTCGTGTGCACCTGCCACCCTCCCTGCCTCTCGCTCTGCTGCTGCCTGTGGCTTCCCCCCGTTGGCGCGTTTCAGCACCTCTCCCGCAACCATGGCGAACCTGTCCGCCTCCATTGAGGGCCTCTCCCTCCAGTCCACAGACAAGAGCTCCAAATTTCAGGACTGCTTCCCGTCGTTGAACCCCATCGATATCTACCGCGAGCATCTTGCCGAGGAATTGGCCAAGGTCTCCGGTGTCGACGCCGAGAAGATCTTCCCTCGCATCGCGTGGACGGCCACGCTGGAGAAGGGTGATCTGTCGCTGGCGGTACGTGACAACCAGCACAATGCTGGCGCAGAGTGCAAGACTGACACGGCGTGTTTGTAGGTCCCTGCTCTGCAACTCAAGGGGAAGAACCCCAAGGAACTGTGCGCTGAATTCGCCGCCAAGTTCCCCGAGTCCGACCTCATCCACCCTCCGACAGCAACGGGCCCCCACTTGCAATTCTTCTTCAAGCCTCAGCCTCTGGCCCGCACCGTCCTCCCCCGGATCTTGACGGAGAAAGCGGCGTATGGAACCAATGGCAACCAGGGTCTGAAGGACCCATCAGACCCCTCCAAGGGCAAGAAAAAGATCATTGTCGAGTTCTCCTCGCCCAACATTGCCAAACCTTTCCATGCCGGTCATCTGCGCAGCACGATCATCGGTGGTTTCCTCTCCAATCTGTACACGGTCATGGGGTGGGACGTGGTCAAGATGAACTATCTGGGTGACTGGGGCAAACAGTACGGCCTGCTGGCCAACGGCTACAAATACTTCGGCAGCGAGGAGGCTCTAGCCAAGGACCCGATCAACCACCTGTTCGAGGTTTACGTCAAGGTGAACGTCCTCGTTGCTGAGCAGGCCGGCCCGATCAAAGAATTGAAGGACCAGATCAAGGCCAAGAAGGACAAGGGCGAGGATGTCGCCGCCCTGGAGGCAGAGCTGGCTCCCCTGGTGGATGCCAGCGAGGACGAAAAGGCCCGCCGCTACTTCAAGAGCATGGAGGATGGAGACCCGGAAGCGCTTGGTCTCTGGCGCCGATTCCGTGACCTCAGTATCGAGAAATACAAGCAGACGTATGCCCGCCTCAACATTGACTTCGATGTCTACTCCGGAGAATCGCAGATCAAAGCCGAAAGCATGGAAGCTGCCTACGAGCAGATGAAGAAGGCTGGTGTGTCCGAGGAGTCCGATGGCGCCGTCATTGTCGATTTCACCAAACACGGAGCCAAGAAGCTGGAGAAGGCCATCATTGTTCGCAAGGACGGTACCCCGCTCTACTTGACTCGTGATATTGGTGCGATCACGGAGCGTGACCAGGCATATCACTTTGACAAGATGATCTATGTCGTTGCCATGCAACAGGATCTGCACTTGGCCCAGCTCTTCAAGATTACCGAATTGATGGGCCACAAGGATCTGGCCAGCCGCTGCCAGCACATTAACTTCGGTATGGTCCGTGGGATGAGCACCCGCAAGGGTACCGTCAAGTTCCTGGATGATATCCTGCAGGATGTCGGGGACAAGATGCACGAAGTCATGAAGAAGAATACTGTCAAGTACGAGCAGGTTGCGGACCCGGTGAAGACCGCCGATATCTTGGGTATCACGGCCGTCATGGTACAGGATATGACTGGCAAGCGGTATGAACTTTCGATCTTCTGCTTGATTATCTCATGCTAATTAGGTTTTAGTATTAACGGCTACGAGTTCAACTTGGAGGCCATGACCTCATTTGAGGGCGACACGGGCCCTTACCTGCAGTACGCCCACGCCCGTCTGTGCTCGATGGCCCGCAAGGCGGAGCTGAACATGGATGAACTCCACACGGCCAACTTCGATCTCCTCACCGAGAAACACGCGGTCGATCTGACCCGCTTGCTTGCCCAATGGCCCGATGTGCTCTTGCAGACTGCTAAGACTCTCGAGCCCATCACTGTCCTCAGCTACCTGTTCCGTATGACGCGCATGCTGAGCTCGAGTTACGATGTGCTCAAGGTGGTCGGCAGCGAACCCGAGCTGAAAAAGGCCCGCATGGCCCTGTACGCTTCGGCTCGCCAAGTCCTGCACAATGGCATGCGGGTGCTTGGTCTCAGCCCCGTGGAGCGGTATGTTTCCTTTTCCCCTTTTCCAAGACGTTTATACTGACAGTCTTCTCTTTAGAATGTAAATCGGGGATTGTGATTCGGTGTTGCATTCCGGTTTGGTTCGTTTCCACGATACAATATCTCTTATTTCTTTTGTTATGCATCCGGGACCCGTGAGGGATGAATGAAACATTATGATTATGCTGTATTCTCTTAGTAGATAAAATTGCATCAATTAATCAGAAAAAGCAAATCCCGATTTTTTCCAATCGGGCTCCAGTCGATCCCATAATTTCGGGCGAGAGTCGACTTGACGGAGATTCTCGTGCGAGATTATCAAAGACTGGCATCTGGACCCTGAAAATGAATAAGCATACCCCAGATAGACTCGTCTATGATGTTCCTGACTGAGAAGTCGATAGACGCCGACGCCGCCCCAAGGTCGGGGACCATATATCTTACCTAAGCCCGACCAGCCCCAAACGAATGATCGCCACTACTTCGGGGACCACGTATCGGACCCTGGAGAGTCTAGATAGAACGGACTCCTTGCTTACATGAATCTCTGGTTTTCTCGTGGGGCTAATATGCAGGTTTATAGGATGGGATCAAAATGTATATATATATGTCTGGTATGCATTCCCCGGAGCCCTATGCAAGTATAGCCCTGCAGTCATATCAACCATGGCCAACGAGATTCCTTTGGAGGAGGCCAGGACTCCTGACCTGGAGCGCAATGACAATCGTCACTTTTTGAGAAATCATACCGTGCGAGATTTCTCCTGGCAAGACCTGACTGTGACGGTGAAAGATCGTCAGACGAAGAAATCGCGGGATCTGATCAACAGCATCAGCGGACATGTGCAGCGCGGTATGCTTTTTAAATTTCATGTTATACGGTCGTTTCTAACACTGCGTAGGAGAGCTCATGGCCTTGATGGGGCCGTCGGGCTGCGGCAAAACCACCCTGCTCAATGTATTGGCTCGACGTTCCGCGTCGGGGGCAAAAGTCCTCGGGGATAGTTATGTCAATGGCATCAAACTCGACTCGCGTGTCTTTGAGCGGATTACCTCGTATGTCGAGCAGGAGGACGCCCTGATTGGGTCGTTGACCGTGCAAGAGACGTTAAAGTTCGCGGCGGATCTCTCGTTGCCCAGGTATGTTCCTCCAGGCTGTTATCATTCCCCCGGAGACTAATTTCTGGGGGATATTATCAGTAGCGTCTCAAAACGACAGCGTATGGACCGCATCGACACTCTTATCGAAGCCTTTGGGATTCGGAATCAGGCGAAAACTCTCGTGGGAACACCCATTCGGAAGGGAATCAGCGGTGGCCAGAAGAGACGGGTCAGTGTTGCTAGCCAACTGATTACCTGCCCCAAGATATTGTTCTTGGACGAGCCAACCAGTGGACTGGACTCAACGGCCAGCTTTGAAGTAATGTCGTATGCGAAGGAACTTGCTCGCGCCAACAACGTGAGTGTCGCAACTATCCAAACCTAAATGCAGCAACTGACACCTAGATTCCACAGCTCATTATCATTGCGAGTATCCACCAACCATCGACAACCACCTTCCAACTGTTCGATCAGTTACTCCTCCTCTCGGGTGGACGAACATGCTTCTTTGGGCCCGTTTCGAACGTGGAGAGGTATTTCCGTGACATTGGATATCCGATTCCCTCACAAACAAACCCAGCCGAGTTCCTCCTGGACATTGTCAGCGCAGATTTCTCTAGCTCCAAGGAAGCGGCCCAGGATCGTGTTCAGAGGATCCAGTCCGCCTGGGCAGAGTCCGCTGAGGCATATCAACTAGTAAGACAAGTGTCAGCGCAAGCCCGAGTGACTGAGAAAGAGCATGGAAGACTCTCCACTGAGGACCTGGTTCGACCAAGTGCAATCGGGATCACCACTGCTCTACTGCATCGCTCTTTCATCAAGAGCTATCGTGATGTCGTCGCTTATGGGATTCGAATTGTCATGTACCTCGGTATGTGGCGAAGCCATTTTGTGATATCCGGAGGCTAATGGCTAGTTTCCTAGGACTGGCAATTATGATGGGCACGGTGTGGTTACGGCTGCATCCGTCACAGGAGTATATCCAGCCTTTTATAAACGCGATTGTAAGCTTTTTCGGAACATGGATACTTTTGCAAATCTGACTATCTTACAGTTCTTCGGTTCAGCGTTCATGTCCTTTATGGCTGTCGCCTATGTGCCAGCCTTTCTGGAGGACCGCGCGACTTTTGCCAAAGAGAGGGTCAACGGCTTATATGGTGCAACTCCATTCATGGTGTCCAATTTCCTCATTGGCCTGCCATTCTTGTGTATGTGCTTCGCATATTCTAGGACCTTGTCTTTGAGTCTAACGTGTGGTATAACAGTCCTCATCTCTCTTCTATTTTCCGTCGTTTCATACTGGCTTTCCAACTTCCAGCCCACTTCGGAAGCATTTTTCACCTGGGTTATGTGGATATTTCTGGACCTTGTGGCTGCCGAGTCACTGGTGGTCTTTGTGACAGCAATATTCCCCAATTTCGTGATTGCACTTGCCCTTGTCGCCTTCGCCAACGGGCTGTGGATGAGCGTGGGGGGATTCCTTGTGACACCGACCATCCTTAACCCGTTTTGGAAATATGTCTTTCATTACATTGATTATCAGGTATGTCGACTTCCCTTAGACATTTTTATATTTCTGCTAATCTCATATCTATAGGCGTATGTTTTCCAGGGTATGATGGTGAATGAGTTCTCGCACAGAATATACTCGTGTGGTCCTCAGTGTCAGTGTATGTATACCACTGACCTGGCATCAGAATGCAAGATTCGTGGGACTGGCGTGTTAGAGACTTATGGGTATGCGACTGGGAGGACAGGCAAGTGGGCTGGCATTTTGATTGGCATTATTGCTGTGTATCGCCTTTTGGGATGGATTGCCCTCTCCTTGCGCAGAACTTGAAAGCTGATCATGGCCGCACACCATGTCATCTCCGATTAAACAATTCTCTACTCATGTTTCTTTAATTGATGTTTTTATAGAATTGATCCGGAAATATTACTGTTCTATAGTTATACTCTTTGATTTGATCCGACCACGTTTCTTCATTTTTATTCTTGATCCGGCGGATCGACTCTGAGTAGATATCTATACATTCTCTGTGTTCGTCCTTTGACTATATTCCGAGCAAAGCACCCTTGGTAGTTGCTGCCAGTTGAATCCGCCACAACCTGTGCTCATTCAGCGCAAATATTTCCCCTTCTCTTCCAAAGCAGAAGTTCGCAGCGCCACCGTCAATTCGGATGCGCCCCAGCAGGACACCTCCGGGGGACCAAACATGGATACCATCCCCACAGCCACTGTACACGTTTCCCTCAAGATCGCACTTGATGCCATCTGGGATACCTGCGTCTGTCATGGCGAAGAGCCGGCGGTTCATGAGGAATGGCTCTCCATGATGAGTGGAGAGGTCAAAGGCGTAGCTGGATATGATACATTAGTTGAATTCTATTTTCAAAAGAATGTCCGAGGACGTACATTGTTGAAGCAAGGGAATCGTCCGTCGTCCCATCACCCCGCACGCGGTCCGTATCGGTGATATAGACCGTCTTTTCATCCGGAGAGAAGCAGATTCCGTTCGGTCGCCCGAATCCATCAGCCATGGCTCGAATGCTCCCGTCCGCAGGATTCCACCGGTACGCCTGGCTTGGTAGACATGGCTTAGGTCGGAATCCTTGCATAAAGCCATAGATCGGATCCGTGAACCAGATGGACCCGTCGGAATGAACCACGACATCATTTACCGAATTGAATGGCCGGCCATAGAAATCGGACACAAGCAGTGTCGCATTATACGGGGCAGTCGTAGACATGGCATACAGTCCGCTGGGCTGTGTCATCGAGCCCTGGCTGCAAATGAGGACTTTGTCATCGCCGTAATTGACACCACCATTGCCCATGAGGATGGAAGGCTGGATCTCCTCGCAGGTGACTGGGTCATTATTTAGATTGACGCGAGTGATTTGGATCTTCGGCTGGTTTTGCGCATCGGTGCATCGGTTACTGGTGATGAAGAGGTGTTTTGTCGCGGGTATGTAGATCCCTGCTTCATGGGCGAAAGGGTAGTCTTTGTTTTCTGCGAGTAACTGGAGGGTTGGAGCGGAGCCCAGAATCGCGCGGAACCGCTCATCATGGACCTGGAAGGGGTTGTTCTCCGACTGCGCCATTGTGTTTTAGTTGAGCGAGGTTGGACGCATGAGGGGCATGAAAGGGTAAGTCTTAACAAATGCTGTCTCGGTGTTCCTCCGAGACCCGCCGTTATCAAGACCGAGTTCAAAGATTCACGATAGCGACAATCAACTTCTTCATGAAGGATATTATTTCTGGGAACAACTAGATACCATTAATTCCAGTGAATGTTGTCTCTTCTAACAGGGCGGCCAAACTATACCCCATCGATATCGAGGAGGCAGGCGAAGAGCTCTACAAGTTGCCAAACATTATCTCGAGAGTCTTGAAAACCCTCATACTCTTGCAGAACTAGAGGCCCATTCGAGTTAGTGCATCTTGGTCTCCACACTTGCGCCAATCGTGAAGTGCAAAGTTAGCGAACAAATACTGGCTACTGTGCAACCGCACGACGTGGCGACCTGATGCCTTTGAGGCTCTGGCGTTGTAGTTGCGTGGGGGATCTCAGAGGAGGAAGCGTATTCCATCTCTCAATTAAACACCGTTTTCACAATGATCGTTCGGCTTCGCAGTAGCTAGGTTTTGGTTGCTGGCTTCGCGATTTCGAGGTCGGCGCCACTGTGTGCTCATGGACAGAGCAATGGAATGGATGGTGATTATGCTCTGGGTTTTTATTTTCAAGTGAAGGAACCGCTGGCAGCAAGATGGAGCATTTTCATAATCGGCATCCAGTCCTCAGAGACTAGGAGGTAGCTGAGGACTTTTTAGAGGATAGTATCCATGCCCAGCGTAACAAGACCGAATAAACAGATCCTAGGTACCTCAGGGCCCTATGTTAAGTAACAGCCAACAGTTTTTGTGACATAATACTGCTTCCTCTGTTGCTTTGAAAGTAATCCCCGTAGCTATACTAGAGGTGGCAAAAGCCACCAAGAAAATAAACCGGATTAACTACCCTCGATGGCGTGCGAAAAGTAAGGAGTTTTGAAGGATCCCGTTCGCATTAAGTTCATGCAATGAAGACGGGATGTGGAAACATGTCAAGAACTTTTGTGCAGTCACTGGAAGGTACATCCTTGGTCCCTGCTGTTGTCCAAGCTGTTCAAAACACACCGCAGGATCTCAACGAAACAGAAAACTCGATCTCATCACGAGGTGCTGGGTTTCACAATCAGGATATCATGGCGAACCTGTATCTTTGCCAAGATGCAGTCACTGGCAATACCTGATAGGAGGTCAGATTATTCAGTTTTATTGTATCTAAGACACAGTCAATAGATTGGCAGCAACAGGCCCTATCGTGGGCAGTGTGAAAGATATTGGCGTGGCTCAGCGCAAGCCACAGGGTGTGTATTGCGATCAGCAGGTCCATTCCCTGTGCAACATTCGACGATCCCAATAATCTTGTGTACCGAGACGCCCCGAGTGCCGGGTCTGGGATTGAGGATACGTGTGCTTGTCCTCGAGTTGACGAGTGGATGACAGCGAGGCGATAGCTGGTGGCGATCAATTGACCTGCTTCATGCGAGTCATGAACCGGACAACACCAGGGATTGGGAAGATGAAGAACCTTGACGGCAGGATTGAGGACCCAATCCGGGATGGCATTCGCGTCCTCGTTCTCTTGGTCTGTCCAAGATGGTCTGTGGCAAGATGAAAAGGAGCGGTGAGGGCGTTGACCTGGGGAGCTGATGGTACCCCCGCAAGGTCAAGCAAGGGATAGCGCACTGTCTCCCGGTTCCGAGTTGAGTGGAGGATTCGAGCAAATGACAGACACGAACCATTACATATTCTCAAGTTTATGGAACGTGCCCCGGAGGTGTCTGGGAGTTGCCGTGCGGATTATCCGCATTGGAATCCGTCCGGTGCGTACAGCTGGTACCTGCGATGCCCCAGATCGCCTTGGAAACGGGCCCGGCCGGGTTGTGTTTTCAGCCGCGTCCATGTCCATCGCACCGGGGGAGGGCAGTCAACCCTAATCCCGATCCTTGAGCATCTTTGTCCACGGTCCGGGCAGCACCCACACGTGCGGGGCGCTGACCGTCAAATGTGAGCCAGCACGACGAGTGGTACGGTCGAGCTCTGGTGGACGCAAGGAGGTGGTGGCTCCGCCCTTGTGGGTAATGATAGACGGGTAGACCGTCTGTGCTGCATGTCATACCGATCTAGCCGGGTCTGATCTTTCAGTCTTCTCTGCTCTGCTGGTGCCTATGGGGGGGGGGGACTAGGGGGACCAGGGGCCCCCTACAACTGTCGAGGCAAGGGTGAGCCACGGAGAAAAGACCAGGTCCAAAGATAGCCTGCCACATGCCCTTCTGGTCTCCACCGACTTTTCCCGGGTGAAATGGACAATGGCGCTGTTCGATACGGGGGGATGAAACAAGAGCCATGATTCTCTTGTTCTAATCTCGGATGTGCTGTGGGGAGCAAGAGGAACCACCAGAGTCATTGGGCCGCAAGTGAGGGTTGGGCGGCCGGTCGGGTTGGGATGAAGCCAGAGGAGAATGGAAGCAGCACCCTCACGACCAAGAAACCCTCGTAGATCCAGTCCTAGCGGAAAAGAGCAAAATCAAAACATCGGTTCCATGGATCCCAGGCGTAATCCTACCGGGATCTGGAATCGGGTTCAGTCGCACGGGGATGTATACGGAAATCATAATATGACGCGCTGTCCCCCACTCGTTGGGTACCCAGGCCCTTTTTTTTTTTCCTTCTGCTTCTTTTTTCCTTTCTTTTTCCTTCCTCGCTCATCATCTTTCTCTTCTTCACTCGATCCTCTCCTTGACTCCCATCACCCAACTCCATCACACTCTCTTCGCACAACAGATATACTCACTCCCTCTCTCTCTCGATCTCTCCGTCCCACGATCTCCACTCCCCCACCTGGTTAGTCTCTCTCTGCGTAGGGCAGACGAGCCTCACACGAAAAATCTCAACCCAACCGCCTCTGACACTCGGGCAGGAGCCTGCAGCTGCTGGCCGCCATTCACCATCGAGTGCGAGTCCGTCCTCCTTGCGGCCCTCCACTCTAGCCCTCTGCGCGCCCGCCCGTCCTGGCCCTCTCTGCCACTTCTCTGGCCCGAATCACTGCCCCCAGTTACCAATAATTTCGATGGAGGCATTGCGACCTGGAGAGCACCATTATCACCACTGCACACTCTCCGCTCGCTGACAGATATCGCGTCACCCGTGATCATCCGCCGTCGCTGGAGCGATCGGCTGGTCCGCATACCCGTGTCAGCCCATCTGCGTTGGGCGTGGCCAGGGGAAGTTCAAGGAAGGGGAGGTGAAGTAGAATCCGGGGGTGAAAGGAGTTCCTTTTGAGTCACCGGAAGGTGCAGTGGTACTGGCTCTGTCCATCGACCAAGCCACTACGCTGCCGCCCAACAGAACCCATTCCATCTGTCTCGCGTGCACCCTCCCTCAGCCCGACGGCGCAGCAGCAGTTATGGCAAGTACGGCTCAGGCGGCCTTTGTCGAAGACTTCGACGAAGAGAACCATGCCCCGCTACCCGACACTCGTCAGGTGGCCAATACCGCTGCCAAAATATCCAGGTTGGAACCGAGAGCCCCAGCGGAACTGCTGGTCGACGGTGGCAGTGACTCAGGCTATTCCAGTCGCACCGCTGCCACAGCCAACAGTACCCAATCGGGCCCATTGGGCGAGAAGGGCCCACCGATCCCTCTTAAGGTAGACACCGCCTCCCAGCGAGTCGACCTGGGAAGGAAATCATCTACCCGCAAAGATCGTCTCAAGGATACGGCCAGACCCTCACGGTCATCGCATGACGAGAAGGCGCACGCTGGTGCCTATCCGCTCTCCACCCATCAACCTGCTCCCGCGCCTCGGTCGTCATCCAAGTCTCGCCGGCGCGATTCGATCATGGTTCAGCATTACCACGACTCCTGCTACGAGTGTGCGAACGGCAGGTACCATTCATCCACCCCAGTGGAACCGCCAGCGACGGAGTATCCTTTCTATATACCACAACGGCCCCCAGGGGCTGACTACATGCCACCCTCACCACACACCCCTCGGTATCCCGGACCCGTCATACAGGACATCAACGTCACTCAAACAAGCCGCCCCCAAGGTCGGGCCGGCCGCTCCAACTCTTACCAGTCCGTCTACCATTTGAACCAACGACCCATGAGTTTCCATGGAGCGCTGCCAGGCATGAGTATGTACCACCAGCAACCGATGAATTCCTACGATCAGCATGGCCCGCCGCCGGCAAACTCTGCCTATGCCAACTCGCCAGTCTATCCTGAGTCACCAGTCGGATCGTCGGGCTTCTACTACCCTGGCCCGGAATATGTGACTGCTGGCCCGCCCCCTCGGCGAGATCGCTCGCGTTCCAGCACTCGGGAACAGTCACGGGCGCGCCGGTCGTCGTCTCTTTATGGCCCTCCTGTTGTCGAATCTGAAGTGTTCTCGCCCTATTATGAGGAGGGTGAGCCAGCGGACCGGCGGTCATCTCGTGAGATTCGTGGACGGCGTTCATCCAAGTCAACCTATGCACGCGATGAAGATTACTATCGCATGCCACCCCCGCCACCGCCCGCCCCGAAGCACCGTGGGGCGCCGCAGATCATCCAGCCTAAACGCCCAGATCCCCCGCGGAAGTCCCAAACCGCTGGTGCCGTCCCCTCACAGCACCGTCAGCCCAACCCTTTTGACATGTCCGATCTGGGGGGCGTACTGCCGGACCATGCACACCATCGCCTGTCGCGAGAGGGCGCGTTTCCGGTGCGCAGTCAAAGTCAGCGCGAGAACCGGAGATCCACCTCTTATAATGACCCTTCGCGGGCAGCTCGGGTCGCCATCGAAAGCTCTCGGCACCCTCGACTGTCGCAGCACTACTACGACGATGGTCGCACTGGCAGTCTTGAGGACAAACAACGGGAGATCGAGGATTACCAGGCTGCTCGGTCTGGCCGACCTGCTGGCGCTGCTGCGATCCCGCTGTCGGCCGAAACGATGCTGCCCCACAAGGGCTCTAACCGCGTTGGCAGCGAAAGCGGCAGCCAGAAGAGCCGTTCGAACAGCAGCCGTGGTAGTGGTGGCTCCAAAGGGGACGACGACATCAATCTGGTAGTAAGTGGAGTAAAAATGAGCTTCACGCGGGAGTCGGTCGATGGCAAATCAATCAACATTCGCCGGGGAGATAGTAGCTTCCGACTCAACATCGAGGGCAATCGACAGCCCAAAGGCTACCTCCCTGGCCCTCCATACTCCGACTATACGGGCGGCGGCAGCCGCCGGGAATTAGAGGATGGGCGACACTCCCGAGATGGCCGACCCTCAGACAGGGCCAGTCGCTCCAGCAGGTCTACCTACAGTAGGACGCGCTACCAGGAGTGACCGCTGTCTCTTTCTGGTTCCCTCAACTCTCCTTTGTGTTGAATGTTTCGTCTGTTTGTTTGCCAAAATCCTTTCTTGTCACGGTTTGGCGGGTTCATTTGCGAAAAGTTCGGTTTGTGTTTGATCTCGGGGCAGGCTCTGTGGATGGAACTAAAATGTTGACATTTGAGCAAAAAGCCTTTGGAAGCGCGACGAGCTGGCCCTAACTGCTGGGCCTTGTCGACAGATCGCCTTTTTTTTTTATATCGGACTGGGAGGATTCTCTGTCTGGTTTTGTTTGCAATTGCTATCTCTTGCGTCTGGGCACCCGTATCTGGCCCGTCTTCATTCAGACAAAGGTGGCCCTGTTACGGTGATATGATTGTACGATTCTGATGACCTGTGATGACAAGTTCGATGTTCTTTGTCAATTCTTTTCATGATGATGCCCTGTCTTTGCCAGCGTTCGTGTACAGTTCTTTGTGTTTGTCTGCTTCCATTTCAGTGGGCTTGTGTCTATCTCCTGGTGCTCTCTTTGTCCCAATTTGCGATCCCGACCGGGAGAGATATATACCCATTTACTTTTATGTCCCATCCAGTGATCAAGCGTGTTTCAATCTTTTTGTTGGCCATATATCCATTCCGGAGAATTTCTCTCTCTATATACCGATCGGAGAGTGGTCTATAACTGAGATGCTCATTCCTGGCTGTAATCCTCCATTAATATCATCATAATCATCATTATCATCATTATCATCATTGTTGTATTCTATAGTGCTGATCGATCCACCGGGGATCCGCGATTGCCTGGCCCGGGGAAGCTGACCTAAGCCGTTGCCCGGGACAACCAGGCAGGTAAACAACCCCAGCCTCTCACCTCCAACCTCCTCCATTTCAGGCAGATCTGAGTGTCATTCATATTCTGGCTCCGTATTCTCCCTCGTTTTTCTCTTCCGACTCTACTGACAACCCCCCAGGTGTGACTTTCGCTCCCCCAATCTCCGCTCCCACATTCCATGACCACTACCAACCTCATTTGGATCTAACGTTGATCATTTAACGCCAAGGTAAGTTCGATGACCGGCTCGATGGCATGAATGTAGCATTCCTGACTCTTGTTTTAGTCTTGAGCCGTGCGCTCTTGACCACGCTCTCTATCTGCCATGGCTCCCGTTCCATCATCCGGGGATTTCCCCGGCATTCCAATGGTGGAGCTTGATGCTCGTGCTGTGGAAAATGTCACCCCCGTGGCAGCTTCACCCGCCACCGATCTCAATACCTTTGCCGTTCGATCAGATCCCAAGTCCACATCGGCCTCCACCAAGCACCCCTCTGGGGCTGGGACGATCAACCCTAATAGCATCAACATGCAAGGCATCTTCGCACTTTTTGCCATCATCGGTGCTGTTTTTGTCCTCGGCTCCATCTGGTTCTTTTTCTGGGCAAAGAACGGCAGCTTTGTCTGGCGTAAAGGCGACTGGGATGAATACAAGTCGACCGTTCTTCGACGCAAAGGCCCAGATGGGCGGACGCTCAGTAATGCGACCAAGAGCACTAAGCTTGGTGGTGGGAGCGTTGTGGGCAAGGGCTACAGCGACGATGGATACACATACTCTGGGTACACGGAAACAGCGACGACTCTCACCGAGGAGAAGCCCAAGAGGAAGAACAAGTTCAGACAAACCGCCAAGGAGAAACTGCTACGACGACACAAAGATGAGCGCTGGGAAGGCGAAGGGGACCACGACGTGCGCGCGTATCGTGAAGAAAAGCCCGCTCGAATCGGTGGCATGAACCGTGAAGCAGATGGCACCTATCACGGCAGCGACTACGACAGCTCGGCGGTGCCGACGCATAGTGAGATGAGTGAAGCCCGTTATGAGCCGCGACGGGGACAACGCGACCGCAACACATCTGGATTCTCTTTCACGGCTGGCAACGAAGAGGTTCTCAGCCAGACGACGGAGCAGCAGCCTCTCCGGGACCCGTCTGCACGCCGCCAGAACCGCCGGCGTGATCGTCGCAGCCAAGTCGATCCACCCTCTGCTCCGTCGTCGCGCACTAGCAGCCCGCGCAAGCGTGACCGTCGCTCCATGCCCGGCAAGTTCACCGAACCCCTCGACCTTTCTTCCGCAGGCTCCCGCTCGGAATACCAGTACTCGAACGTCGACACCGAGGACTCGGGTACCAGGAGCTACCACCACCCGATCCCAGGCTTGACGAAGGGATACCGTCGTGACGGACGGAGTCGCCGTCGCGATAGCTTGAGTGACAGCGAGGGCGATGAAACTCGGTACTCATGAAGAGTACGTTCTTTTATTTGTTGATATGTAGCCACGAAGCGCGTTTGGTTTGTATTCAATGCACAAGATTGTATGGGTGATATGTATTTGTTTCCTTTGGGCGTCTTCTGCACTGCGCCAGTGATCTATGGATGGATGGGCATGTAAATAATGATCAATCTCATGATGGAAAAGACAAGGTTATTTTCTTGATTTCGAATTCTTTCTGTAGGACATTGATATAAACTTCACCGCACGCACGGACGTGTCGACAACTTCTCCTCATCTGCAGAACCGCAAAGCAGTTTACGCATCGATATCTAAGTCGCAGTCTTGATTCGTTTCTTTAGACCAGGCTCTGGCGGGATTCTTCATCCATGGTTGCTTATTGGACCTCAGTGGAATGCTTGGCCTCACTGGAGACGGCTTGATTTCATTCCCCACGTCAGGTAGAGTGAAGATACATACTTGTACATAGTGAGTGAGCCTTGTACCGTGGTGCTGTTAGAGTTTGGGGTAATTATTGAAAGTTGTCAACGCAGGGATGGCAGCCAGTATTTGCAATTGAGACAACCTCGAATCTTCACGGATTCTGTATCATTTCTACCAAAGTGTATACTTCACCCGCCACTATGCTCCGGGGATACGCCATCTGCGTCCCGACAACGTTCCTCTCTCGTGGAACCTACGACATGTTTGAATTAAATTACCTAGCAGCAGCCAAAGGGTTTTCCTTTTTATGCACACCGAATCATCAAGACCAATAATAATGAACGTGTTCCACAGGGATTTGAGGGTGATTAGGTGTTCCCAAAATCCGCGCTCTGTCGCAGATATCGTGTATAGACCTGATTGTTTTCGGATTATATATTCTTAATTGTTAACTGTGTATGTGACTTCAGGCCAATTGTGGCATCAGTGAGACGCAGTTCCGTCTGAGAAGGTATAGTCGGGAAAGAAGCGATCATGGATACGGGTTGCGTACTCCACCAGGACAGGAAAGGACTTGACTGTCTTTTGCGACTCAGGACATCTAGTAGCTAGTTAGTGGAGGCCAATGGTAGACATGAGAGGCACTTACGAGCAACAGATCAACGCTCCGACAATAAAGCCAAAGAGCACAGAGTCGGCGTCCGTTGGATTATCTCCCCCTAAGACCCAGAATGGCTTTTCCTTGTCATCCTTGCCTGACCTTTGGAGCTTCGCGGTAGTGAGAAGTCCATTGAGATTAGCCCAGATCTCATCTCGGAATGAGCTGATCTCTTCAGGCGAAAACCGCATAGTCCCTTGGCCGTAAAGTGTCTGTGTCATCTTCCGGTACACTAGATACCCAATAATGACTCGCATGGGGTACGGCATCGCGGCAAAGAGATGGTCGCGCTGTGCATAGAAGTTCTGAACCCATTTTTCATAGGCCTGCCCAAGGGTTGAGTACAATGCGGCCAAATCCAATCGATGATTAACTCACCTGGAGAAAATAGAGCCGGTCTTCTAGAAGTGCGCGCAAGGCGAGATCTTGTGCCTTTTCTGCCGGACTGAGTTGGGCGTTGAGGTCTTCCACTATGCCATTTTCCACGAAACCCTTGATGATCAATGCGGAGTCGGAGACCGTCTGGGGCGGTTGATTGTCATCCGACTCGATAGTTAGGTATGGAATTTTGCCTCGCGGCGCAGTTCTCGGTGATCCAGATTCGGTGCGGTAGGAGATGCCTGCGAAACGCATGCGTGCCTCGAGTTTGGTTACAAAGGGAGACCAGGTGTAGTGACCCGTGCCGGGAAAGCCCCGGAAGAGGGTGAAACGGAGTTTTGAGTCGGCAGACAACATTGTGAAACGGCGATGCAAGGGAAGGTGGAAAAGGTGGTCAATTTGTAATCCAAACAGGGCAAAGTCACTCCTTTTAAGATCTGCTTATTACTCTGTGATCGATCGAAGGGGCTAACACGGGACCGGAGATCCGGGGCGATCTTGTCCGATGACGACGGATCCTCCAAGACCGACCAGCCCGACTCCACCGAGTAACTAAAGTTCTAGATTGCCCTTCATTAGTATGGATTCGCTTTTCCCAATTTCTAAGCTGCCCCTATCCCGCGGAATAGCTCAGTAATGGCTTTATCCTCGTCGCTCCATCCTGAAACCAGAACGTCAGCGCCATCTGACTGATCCTGTCCCCATCACAACCTCGAGAAACCACCTCAAGCAGATCAGGATGCGACTTGAATTGCAGAACCTCGAACCTTGAATGGCGCAATCGATGAAGAAGCCAGCGATCAACAAATGTTGCTTTGTCGATAAGCCTCGGGTGCACTGTTTCGAAGAAGGGCGAGTGATCCTCGATTTCGGACATGCGCAGCGGGTCAGCGTGTTGGGTTTGTTTAGAAGTAATTCCCACAATATGCCCTGGCCACGATTGCTACGCACAGTGATTAAAGGGCTCTGTTGATGCTCAGGTTGTAAGCAGAGCCGGCGATACGCAAGCTCCAAGTCACTCTCCATCTGATGCTTCTCATCCGGGTATCTTCCAAGAAAAGCAAGCGCCTCAGCTTCTAGCGTGATGCCGATACATTTGTGCAGATTTCGTTGATCTGCAATTATCAGATACTCCTTTTTTTAGCTCGGCAAGTCGTCCCTGAAGCATGCGGGCCTCGCCAACAGAAGAGAGATATTCAACATTGGCTGGCATTTCGTGATTCGAGTTGTAATCAGCTGATGAGGAGGTGTTAGATCCAACTTCACCGGCGGCTATTATCGAGGCCTGAGCCTGAAGGAGGTCTCCGAGCTTGTTCAGGCGCTTGCTTAGTTTATACTCTTGCTGCGCCAACTCCTCCTCCGTCTTGTGATACTCGCTCTCGAGCATTAGGTATGACTCGGTAATTTTCTGCAGTTGGCCCGCTACGCTATGGATTGACGGAAGTTCTCCGAGCAAATTTTCGGGGGCGATTAAGTTAAATGTGTTTCGTAAAGCGAGTCGTAGGTCGTCTTCCTCTTCTCGTTTATGTCTGAGCGCATGCCGGAGCTCTCGGGCGCGAAAACGCTTCGTTGAGACGTCTTCGTGCAAACAGAGGATTTTATTTATGTACCATACGCCATTCTATTTATTGCCCTGACTCGTGTCGGCCACTTGATCAGGGGCGTGGGTGTGTGGCGATGATAGGGCACGATGTCGCCAGGGCGGCTCAAGGCTCCCTTCCTCCTGCTCCCAGTCGTTTTCAAAGTAGTACTTTCCAAGGCCAGCTGTGCCATTTGACAAAAAATTTGGCGCAGTCAACCCCGCTATCACACCCGCTATCACAGATGTGGCCTTGGTGAGGCGCGGCGAGTGAGGTCGCGGCGTTTCCGAGGTCATGGAGCTCGGTCTCTCATCACGCTGCAGCGTACCAACTGGAATATCTTCTCTATACATTCCTCTGCCCAGGGGTTACCGAAGGGAGTTGTCTAGAAAAGGATATTGGGATGATGAGTATCACAGACTTTTGCACCCTATCAATGTGCCTCACCTCTGCGAAGCTGGCCCGCACGATACTACAAAACGAGGCCATAATGTGGAATCCTACAAGCCTGTCTGAGCATATTATTATATTTTCATAGGAATGAATAAGACCATCATGATCTCTGGGCGTCGGAGGGGGTGATGAAATACACCAACCATACCCGCTGTTGGAAGAGACAAGGGTTGAGTTATGACTTACACGTTCAAAAGGAGGCTCAAGAATAGAAAGAAAGTGACCGTAAGCCCATAGCCGCTGCATTAGAGCCTGCTATTATAACTATGAAGCAAATTCAAAACGTAGCCCAGTCTCAGGGGTCCGGTCTGTTCGCTGTCTGTGGCGTTCCGCGAACAAATCAGCGCTTGGAGACATCCTGGTCATCGCCAAATAATCGAGCGCCTCACTTTGCACATCCAATTACAACCCTTCCGGTCCCCTCCTCTTACTGCGTCTCGGCGCCTGTATTTCCGTTGTTTTCGTCCCTAACCGTTGTATTCTTCTCGGCCGCATCATATATCTACTCCGTCACCTATAGGCTCTTTGATCTCCAACGCCATAGGTCATGCGGACTTTTCACGCGAGTCAGGATGTGACTGTAAATGTATGGAATACGCACCATGCATACTATCTGCCTCATAGCCGTGGGCGAGATAACGGTCCGAGCCGCGAGGGCCTCTAGAGGAGGGTTGATATGATCAGCTGCGAACCTTCCTTGGGATAAAAAGACCTCACAAGAATCTGTCCAACCCTTCTTGAGCTTTTTACTTCCAGATATGTAAGAGAGATGACTTCAGATTGGGTATTTCATGTAGAAACTGGGCGTGCTTTTCATTATATCTTCGACCTCCACGGTGAGAAACCCCATAAACTCTACATACCCAAATAGACAGTCACTTATCTGGTTATCTATAGGAGAGCTATGCTGCGAATGGGACAGACCAGGCGGCCCCTTGACATTCGCATCACGAGAACGGACCGATCCGTCATTAGAGTAAGTACCTCTCCCATAATTTGCAAGGCCAGTGGGTTAACATCGTCAGTAGCACCCCGTGTCAGCGAAGCGAGTCAACGTTCCAAAAGTCAAACACGGGTCCTTACGAATATCAGATTCCATTCTCTCACTCATCAGAGTACGACTCCGGTGGGCAGTTCCAGCACCCAAGTCTATCCAGTTTCGGCCAGTACCGAAGGTACGATCACGATACGCTTTGGAAACCGGACTCCCGCCAAAAGTCTCCAGACACGAGTCGCCAGCACCTTGATAATATTGACCCCCATTTGAGCACGACTAATTTAGCGAGCTCGTTTCCTAGTGGCGGTCACTTTGAATGGGGCCCCACTAATGGGTACGGGTACGAATCTTTGGAACCTCGGCCTACTAGGACTGGGCGTTCTAGTAATTCTAACCGGACTAAGCCCACTGGATCTGAAAGGAGCAACTCATCCAGTCCAAGGTCAACGGCAGTCGATCTACAAGGATTGAGTCTTGGAGAGCACGTTTCCTCCAAGTTGGTCCCTCCTCACGGCGCCAGCTGCCGAAGCCATCGCAATGACCCAGTTCTGGGGAACGTCCAGAGACATCATGACACGCTAGTAGTAGGTCGTCCATTCTGTCATTAGTTCGCACGAAATATAGGCTGATTCGTGTAGCGCATGGTACTTGAGCCTTCATACGTGATCCCCGGAAGTGGTAACGAACATGAGACTTTGGATCCTCGTAGGTGTTTGGTCTTGTGATTTGAGTGAGATATTGAGTGCTCATAAGATATATAGGATACAAGAGGCAAGCCGACGCTCGGCGGTTTTTCAAAGTAGGAAGGGTAGTTTAATCCATTCCCAGATATCATTGAACAGTTCTCACTAGTGGTAGGTATTCGCAATGCTCTGGCATGAGAATGCTGGTCATCACGGAACCATCCTCAGCCAACGTGGTTCGCCATTGGGTACCAATCCGTTCACTCGGGGCAAGTACCAGGAACCGATATACAGTAGCATCCGACGCATGGTCGTGGTCAAAGAACAGAAGGGGTGCTGTTGGTGTGTGTAAGTAACCCCTGAAGCGAAGCTCAAGTCAGTCCAATTTACCAACACTCCTCTCGATAGACCCGTCACTACATATAGTGGACAGGGAGTTGCCAAAGCGGGGGTAGACCGGAGCAAGCATGCCGTTATATATATGCACGGGCATGGGAACAGACCCATTACGAGCCCCAATGAGCCAAAGATGGTCAAGGAACCGATAGAAGTCCAACCCTCGAGTCCGGATCAGAAGCTCGACCCCATGTCGCGGCTCAATTTTGGTAAAGTGTATACAGTCGAGCATAATGTCAAAGTGCTACCAGTTGGAAAGATTTGCGAGAGCTCTCTAGAAAAATTTCTTGCATATGCGCGCACAGAGTTCAATCGCTAAATTGTTTTTGGAGGAAAGCGATGTTGCCATTGAAGACTCCTTTGCCCAATTTGTTTCCAATTTGTATTTGTGTCCGTTTGGACATTCAAAACTTGAAATATGTTGAATAAGGATCATCGCACTTAAGCGGAGCTTGAAAGTGACTGAACATATTGGCGGATATTCTATTTGTATTGAAAAACGCGTTAGTTAACAAACACCTCCAACGAAATCATTGTAAAATGCGTCCATTTATGGGAACGGGGCAAGAAACAGCCGCTCCGTTCGGTAATATGTCTGTCTTAATAATAATAACCTTAGTATCCTACATACAGTAGCTAATCAATCACAAGTTGCATTTATACCGTTTACAGTTCACCAGTTAGATATTTTACGATATGTACCTTACAACTTCACGAATAGACTCTCTCGTTAAGGTGAAAAGGTTAAAAGCAGGCCGACACGTTCGACCATCAACTATTTTCGGAATACACGTCGAGGAGTATGCCTTGTCGTGTTCCACAGGACCATAAGTCAGAAGCTACCCGTAGCAGAGACCGTAGCCGGCTCTCGAAAGACGGGATATTGGAGATGATTGGACTCTCGGGAAATATTTGCTGATGCTTTTCACCTGCAACTCATCTCTAAGCCAAAGGCCGTCACGGCTATACCAGGAAAACTGAAGCGGCGCTTGCAAATGCGTCTCGACAGACGGCGGGCGGCCCCGCATGCAGATGGATTCAATGCCAAGCCAGCACGAAACCGCCAAGAGCTCATCGAAGCCCGACGGCAAAGAGCCAAGCAACAGAAAGCCACAGAAAAAGGGGTTGCTGCAAAAGGCCAAGGAAGAAGTGTAGCTCAAGAAGGATAACGCTATCCCCCGCCGTTTCTCCCTGGATGGCTCAGGACCACTCCTCGTGTCCCGTCGCTCCCCAGCGAAATTGGTCCCGTAAAGCCTTCGAGGTCCACGGGTTTTCAAGGCGATCTATCTATCTAAAATTGCATGTACTATCAGACAATTGCCAAGATAGTTGAGGCGATAGTACTGGGCTTGAGTAGGGGGGCTAGGTCGAACGGCTATGATAGATTAGTGAGTATGTAAGATGCGAATCGGGAATACTGGCAGTGTACGCTTTGGGAGGGCAATGTGCTATTATCTTTGACATTCTCCCGACATACTTGGGACACTTCTCGATGATTTACCCTGCAAGTGTTCAAGAGGTAGGGATCCGTCAAAATCCCGACCGCAGAATTCGAAGCATAGGGGTGGTGCTAGATTTGCACAGCGCCTGGCCAACGTCTCAATGACACGTGTCGCAGACGAGTCGACTGTGTATCGTGGAATTTGCATTGTTCCGGAGGGAAATCATGAGTTGGAATGGATACGAATGATTATGACTTTTCAGCAATGAAATGGAATTGCTTTCAATTGGATACAAACCCCTGTGCCTGTTTGGCGTGTCAGGAGTCTAGACTGCACCAACACAGTGTCTATTTCGTCACAATCCCTGCTCTAAGCTGATGCTCAATATGGTCTGGTTCGCGCCATCGCTAGAAAGGCAAAATAAACAGGGCCTTCTCACCAGTGACCCGCTGCATCCAGTCACGAGAAAGTCTAGGAAGAATCTGCTTCGGGAAGAAGCAAGGTGAAGGATCGTTGCATCACCACAGGGTCTCACTGCGTGACAGGTCAATCATGCTCCATTGGGAAGGTGGCAAGCGATTCCGAATCATTGGAGGCTATAGATAAATATTTAGCTTTGCGGCTAGTAGCGACGATCGGAAAGCAAGTAATGTCGGATCGGCCTAGTCCAGGGCGCACACAAGGCTGTGAAGTCCCTTTTGCATGCGCAGAGGTAAACTTGCAGGTTTTTGCAGACAACGTGGGTGGTCATTCTTCTCTGAGAGGGCGATCATACACTTTTATGGCAGACCCAACCCCATGGAGTGGAGACGATCGGAACTTGAAGTGGTCCCTACTTGAGAAGGCTGAAAGGGTTGATTTGTCCGAATGAGGCCCCACGAACGGAACATCAACCAAGTTTTCAGTGTACGCTTTAGTTGACTCGACGAAGAATCGAATACTCAAATATTCTCTTGCATCTTCTATTGCACATTTTGTCATCCTACATCTCACCATCCCTAACAGAGTGGCCAGTCGGCCCGACGACGATCTCGGCCGAGTTTTCGGGTATCAATCAAGTCGGCATTGCTCGCTAGGCCAATCTGCAGCTGCCATCACTCAACGTGCCGGAGAGGTTGCAACAGGAGTCGGGATTGGCCGTCACCAAGTCGCCGTTACCTCGGCGGGTGGAGGGGGAAGAACTTGCGCGGAAACGGTCAGTGAAATTCTTGGCTTGGATTGAAAAATGGGATAGCGGATGATTCCAGCAGGCCCAAGCAACAGGGAAGGTGAACAGTATGAGCCCTACAGTGTGAAGGGAGTATCCGAACTGAAAACCGATGAGATGCTGACAGTACAAATCAGATCGGCCGAGGAGCTCGGTGTCCGATCAGTCGTCACAATGGCCACTTCTTGGGATACTGCGCTGTGGTCTTCGGGCTGTTTCAGACATCGTTCAAACAATAGACCTCGAGATGGAGCCAATCGTCGGAAAATTCTGCCGCTGTACATAGGTAACATATGTACCTAGTTTACGCGATGCTAGAATGCAGAAGCGGACGGCGGCTGAGCCAACCAGCCCCCGTTTACTCTACAACTACTCCGTAATCAGTACCTATTTTCGCACCCGGGTCAAAGGTGGAACGAGACCAGTGGGGCTGACCGGCGCTCGAAGTTTGGCATTAATCGGCGACTACGACGTAGGGGCCGTCCGATCGGCGATCAACCGCCTAGCGCGAACCTTGTCCGGAAAGTCTTAAGGCTCATTCTTGTCCCTGTACTCTCTCCACCTTTTGATGTCGATGTTGGGACTTGATGAATTGCAGATGCATTGGTCACGTCGGCTTACAGGCACGGGTCTTGCACGCTTATCACTTCTCCTAGTGCATTGTTATTATTGGGCTACAGCCTTCTAGTCTTTCTTGCCGGCTTCCGATTGCATGTGCCTGATCTGTGCCCTTGCTTAAGTTGATAGGTAGGTTGTGCTGCCCCTATACAGAGGGAAAAATAATCCTTGCTATTAATATCCCGTTTTCCTAGAGTTCGGTCCACGTAATTATTGACGCGGCAATCGGTTTTTTGACACCCTTTGCCCAACATATCCTTTTTTTACCTGATATTATTGAGGTATAGACTTAGATAGGTGTATTTGAAATGCCTACATGTCATTCATCTTTTTTTTTAATTGTGTGACAGATTGTCTAACCAGAACCTAAGGATATCAGTTGTGGAGACTGGATACATTCATATCGCTAGTGGATAGCCAAATGTAGATCGTATATGGGTAGGGTGAGTTCTAACGGAGAGGTGCGGTCTTTAGTATAAACTTAACCACGAGAACAGAACATCAAGAGGGAGAGAAGCGAGGAACACCTAGAACCGTAGTATATTTTGGTAGGAATAAGTGGTGAAAGGGCTCGGTCTATATGGTGTGTTCAAACATTTGCTGCGTCAATCTATATGACGTATTGTTCAAATTTTTGGTTTTGGAAGGCCGGAACGCGTCCATCCATCGACGGGATGGATGGTGGAGCTTGCCATAAGCTTAATGATCCCAAGATCGCCATGCTCCCAAAGCCGAAAACCTGTCGACTATGAGACTTACACCATGTGCAACATGTAGACGCAGCCAAGCCTTGCTCTCGTGGTCTTCATTGGCGTTTTGTCTCCCACGACACTCTTATCATGCAGGTCCAAAGTCTGCAGAACATCGGAACTTTACCGGGTCTTTGGACCCTTAGACTCGCACTAAGATGCAGAGATACGGCGTCGAAAAGAGTTTCTCTTTCGTAACATAACCCTATGAGTCAAACTGGACTGCGTGCGGCACATGCTATGTTGATCATTTCGTAGTTTTTACGTTAGCGTACGGATGTGTTTACCCTAGAGAGGTTCCCCAGTGGTGAGAATGGCATTTGGACTACGAAGCTTGTCATTTCAGGGCTGGGGGAGGAATTCACTGGAGTGTATGTCTTACAGATAACCAGAAACCAACATCCTTCTGATTGTGGTAATTTAAACTAGGGGAGATGTCAGCATGAGGCTTAGCAATGCAGTTCCTTGGCGAAGCTGTTGTCGATATCGTCGGACGAATTTTTTGTGGAACATTTGGGAGCACGGGCATTCAGACTAGGACCATCTCCTCTGGATAGGATCTCGCCTATTGTCGAGTGAACAGCACCGGTATTGCCGTCTTTGTCCGGTTCTTGCCACAGCCTACTGTCAAGGTGATGTGGCAGGGTTGCCCACTTGGTCGAACCCACAGTGGAGAGTACATGGCCTCGACTCTTCTCAGGTGCGTGGATCCTTCTGATATTTACATTATATTTATTTTCTTTTTAATTTTTTTTTCTTTCGAACGTGTGCTATCGGGGGCCGCTGGAGTGACGTCGGGAATCAGAGGGGTGCTATATAAATCGGGGACTTTTCCCATGATTATTTTGTCTGGGATTACAAGAGTTAGTCATTCTACTTTCTTCTCTGCTATATCATTTGCTTGTTACTTGAGTTATGCACCCCTAGGACCATCGTTCCACATATTAACTTTTGAAAATGTCTCCCTCCGACTATTCAGAGAAGATCAATGGGCCTCATGCCACCGAGAGACGCGTTGACTCAAGCTCGAGTCTGGCGACGCTGGATCAGAATCAACTTGCATCGCCAGTTTCGGACTCTACCAAACTTGAGAGCCAAGTTCCTCTACCACCGCCATACCATGTCTTCACCAGATATCGCAAGCTGCAGATGGTCTGCATTGTCTCACTCGCTGCCATTTTTTCTCCACTGTCTTCCAACATCTACTTCCCCGCCCTTGGCACTATATCGAAGGTGAGATGACTTGAAAGCCAAGGTCATTGTCAAAACCGCGTTGCGCTAATTACCCAGTATAGGATTTGGGTGTCCCAATGTCCCTTACAACCTTGACCGTTACCGTATACATGATTATCCAAGGCCTCGCTCCCAGTTTTTGGGGCTCTTTCTCCGACATTCTCGGCCGACGCGGCATCTTCATAGGGACTTTCATTGTCTATATCATTTCGAACATTCTACTAGCTGTATCCACGAACTATGGAGAGCTCATGGCCTTCCGTGCGCTGCAAGCTGCCGGGAGCTCAGCCACTATCTCAATTGGTATATACCCAAGTTATTGTCATCGAAATGCTTCATTGACCTAGGATAGGTGCTGGTGTCATTGGAGATATCACAACATCTGCCGAGAGGGGGGAGCCTGGTGGGGATCTTTGGAGGAGGTAAGATCTGCCGAATTGGTATGCTTGGGTGCGTCGTGCTGATAGTCTCAACAGTTCGTATGCTTGGTCAAGGGGTCGGCCCGGTCTGTGGTGGAATTCTGGCCCAGTACTTGGGTTTTAGATCTATTTTCTGGTTCTTGGTCATTTTTTCCGGACTGAGTCTACTTATCCTCCTCTTCTTCCTCCCAGAGACTATTCGTACCGTCGCGGGCAACGGTACCGTTCCTCTTCATGGTCTCTACAAGCCTTGGATCTATTATATCACCGGCCAGAGAGATGTAAAAGAGGATGCTATCCCGGCTGGAAAGAAGAAGAAGGTCACTTTCAAGACTGTATTTGCTCCTCTCAGCTTTCTGATTGAAAAGGATGTTTTCATTACCTTGTTCTATGGTGCTATCGTCTACACCGTGTGGTCAATGGTCACCTCGTCGACATCAGCCCTGTTCGAGTCTGTTTATGGTCTCAACTCTCTGGAAGTTGGCTTGACATTTTTGGGAAATGGTAATTAGCATCCCCTGATATTCCGGTTCTTCATCTAAAATTCCACCAGGATTCGGATGTATGTCGGGATCATACACGATTGGCTACCTGATGGACTACAACCATAAGCTCACGGAGCGCGAGTACTGCGAGCGACGCAACCTGCCTCTCGACACTCCCATCAACACCAAAACCCATCCCGACTTTCCCATTGAGATAGCCCGCATGCGCAACACCTGGTGGATTACGGCGCTATTCATTGTATGCACAGCCGCGTACGGCTTTTCGCTCGAGACCTCCGTGGCCGTACCAGTCATTCTGCAATACCTCATTGCCTACTGTGCCACTGCCATCTTCACCATTAATAGCGCCCTGGTCATTGATCTGTACCCAGGGGCTAGTGCCAGCGCGACCGCCGTCAATAATCTGATGCGATGTGAGGTCGGGGCCGCGGGTGTCGCTGCTGTACAGCCTATAATCGATGCGCTCACAGCCAAGTGGGCATTTTTGTTACTGGCTGGCGTCACACTTCACATGGTACCTCTGTTGTTGATTGAGATGCGCTGGGGCGCAGGATGGCGCCTTGAGCGAACCGAGCGACTGAAGAGAAAGGCAGAGTCTGCATAAATGCCAGATTTATGACACAGACATACGAAAGTTTTTTGGCGAAAAGCTTAGGTTCTGAGGAACAGGTCTCTTGCAAATAGAAGGACGAGGGAAAGCAAAATAGTGAGGATATAGACGGATATAGACTGGGCCCAGAGATACAGACATAGATACAGCTGCAATAGTTAATTATTTGGTTAGGGTTGACTTAGGACATTCTCTGAGTACTGTGTAAGCAGCTCATCCGAAATCTCAGAGCCGATCGCTAAAGGCGGTAGGTTCACCTCACCGTCGCCTAGACCACGTCAAAATTGGAAACGTCATAGCTCAAAGTTAAGAGGTCATGCTCAGTCTCCCTCGAGTGGTTCTTTCACACTTGGATTTAAACGGTCTGTACAGGGTCTCTAACAAAATTGAAGAACGCAAATTATTGAAGCCCAATCATCAGGGAGAGAAAATCGCCCGTTCTTAAGTTCATGCCCGATAGTCATCATAGGCAGGCGCAGCATAAGCCTTCAATGGCTCTACTATAATCCCCGTTGTTGAATGCTTGGTCCATGGAACTGTCGAAGGTTGGCTCGCAGAAGAAGCATCGTACATGTCCATTGATAACTGCTCACCAGCCCTAGGGGAGAGCGATGGGAAGGAAGCAACGGCAGAAGGAGCCCTTGGATTAGCAGAATGAATCTCAACAATGTCGCGCTTCCTTTTCAAAGTCCGAGGAGTGATAGTCACAGCAGCACTGGAACTGATCTTGTTCGGGAGTATATGTTCTCGGGGGCCTCTCTTCCTGTTTGGAAATGAGAGGGCATGCTGGCTAGACGCTCGTTTCTCGAAAACTTCATCAGGCGCAAATACATCCTGAGGATCCTTTAAAGCAGACGAATATTCAGCACAGCCCGCATATGTCTCCATCCCTCGAATGGTGACTGGGGAGGTGACTGGGGAGGCCGACGTATAATTGCCACTATTTTGTCTCTGCCCAGTGTTCCCTGCTGTTTCAAGAAAATCGGCGTGAGAAACCCACACCATCGTTTGCCTGTCTGTGGAAGAGACGTTAAACTCTTGGACGACTAAGACTTCTCAAAAACCTACAAAGATTTCCGTTTAGAAATTGTTCTTCTTGCCGTCTAACATAATAAATCTCGTCCAGGACGTGCACTAGCTTCGGCGGAGAAATCAAACGGCGAATTGACTGATCGGCTTTTTCGAGTTGCGTAACAGAAATTCCATGACTGCCGCATAATTCGCGAAGAATGTGAACTAGAAGTCGAATGCGTTCTGTGGCAGATTAGATGAGATCTGATTGTGAAAGCATCGTAGTTTTCCTACCAACTTTAGGGAGATGATCTGGCTCCCGGTGGGTGACCCGAGAGGGCCACCATGGCGGCTTAGTCGCATCCGGATCAAACTGACACGTGGTGCCCGCAATAATCTTCCGTCCATTGTATGGATATCTCACCTGCTTGCGAGGCTCCACAAGCTTGACATAGGCTTTCGCAAGAATTCGACAATTTACCTGTTGGAACTTTTCGAAGGCTTTTTCATAGTAAAGGGTCAAAGTGTCTTGGTCTTGAATGGATATCATGGCCCCGCTAGGACCCTTAGCTTCGACATCCTCATCGCGAAACTCACGCCATTCGTATGTGAGGCCCTTGGGGGGCAAGCAGATTGGTGGCTGCCTGTAAGCAGATTTCCCCGGAGTTGCAGCTAGAGAAAGGTGGCCTATGCAGCTTTCCTGTTCAAATGTAGTTCCAAAATACGGTATCGAAGTAGTTTGCGATGGTGAGAGTGGATTTCCATCCATGTTCATCGTTTCGAAACACGTCACTGGTGTGCTGGGATTGACTGACGTTCATCATTAGTGGTAACAACCCCTGGGGTGAACGTAATACTTACCCTGGTAGCTTGAGAGAAAGACGTTTGATGTACCAATAGCTCTCAGAAAGGCATCCTTAACCGTCATAGATAGAATCACTTGGCAGCTCTCTGCCATTGACCCGGAGCTTTGTAGCCGAATTTGGCCATCTACGTCGAGATATATGAGTAGAAATTTTGAAGGCAATTTAACTAAATTTTCCTCGGCTGGCATCGTTGTCTGCGCCTGCTTAACAGTCAGTTCATGTAGATTTAGTGGTCAGCCTAGTAGGCACTCTACCATGAATCTGAGTCTATGCACTTGCCGTGAGTGTCGAAAGCCAGTCAGAAATTAATTTATATTTCATGCCTTTAGCTAAAAGGAACGGTAATTGCCAAACTCAAACAGATGGTCACTGCTCCTCTCCCTCAAGCTTAGGATTTTGGTCTACTAAATACACATGTATGTACTTTTGGCCAACGAACCAGTTTGTTGCTAGGTGCGGCATGCTCACTAGCGCTGTCAGCCCTGTCACCGTGCGGGGAGCTGCAGTTCCCGACCGGGCCCAATGCGCTCAATTATGGATGGAACAAAAGTACCAACGTTCGTATAGAACCAATTCTAGGCATTCTAATGAGTAAAGGGCTTACAGGTGTCCTTCACACGCCTACGACTCTTATTCAAGATACTACCAAGAGAAACAATGTCGCATGTCCTGGGACACGCGAATTTTTCTAGTAGTGCAACCGCCTACGGACCCTTGCAGGCGTGCAGAGGTTTTCCTTGTAGAAGAATTATCTCACCGTGTCTAATGGAAGTCCTTATCAAGTCAGCCTTTCTACTGCCGTTGCAAAATATTCTTGCGTGGGCATACGCATGTGAGGAATGTCAGAGACGGAGAATGTGATGGGTTTAATGGTGTCCGGAAAAGAAGGGGAAAATTGGAGATTGGCTACTGATAAAGGCAGTGGGGGTCTTACTCACGCGCTAAAGACTTTTGGGGCATCGTGGCACTTTAGGAATCTGACCAGTCGGGGTCCTCCCGCTTCGTAGTTCGCTCCACTCACTTTAGGGCCGCCTGTCAACGGCCGGGAAATATTGCCGGAGCGTCGATCAACCCTGCGAAAATTACAACATATGATCATTTCAGGCAATCCTTGCATTCTGGGGCGTTACAGGAGCTTGTGAGGCCTAGAGCTATTATCTGACATGGTTTATACCGTCGAAAGCCTAGACCACATATCCAATGTGCCCATTTTAACGGAGGGGGATCGTTGGTTCCAGTTGCGCCAAATCTTTCCCGATATTCATTTCATGTGAAAAGCAGCCGGCGGTGAACAATAAATGCCCAACGGCCATGTTTTTCTTCGCCAAGAACTTGGGGCTATCCGTTCAAAATTCACTCGACGACAAAAGGACAGATATCTCTACCCAGATGACAACTGAGCTGTCATATGTCTCGTACGTGGTCAAAAGCAAGGGCTCTCTTTGGTTCTCCGGTATTCAGGGCAGATTCTGCACTATGTTACGTCAATACGTTGTTCCTTGCGGGTTTTCCATTGGGGTGCAAAGTTTAACCTTGCCAGCGGAAATATGAGGGGCTTTAATAGAGGTTTAACCTAAATACCAGCGCTGACAGGGCTCGGGCCTCTCGTAGTGGCGCCTTGCCACATTCATGGTTGGTCTTATGATTGAGCGGGGCAGAAACGGGCTGCATGAGGGGCCCGATAGGTTCAGGAGAAGATCAGGTTCGTTGCCTGAAATGGCTACTAACCTACTACAGGATAGAATGATAATCCACAAAGAACTACGAGAACCTGAATACTACCAATGGGCGGTTCCTCCAAAAGTACTAGCAGCAATGAAATTTCCCGTTTGCCTAACGAACTTGATGTTTTCTTTTTATTTACCAACTCACAAGATTAGTGCAGAAGCCGATTAGTGCGGAAGCCTTCGATCTGGTGTGCGCATAGAATCTGTTTACCAGAAATTTACACGACTAGGATAGTAGTTCAGATTATGCAAACCAGATTTCGAGATCCTGAAATTCTACAGCACGAAGGTCCAGAGCGTCAGTACATGGTAGAGCGTCATAGTGTTTGCACTAGCCTCTCATGGCTATTGGGCTTTTCCCACCCGCTGCGCTAGTTAATACGTAGATGAACCTAACCTCGGCTTTTTGACCCTTCCACCACTGATGGTTCAGACAGGGGAGGTCGACGAAGACTATTCACTGGGCTTTTGATATGTTACTAAACGTAATATGTTCTGTGTGATGTACTTTGAACCATTAGGTTTCTCCGTAATTGATATCTGACTCAAGTTTTCTTCCCGACTGGCGTTCATAGTACCCCGCCCCTCCACGTCGTGTCTGGCGCCCCTCGAAAAGCAGAATCAAGAAAACACAAAGCCGACCTCTAGTCGCCACAGATCAATTTCCTGCTGTCATAAAATCATACGGCGACGGCTTACGCGAAATGTACCTAGCAGACACTAATCCGACCGGTGTTAGACTTCACACGGGAGACTCAAATCCGTGTCTCCCTAATGACTCCTACAAAGTTGTCTTCGGCAAGTGTGTGTTGCCTATGCTTTCTGCCAACTCAGACAACCTAGACCTTCTCGGCACAGACCTCACCCTCTGACCGAACTTAGAGAAATCATTCTTCTTCGGAGGCATATCAAACCACACTGGTGTCGATTTATACCGCTCTCTCTTTTATCAAAATATTGTTAATATACGAATTCCAAAGGTTTAGAATTGCTAACCTTGAGCCGCCTGATGGATGCTTGTTCTAGAAGACGGAAAAAGGGAGATAAGCGTGTTCTATGTGTGTGTAATTATTCATAAATACTTATCAACCTCGAGCAGCAAGGACACGAAAACCTTTCTTCAAATCCTTCCACGCATTGAGGATTGAGCATATCGACATGATCAGCCTCCACAGTCAATGAACTCGACTGGTCGCCGAGGAACCTCTTGCCAATGGCCCAGGTAATCCTCTAGCCAACGATCTTTGTTTGGGCATACCGGCTTAAGCGGAATACAATAGAAAATATCCATCTTCCGGACTGAGCATTAATGATGATACTTTCGGGCCATTGCTGCTGTTGTTCGTTTAGTTTACTAACCACTCGACTGGTTCTTCTTACCAAAGTTTTTGGTAGAGTAGACAATTGAGATCAGCTGCTCAGGGTTGAGATTGAGTCGAGCCTGCTCTTCTGGACTGGCTACTTCGAACGGTTTGTCCACGACCTGTTTCGAAGACCAGCCCTTCATTTCCTTCTCGCACTTGAAAATATCATCCTGCTCAATGAGTCTTAAGAAATAGGCCACTCTGAGAGCGCCAGCAGTCCAGTCAATCTCCTTCATTAGCGGGATGACATGGGGCGGCGAGTCGATGCCACCACAGAATGCGATGGCGTCGCCGCCAGCCTCAATTCTCTTAGCCAGTTCAGAGCTAATCGTTGAATCCAGTGAGTATCCGATCGGAACATGCGGTCCCTGAGGCTGAACTCGCTTCACGTGGATGTGATAGGTGTCGGCTATTTCGGCAATGCTACTAAACAAGTGGCCGTGCTCCTCTTGTCCACGCATGGCCAATGCGTATAGTGGACGGTCGTCATGGCGCGCGATCATGGCAGGAAGGTGAGGATGTTGCCCGAGGCCGGATGAAGGAGCCATACTGGCGGCTTGTTCCCACGTGGTTGAAGGAGAACGACAGGGTCATACTCGCTCGAGCTAGCATTGTCTAAAATAGTGGCACAATAGAATCCGGTTACTGTTACCATCTCGGATGATCGCAGTATCATAATAGAACGGACAATACTGAAGATTCAAAAATGCGCGGATGTATTGACTTGGAAAAACGCGACCCAAGAAATTTGGGGCGAAGTGAGTGAGTGCTGTACCTCCTACTGACCCCACATATGCAACAGGGTTCAGGGCCCATCCATCCTGATTTCCGCGCTCAACGCCTCAAAAGTTAGCCCCCGCACGCGCACCAACTCGATACACGTACAACCTCGAGATATTGGAGTATTGAGCCGTCCGTGCGTCCCCATAATCTACCAAACCTCAGCCCCTACGCCAACAATAGTTGACAAGCAGAGCTATACTCCTCCAACTCCAGTATGAACGTTGCATGCACTTGTTCATCTTCACATAACCCCCAAACTCTGGATAAATTGTATCTCTCCTCCCAATTTTTGACTTTTGTCAGTCCTCAAAGCTCGTCATGCGCACAGAAAATGACTCGGTGGCGGGCACAGGGTCGTACCCCGAGAGATCAACAGCCCAAGAATCTGCGAAGAGCGAATACACAATTTTTCCCAGGGATAGTCATAATACCAATGATTATGAGGCACGACTCTTCACTCTTATTCCCAGGGATGAAGTGTACACGTCAGCCGCGAAGCGTATGGAGGTGGTATTTTGGGCCGTTTCCTTGACAGAGGAACAGGCTGAGCAGCCGAAGGATCCTTCGGTAAGTGGTAGTATCTTATACTTGTGTATGACCATTCTGTTGAGATACCTGCCTCCATGATAGGTTGTAATATGTAAAATCCAGACCGGTGACCCGAATTTCGATGCTTTTGGAGATGCTTGACAGGAATCATACCGTTGAATCAGTTTACAGCTCTCCACCGCCGCTTTGGTCAAGAGAAGCTTGGTTTAAGCCCTCTCCAGGTTAATAAAGGAAATAGCTTGATCCTTTTACTGTAGCCGTAACCGCTCCTTACATATCCAATATTGTTCCAATTTACCGTCACTTATCGTTGGGGTTAACTCTGTTGGTATACATTATCCAAGGCTAACCCTAATCAGGCAAGAGGAAAATCTGCGGCAGAATGCTCACCGCCCTCCATTTTCTCAAAAAATTTCCCGCCATCTTTGACCGACTTGACTGAACAACACTCACTGCCAACCATGAAGCGCAAATTGGATGCCAACGACGTACCGTCTCCGGAGCCTAATGCTGGGGACGAGCAGGAGCCTGACTTCGAAGCTCTGAACCTCGATCCCCGACTCTGCCAAGCCCTGATCAAAGAAAAGTTCACCAAGCCGACCCTCGTGCAGGCCAAGGCGATTCCCCTGGCACTGGAAGGGAAAGATATTCTGGGTAAGTACTTACTCACCTCATACCTTCAAAAAGGCTTCATCCTGACAGAAACAGCCCGTGCAAAGACAGGCTCTGGCAAAACGGCCGCCTACGTCCTCCCGATCCTGCAGTCCATTCTCCAAAAGAAATCGGTATGTGCTCTCTATCACTATCAATCCAAACGAATGATGAACTGACTCGTATATGAAATCAGGTGGACCCCTCTCTGAAAGCCACCACCGGTCTGATCCTCGTACCGACACGCGAACTTGCGGAACAAGTCCAGAAAGTGGTCGCCTCGTACACCAGTTTTTGCGGGAAGGATGTCCGATCAGTCAACCTGACCCAAAAGGTTTCCGACGCTGTACAGCGGTCGATGCTCGCTGATTTCCCGGATCTGGTTGTGTCGACACCCAGCCGGGTTCTGTCCAACGTCAACAATTCGGCCCTGTCGCTCGACAAACTCTCGCACCTGGTGATCGACGAGGCGGATTTGGTTTTGTCGTACGGTTATGATGATGATATCAACACCCTCTCCAAGGCTATCCCGCGCGGAGTGCAGACTTTCCTCATGAGCGCCACTCTGACCTCGGAAGTTGACACTCTGAAAAGTCTGTTCTGCCGGAACCCAGTGATTCTCAAATTGGAGGACAAGGAGGAGAAAGGCGGTGGAGTGAGCCAGTTTGTCGTCAAGTAAGTTTATTTGTCACCAACAACCACCAGCCGTACTAATTGCCTATGTCAGATGTGCCGAAGACGAAAAGTTTCTCTTGACTTATGTCATCTTCAAACTACAACTTATCAAAGGAAAGGTTATTATCTTTGTCGGCGACGTGGATCGGTGCTACCGTGTCAAATTATTCCTGGAACAGTTCGGTCTGAAGAGCTGTGTGCTCAACTCCGAGCTGCCCATCAACTCACGGCTGCACGTGGTCCAAGAATTCAACAAGGGTGTATACGATATCATCATTGCTGCCGATGACCAGGAAGTTCTAGGGGCTCCCAAGTCCTCGAAAAAGTCCCAAGAAGCTGGCGAGGAGGAAGCTGGTGAAAAGGAAGAGATCGGATCCAGCGAGGACGAAGACGACGTTGAGGACGAAGGCGGGAAGAAAAAGGCATCTCGGCCAGAGAAGCGTCGCAAAATGACTGGCAAAGAAAAAGACTACGGCATTTCGCGCGGCATCGATTTCCAGAACGTCGCATGCGTGCTCAACTTTGACCTCCCTACCACCTCGAAATCCTATACACATCGCATCGGGCGCACCGGACGTGCCGGCAAGGCCGGCATGGCGCTATCATTCGTGATTCCCGCAGACCAATACGGCAAACACAGGCCGACATCAGTGGCCTCGGCAAAGAACGATGAGAAGGTGCTCTCCAAGATCGTGAAGCGGCAATCCAAACTCGGCCACGAGGTGAAACCCTACCACTTTGAGATGCAGCAAGTCGATGCATTCCGGTACCGCATGACCGACGCCCTGCGCGCGGTGACCCGTCTCGCCGTGCAGGAAGCCCGCGCGCGGGAGATCCGCCAGGAACTAGTCAAGAGCGAGAAGCTCAAGCGGCATTTCGAGGAGAATCCCGACGAGCTGCGCCAGCTGCGCCATGATGGCGAGCTGCGCGCGGCGCGGGTCCAGCCGCATCTCAAGCATGTGCCGGACTATCTGATGCCGAGTAAAGGCCGCAAGGGCATCTCCAAGGAGGATGTTGGCTATGTTGGGTTTTCGAAGAAGAAGGAGAATCGCATTCGCAATGCTAGGGATCGCAATCGCGGAAGGGGCAAGGGGAAGAAGACGGTTGGTGGGCGGGTTGATCCGCTCAAGACGTTCAATCGGGGGCGGAGCAAGAAATAGGGACGATATCCTTCATTGATTGTATAGTCAGAAAATAATCGAGTGTCATATGTGCAGATTATGTTTACGGAGTTGGTATATCTATGGAAACACACGCGAGTACTCCGGCCCTAATAACTTTTTCACGAGATCGTCATCCAAATCCTCAATCCCCAGCGAGAAATGTACCCATTTCCCACGACTCTCGCGCCTGATCCGGAGAACCTGTCGATGGCCATCCAAAGCAGTGCGAATAGAACAGCGATAAGCTTCTAATTCCTTAGCACGGCGGTAACGAACCCGTTCTTCCTCTACATCCCAGGGAAGATCATCCGAATCGCCATCTCGCAGTGGAGAATGCGCCGACGAGGCCAGCGAGCGCGAAGGACGAGACGGTGTGTCAGAGCTTGCCAGAAACCCATCATCACTGAGATCCGGAATCCAGCCTGGGCCCAGACCAATCCACTCAATATCTCTCCATGAAGCATTCCACTCCGGACCAGAAGTTCCAGGGCGGTAAGTCTGGCCGTCGGGATCCGTACCGGTCCAGGTCAACGCGGGAAGCCAGTCACTGCAACCTTCGAGGTCGAGCCACTTCAGACAATAGGTCGAACGAGAGAGCTGTCGGAGGATACCGGCTGCTTCCGCCCAGTTATTATCCAGTGCGGCGTAGGTATCGGTTCCGCTGTAGGCGAACGTGAGGGAGTGGTGGTTTGGATGACGAATGCGTGCGTGGACAGCATTGGGGGTGCGAGTTGGAGCAGGCCAGTGAGCAAGAGACAGGTGGGTAATTGTCGACAGGCGTGATAGGAGCTGTAAGAGAGAATTCCAGCTTGCGGCGCTGGGATGTGGATGGGCGAGGGAGAGGAAGCGGAGGTTGTCGAAGCGGAGGCTGTGGGTAACAGTCTTGGGAATAGATGAACCCGGGCTGTCAGGGCCAATTATGGCATCGTCCGAATCTGCTTCCTCGTCCCACGAAGCTAGAACGGCATCTTCTGATCCACGCCGAGTCCTGACAGCAGCTGGTTTGGATACCAGAAGCTCATTGGTGACCTGTTTGAAAGACATCCAGTTTCCGAGAGCATTGCCCAGATCAAGACGAGTCATCCTCGAGTCTGTGTTAACAATCTCATCATCATCATCCACGGCCATCTCCTTGCTGAGATCCGATTCCGTCAAAAAGAGCGGCTTCAATCCCCTCATACGGCCCTCTAGAGCTTGACCCCTCGCGTAGACTGCCACATAGCTAAGCAAGAGCACCTTAAGGTGAATTGGAAGCTGTGCCAAAAACGGGCCATCATAATCCAAATGCCAGGCCCAGTTTAACGCCATAGCTTTGAGCACCGTGTGCGCTAGATCCCGTTTTCCAGGAAAGGCAGCGCCGGGCAGTCTTTCCAAGCGGTATATGCGTCTTTCGGCTGCAGTTTCTCGCTGATTATCTGTTACGGACGCTTCTCCGCCGGCATTGCTAGCAAGCCAGCTCGCGGGTGGCGGAGGCCCTGCAGTCCGGCGTAGTCGTTGTCCCGCCATTCCGACGCGGCGAGCATAGGGCCGCGGGCGAGGCGGTGGAGTCTCCGGCAGCTCGAGGAGGTTGCGCAGCGAAGGATGGACTGATCGGGGAGACACATATGGTCTTGGGGAATGTGAGGGGCCATCGTCGGAAGGAGAGCCGACCTGGGTACGGCGAAGATGGCTGATCAGCTCGTTGACAGAGCTCGACTGGGTTGAGGCGGAAACTCGAGAATGGCCATCCTGATGACGTCCCGAAGATGAGAGGGTATGATGAGCAGGAGTGACGGGCTTAGTGAACAAGGGACGATTGTGTTTCTTGGGCATGAAGAGTTGGGAGGGAGATGTACAAGGAGGAAAGAAGGAAGCAGTGCGGGAGGGTTGCTTATCGCCCCACGTCTTTCTATACTGTCTATCTATCTACACTGAACTTGGTTATGTACAATGGTGCTATACAACAGGGTTCGTTCCTCAAATATCTCGAACCCAGGAATCGTCCTTCATGTGTCCTTCACGTTTGGGTCCCTCCTCAAGCCAGGTCTCGACCAGTCCCTCCTTGGGATCCTCGTCCGGCAGACCGCGCGATCGCCGGACCTCCAGCACGAGGTTTCGCACTTTCATCGTGACTTCTTTGCGAAGCTCCACGGCCTCTCGGTTGTTCAGCAGCTCCTCGCTCAAGACACCGAGCGGAAGACCTCGCGATTGTGGATCGGCCGCCTCGGCCTTGGCCTTGAGCTTCTGCCATCGCGACCTCATATCCCCAAAGACAGCCTCCGAGTCGACCTTGGAGCCGAACGTAACGCTGACATGTTTCCCAGGTCGTGGCAGAAACCGCGGGAACTCGCGACTCTCATGCATGATCTCGTCGAACCCCTCGATCCACATGGGCACTACGTCCGGACACTCGCTGGCCTCGAGAATGAGCCGCGCGACTCCCCACTTGAAGTAGCGCATTGTTTTCCGCGGGGCCTGGTGGATCTTGCCTTCGGGGAAAATGTGCACCCACGAGTAGGTGTTGCACGCGAAGGCCGACGGTGCTTGGTGCGCGTCTTCGCCGTTGGTGGTGTAGGCTACCGGGAGGTCGGAGAAAGGGTCGACGCACACGTTTTGGAGACTCCAATGCTGGCGGTCTGGGGTCGCGCGGTGGTGGTCGACGGGGAAGGGGCCTTTGGATAATAATCTGATCGCTTGTGTGACGGCAGGCTGTGCCAGACCGCCGAATTGCGAATGCACGAGACGATGCGTAGGCAGGACCTGTCCCATGGTGAAGAAAAAGGCTAGCGGCCTGCGAAGACACTTCTCATTAGCAGCAGTCAGAGCAAAACAATAGGGGACAGTACCGATTCTGGTAACAGATATCATGGCTACCGAATGACCACCGCCGATTCCAGAATCGAAAAGGTAGGAGCCCCCAGACCAGCGGATCGTCCATGCTACACAATTTCGCACCCAATGTCAGCCATCTTTCAACCCCAAGCCTCGTCGGTTGCTGTTCCTGGTTGTACGTACACACTGGTATGATTCGATACTGTGGCCATGCGATCCCCATTAGCACTCCAGATCAGCTTGGGCGCATTCTCTCAACGTACCTGTAATCAACCCCTTTGACCGACCTGACAGCTGCTGTCGCGAGTCGAGGAGCTCGGTAAAAGCTTCTCCCCCATGGACCTCGGCATGCGTTAGGCATGTAAGAAATGCGCGACAAAGGCCACCCACTCCCCACATGGTCATGGAGGCGGCTGCGCGCCAGGGGAGAGAAGGGGAGTCGGTTGTGCCGTGGGAATCCATGCTGCTGCGCGGAGAGCAGTGCTATCATTCATCCATAGATTGAGATTGAATGAGAGGAGAATCAATGGCCTCGACCCGGAGTCCCTCGAGGAGGTCTGCGCATGCCCGAGAGAAGAAGAAACAGGAACGGGTTGAGGGTCGGGATATGGGTGGAATCACATGACAGCAGCTTGGTCTTTGCATTGGCGAATTGAGGCAAGTGGATTCAGACCTGGAGTGTTTCCAGTTGATAGTAATAAGAAGAAGAATAATAATAATACTAATTATGTGTTAGGAATACCATCGAAAACACCCATCGTCCGTCCACACCCAGTCCGTATAGTCTTACGTCGATGTTACTATGTCTCGCACGGACCACTCACCGCCGGCATTTTCTTTCCTTGTCTTCATCTCCGTCACTACATACTCGACATCCTCCGCCAGCCATGTTTAAGCCCACCTCATCCCTGCTCGGCGGTCTTCTCTGGTACGTCTACCCGCCGCAATTCCTACCACATGATCCCCTCCCACTCAAGGCCCGGAACTAACGGACCTATCTCTTCTCCAACAGGAAGACTCCATGGCGCCTCTCCTCGCCCCAAAAAGCCCGCCAACGCAAGCGCCTGCGCAACGTGGATCGCGTCGTCGACACCATCAGCGCCGCCCTCCAGCGCACCGGACAGACCTCCAAGGCCGTGGAGCGGTGGTATGCCGAGATGCCGCGCGAGGAGGAGATGTTGCCCAAGGACAAGTACACGATCTTCGATAAGAAGGAGAAGAAGTACCGGAAGAGCATCCACAGTACGTTTTTCACCCCCGCGGATATACATATTATTTTTTTTTCTGCAGGAGGGCTTGACTGACAGTTGGGGTTATCTAGAGCTGCCGAAGTGGACTCGTGTCAGCCAGCGAGTGAACCCTCCTGGTTTTTAAACAGCAGAACTTGGTTGCGTCGCCTCCATCCTTCTTTCCTCGATATTTGTATTATACATCCCAATCTCGGCCATCTGGGTCTGGCCTGGGGGCGTCTGTCTGGAGTTTCCTTTTTGGCTTTATGGATTTGCACCACGACTACGGACCGACACGGGCGGTGGTTTAGCATGTATCATCATTACCCAGCACCTAGATCATGTTCACAATTGCATTTTGTTTGCGAACATCCCTTTAATAATAAATCCACATGAAGACGGTGACCAAGTCACCGCCTTAAAAGCGTACAGCAGTGGCTTGACAGGCGCTGTGTTTGGTAAGGATATGGTACAAGAAGTGATCGAGATGTTGGATCTTTCCTCCGACCAAACACCATCAGCAAATCTCCTGGTTAACCTGGTGTACAGGCCCCTTGCCTTGAATCAACTGGAGTGGCTTGTTGATTTGCGCCGCGACCTCTTTGAACCATGTCCGATTGACTCGGCCTCCGTGTATTAACTTGTGCATAAGATATCCATGCCGGACATGCTGCCAGTCGTCTAGCTTCTCTTGCCACCCCACACCCCCTTCGTACCAGGCAGTTTTCTGTCGTGTCGATATCTCAAACCCCTGGGGAGGTTTGCGCAAAATCCAACAGGCCGGATCGATATGCCCGTCTGGCGGCTCATCCGCCGACTCTTCATATAGGCCCACAGTGCGAATTGCCTCTCTAATGCCCGCCGTCTTTCTTTGCTGGTTGACCGCCACACGCCATGACTCGATGCGAGGAATACGAGTTTGTTTCCTCGGGATAACTGGGTACTTCGGTTTGGGGCTGAAAGTGGGATTGGGGTAGGGCACGTTGAAACGAGGGTCCCCCCATTCGCGGCGCGCATCTATCGGAACTCTCGAGACCGGGTCGGTCACCAGCCATGTTTCCCTATTCAGCCAGTGGTTGGCGAGAATCGCAAAATGATAGGGTTTTTGGCCGGGGGTCAATTCATTGAAAAGCCATACCAGTTTTCGATCCAACCTGTGCATCATCCGGACTTCCCAGTCACACAGATCTTCCTTGCATTCCTTTCTCTCCGGGGTCGGTAAGGCTCGTGGTCGTTTGGAGACTTTCGAGTTGTAGGGCAAGTTATCGCGCATCATCTCGCTAATAACGTGGCTATCCGCGTCCCGTTTCGATGGTCGCATTGGTTGCCATTCCTGGTGCTCTACTGACATTGCAACCCCGGATAGTGGGCCTTTTGACAAGCGAAATCGTGCGGGTGCTGAATTCCATTTCATCGTTTCAGAGCCCGCTGGGTCGATGGCCAGCAACCGCATATGTCGTCGGATGAGCATGTCCTCAATGGTTCGGAATACTTTGTCATACGACTCCCACTGATACCCACTACACTCTTTCCTTTGAACTGGGCCCGAAGCACGAGAGGCAACAGTTCGATCCGTCGTACAGCTGGGCAGCAACTCAGTAATCGGGGTTCCGGGAGGGCCTGAAGGTCCATCCCAGTTCCGCCGAGGGCTTCCCGTTTGCATCTGCATCCTCGCTGACCACACCCGGTATTTGCGAAGATGTCGATGCTGTGACGGGGGTGACAGTTGTAGTGGTTGTTTATCCTGTTGAGACTTTCTCCATGTTTGTCGGTAGCCATCTGGCGGACTCGGTTGCAGGATATTGCTCTGTGCAAACAACTGCCTTGGCTGTCCGCTAGATCTATACTCGTGGGAAGATGCCCACAGAGCCATGTTGCGAAAAGAGGGCCGAGGATACTGGAAGAGAGTGGTATTGTCCGTGAATGGCCGAGCTTTAGTGGCCACTGCTCTCGGACACGAGAAGTGGCATTGCTTGTCCTCATCAAATGTGCAATCACCGCTTACTGCAGGTGCGCTGAAGACCTCCTGAGATAATGAAGCCAGCCTTTCTCCCTGGGGTACAGTATGGCTAGATCGCAGATCTCGACTCGAGTTGGCAAGGTGCAGTCCTCTCAAGGATCTAGCGACGATGGAAGACCCCAAGATTGCATTGCGATTCCTTCTTGCACCATGGCAAGTGGACAAGGGTTGAGAAGAGCAGAAGCCGTCAGCCGGGCTATAATCATAGCTTTGAAACCATTCGGGCAGCCATTCGAGAAAACGTCGTTCGCGCCGACGCCGTTCCATTTCCTTCCGATCGGGATCCCACCACACCCAGCGATAGTCCGCCCTAGTCGACTTCCACGCCGTCCACTCTCGGAGTCGGGCAAAGCATCGGTGAAAGACTCTTTTGTTCCGTTTGTGGGTGTTCAGAGACACCCAGCCGTACCATGTGCGCGCATATCGAGCCGTCGGAGGCTTCCCTTCGCGCAGTACCTTGTGCTTGTTGAAGGAACGGATGAACTGGCCAATCTTCCACAACAGTACTGCTACCACGAAGATGGCAAAAGTGACTGCGAAAAGCTCGCCAAACACCACGGCGCTGGCGCGCTTGGATTTCGGTCCCCAGGAGGTGGGCGGGTCTTTGGGGAGATGGGGAGTTGGAGTCAGTGAGTGAATGATCTGTCGAGGATACGAAGGCGCCATGAGACCAGGCCTTGACTGATGGGGTATAAGGATATGGGCGAAAGGGAAAAAGGGTTAGGGCTAGAGGGCAAGTGCGACCTTTAACGTACTTTCCATCAAACCTCCTTGACTTGCTGCCTCTGCCGTCAGACGGCATATTCGATGTGCGGATGAGCGCCTTGAGAGGATCAACCGGGCCCCTGCTTGAGGATATTAAGGATGCTTCTGTGACCCTCGACGCCATGGTTGTGAAATCTACTGCGGGAAAAAAACAGCTGTATCTATCAAGGTCTGCACAGCAGGTCTAGTTGATTCCATAGATTACTCTTCTCTTAATGGCCACAGACTAGCACTAGGCTCCCTCCATGAACGGGGTTGTTCAGAGTGGCTCCGACGATGTCGCCTCTCATGCACCATGCGAGTTGTGTCCACCGAAGATATAATCCGCTGTTTTGCTCCAACAGTAAATTGTCGTGCCGATATCCCTATTGGCGTCCAGCCAGGTATCAATACTTTATCCCGAGCAGCCACAGTCGTGGGCATTACGAAGAGCGACTGGGTCATACCCAAATTCGGCTGTCGAATTAGTCGTCTCAGAACGCGCCTATGAACTTTCCGTGCTTCGGCTGCAAAGGCAGATAGGCGCGTATTTTCATGGCTGCGTAGAGATAGCGGCCCTGACCAGAGACGATGGATTCGTGACGGTCGTGAGCGGACGATGCCCGCATCGTTGCCTGGTTCGTCTTCGATAATCAGTGGAATCATTTGTGTCGCTTGAAAGTCCCAGGAGGTATGGCTTGCAGGATCAGCTCCGGTTCCTGGCTTGGAAACGCGCACTTCCACGCTGCGAGGGTCACGCATGCATAGTTCCGAACCACAGTGAGGCCAGGAGTGGTGTCTTCGGTGATGGCGGAGGCAGGGCATGGTAATTATCATTGATAGGAGGCAAATTGGAAGGTCTATGTATGATGGAACCTTGATCCGTCCCCTGTAACGAAGACAGGGTCTTGATAGATCTCCCTGGCAGGTACCCGCTTTTTAAAGCACTGACCTCTGGGGTGACAAATGCTGTATATCGTGCACATGCAGGGAGAGTGTGTAGGGGCCCGGGTGACTAGAGTCCGTTCAGAGACCATTCTAGACATGGAGTGCAGGTCGTGTTTATGTCTTCGGTGTCGTGGAACAGGAGTCGGAAAAAACATTAATAACAGGGCTCCATTCCCTATAATTGTAAAATCCCGCTCATATCTGGACAGATCATGGATAGCAAGCTTCGATACGACACAGTTACTGCTACGCATTTTTTTGGTATGCCCAAGGCGGAGAGATGATCTGGTCAAACGATCAGCACCGCCAATACCCCGTGACTGATCATTGATCAGGCAGATGAGAAGCAGTAAATTAGTGGATTATCAGAGAATTAACTCACGGCTATTTCTAGCCTTGTAGGATCGGGACTGAACCATTGTAGAAATTGAATGGGGCGAGGTTTCACCAGGAAACCTGTAGTTGCTGCTATAGTCGTCGTCCACGGGCGTAGATTACCTCTTGAAGTGAAAAATGTTATCTCTCACTGTCCAGTACCAAGTGGCCGAGCAGTAACTCGGCCAGCTTATCTTCCTTGGTCTAGTGGTCATGATTTCCGCTTGTCATTAACACTGAGAAGCGCGGGAGACCGGGGTTCGATTCCCCGAGGGAGAGTTTTTTTTGGTCTTGACGACCTTGACGACCATTATTCCTCTTTTATTAGCGGTCTACCTTAGATTACAGCGTAAAGGGACAGTGGCCTTTTGCCAATTGTCAAACTTGGCGGACACATTCATTCCTATGCAATCATATAATTCTTTTCCGCGATACCTTTTCAGTTCCGTGATTCCTCGTCGTTATTGCGCTACGAAGGCTCCTAGATACTTCCGTCCAGGGCCCTGTCTCATGTTGGAGAACTCTTCCTTGGAGTTCTGAATGAAGGTTAAATGTATTCATTGTTTCTGTATTTTATAATAGCTTGAGATGAATGTTTCTGTTTAATCAATATATCCTGACCTTATTGTCTATTTCGGGTGCTTGCATCCACAGTAACTTCAAAAAATAGACAAAGTTATTCATATTTCGATCAAAGTTGATTCCACATATCCGACCAACCGTTAAAAGTATCACCTTCCAACTACACATCTACATCTTCCACGTGCTCTGATGTACCAACCTTTAAATCAATAGCTTTTGTGGCGGCAACACGGTTAGCTTCTGCCTCAATAGCTTCCAAAGGTCGTTTGCATTGCTTGGCAACTTTATCATTAATCGGGATGATGGTAGGGTGGGGAGAGTCGCGGTCGAAGTAGACATCCAGGTCCTCAAGAGTGCGGTAGGCCGTTTCGGGGTATAGGAAGTAGACAACTGGTATGAATGCAATATTGAATACCGCAAAAACTGGATGACAAGGTCAGTGACTTGTTTTTTTCGTTGTTTGTGCATCATACTAATATAGAAACGATATCCAATATTCTGGATCCCTGTCGGGGTAAATTGGGTGCAAATAAACCCACACAGCTATTAGAAAGGATTAGCTCCGCAAATCAGGAAATGCACAGAATATCGAACGAACCCAATTTGTCGCTGTCGCTGCCGCAGCTCCCTGGGTTCTCATAGCAAGTGAGTTAATCTCTGCTTGATATACCCATGGAGCCATTCCCCAGGAAAAGCCAAATACTGCGTAGAAGAAGAACAAAAACGAAACCGCTACCACACCCCACTGGAATGGGGCCTGGTTAAGCAAGGCAATAGAAATTGCTACCATCACATAGGCCAGGCATTGTAGCGAGAGTCCACTAAGCATCAGCATTCGGCGTCCAGACCTTTCAATTAGCCAGAAGGCCATCGCAGACGAAACCATGTACGAGGTGGCATTGCATCCGGTAAGTATTCTTGCCAGAAGCTCAGTTTCTCCTACGTTGTTGATCAAAATAATCGTGAAGTAGTAATTGAGAGCATTTATGCCGCTGAATTGCTAGTTGAGTGTCAGAAAAATGCCCATTTACGGAATATAGAGGGGTAGTAAGTACCTGCATGAATTGCCCACCGCATCCAAGAAGCATTCGCCTCAAGTGACCAGACCTATCGCGACGGGCGATAACTTGCGTAAATGAGATTTGGGATTCCCGCTCAATGCAAAGAGCGCCCACAATTGAGTGGTATTCACTCTGGACAATGGGGTCTTCGACTGCAAGCCTCTCTCCGGCATAGCGTCGAATTGACTCTAGTCCCTGTTCGGTTCTGCCAGTCATCAACAGCCAACGCGGACTGTCCGGTATGAGGGGAAGGAGTGAAAGGAGGCACATGCACGGAACGAGCTAAAACTATTAGCTGCCGTTTTCAGAATCACTGAAGAGGATCGTACCTGTAGAGCCAGGGGGAGTCGCCATTGGTAACCACCAGGGAGAAACGAACAGCCTAGGGTTAACCATGTTGCAGCACAATAAAAGACTACATTGTGACAAACTACAATCACCGATAGCTTGCCTCGACGATCGCTTCGACAGGACTCGGCTTGATAAACGCCACAAGTTGAACTGTTTATCCCTTTTCCCCGCCAGACAGATCAGTACAAGGGCCCGACATAAAACAAAATTTGAAAATAATTTCACGTACCGTTTCCAACTCCATTGATCACACGCCCAACAATTAGCTGAGCAAATGAGTAAGAAGAGAACTGAAGTACAGCACCAATAGCACTGATGATCGATCCTGTCCGCAATGTGTTCTTCCGGCCCAGTCGATTCCCGTAGCAGGCTGCCAATAAACATCCTACCAGGTTTCCCAGCTAGAAAATAGTGAGTTTCCCAGAAGTTGATAATGCCTGAACATACGCACGGAGAAGCAGCTGGCTGTAATGCCTTGAATTGAAGACACTTTTGTCTGAGGAAAGACGTTGATAAAGTCTGGGCTGATGAGGATACCGCTCACTACACCCTATCTCCAGTCAGTCTTCCCAGACATTGTCAACTCTGGTGGTAGTGGGCCGCAAACCTGGTCATAGCCATACCAGGCTTGAGCGGCGGAATTTGCCGCCGTAAGCACAATTTCAAGATTGCGTCCGTCTAACATGTTTGGTCTAAAATGAACGGAGAAGTTGTGAGTGGATGACGGGTTGTGAAGCTATTTAAAGCTTCCCGCCGACTACTCTTGACAAGGATGACAGAATCTACTCCGCAACCCCAGCTTTTACAAAATACATCCCCAGATCCTGCCATTGGTTCCCCGCAAAATAATGTTTAGCCACATATAGTTAGCGCATGCCCAGCCCTGGCCTGGCGGGCCGTGTTACCCCGACAGCGACTCGCAAAGTGCTCGCGTCGCATTGACATGGCCCGCCCTCTTCGACTACGACCGGAGAAACCCCGAGGGGTCCGGCTTGGACCCCTCATTTATCTGAGAGGCCAAAAACGAAAAATGGTGGGGCCAGCATAGGCTGCACAAATTCTAACGGGGCAATTCACTCCTTTTTGTCTCATACAGTTATGTCGGGGGTCATGTGAAGCCCATCTTCGTACCAGGCCCGCAGATCATCCTTAATGTTTAACGTAGAGTAACGAAGGTCATAGAAGCGAGAGGGGAGCGATGAAACTGAAATCAGCGATCTATGTTCCGATATCGCGGTGCGTATAATGCTCTCGTACCGGAGAGCTAGAGGCCATCGTTTTCCGGAGCAGAGCAGTGCATAGGCCATTGACCGAACACCACTAGGGACGTCGGCATTGACCGTCTTTGCATAAACTGGATCTTGTCAGTCGGCGCCTGCAAATTCTGCCTAATTCACCATACCAATATAAAAACGTGCGACAGTGAAAAAGCAAAGGACCAAATGCGGGTTGCTGACGCTGAGTTCTTCATCTGTCATTTGCCGCACTTTGAAGACCATGTTGTCACAGGCATATATGCATCGATTTGTTGCATATTGCCACTGTTATGCTTAGTTACGAAGCAGTCAAGCAGGAACGATTATACATACTGGCTCTGCAGATGGGTCGATTTCTCGCGGAATTGTCGACATTCGCTGGAACAGCAGGATGACGGCCCTGTCCTTCATTAGATAGATCCGGCCCGGCGAGACCGAAGGCGACTTACTCGTCTAGCACACAATTAGTTAAGACAATATTAGGATCCATCTCTGCGCGTTCCTCCTCCGCAAATTCTGCATTGATCAGCCGGTACACCGCTGCCACAAACTCCTCGCGCCACGCTGTTAAACGTTCGTCAATTTTTTGAGCTTCAGTCTGCCATAGGCTGCGGTCGTGTGGCACACTCAAGTCCCACGGTTTCTGCAAAAAGCCATGGACAAACCATAGCTCGTTGGTTGCGAGGATTATGCACAGTGAAAATGCCGAGGAATAACGGAATTGGCCGAAAGACCAAATGTTAATGATGTGCTCAGGAAATGCCCAAAGAGAGTCACTGCAGGGCAATATGCCATTTGACATAGGAGGCGAAGCACCAGTATCCCAATCTACGCCTACTGTTGACATACTGTCCAGCATCTCAGACATCCAATGTGCTCGAATTCGTTCTTCCCGATCGATGATCGTCGTGGACAAAGGATGTAGGCGTGGAGGCACAGATGTAGACGAGTTGATGTGGTCCACCTGCTTTTTCACTAACTGTCCATAACCCAGCTGAGAAGCCATGCTGAAAGATGTTAACTTGACTGTGACAACCACACGAGACGGATATACATACCGCTTGCATAAGGCGATTAAATTCCAAAACTGTTCGAATCGACCTTCTCCATATTCGAGATTGGAGAGAATCAACAAAGCCTGGACTGATTGCAGAGAAAGGGACTTGAGAGCTTGTGAGCAGACATCATCTCGTAAAGTATCAGACCAATGTTGCTGCTCATGAGGTCCCACCAAATGCGATTCGTAGTGAATCAGGGTTACGGCACAGATTGCCTTAATGACGAGATAGTGGCTCAATGTTTCGGACCCTCCCAGGTTTTGTAAACTTGCAGTCAAAGAAGGCTGATGGAGGATCGGAAACCAGGGATGGTACTTCTTGAACCAGATTGAGCAGAGTTCAGATAGTACCGGATATGAAAGAGGATCAAATTGAGCACTGTTTGCACTTTGTGTGTTGTCGACAGGACTGGCTCTTTTAGAAGAGGCAAAAATAGGCCCAGTGCTTCGGCCTGAATCATTTTCTTGAGAATAGATAATCTGTGTGAAGTCCATTCCTGACTCACCCACAGTTGGGTCCGAGAAGTGCCTATCAGAAGCACGAGTATCTAGAACCAGTGTAAGCCTCTGGCCATATCACAGTACCTGGTTGTACGAGATATTTTTACAAACCTTTAGGGCTGCTCTCTAGCATCTGCACCCGCTCCTCCAGCTCAACTAGCCGACGTTCTAGTTTGGCAATATAGCCGGCTCGGACACCGGGCCGTCGCGTGGCCGCGTACTCGCATTCAAACTGGTTGTTCAGACAAAAGCCGCAACTAGGGCGGCGGCGATCGCAAGCAATTTTTCGACTTCGGCACGTGGTACAGCTTTATAACAGTTAGTATAAACGAAAATTATGCGAAATGCGAGAAGCCTACGCGGCATTTTGGCCTCTGGCCGGACGAGGGGTTGCGTCCATCTCGGCTTTTCTACAAATGCGGAGCAGCTAGTCAGGGCGGTCTTCTTCACTTTCCAGCTGTCATTGATCCCTTGTATTCAATCATGGCATAAACATGCGAGGTTAGCAAGCCAAGGATTCTGTGTTTGTCAATGAACACGGTTGGAAAACACAAAGATGAGTTGTCGGGCCAATCTTCTCCGCATCGACCCCACTCGGCGCCCTTTGCGGCCCAGGCACCGTGATCGCTCAGGTGGGGCGGTATCTAGACGGCCCGTGAAGCGCCTTTTGATTGGATCTGTGAGGGAATCTCTCTCGTCCAGATCCATCATAGCTTGTCATGCGGACTTGTCGTCCTCGGGCTGCTCTGGCTAATTGCACAGTGGAACTTCTCGTTCCTTCGTCTTTTCCTATGATGCAACCACATGAGCCAAGGTGGAGGGGCAGAGAAATTTCCCCCAAGCTTCCGTGCCTATATATATGGGAGATTTGCAAGTTTCTGACAGTTGTTTTTCTTCTGGATAGCACTTTTTACTCCCGTGTAATCTGAAAAGACATATATTCGCACCTTTGTTGCCTTCTTTCAAGACCAAAGGCCTCTCCTGAAAAATGACGGCCACAAAGTACGACCATATTATCCAGCTGCCGAAGACTGCTCAGGTCGATTCCGCGGTAGACGCCCGAAAGGTGGCACAAAAATGGCTAAACAATATTCAAGACATCTTCGCTACTGGAGACTTCTCCCGGGTGGTTGAAATCCTTCACGAAGACTCATGGTGGCGGGACATCATTACTCTGCAATGGGACTTTCGCACTATTCGAGGTCGGGGGCCAATCGAAGGATTCCTCCGCCAGAACCAGCAGTTAGGTCCTCTGTCGTCGTTTCGCCTCCAGGAAACAGGCAACTTCCAACCGAAGCTGGAAGTTGTTAAAAAAGATTCGAGTCTTTCCTGGATTTCTTCGCTTTTCCATTTTGAGACACGCATTGGAAAGGGATCCGGTGTCCTGAGATTGATTCAAGATAAATCTGGTGTCTGGAAAGCATATGCGGTTTACGTCACTCTTCAAGAGCTCAAAGGATCGGAGGAGCCACTGGGTGAAAGACGTCCGTACGGAACCATTGATTCAATGCCCGGTGGTTTCTCTCAGGGAACATGGACGGAGCGGCGGGAAAGAAAGCTCAACTTTGTTGACGAGGAGCCCCAGGTACTTGTCATTGGCGCTGGTGTGTTGAAATTATCGGACTCTCAATGTTTTTTGCACACTAACATCTTGAAAAGGTCAATCCGGGCTGAACGTTGGCGCTAGGTTACAGTCCCTTGGGATGTCCTGCTTGATAGTCGACAAAAACGACAGAGTTGGGGATAACTGGAGAAATCGTTACAACGTTGGTTTTAACTTGGTGCCTTAGCTACGTGCTTTGCTAATACGCAGACAGACTCTTGTGACGCACGACCCAGCCGAGTTTACCCATATGGCATACCTTCCCTTTCCCAAGAACTGGCCCCAGTTCACACCCAAAGACAAGCTGGGCGATTGGTTTGAGGCCTATGCATCATTGATGGAACTCAATGTGTGGACTAAAACAACAATAAGTAGTGCGAGCTACGATGATCCAAAAGCAGAGTGGACCGTGGATCTCGTACGTGATGGAAAACCTCGAACAATTCGTCCGCATCACGTCGTCTTCTGCACGGGACATGCAGGAGAACCCTTGATTCCTTCTTTCCCTGGTCAACATGAGTTCAAGGGTGAGGTCTACCATGGAAGCCAGCATCGAGATGCGTCTGAATATGACGTGAAGGGAAAAAAGGTCATTGTAGTCGGTACAGGTAATAGCGGCCACGATATTGCAGAGAATTTTTATCGCAATGGTGCCGAGGTGACCATGCTGCAACGAAGGCCCACATATGTCCTAACTCTTGATAAAGGAGTTTTTATTCTCCATGAGGGCATGCACTGTGAAAATGGGTAAGTTGCAGTCCTCGGAGTGTCGAAAGTTATACTTCGATGTGTGAATTTCGGGCGTTTTCTTTTCTCTCTTCGCTTGTGCCAAAGTTCTTTATACTGACATACCCGATATAGACCTCCAACCGAGCAAAGCGACATTGTTGCAGAGAGTTTGCCCTACCCGGTACAGTTCGCTTTGTGCATCGACATGACGAAGCGTATTGCTGAAGAGGAGAAAGAAACAATTGAAGGACTTCAGCGAGCTGGCTTTCAGATTGAATGGGGTATTGATGGATCTGGAATTGCTCGCCTCTACTACACTCGCGGCGGTGGCTACTACATTGATGTGGGGTGCAGCCAACTCATCATTGACGGCAAGATCAAAGTCCATCAAAGCCCCGATGGTATTTCAGGCTTCACGCCTGATTCCTTGGTGCTGAAAGATGGGACCCATCTGAATGCCGACATCGTGGTTCTGGCAACTGGTTACGACAACATGAGGACCACGTTGCGGAAGGTTATGGGCGATAAAGTGGCCGATCGATGTCACGATGTGTGGGATTTGGACCAAGAAGGAGAATTGAATGCGGTAAGTATTACATATGCATCCTGGTTCCCCTGTGCTCATTCGTATTTAATAGATGTGGCGACAAAGTGGCCATCCCAATTTCTGGTACATGGGCGGCAACCTCGCTATATGCCGCATCTACTCCAGACACGTAGCCTTGCAGATAAAGGCCACAGAAGAGGGACTCCGGCCGGCGTCAATTCCAAATTAGTCTTTCCAAGTTGATCAAGTACGCTCATTTTGTTATAGATGCGATTTCTGCTTCTTTTCTTTAGAGGGACAACAGCTAAGACATATATGTTTGTTAGGTGGTGAGATGTTGTTATGAAACATTAAGTCCATCACTTGAGTCCAAGACATAATGTGTCAATCATTCAACAGTAGAAGAGGTGAAGATGAAAAAGAATGAAGACGGGAAGTTCTAGATGCGGCTTCCCTAATAGCCTCTATGGGAAGATCTTTTAGGCAGATATGTATTCACTGCCGCGAAGCAAGGAATCGTGCCGAACATCGCTCTCTTCGCCAAAACTATTTCTTGCAGGGATTCCAAGACTTGGTCATAGCGTCCACGTACCTCTGTCAGTGGAAAGTGGAGACTGTTACGTCCAGCCTCGGCGGGGTTAGACTTAGCTGCATGAGCTTGGGGGCTGCGGTTGAGATGCTTGGTTGCATACGCTAATTTGCAAGTGCGAGACGCTCCCCGGAAACCATATATCATCCCCAATCACCACCAGGTTCACCTTCATCGATTCAGTACAACCGCTTGTCGCATTTCTATCGGCCTTACCTTCAAATCTACACCAACATGATCCTGAGTATCCCCGAGGAGTACCGCGACAAGCTGGGACTCGTTGAGCCAACAGATTGCCGGGCAGATGAACAAATCCTTGCAAGCCTGTCAGAATACAAGCCAGTCACATCGGAGAAGAACGTTTGGGCTTATTGGCATTCCGGATTGAGCAACATGCCCAAGTGGAATCAGAGGAATGTCATCGACTGGGTTCGTATCCTGGGCCCAGATTGGACCGTCCGTGTTTTGGACAGTGTAGCTGGATCAGTTAATCATGTCTTGCGATTCGCCCCAGAGAATCTTATGCCTCCGGCTTTTGTGCATCGGACCATGGATGGACCGTTTGTGGGCCAGCATGGCGCTGATTTGACACGCACAGCGTGTCTATATGAGCACGGAGGAGTATGGATGGACGTTGGAAGTTTCCTCGTTCGACACCTTGATCGTGTTTGTTGGAATGAACTAGAAGATCCTAACTCGCCATATAAGGTGGCCATGTTTATGCTCTGGGGACTTGCACCTGGCAACTTCTTTGTGGCAGCTCGAAAGAATGACCCTTTGATTTACCAATGGTAAGCATATTTACTCTCATAACCAGGAAGAATCTAACAAGGACGATAGGCATCGCCTCTTTTCACACCTTTGGGGCGACAAGAAAAGTATCCAAGGGATTTTGTCTCACCCTCTCATCGCGCCAATTGTCCCCCAAACATTCGAGAATATGACGGAAAATTTCGATTATGACTGGATCGATTTTGACGTTGCCGTAAATTATGCTGCACAGATCATATGCCTTACTCGGCTTTTCTGTCTGGAAGAGAGCGGAGAAGGATTTTCTGGGGTTGACTACTGGCGAAACAATGTTCTAGCGTTGGACGCAGGGGAGGAGACTGCGCGTGCAGAGTGGCAAAGGAGCTTCGTGGGATTTGGTCAGCGTGCTCTCGACATACTGACGGTCCCATGCTCGGGACCAGACGCAGATCTGACATCAGAAAAGTACAAGGATGCTGAGAAAATGGTATGGGATCTTCTTGCGAATTCAACCATATGGAAAGTTACGCATGCACAGGGTTTGACACATTCCCCCCAACTGGGAGTTCTACTGGATATGCCCGAGAACGAAGGCAAAGATGCGGCACCAAACACCTTTGGAGAGTTATTCCGATATGGCACAAGGTACCTCCACCAGAAAAGAGAACATGTCGCAAGGATGCCCAAGCGAGAACCAACTGTGACATGGAAGAAAGGTGTTTTAGAGCCATAGAATAGAACAGCAGCAGTCGGACTTGGGGCTGCAGTTTTTCCTCGACCATAAATCGAAAAGCCCCACTGGTTGAAGGCATACAATACACTCCTTGTCCCGTAGCTCATAACTCTCGAATAGTAAAATAACTGTATTAGCTAGTCAAGAGCGTATAGTGCTTTTTGGTCTAGTGGTACGGCATTTTTGACAATAAACTGATAGGAAGGAAGAAAGGTAAAAAGAATGCTGGTCCCTTGATGACAAACAAATCTGCCGGGGTTGCCGTGACGTCAGGCAGCTTTCTCCACATCACGCGTTTCACCCAAGGATTTTGCAGATGCCTGGGATTATCTCAGCTGCGACCAGTCCAGCCCATCGAAAAGTGCCAACTACTTCGATCGAGAAGTAGCCAGGATGAGCGAAGGACAGTCGATGCCCGGAGAGCTGGAAGACACAGACAGCTATGACCTCGCCCAGGACGAGCCGGAGAGTGAGACTAGCGGGAGTTTGACAAAGAGAATACCAGCGGCACAATGGAAGCTATCATCCAGGACTGTTGAGGAGAATCTTGCGGCAGGGCTGTCTAATGAAGACCTCTGGATGCTCATCCGACGCTTCAACAAGGTGCGTCTGGTCAATGGCACCAAAGCAACCCATTCTGACGATCGTCTGGCAGCAAATATATTACTTGAAGGCGGTTCCTGGGCCTCCACCACAAGATATCGATCTCAATAGGGCCGAGGATGAACAATTTCCTCCGGAAAAGCTGCGGATCACCTTGGAGCGATTCTACACTTCTGTGGTTGTGGGAGTTACCCAACTCTTCAACCATATCGGCCGACTACGATCGTGGAAAGAACCGATCCGAACATCTGTGTTCTGTGCGGTATGTCTCACGTTTTACAATTTCCTTCTGGACTGGGCGAGATGCTGATTACCTGCAGGTTTATTTCGGCGCGTGGCTCAAAGACCTCCTTATTCCCGCTATCATTAGCCTCTTCGTCTGTATGATCATATGTCCACCAATACGGCCTCTCCTATTTCCTCCTGTTGTTGCTTCTACGGATGACTCCAGTGAAAGCTCCAGGAAGCCTGTGGCTGAAGAGCCCGAATCGCATGACAGCATCACCGGCGCACCAGAGACACATAAAGGCGAGGCTGCTGAACAAGAAGCTATCAATCTAGTCAACAGCGTTGCTACTGTAGCCATGAAAAGCGCGGCTGCAAAGTATGGCCAGGGTGTACCACAAGATGCTTCGGAGGAACCACCCACGCCTGATGAAAGGGAGGTAGTGACTCTCCCAACAGAAGCGGAGCTTGACGCTGCTCCCGAAGACAAGACAAAGAAGCCAATGAAGAAGAAAGTGGCAAATGCCACTGATAAGACGATGCGTGTCATTAGTGACATAACCGACATTTACGAAAAGCTCGCCAAGTAAGTAATCCTCCAATTAATCATTTGGCAAGGTTATCAATAACGCCGCCACAGTCTACTGTCTCCGACCCCACCATTTATTACCACAGCGGTTCGCCTGCGTCTGGCAGGTATATTGATCGCTGTATGCGTAATCTTTCCCTTTACGTCAAGCTACTGGATTATCAAATCCGGTGCCTTTACCATTGGACTTTGCTTCTTCGGCGATCCGGCTTTTCAACGGACCTTGGATATCTTAAATTCCAGATTTCCGAACTGGAAGAAGCATTTGGACATTCAAATGTAAGTTTCAATAACCATTGAACCTGTCATCTTGAATCCGCTAATGGCAGCTTAGGACACTATTGAAAGGTGTCCCCACGAACGCTCAGCTCACCTTGACCCTTCTACGAATCGGTGAAATAAACTCAGCACCGTTACCACCACCACCAGGCTCTCAGGACAATGAGCGATCCTGGCCACTACGACGCAAAAAGTCCCAGGCGAAGCTAACTGATCGGGAAAGTGGTCAAAACAGTACCGATGATCTCCAAAGTCAAGCGTCTACCGAAAACTGGCCAAAACAAAAGCCTAAGAAAAGATGGGTCTTCAAAGTTCTGAGGTTCGTGCGCCAGACGATAGCAACAGCGATCAAGGGACATATTGCTTTCGATCGAGCAATAGCCATTGCAGGATCGACACACACCAAGAATTTGATTGGCATGTTGCAAAAGAAAGGCTGGCGTGGGGCTCCCTTTGGCCCTCTAAAATTCGATGCGAAATATCAGCGCAAGCGAGGTGCGGTAGTCATTGATTCGTCGAAGGAGCCACCTATCCTGTACTTCACGACATATCAATCTGCAGGCTTGGATGATCTACGACTGGAAAGTCGGAAGAAGGGATCAGTGCTGTTTCAGATTCCAGTGCCAGATATTACGGAATTGAAGAAGACCGAGGGACTGGGATGGAAGGGCAAGCTGATTGTGGAGCTGACAGCGGGGAGCAAAGAGTCAGCGGATGGTTTGGTTATAGGTGGGAAAGGCGGCGAGTCCTTTCACCTCACGGGAATGCGAGCACGAAATCAACTTTTCAACCGACTGGTCGCTATTGATGCACAGTTCTGGGAAAGCCATTGATTCGCAAAGCGGTGATTTACAATTAGAATAAGAGGACCTGTGAAATTGACACCTAAAAAAAAGCCGCTTTTGAGGCCAATCCATCTTAACACCCAGATCGTCTCGCCGCTTGACCGCCCACCACCTATGTGCACCCTTTAAGCACTTTCAGTCCTCCTCCTGACCTGATGTTAACGCTCAACTTTAGCGAACTTTTCTCTGTTTCGATTCACGAGCAAATATACGCCAGAAATGGCACCCCTTTGCAGCATAATCCAGGAGCTCTCCCGTTTTTGCCCGGAAAAAGCATCTCGAGATCCAAGCGCGATCCTCAACATATAGCCATATGAGAATGACTATATTTACTAGACCTGGCTCCAGTGTCCTCTCCAACACAAAAATGGCATGCATTGCCTGGTAGCGTACAGCTTGAATAGTTTGGACAATCATATTCAGCTCCAATCAGGATCCTATATTGGTCGACGCCAGCGTCCCAAGCTCTTTCAAACAATACCCCAATAAGCAATCGCCCATTGAAATGATCCACATTGTAAGGTCGAAGGCCAACCCCGCATGTCTAGTAGTGACGAGTGCAATATATATAGAATGGAGGGATGGGACATGGAGGAAGAAAAGAGGAACAGGGCTGACAAGAGTTGAGCCAACCTGCAGGACGTGGTGCCGATCAAAGTGTTGGCCTGACTTGACCCTACAGGTTATCTCGGCCCCAACTTGGGAACGTTCCGTAAGTTCCGTTTTATGTCGATGCGGTCGGATGGCGTATTGCAATAAGAAAGATCTTAATATTCTTGACATGTCTCATTGCCCGCAATGAAAAACACGAATCATAAAGTGGAGTTATACATGTACACAATGCCGTCATCAAGCTTAGCATAAATGCTTAGCGATCAAATATTTAGCAGCCCGCCTTCACATAGCAGTGAACAATCCAATCCGGGTGTTTATGGACTAAAATAGATCCACATCTATATCCACTTTCTGGTTTACATACGCAGTCGGTTTCAAATGCTCCGTGAAACCAACAAGTGAAATACATCAGATACTACATACCAAGTTGGGTGCAAGTGACTTTTGAGTAGTGACCTACGATGTTTGTCATGTAAAAGCAATGTCGGAGGATATAGACTCAATTTCGGCTATAGCTTCACATGCTGCTACATTCACAGAGATCAAACAGCCTTCCTTTAGCCTCGTTTAAAGTGCCGCAGTAACTTCAGCCCCTTTGAATGCTTCGACGCCACGTTAGTGTGGTAGTAAGTTTGAGCCGCATCCATAATAGCCTTCACCTTAGCTGAAGGGACCTTTTCCTTTCGGTCAATCGAGTATAAGCCGTTGACCTCTTGCTCGATATCAGCCCTAGGAACATGTGTTAGTCATGAAAAGAACAGAGGAACAAAACAAATGACATACAGTTGAGTATAAACCAAGCCACAGGTGTGACCTCCTTTAACCACAGCCATGACCAACTTTTCAAAGCGGACGAGGAAGTCATCCGGATCACTGGCGGTCGTATATCCCCAGTCCCTCTCACCAGCTGCGCCCCCTTTGGTGGGGGCAATATTCACTCCACCAAATTCGGAGCAGATCACAGGAGCACCCTGTCTGTGTTGTGCACCTGGATCCAGGATACTAGAGTCTGGGCCCAAGATTGGCTTGCTGAACATGTCGCGATTAGATTTCGGGCCTAGTATTCCGCCTTCCATCTTGGCGCATGTCGCGGCAAGCTCCGCCGAGTCACTGTAGTCATGATAGGTTGTCAGATCGGTCAAGACATGCTCCCAACCACAGTTGTCATTAATTGGCCGGCTAGGGTCCAGTGTCCTATTCATTGGCGTTAGCGTATATCAACGGAAATGATATCCCCAGTACATACTTTGTCAGGTAGTACAGCTGTCGAATGTGGTTTCGCTGTTCAATGTTGTCCTTGAGTGATGTGTAGGCCCAGCTCTCGTTAACTGGAGTCCAAGTGACGATGGACGGATGATTGATATCCCTTTTCACGATCTCCGTCCATTCGCTGTTGAATCTCTCAACATACTCATGGTTGAACTCGTAGGCATTGGCAATTTCACCCCAAACCAAAAAACCAAGGCGATCTGCCCAGTAGTAAAACCTAGGGTCTTCGATCTTCTGGTGTTTGCGGCATCCATTGAAACCCATCTTCTGGGACATCACGATGTCGTCTTTCAATGCCTCTCCGGAGGGAGGTGTCATGCCAGTATGATCCCAGTAGCCCTGATCCAGGAACAGCATTTGGAAAAGAGGTTTGCCGTTGAGTCGGAATGTTCCATCGCCGTTCTGCCATGAGATATTCCGCATGCCTGTCGTGGTGTGGACTTCATCCACCTGCTTTCCAGAAGCATCATACAGGCGCAGAATCAGGTCATATAGAATAGGGTGCTCTGGTGCCCATAGAGCCACACCGTCGTGCCAAGCTCCTTCAACGTTGAAGGGCGCCTTAGACTGAAATTCTTTCTGGTTTGGCACTTTCATGACAACTTCAAGATTTACAAACCCTTTATCTTTCGGAAGGTCGTTCGTAGCCTTGCTAACAGAATGGCCAGCAAGTCTAGATTCAATTTCGACGCGACATTTCGCTCCAACAAGGCGTCCCGACACTGCAATGCGCGCATGCAGCTTTCCATGCTCGATATCATCAGAGCGGAGAACAGTGCCACCACTACCACAAGAGAGCCGCATGGCAGGCACACTCTCAAGCCAGACAGACAGCCAGATACCGCTAGTCGGAGTATAGAAAATACTCTCAGGAACAGGTTTCCAATACTGCTTTCCACGCGGCTGGCCCAAGTCCCAAGGTGAATCCCGAATGCGCAGAGTCAGACGGGCCGTCTTGGTATTCGATCCAAAAGCATCCGAGACGTCCACATCGAAGGGGACGTGGCCTCCCTGGTGGCCGCCGACTAAGCGGCCATCCACCCAAATGGTGCAGTCGTAGTCCACTGCGCCGAACCGCAAGAGTAGGCGGTTGCCTTTGGCAATTTCTTCTGCCGTGCGGATGTCATCGATAGTGCGCTCATACCATAGCACCTCGTGGGCTTCATGGACACCAATTCCCGACGCGGGATACTGAAACGCGTACGGGACTTGAATGCTCCGTTTGGTGCTTGGGATCCCCATCTGCTCCCATGACTCCGATAGCCCCGCGTCGGAGTCGTCGAAGATGAAATCCCATTCCCCGTCCAGAGAGGTCCAATTAAGAGAAGGACGGGCGAAGTCAGGGCGGGGATAAGCTGATGAGGCCATGTTTTGAAGGTGAAAGGTCCAATGTGAAAAGTACAGGGTGTTGAAAAGGAGAAGGAAGTGTTTCGGTTTCCGCTCACTGCGACGTCATGCCCCACCTCCGACGTGGGGTTCGCATGAGATGATCGCCGACGGTCGCAACGATTGATACTTCAGTTAAGACAACGAATTGTATTGGCAAAGATCTTTCAAATTCATAAAAACTCACTGGGTATTTCTAAAAGAATGAACTGATGCAGAGCTAAATGCCGCAAGTTAATCTACATGGGCGAACTATACAAATGAAGCGAAGTGGTTCCCCTTCAAGGCATCAAGGAACTCTTGCCGATCTGAGGCTAATTGTTAGCAGCTAATAGAATGTCGAATGTGGAAAGCGCAACTCACCTCTAGTATTCTGAAACAAAATAGATATAGGGCCCTCCCGTTGGCCATCAGTTGTCGACCTAGGCCCGCGAGCGATAATGTTTGTCATGTCAAGCGAAGGTCCACGGAAGAATGGCAAGCGCGGGAAATTGACCCGCGTACTCTCTTTTGAAGAATCAGAACCAGTAGTCGAGACGGAAGCAGTTAGCCAATTGTCCTGGACACTTCCATTCCAACGTGCAGCGAGCTGGATCGAATTTCCCCGGCGCCAAACCTGAACTTCAGCACCGCCCTTGCTAGACTTTTTCGATCCGAAGAGCGATTTGCCCTTAGTAGATATTGATAGCGCATGACGAGAGAAGAGCAGATCATAGAATGGAGAAAGGGCACTGAGGAAGGAACGCGATACGGGCTGGTTGTCGAATTCGATGACAATTGTGCCGGTCTTTCTTTCACAGTGAGAGAAGTTCACCGGACTTTCGGCATGGTAGAGCCTGTCAACATGGGTGGAGATATAATCCGTATAGGAGATCCGTGAGAACCGCACAGTGAGAGAAGCATGTTCGTATTCGTAGTCTGTGTCGCGGAAGATAAAGTAGAATTCCGAGTATCGCCAAGAGAACTTAGTTTGAAACAATGCCACAGCTTTGTATTGTTTGTGCTCCTTCCCAGTGTCGACAACGTCGTAGACACAGCCGGAGCTGCTGGGCTGAGACCAAGCAAATTCTGTGGGGAAATCCAAATACAGTATAGCCTTTTCAAAGTTTTCCGCACTTTGCTGTGTACGGAAACGCAGACCAACTCCAATATTCGGCGTATCGGCATCGTACACGTACGAGTGCAAGGTGTTGTAACTCCCATCAGTTTTGTCTAGTCGTTCCTGGCAGGTATCCGACCATCTTAATAGGACTTGCCGTGATACATCCTCGCGGCAAACTTGGACACGGCTCAAGGGCATGAAAAATTCCATGCATCCGGGATTTTTCTCCGCAGCTGAGGAGCTGATAACCAGTCTCCGAGTAGACCGCCAGGCGTCGCCATAGGACCGTTCCATAATGCGAATCTCGCATGATTTCCATATAACGGACGGATTCATAGACTTCATATGTGGGGTCTTCAGCTGTTCGAAGGTCTCGACGGAGGTTTTGAAGATAATGCTCTCGTTAAATGTATTGGAATCAATTGGTTCTCTCTGGCGCACTGCTTCGAAGTAGGATTTGGGAATGTTGATAAAGTGGCTAAGTTCAGTCTCGAACTGGAACGAAATGGAGACACTCGTCTTGCCGAACTTGAAGGGCAAGGGTTCTGAAATTCGCACTCCCTGAAACCCGTTCATGGCTTGATTAGACAGGGCAATAAGTGGCGGCAAGTCATTCGGCACGACTGAGAGTCAAATTAGTGTCATTATCAAATACGAATACGATACCCTGCAACTCACAATCTCGCTGAAGACACAACTTGCCACTCTGGTTGCACAAAATGATCTTCGGCTCACTTTCGCCATCTTTGGTTACCAGAAGGAGCATGTATGGAGCGCCTTTGGTTCGCATGCGAAATTTCTTGCTGCCAATTCCGGCGTTGACAAAGGTGCGGAAGAGGACCCTTTCGTCTTCCTCGCCAGCATCATCCTTATCAACCGTTATCCAGCGTGCATTCTCTCGCCTGAAGGAGAAGCCACCCCCATTCTCTGTGGCTTCTTCAGGTTGCAACGGCTCCCAAATATCCAGGTTCTGTGAGCAGAGATCGGATGTTTCCGGGATATCAATTGATGTATATTGAGATAGCTCTTCGATGATGCCCTGTCCGATATTAGTATTGTCCCACAAGAAAGACTTGGGTACATACCTCGGAAAGGTCTACGACTGATTTCCGGTTCTCGTCTGTCAGAAGAATTGACGAGTCCTCGTCCTTTAACACAATGTCGTACAGAATATAAGATGCCTTCAGAAGGTCCGTATACGCCTGGTGGCTGGTAGACTTTGAATCCGTGGATAGGCTTGTACTCCCTCGAGCAGTAGCAAAGACGTGCCTGTTGCAGTTGGTTAGAGTCGCACGCGCCTGAACCGACTGATTAGCTGAATATAACACGTAGCAGCAAAATTTTATTTACCTTTAATAACCACCATGTTGCAACACGAAGCCAATCTTGAGTGTCTAGGCTCCTGATGTGAAGCTCATTATTGGCCGAGTTTTCGAATTTCACCAAAACCTCGCGATCTGGTCTATGAAGTTTGTCTGGCGCCTCATACCGGACAGGGCGTGAGAGCTGCTCTGACAATCGAACCTGGCGCAGCTCCTGCATTGCATTGGTGACTGCATCCATGACATCGCGTTGAAGGTCAGTGTTTGAGGACTGGCTGGGTCGGCCTATGCTCTGTTTTTCGAAGTTACTTCCCCAATTGCCCCCGTCCACAGTTCGACCATCGATTGCGCCATCTGGTACGTCGCAGCGCGTCCCAGGATGGACGCTGAATGCGTTCATCATGCTGCTGGTCACGGAGCGTGTGGTGTTCAAAGACCGTGGAGATGTAGGAGCAGTCCCACTATACAGCGATGCATCAGAACCGGAGGTGACAGATCCTGACGATATTGAGATGTCTCTCGGGCCACTGGCAGAGAACCTGTGAGTGCGTGGACCAGATATGTTGGTAGGGATGTCGCGAATTTCGGCCCTGCCCCCTTTCTCATAGTCTCCCGAGACTACACTGCGAAGGCTCAAGGGTGATGGTTTGAGTTCCACATCTGGACCGGCTGGAAGCTCAGCAGGTAACATCGCCAGCTCATCTTCGTCCATTGTTTGAAGCGTTGACCGTTCCGAATGAGTCAAAGAATCACTGAGATGATCAGTATGTGCATTTTTATACCGGGTCAACATACTTACTCTTCGGCGTCACTCATGCAGAGTGTCAAGTTATAAGTTTGCAGCATAATTGTGGATCTTATCTCTTCGATTTGGGAACACTGGGTCACCCACGGGACTCTCTGCCAGAACTGTGCTCCATCGCCAATTCCGCGCGAGCGATATCGGGCTAAAATTTCTTTCAGCAGCAGCAGAGTTTTGGAGCACACCTCCAAACACTGCTCCAGGGTACGTTTTCGGTCGTCGTGCATTTTCACGAAGAAGAATCTGTTGGAGTGTACATCGTCGCCAAGCGCGCGCAGAGTGCCCTGCAGAGACCCCAACCCGGTCACTAGGTTTTGGAATTCATCGGGGGCATCTTGGGAGACGAGGCGACACTGGCTGTATAGCTCCCACGTCAGCTTTGTGAGGCCGGTGATCTCCACAATCCCAAAACCGGAGGCCATGCTTCGTGTCTGCCGATCTTCAAAGGCAGGCCAACGAGGGTCTTTTGAGATTGACCAGGTGTTGCGCAACCCAGACTGATCGCAACAGTCTCGAGGCAGTTTACCCCAGAGCCACCACTCCAGCCGGGAGCAGCAGCACGAGCAGACACAGAATCCAGGGGCAAGCAAGTCTACGCTGATATTTGTCGTCTCACACGCCAATATTCCGAGATCTGGAGCAAGAACACATCCTTAAAGCCGGCAGGCAGGATGATCAAAAGGAAAAGAATATCGAGAGTCCCCTAAGACAAAGCGAGGCCCGGCCGGGGGGTTGCAACCGTACGATTGCCACCAGACCTGCGTGAGAGCGGGGCACTGTTGTACCTATTATCCGTGATAATGGTGGTCATTAGCCAGTCATAGTGGTGGATCATTGAGCCGCTAAGGGGCCACGGCTCCGATCCTGGTCTGCGGGCGGACGACTCGGCCAGTGATTATCGTGGATTACCTGCGCCACCAACTGCACCTGTGCCAGGGCGAAACAAAGAGAGTCGGAGGACCAACAGCGGGAATAATCTGGGGAGACTAGAAGCGAGTGATGGTTCCAGAAGGATTCTTTGTTATTGGTTTGCCCTAACGTGCCCCCTGATGGCCGGTGATGCCTAAGGCCGCCAGTGGATCGATCCCCTGATCCTTCATGAGAACGATCTTTTCTCCTCCACAGTTTGACTCAGGAGCTTGGATCATACTGTGTTCCCTGAATCGCATCGACACAATCTTCCCTCCAGGAGCGACACTTCAACTCCCAACCCACAATGTCCGCGACAGACTCCTTCACGCTCGACACCCCCACGGTGCTCTGCGTCGCGTTTGCGCTCTCGTTCATGCCCATTGCATACCTTCTAAGCAAGACCTTTATCCCGGCGCATCGCACGCGCGACCGCATTCTGTTCTTCTGGCACGCTTACGACGCGCTCACCCACTTGTTCATCGAAGGTAGCTTCCTCTACCAGTGTTTCTTCAGCTACGCGACCATCGCGGGAATCCACAACATGGAGCCCTTCTTCCTCAACCGCCCAGATCGCATTTACGGCCCCGCGTACGGCTCCGGACCCAGCGCCCGCTTGTGGCAGGAATATGCCAAAGCGGACCGCCGCTGGGCCGGCGCCGACGTCACCGTCGTCTCGCTGGAACTGCTGACCGTCTTCCTGGGTGGTCCGGCCGCATTGTACACCTGCTATCTGCTGTACCGTTCGTCCAACCCCAGCATCAGCGCGCCGGCCCGTGGTGCCGCCAAGGGTTCGCTGTGGCTGGTCGCTTCGGCGCTCGCGACTGCGGAACTCTACGGTGGTTTCATGACGTTTGCGCCCGAGTGGCTGACTGGCAGCTCACAGCTTGCCACAGAGGATCCGGTCTACCTGTGGCTCTATCTGGTCTTCTTCAACACCCTCTGGGTGTTTATCCCTATTTGGATTCTGTGGGAGGCGGCTAAGGAGCTCCGCGGCGCATTTGTTGCGGCCGAGGCAGGCTCTAGCCGCAAGAAGCAGTAATGTACAGCGGGACGAAGATATGATTCCCCGTTCATGCGGAGTGGATATCTAGATGCGATTAAAATTCTTTTCTGGATAATGGACATAACACCTAATACATGCAACTATGTCAGAACAGTCCCTTTTTATCTCTCTTCTTGTACAGCAGGAACCACAGGCCCATTAATTGGAATGCCCCGGATATCATCGCAATCCCACCGAAGAGTTGGATGTTCACGAAGTTCAAATCTGCGTTGTCTCTTGATCCAATGGAAGCCAATGCTCCCGCGACGGGTGCGCCAATGAGAGTCGCAAAGCCGCTGATACCTTGCGCCATACCCAGCCATGTTCCAAGGGCCGATGGGTCGGGACACACATGGGGGAAGACGCTGGGTGGAAGAGGGATCAAAGCACCGGATACACCTCCTGAGTACGATTAGCAAGAAGAACCAGAAGAAAACAGGTTGACCTACCATAAAAGGCCGAATAAAGGATAAAACGCAGCACACTGTGCGCACTGATCCAAGACAAACACAGAACCCCCGAGAGCAACCCGCAGAAGATCCAAGGAATCATAGATCCATAGTGATGCGCAACAGTGGTTGTAGCCACGCGACCAATGATAGAAGAAGCCTGCGAGATAATAAGAATATAGAGCCCCAGTGACCGTGTGGTACCGAGCATAGTCTCCGCATAGGTCGGGATATAGTAGAAAGGGGTCATGTAACCCAGGAAAAGGCAGAAATTTGCAATGGTATAGCTCCAAAACGGCCCGTCCCCGAAAGCACGCAGATCAAATAATTTTCGAGGTCGGCCTGGGGTAGTCGCAGATCCTTGTGTATTGGAACTGTTCCAGAGCAGCAGAAATGCAGCAGTAACAAACAGCGTGAGCATAACAAAGCCAATAACCCGCACCGCCCACGCAAAATGTAGACGTGGTAGAAGCTGTTCGAACAGTATGGTATAGATAATGCCTCCGGCTGGGGCACCGCTGGTCGCGACGCCGAGTGCAACAGCGCGTTTGTGCACAAAAGCGCGACTAACCAGTGCAAGACTGGGGATATACAACAGCCCAAACCCCAGACCCATACAGATACCCTGACTTAAGAAGATCTGGTAGTATGCATCCGCGAGACTGAGCATCATAACTCCCACAATAGACAGGGTCGTGCCGACGAAGATCATGGCGCGGTAGTAGCCCAGGTCAAAGAGGGGGGCCGGATACAATCCCACCAACGATGAGCAGGAAGGACTGGACCGTACCTATCCATGAAATGGCTGAGGATCCGGAGGACACAAGGTAGGTTAGCGCGTAGAAACTTTGAAAGGATCCAAAAGCGAAAGCCACGCCCCTATACATGGAATAGTCAGATTCAAGCCTTTGCTAGACGTGGTTCTTGTCATACCAAATATTGAAAAAGATGAAAAATGCACCGATCACTTGTAGCCAGCCTCGAATGCCGCCTTCTTTGACCGGCGAAGCAGCAGGCGGGGAATTCTTCTCTTCTGCCGAGATATTATTCTTCGCTGCAGTCGCAGTAGCAACGTCTGCTTCATTACATGATGGGGTTGACATCTCTGCTCGCCTTGTAAAGGAAATCCGGCCGAAAGACAGTGTTGAAAAGGCGAGGGATTCAGGATCAATCGCGCAATTAGCCCATGTTATCAAATTTCGGTGCCAACGGGCGAGAAGCTAAAGCGAATCTTCAAGACCTAAAATTATTCATCCAAAGCAGAGCGGGGTTCAGGGCATTGTAAAGAGAGATTATTAATGAGTGTGAGAGGTTGTCTCGGGAATTATTCCGTCAATTCATTCTATGCTTCTTTAGGCTAAGTTGGATTGTCACCGAGCCGAGGTTACGTTAGGATCTAGCCGAACGTACAATTTATCAAGGGTCTTGGGTATTTTCTCGAGCCTTTAAAGTATGTGAACATCAACTAGCTGACAATGCGTAGACTAGTACTCGGTACCTCGTGGTATGTGGTCTATCATAGCTTCAGCGTTCGGTATAGACCTTAAATTGTGTAACCAGAAGTTGGCCATGCCAAGTAGACCAATGTATAATTTCTGCATAATCTCAATGTTCGTCATATTCAGGGAAACCATAGAGATGTTCATAGTCATGTTTGATGTTCGACAACTCTGGATTGTGCACTTGTTTTTGTGCACAATGTGCAGCACCAATAGCACCAATGAAGACCAGATCAGCCTTGTCTCGAAGCAGATGTTATAGTTCATCAGGCAGTTTCTGGATGCATCCGTCCGTACCTAAGCTAATGGAGAGGTCCAAAGGCAATGGTTTCAAGACCGGATGGAACACTAGCAGCGGTAAATATGTTATGGCGCCTGAGTTCTTCTACTGCCAAAGTGCCGGGCACACGTAATTTTTTAGTGAGCTTGGACATCCTAAGTGATTTCTTCTATACTTGGAATAATATCTTCCCCAATTAGCTCGGTCGAAACGAATATGTCGAACCCTTTTTTTTTTTGATTGAGCTTGAAAACCCATCATGAGAACCAGTAGATAAAAGTCCAAATTCATCGTAAGTTTGAGAGATGTGTTCCTAGAACTAGATATATATATGGGAACAGATTTTGGCATAACTATACAACGGATAAAAAACTACTTATTAGGTACTCTACAGGCTGATAGTGCACATATGAAATCAGAAGCCATGCAGTATATGTCAAAATATCGACACATATCACGCCTTACCCAGCTTCCGATCCTTATCCCAGAACCAATGATAAAAGCTCTTCCACTCTGTCGCCTCATCTTCAACATAGTCCCCTACCAGCTCAGCAGTGGCATTCACTGCGCCATCAGGCATAGATGACACCTTCAAGCCAGACGAGGCGTCGACACCCCCACTGGCACCTTGACTACGAGCAGCCTCAGCGGCGACAGCAGCAGCATTTGCATCCGAAGTCATATCAACAGTGACCGCACCTGAATGCATACTCAAGGCGTCCTCAGCGCCGTCCTTTGCCCTTTCTGCCAAATCCTTTGCCTCCTCGCGCATGATTTCGGCGTATTCTTCTGCCTGTTCCCGAGCGCGATCCAGCAGTTCTTCGGGAGAGGGGTATCGGCGCAGCACGATAAGGAGAATGTAGTAGCTCTTGATAATAGAGGCATACACTGCATCCTTGGCGAGCATGGTGAAACCATGTGAGAAAAAGCCTTTCAGGGCTTCGCCTTGAAGGCCTGCGTAGAGGGCAGGTAGACCTTCCGTGCGGGCGATTGTGAATACAGTTGACAGAATCTGCGGGGTAATAGCTGCACAAAGGCGCTCGTGAAGCTGTTTGGCAGTCGATGATTTCTGAGTTTCGGAGCTGCTACCCATTGTTTGGGCCCTAGTTTTTGCGAGAGAGAAGGGATAGGTGATAGATGAGGCGGCAACTTTGCTCATAGCCGCCAGAAGAAAAGTCACTGAAGCAGGAGGATGATTGCGTTTCGATCGTGGGAGCAGCGTGTATTTTAGGACTTCGTTCAGGAAGAACGTGATAGATGGGTTGAGCGTCAGAATTAGCGACGCCGAATAACCCGACCAGAAACCCTGCAGGCCCTTTTCCTTCCGAATCTGGGCAGCAATGTCGCCAGTTGACAGGTTTTTACCGCTCTTCGCTTCCTTGCGGGCCGCCGAAGTCTGCTTGCGAGTGACGATGTTCGATAGCGGTGTAGTGAACAATTTCGAGAACGACCCAGCTAGAATCCCGATAACGAGCTCATCCAGCACCGGGAGCATGACATTCTTGCTCTTCGCCGCTCGGGCGGGTCCCACACGGGCAACTGTCCTCCTCTGACGGATAGTGGTGTATGCCAGGAAAAAGAGAAACGAGTCCGCGACCGTCTTGCACGTATCCTGCGCCAAACCAGGGTACAACCCTGCGATGCCTTGCTGATCATAGATCTTTCGGAGGGCATCGAGGAGGCTGGCGTACTCTTCCTCCTCGTCATCTTCCGAATCCTTTCCAGCTTTCCTCTTCTGCGTCTGAAGACGAGCGACGACAACGCTGAGGGGGTAGACAATAACATTGGATACAGCCGCACCCACGGCCCCGGCTACTGCATTCCCGAGCACAGGTAGCGCAGGACCGCGCAGAGCAGCTGTTTTCCAGTCCTCGCTGGGATGGCGCTGGTCATAGCGGTAGGAAGGGTGGAAGGCGTCCTGGATGTCAGTAGATAAGAGGTCAGATTAGATAGGCGCGCTGAAGAAGGGGGTGGGGAAACAAACCAGCTGGGACTCGTAGGAGAGCTTGTATTCAGACATGGCTATGAGTCTCCTCACCTGTCCTCAACTGAGATAGATGAAATAACAAAAGGGAAGGAGAAAGAATAGGAGAAGCAGGAATGAATCAAATGGAAAAGAGAGAGTGAGAGAGAGAGGACCGAGGCATTACATCATGGGAGGTCCGTGCACAACCTTACTCGGAAGCCTTTGTACATCTACAGCTACATCAAGTCTGTCTTACGGTCGCAATCTACGCACCGATGGAAATCGCTAGTTTTGGCTGCAGGAACCGTCTAAGCTACTCAGCAACTAGCTACCACGAAAGACAAACCCATTGCATATCCCATCCGATAGAAAAAGGACGCACCAGATCCCCAGCGGGATCATTCCTCCTAAAACAAACCCCATAGCCTATGTAATCTAGGCGAAAGAAAAGCATAACCAAAAGGAGATAAAGAACCATAAGAGCATCGCGCGTTAAGGGAGCATCCATCCAACCGAAGATGTCAACAACAAGAGACATGGATGGTAGATAGGAAATGCTCCAGCCCCCCGGAAAGAAGAAGGCAATTAACCGCCGAAACCGTAGAGGGTACGGCCCTGGCGCTTGAGCGCATAGACAACATCCAGCGACGTGACGGTCTTGCGCTTAGCGTGCTCGGTGTAGGTGACAGCGTCACGGATGACGGACTCAAGGAAGGTCTTGAGCACACCGCGGGTCTCCTCGTAGATCATGGCGGAGATACGCTTGACACCGCCACGGCGAGCCAGACGGCGGATGGCGGGCTTGGTGATACCCTGGATGTTGTCGCGCAAGATCTTGCGGTGACGCTTGGCGCCGCCCTTGCCGAGACCCTTGCCACCCTTACCACCTAGAGGCAACGATGTTAGTACGATCTGAGAAGAGAGATAAAGACAGGGAGAGAAGCTGAGATGCGGCCAGGCCCTTGGCAAACAAGTGGCGGACGCGTGGGGGCCTGGAGCCTCAGGCATGAATCACGTGCCCACAAGGGGCATCATGATTGTGGACAACACGACGCGCGACGAGGAATCAAGCGAAAAGTCAATCACAACTTACGTCCAGACATGTTGGCAGATGGTGAAAGTAAAGAAAAATTAAGAAATTAAGATGGAAAAAGGTGGGTGGCGATGGGTGGTTGATGGAAGACGCGTCGGGATGATGAGGTTGAGCGTGTCGGGATGGGGAAGAGAAGAAGAGGAAAAGGAAAAGAAGAAAGAGGGAATTAGTCAAGGGCGAGGGCGGGCGATTTAAATAAAGAACAAGTCAGCAAGTGATTTGGGCCCGGATTATGTAACGGGGGGAGGGAAGGGAATGACCATTCTGCAATGCGGCGGTGATTGGGCGGCTGGGCAGGCAGAAAAAAGGAGTGGGAAGCAGCAGCTTGAAAGTGTGTGTAGGCAGGGCCGGGAATTGGTGCGGCGCAGGAAACAATGGAGCGGGAAGGGCGGTCATGTGATGATAAGAGAGATCCGATAAGCCAAGAGCTACATTCTGGTGAAGGAACAGGATTACAGACTAGCAAGGGTGGTTACATACTCTGCAACATCTCATGTGCATTCATTTCTCTCATGTCAATCAGCTAGCAGATCATGTATCATCTTCATCCCTGTCTTCACGCTAGTGGACCGAAAAAGTAAAACAACAAAAGTAAACACCAGAACTCCATGCAAATCAACAGGAAAACGTCCAAAGCAGACGATGCATCGGGAAACAAACAGCAACAAGAGGCAGCGGGCAGACTACAAAACTTTTTGTGGTAAAAAAAAAAATTAATATTCTGACCGGGTCGGACAGATGCAGAATCGAAAATGCCTCGGGAGTGGTGTGGGTTGGTGGGAGAGTCATCATGCGTAATAAGGAAAAACAAAAAAAGGAAAAACGTAACCATGACCACAAACAAACTGAACTCGTCACATCGATAATTTCTCTCGACATGGCAAATAGGGACATTCCCGGCCAGCCACGCAGCATGAGCAGATGCCCCCGCGGTTTATTGTGCATCGCAAAAGGGATGATCGTGCTCAACATCTGCCGCGACTGACCAGCAAGACCCTACTGACGGCTATTTTCACCAAACCCCAACACATGGCGGGTTGGCAGCACTTGGAATAGGGGCGACGGAAAACAAATCGTGCGAGTGATGATCCATCTCCAGACAAACAGGAAGACCCGAACCCCTTCAACGCAATGTCAACGACACATGGCCAAAAAGGAAATGGAAAAGGACGATTGTCGCACTCCAGAGGTGGTGGTCATAGCACAATCTATGTTACTCACCCTCTAATAACCGGTGACGACGGAGGATCATTCATGAAGCCGTTCTGATGATGGTAGGGGTAACGGAACGACTTGGGAGACGGTGAGGCGCGCGGGGAGGTGTGCGGGCTCAGCGAAGTGGACGCCGGGCGTGCTTCACGAGGTGTCTCGGGCGCGGACGGCTCCGCTGGAAGGGAGCGAGGAGACAAAGGCGGCGAGGGAGCATACCCCGCGGGTGGAGGAGAATGCTTCGCATGCTCTGTATCATTCGCCTTCGCAGTAGAGACTGGAGCCGGCGGCTTCTGATTCACGCCTTGCGAACCATACTGCTAGAGGGTTAGTTTAATTATGACCGGAATGAAAGGAGACAGAATACTCACGAAGCAGTACCGATCGACCAGCTCTCTATACACGGAGGACTCGAGACGCGGCTTGCTAGACACCAATGAGGACGGTTTCATATCTCCCACACGAGCTCCATCGCAAATATCATCGCTCACTGGAGAAGCCTTGCCCAAGGCAATATCTGGGCTTTTTCTAGCAGAGGTCTCATCGGCCGTCTGTCCAGACCTCGCGCGCGCCGCCAAAGTGGTCCGATCTAAGGGAGTTTTGGTCCGCATGGCAGCAGACAATGAGGCCCCAAAATCATACCGGGTACCAAACGCCTGGCGGTGATGCTTTTCGCGAGGTTTCGGAGGAGCAACGGTGTCGATATCGTCCGAGGTCTTCCGGGTCAACGACACGCCGTTGGCGCCCGAGAAGGGATCGCAGAATGGCACCTTGTTAGGGATCTCTGGGAAATCATCGAATGATCCGGGCATGGAGTGTGGGCGAGTGCTGTGTAAGCCGGTGAAACTGCGACTGCGAGGAAGAGATGGACGAGGTCCACTGGACGACTTGGACGGGGCTGTCTTGGGCGCCTTGACGAAGTCGACCTGGTAGTTCATGGAGTTGTTGTTGTCCCAGAACTCTTGACCATTCACACTGTATCGAATGCATACAGACATGGTCTTGCATTCCAAATTGGTCTGGTCGTTGAGCTTGATTTCAAAGGTGAAGCGGTCGTACCCGTCGTGGGCATGCTTCCGGCGAACATCGTGGCAAAACGACGCACTCACTTCCGACACCGTCCTCCAGTAATCAAAGGTGAAGCGGGCAGCGACCTGCTTCTGGAATGCGAGGTTGGACACGGCAACCGTACCGATCAGGACATTCTTATCGGATGACAAGAACAACCGCTCGAGGCGAACGGGCCGAGTCTGACTCAAAGACACATCCGTGGGGAAGTTGGAGAGTCGAATATCCCATTCCCAGGACGCCGTACGAGACTCCGCCTGGGGACCAAAAGGGAACTCGCCCTCAGTGTCATGGCTGTCTACCGGTGAGGTCTCCGCACTGACAGCCAAGGGTTTGTCCAGCTGCAGGAAGTGGCGGATGTGTTCCAGCTGAGCGTCAAAGTGGACCGCTTTCGAATAGACCGGGGTCCCCGGCATGCTGGAGGGGCGGCGGCGAGCTGACGGAGGCCGCAGTGCCGGACGAACCAGTTCACCAGACTTCTTGCGGACCATGGGGGGTTTGGACTCGAATTCCACATCACTGTCCTCGGGAGAGCTTGTCAGGGCCTCCTCCCGTTTCAAGATAATCGAGTTTTCGGTCGACGACCGCGAGTGAGTGATCTTCCGGGCCTCTCTGGATAAGGGCAGACTCGACGAGGAACGAGCCTCGGTGCCGGCCTGCTCCGCGGGCCCCATGCTTCTTTCTGGAGAGGATTCTCTCCTCTGCTCGATGGACCGGACTGCCGCCTCCAGGTCCTCGAGCCTGATCCCCTGTCCACCCGAATACGGCGACTCGTCGTCACTCGAATTCAGAGCAGATTCTGGTGGGGACATCACCGCCCCGGGTGGAATGACGGCATTGTTTAACGGCGGCGGGGACTGTCTCAGACTGGCATGGGGGTCAATGGAGGGGGACGAGCGCGAGACGGGCTCCGAGGAAGACTGCACGGTGGGTTTGCAGATCGAAGGACTCCTGCGGTGTCGGCGGACGTAGGAGGTGGAGGAGTAAGAGCGGGAGTTGTGACGAGGTCTTTCGGGACGGACCTCGGGGGTGGGATCACTGAATTCAATGTGCTGCGCGGAGAGCAACGACTTCAACGGCGCAGTGTATGGCATCCGGCCGACTTGCGTGTTTCAACACAAGAAGGAAGTTGTTTTCTCTGGAACTTGATGGATCACAGAGTTATTCCTAGGAGGAAGGAGTGACCGTCAGTAAAAAAGCAAATGATGGGGTGGCGGCGGTCGGAGCAGAGGCAGAGCATCCCAATCCCAGCTGGAGGAAAAGCGACTGGGGGTACAGGATGGGTGCAGCAGATGGTGGCACGGCGATGGCCAGAGAGAAAGCGCGTGCGCGCCAGTGGTAGGCGAGATAACGAGAGGTCTCACAACACAGTGGCACTGGAAGGCAATGGATGGATTGTTTGCAGTGCGAGAGGGCAGGAGGGCAGTGCAGTGAGGGAGAGAGAACTATCGCCTACCTGGATGAATTTGGGGGAACATGGGGGTGAGTGAAGAGGACAAGGAAGAAAGAAGACAATCACGAAGCGAAGAAAGGGTAGAGATGAAAGAGAGAACGGGATGTGGCGGGGCAAAGGGAAAAAAGATTAAAAGAACATGTCGTGCTTGGATGGAGGTTGATAAGCTGCCTGGGGAGGCGGCGCGAGTGGGTTGAAGGGAAAGCCGGAGGGATGGGATGATGATATGTAAGTACTTGGTACGAACCGGAGAGTGAAAAGCCTGCATCTAGACTAGCATCCTAGCGACTCCGCTCGTATATCACCAGAGTGGGTCGGGTCAAACTGTACTAACAACGTCTGATTCCTCCCTTGGCCACCACTTTATTATTACTGCGCAAGCCACCTTCCTGTTTGTGAAAAAAAAAAAAGTATGATTTCACCGTGCTACACTAACTACGAAGTAGACTGTTCGCCTCTCTTTTTCGAAGTCTGTTCAGTGCTCGCGGTCCTTATCAAAGCCCCCAACCAATTTTTAGCGGCGAGGCCCGTGGCCCCGGTTTGCCTGGAACCAAGATAATCAATTGGATGGGCCACGCACTGGACACACTGGATGCTATGCTCCCCTCTTTTTTCAATTTTTTTTTTTCTTGATTCTTTAGTTGCCGTGCAACCCGACGGATAATGATAATAATGAAACCCTTCGATCTTGCTTCGACGACCTTGGAATTAACACCCACGTCAGACCTCAACGTGCGGTGAAACATGGCTAATATCTCCGCTACGTCCACATCCAAATACCTAACAGGTCTCCGGAAATTATTCTGTCTGAACCTTGCCCCGGTGGCATTGCTGTGACGTGCATGCTGCGCCAGGGATCAAATTGCAAAACTACTGTAGCAGGACGTCTGTACTCCGGAGTAGGGGCGGCGCTCTACACTCCAGTCTCCATAGTAGTCGCTCCACCGGTGGGCCTGACCGATAGGAAAGGAAACGATCTTGAAATAAACGAAAAGAATATGCAATGAGAAGGATCATCACAGTAATTACATGACAAGAACCATTAAGAAGAGAACATATTCAATCCAATTCACTCCTTGAGCATCTCTCTATTTATCTCTATCGCGCGCGTGGTGATATCCGGCCTACTGCCACGCGCAATGAGTGACGTCAAGACGCACTGACAGTCTGCGCAGAGCCCACTTCCTTGGTTTTTCGCCGCTTGGCGTTGGCCTAGACAGCTCTATCGATGTCGACAGTGGCAGCGACACTACTATTTGACCTTCTGTTGTCGATCTAAATGGTAGAGTCATGGAATACATGCGCCCTGCGAGGACTGAAAGAAGACTTGGTAGACGGCCGGACAGTCTAATCGGTGGAACCCACCTGTTACATCGGTCGGACTCGCTGTGAACCTGTTGATAGTCGTATTCTTGTTTTACGATTTCCTTCGCAGCCCCCATCCCGGTCCATCCCACCTCCGGAGGCGCTGTGTCTCACTGTGAATGCATAAAGAAAAAATTTTAAATTTGGGTCGATTCTATTGCCCTGGCGCCCGGACCATCCGTTGAGTCGCAGAGTTTTTGATTTCTCGCCACTCAACAGTCACAACGGCGGCGGCGGCTATCTTGTGGCTTGAGTTGGTCGTTTAAAATTGATTTACTTTATGTAACAACTTTCTTTTTTTTTTGGCACAGAGATAGGGATGCGCCGTGGGTTGTGGTCGGGACGCCCATCTGAGCAAAGCCGAGCCCCTTCACTCGGCTAGACCGCCGCCGAGTCGAGACCTACTTGGCCCGTCCGCCCTGATCGGCCTCTCCTCTCCGCAGAGAAAGGCTGGAGGATCCATGGGATGTTGATCCCTCCCGCAAAATCGAAATTTTCCTTCGTCAAAACAAACCCCCCTTTGCACCCCCATGCGAAAGTCGATCCACCCCCACTTGTACCCAGTACATGGACGATAAGACCACATCCAACCTGCCAATCTGAATCTTCCGGTGAGCAGAAAGTTTGCCGCCATCTGCAACTTCTGCAGGAGGCGATAACGCCCGGTGGCTAGTCTGTCCCTTGGTACCCTCAGGGTTTGGTTCCAACGTCGACTACCGCCGAAGATCTTGTTCGAGATCGCACCACCAGCAAGGTTGTGTGAGTTAATCTATTTTCCCAATAAAAAACCCCCTAGAGTATTGAGGACCTGGATGGTCTGACGCCTAAGCGGTCAGGCCATGCATTAGAGGTCAAGGCTCGGGCTTGGGACCTTGCTTCGATCTCCGAACGAATAATAAACAAGCGCGCCCGTTCGACGGCGTTGCTGTGGCTGAACCTTGGGAGACACAGCTCTCACCTTCAAGCTCCCTTTGCATCAACAATGCATTGCGTGTCTGTATTCCCGCACTCCTTCGAATGATTGCGTGCTCCGAACATATTGCCCCGCGTGGATCCTCCTTGGAATGCACGCCATCTAAGGATGCACGTGCATCTCAACCCCACCGACCCCCATGATACTCGGTGGGCTGACTGCGTGCGGCTCCTGGCCCATATGCTGGTGCGCGGGGTCGAAAGCTGTTTGGTAAGTGAGATAATAATGTCCTAAGCTTGTCAATGCCGCGAGAGAATGTCGGTGTAGCCAATGGAGCTTTAATCTTGCTTTCACTATAGTTCGGACTTGTCAGATCAATATCTGTAGGGGGCTCTTAAATCAAACATGGAAACAGACTACGTACATCTCTTGTCCTGACCCTAGCCCAAATAATCCCTGTCGTCCGCATGACCAACGTGCAGCTGCCTTGATTTGAGCAGATAACACCGACAGGATGTATTTTGATCAGGGATGCAGCAATGCCCAACATGAAACGCATAGTTCGGATCATCTGGCACTACAGAATGGTAAGGCGTTAGTGAACGCCCACCTCAACTAACTATAGCACAGACAGAGGAACATGCACCCGGTCGCCCCACCAGAATAATCGACAACAGCCTAGACTTGCTCACGGTAGTCAGTGCGCTCGATCCCGAAGCCCTGACTGGCTCCTTGTTGTTGGCGCCCGGTGGCTGTGTGGGGCCATGGTGCTGTGAATAGTGCAGCAGGAGGTCAGTGCATGGCCTGACTGTATCTCGGGATGGGGATGCTGTTATTGTTTCAGGGGCTTCGTGATATTTGTCTAGTCGCAAAGTCAACCCCGCCATGGAAAATACATCCCCGCTCATCAAGGTTGAGGCGCTCGGATCGACCAACCATGGACCGACGTGAGAAGGGACCGTGTCGCTAGCAAAGGACAGTCAAGCCAGGAACTCGAGACTACTTGGTGTCAATTACTTGCTGCACCCCAGGACTGGGGGCGTCCGAATTATTTGGCCAGGCCTTCCCACTGGCCCGTCACTTTCACGGCCCAAGCCTCTAGACCAGCACGACCGGGTAAGGCGTTCCCCACCCAGGCTGACGGTCTGTCCTCCCCAATGCCTTCCCCTCCCCTCCGATAACACGAGCAGGACAAATCAGGCACCCTGGTGCTTTATGTCAACGGCGCTGTGATGACGCCGTGACTTGGAGAATGGCGGTTGTTGTAGAAATTGGCGCCATCCAGCCCTAAGCTATGCATGCTGGTCTCGGGCAAAATGTCATCTTTGCTAATGTCAATTGCATGGACACTCTATCCTAAACCCTAAGATTCACTTCCGGGATCTCCTACCCGCGAATAACTAGAGGTTCTGCTTCGTCGTGTGGATCAGGGCACATGCAGCATTAGACTCGAGGAGCCATGGCGATCACGACTTCCAGGTCGATCTGAATCCCCTCATTTGCGCTCTATCCTCGCATGGCTGATGCCGTATCATCGCTTACGAAAAAACAAAATTTGCGGGGTGCATCGCAGGGGGCTGGCCAGGTCTTGCCAGCTCAACAGCAACGTCCGAGCGAAACTCTGCTCTATCTCGCCAATGCCTTCACTCCCACTTCTTACTCGCCCCCTTGCCTGTCTGGTCGGCAACGGTCTCGCCTCTCGTCAAACTTCCCCGCCCTCTCCTCTGTGCACAGCATCAGCCACATCCGCGATGAGCAAGACAGGAAGGTGGATGTAAATGCGCGCCCTCGCGGGGCAGGTTATCATACCCTTGCGCGTTCCGGGGACATCTCAAGTCCGTCTACATCCCGCGCTCCGGGGGTTCCGTGAGGAATGACTACAGGACAAGGACTGGGATAATGGAGCCATCAGCATCAATCAGCATCAGCCATGAAGTGTGCACATGACCCGCCCATAAGCGCCAACCTGCACTACTACTGTCTTATTCTATACATGCAACCGAGCATCCGAGGAGAAATGCACCTGGAAAAGGGGGCCGTGGATTCAGCTAATGACAGAACCAGAACCGTGCCAGATGAGACCATCCACCCAAAGCTCACCGCTAAGCTCAGGGCGCTGGCATGGTACGCAAAACCGCCACGCCGCCACCACATACGAAGGGACGATTACGAAGACGAAAAGCATAGGCGAAACTCTGATTTGATTTGTGAGTTTGGGCAATCATGCCGAGCCCTCTTCAAGTCGACACTCCAAAGAACAGAATGCGGTGTGTGCTCGCACTTCATATGAAATGTTGCATGGGGCGTGCGCGATCAGGCCGTTGAACTGTGTGTCCTGCCTGCATTGCTGCCACCGCTGATCTAGGATTATGATTATCCTAATTTGGTATTTCTAGTTTGGGCGTGAAGAATATTGGGGGTTTGTATAGGTGGAGATGTGCTGTAGAGATGGTTGACTCAGAGAGCAATTGCACATCCTAGAGTAATTGTACATCTGGTTTCCTATCCTAGGATTCCTGCTTCACCTTTCTAGAGACTTTGGCCTTTACTCCGCCATATGAGTCTGTCTTTCGTTTTGTCTTGTTTTCTGAAAGCTGAAACTTGGTAGGCACGTTCTCGGCCTTGCATTCTTTCCACATTTCTGCGAATTCGGAGCTCTCCGACTTCTCGATCTGGTCATCGGCATCTCCCAGTCCCAAAGTCCGTTAAGAAGCAGTAGTTTGGTCTCCTTCTCTCCGTTGTGCGATGCAATGGGCCCTTTGCTACGCATCTATATTTTTCTATGAGAACTTCTGGCTTATCATGAGTTGCATACTTCTTACCTTTCGGTACACTCTGTTGACTTCACAGCGGACGCAGCCGCAGCGGGGAGGAATTTCACCACCTTTTACCGTCACTCCATCCGGTTTATCGATGCATGGGTCTCACTAACAACAGTCTGAATTCGAGTAGCTCATCGATCTGAGCTTCGGATGGGGTCCCGGTGTATTCATCTGAGCGCGTGCTCTTCTCATCGTCTGTTGAGCTATTGCTATGCTCTTCGTCCCTATAATGGCTTCAATGATACTCTCAGCGATCTCGGTCGCCGCGTTGGTGGGTTAGTCCGCGGCCGTTCGGACTTTGGCCATTCGAACCTTTCGGCGGCCGTCTGCTTTGGTAGATATCGTCGGTGGCTAACAGTTGTGACTATGTGTATTCTAAGTGCTGACGATGAATACAGGAATGTCCGCCCCATTTTGTAATATCTGCGGTCCTCTTAGTCGCTATCCATGACCGCGCGAATGCACTTGGTATAATTGGCAACGTCGACTTGGTATCCGGATGTAAATCTTACCCCGGAAAATGCCCGGGTCTGTTTCTCCCTGTATTCCTTGGTCTCATTCCATCCAGAAGTGTTGGTGCAAATAAGGTGCCTGGAATTTGGTCCAGAACCAGGCCAGTCTCGCATCAGGGTAACACAACTCATTACCAAGTCTTAACCGACCTTTCAGTCATCTGAAAGAAAGGAGAGGACGTCGTATCTCAGTTAATGGTAGCTGATTCCACTGAACGTGAGCGATATATATTGAGATCAGTACATCCAATTCCCTGACACGGGACCACTTAGTCCCTGGCAAGTCGTATGAATATTCATTCGTATCTTCTTTCACCTCAGTTGAGTCGCACCCGAGTATAAGCGGAATAGTTACCATGCAAAAAGTGTGTAGTTTCTACTAGTAACTACCTGTAGTAGTGGATCGTGACAAAAGATAAGATCGGTCTCCACCCGACAGTCAGCCACTTTCTCTCTTGCCACGATCGTGCGTTCCTTGGTTCCTCTGTTTACTCCCGGTCCATCGCCGTCCACATTATTCCTGCTCATGGCGCAACTGGCCAGTCCAGGTCTGGCAGACCTGGAGAAGGAACTGGTATGCTCGGTATGTGTCATTCCTTTCCAGCTCTTCCAGAATCCTTCCATTTTTCCTCCTTGCGCCCCCCGCCATGACTGACGTCTGTGCCTTTGCCAGATCTGTACCGAGCTCCTCTACCAGCCGCTAACCCTCCTCGACTGCCTACACACATTTTGCGGCTCGTGTGTGAAAGAATGGTTCACGGCCCAGGGATCGCGTCGCCGGTCCTCGACGTCTTCGTCTGCCCGATTCACTTGCCCCTCCTGTCGGGCCGATGTGCGCGGCACCCGACCAAATGCTACCGTAACCACCCTGGTGGACATGGTCTTGGCGGCTCATCCAGATCGCGTCAAATCTGCCGCCGAGAAGGATGAGATTGCGGGGCGATACAAACCGAGTGACTCAGTGTTCCCACCGGATGAACCGCACGACGAGAGTGCTGAAGAGGGCAACTACGACGATGACAGGCTGCTGGAGGAAGTTCGGGAACTAAGTTTGCGAGAGAGTAGAGTGCAAGCGAGACGCGAAAACCGCCGGGCACACCCATCGCGGACCCAAGAGCGAAGAAATGATTCAGGGCGACACGCAGATGAGGGTCGCACTCGCCGCCGACAAGATGAGACTTCTACGGAACAGCGTACCCCACGTCTCGGGGCAGGTTCGGGTCATGATGGAGACCGTGCCCGACGTATCGAACACCAGTCGAGCTTGCGGTCATTGTTGAGCTTGTCTTCCGAGGCAGAGACGATGGAGGAAGAAATTCTTCGGCAAATCATAGAGGAAGGATTGCTCGATGACATCGATCTGGATAATCTGGGACCCACGCAGGAAGAAGAACTCAGTGAACGCATTGCAGATGCCTATCGCCGAAGACATATGCAGCGATCTAACTCTCGACAAAGCGATCCACGGAGACAATCACCCGACGTCACTTCACGAACCCAGACCAGATCCCAGTCAGCTCAAAGATCTTCAGAGCCAGTTCCTATCTCTCGGGAACAAGGTGACAGGCGGCCGCCTGTATCCAGACCCCATCTTTTGGACCAGTCTCGCCCAAGCAACACACATCGACGACGCAACTCCGACCAGACTAGTGAACGTCAGCACACATCGCCGCTTACATTGAATCAGGCTTCTGCATCGGATGACACGTTGCGACCTGCAGCAAGATCTTCTAGTGACATGACTTCAGACCGTTCTCGAACCTCTCAAGCAGGACGACCGAGACCAGACGCATCATCGACAAGGTTACGACGAGCAACTGAGTCTGATCAGACCATCTCTGATGTTTGGATGGGAGGCAGGCGAGAGCGGAGCTCTTCGAGACAGGTCACCGGTCAAACGACGACCAACTCTCCTCCTTCCTCAGTCTCCTCGCCCCGACTAGAAGCATCTCACAGCTCCCCTCCGACAGATCAAACCACCCACTCTCTGTCCTCGCCACTCGTTCCAACTAGGGGCGATCTTGCTTCCCGATCTGGTAGATCCCGTCCATCTTCATCACGATCCAATGTCCCTCCATCTCCAAGCGCTCAATTCATCGAACCATCCATCTCCTGTGAGCGCTGCGGAAAGCAAAATATCCAATACAATCTGCACAAAAGATGCCTTCAATGCAAAGACGGTAACTATCACATCTGTCTCCGGTGCTATCGAACAGGACGAGGCTGTCTTCGCTGGAATGGCTTTGGTGCATCTGCACAGGAGACCTTCGAACGAATCCTTGCATCGTCAAATCGGCAACCAGTACAGACGAAGGAGACAGGCCATATTCTTGTCTCGGTGAAATATGCTCGTCCCGCAGAATCTGCATATCAGACAATCTTCAACAATAGGCAGATGACCACTGACAACCCAGCTAATCGCCGAGCAATCGGTCTCTTCTGCGACATCTGCCAGTCTGTAGCCAACGACTGTTTCTGGAAGTGCAGTCAGTGCAACCTAGGAGACTGGGGATTCTGCAACCGATGTGTCAACCAAGGACGATGCTGTACTCATGCCCTGCTGCCGATCCGGCGCATCACAGCCAGCACGTCCTCGTCAGCCCCTTCAACGCCAGCCGATACAATAGTAGTGGGTTTGTCCTCCCAGTCCGAACCGGAGAGCTACAAGATCCTTTCATTTTCTACCAACTGTGACATCTGCACTTATCCAATCCCTGCTTCGGTGACTCGGTTCCATTGCCTGGAATGCAATAGCGGAGACTACGACGTCTGCACGAATTGTTATCTCAAGCTCGTGGCCACTTCAAAAATTAGCAAAGAAAATGGCCACAATGGCTGGCGCCGCTGCTTAGCAGGCCACCGAATGATTATTGTCGGATTCGAGGACCATCAGTCTGGTCAGCGGCGCGTGATTGTGCGCGACTTGGTAGGCGGCCGTGCCCTCAAAGATGAGCACGTCGCACCCTCGCCTGCGTCACCCGCCCCAACATCCCCCGAAGTTGGCAAGGGTGACTGGAGTTGGAAAGAGGGACCTGATCGACGGAAGAAAGCTTCGCGCCTCCGCGGTGCTATGGCCACAAACAACAACCCGACAAACTCAGATTCCCCAGGCACTGGCAGCCCTGTCAATCAACAGGCCCCCTCCTTCCGCCGCTTCCCTCCTGACGGCGGTGTCGGTCTCATCGTTCACGCCCTCTGGTCATGGTATCCGGAAGACGAGGTTGAGGATGAACTGATTTTCCCACGTGGCGCGGAGATTACTGAAGCAGAGAACATCAACGACGACTGGTTTTGGGGCTGCTATGCCGGCCGTACAGGACTGTTTCCCGGGACTCATGTTACTGTTGTCAGCGAGGTGGTGTAAGAATGGGACAGATAGGCTATTTTCTTCCGACTAAGAACTTCTAGTGGGTGAATGAATGATTTCAAGGCCTTGATGGTTTCTTCCAAGCGACCAAAGCTTTATGCTCGTGATGACTACCCTCATGCGAAGAATACATGTATGTCTTGCTCAATAACAGCAGAGATCAACTTGAGATAAAATAGTTTACAACTAGTTTTTTTCTATTTATTCGCTATGGATCCCACCGATACTGCATCAAACCGGCGGGCTGTTTGTGCCCTTTTATAAATAAGCATGTTTGGAACGAATTGTCGGCCTAGAAAGCGGTTAGTAACGGTTAGTCGATAATAATGATGAGACTAAAGACAGGAGTGACACCAACAGCAGCGATCTCAACGAAAACAAAACTAGCGATTACGCTGCTCTCTACTCAACTATTCGTTCCCCAACACACAGTATTCATATTCGAGATACCATCGTAGAGCGCGCTTTAAAGCGAGAGCAAGACTCGAGCATCACTATGAGTCACGTAGGAGACATGCCTCGGCCTGACGTTCTTGTATCTCTTCCTGCGATACGAAGCCTAACTGATTCAACCTATGCTACGAAGTGATACAGTCTACTAATCCCCTAGAGGGGCTTTGCCTTTGCATGAAGGTGCAGGAAAACATGAACTTAGGGAAACCCTATACCAAAACAGAAAAAGGATATCACAACAGTATTTGCAAGCAGCAGTGCCTGTACACTCCTAAATCTTCTGGCCGCACGCACCACTACCAAAGTATGACCGCTAAACCTCCCCCCACCCCCTCCACCTCATAGTTCGAGCCTAGAATCCTCTAGGCAAGAGCTCTTGCGTTAGAGTATGCTTCTCAAGAAGAAAGTGTGCAGTATGGAAATCGTACCTGATCCATCAATGGCTGCCATTGGAAATAGAGAGATTGTCGATTAGATTATTTACCGCCTTTCTCAATAGTGTTGAGGCATTTTTTAATACCGCCGCCTTTGTCGTGCTCAATGTCTTTAACACACTGCTTAATGACACCGCCATCCTATACATATTATACAGCACTCAGTCTCTAGATTCAATAAGATCAGTTGATAATATTAACAATATGTACTCACCTTTTGGCGAATTGATAATTCATTCTCAGGCGTTGGTGCAGCTATAGCAGTGGAACAAGCCACGGCGAGAATAACCCAAAGGAACTGCATGTTTATGTTCAACACTCACAGTCTAGCTTGAGATTGGAAAGTGTTCTAGTGATCAAAATTCGAGTAGGCGCAATTTGAACTGGTTGAAAATTAGATAAAAGCAAGATTTGGACTTAGAGGTGGTCGAGACTGCTATTTAAGTTGGAGGTGAAATCTCAGTTATTAGAATGGACCAAGCGTTCTATGGCCTACAGATCATTGTTAATAGTCAGTGTCGATCCTGGGCTAATTACATCCCTTTTCTAAATTCGTCATAAATGAGAGTTTTATCAATGGGCCCACCAAAAAATGATAATCTATGGAGGCTAGTTAGTTCTTGAAGAGGTAATGATGACATGGTACTCATTCCACGCGTCGTGAAGATTAAGAAAAGTGGAAATTTTCCTTATTAAATAAAGTCTAAATTCGCTAGTTGGGATGTAGGAGATACTATGACAACACTAGAATACAGTGCTGCAGATGACTAGGCCATGGATCTCCTTATCCTTTTTTAGGAGCCAAAATGATATAGAGAGGAGCTAGAATAGGAACAAGGGAATTAGCAAACATCTTAGGCTTGCTTGTCTGATGGAACGCCGCTATATTAGGTCCTTGCATCACGTGCTTGTTTGTTCATTTCTTTAATGGACACATACCCCGCTTCTAATTGACAATCGATCTCTTCTTGAGTCCAAACTCTAAGCCCTAAAAGAAAACTCGCAATGGATTCCTTAGCCAATATCAAAGTATCAGATGGAGAACACTACGACTCTGTGAAGGACGGGATTCGCAGACTAGTCGACACTTCGGGTTGGGAACTACTGAACGACCACGAGATCCGGAAGACATTTCATTGTCGAAATTGGACGAAGATAATTGTTCGTCGTGAACTCGAATGATCTAGGGCAGCCCCATTCACTGATTCTTTTAGGATTTCTTTGGCGGCGTGGGAACAAAATGCAAGCAAGTGAATCACCACGGGGAGATAAAGACAGTAAGTTCTCTGCGCTCAGGTTATTGCATAAATTACTAATAGACTATCAAGACGTACAGTTCTATTACTTTTTGCTGGACGACTCATTCACCGCCCGGCCTCTCCCGGAAAGATATTGAAATGGCAGATTTCTGTGAAGAGTGGGCAAATATTGTCAAGACTGTGTCCCCTGAGAATGCCCCGTCGTGCCAGAATCCTAAAGGAAGTAAAGCTTAGTATTGAGCTCTTAATCCGACACAGAATGAGATTCCTGAGGGTGAAATATGTATCAATCTACAATATAAATGCTTTGATACGGCAGATTGAGGAAAATTTCCAGGAGCTGATCTAGTAACGGATGTCATGAGCATTCTGAAACGTATCTTTGAATGGATTTAGGTGTAAGAGAAGGCCAATCGATAGACCGTAGATCAGATAGTGCAATAACAAGACAAAAAAAGGACTTGAAAAGGACATCCCGTAATGTTGTTCTTCTATGATTCTGTCTACAGTCTCATATCAAAACTTGTCATTGGGTAAATAGATTGGAAGTTCACAGGTCGGAGAGATCAGACTGGAAGCACCCCCTCGCAAACCGCCCCGTCGGTTCCCTCCAAGGAGGACGAAGCATCGTTGTGGCAATGAATCACACGCTTCTCAACATAATTTCCGTTATTGCGGAGTTTAAGATGCGTCAAACGCTTCGGAAGCAGTTTCTCGTGAAGAGTGAGGATAAAAGGAATTCTGAACCAGTTGAACTCATGCCCGATCAGCATTGTTGACGAAATGGTCAGCTGTTTCAGAGCCACGAAATCCCTCAGGTCTTTTAGTCTTTCCTTTCACCATAAAGGTCCAAACCTAAGCTTTCAAGAGACGTGGCTTGAGTCTTCAAAGTATCGATGTACTCGGCACGATTAGCATAGCTGAGGTGTGGAATGCTTTTTAGGTCAGGTGCCTCGTTCAGGCGCCTCGTCTCTGAGGGTGCAATGCCTTCGAGCACCAGGAAACTGTTGAGCATGCCTTCTGCTCATTCACAGCAGGGAGATCGCGGTTCAGAAACCGAAATCATTCTAACTCCGTAGGACGAGATGGCCACGATGAGTTCTGGGGGCAAGGCTCGAAGGCTTGAAGTCGCTTCGCAGTGGGGGATTGCATGGTCATGATAACTTGGTGTGTTGCGATTGCAGAATCCAGCGACCGTTTAGCTACAATAGGAAGCCCGAAACTTGGGACAATGACGCAGCTGTGCCTGATTAGTATAAGTAGGGCTTACCAAGGGCCTTGTGGTCTAGGACGTCTATTCACCTGCCGAGGGTTAAAAGATTCTCATTATTACAAATTATGAAGACAATAAATACTTGTTCAGGAATGTAGACTCGATCGTTCGTTATGTTATTCACATTGTACCTCAGCAGGGCAAGAGGTATCAACAGCTATAAAACATATGCCAGAAGAAACATGCACAGAAAGAACAAAGTACATAACCGCCACCCCAAATAAACACATTAAAGACATCACAAACTATACACAAATGATCCTTCAAGCCACAACTTACTCAAGCAGAGCAACCATCAGGCGCTGGTAGTCCCCGTCGGTCTCCCCACGCACGCGAGCGACAAGGTCCGTTTTGTACTTATGCTTATAAGCGCGCTTCACCTGGTCCAGATGCGCGCGGTTCCAGTGGATACGCACAACACGAACGACAAGACGCTCATCCCTCGTTCCTGGGCCGCGAACGCATTCATCAAGCAGGATCGCATCGCGCATAGCCGGATCCGTAGCCGTGCGGAGCATGTGCAGAAGAGCCTCTTGCATATGGCCCGAGAAGGACTTTTCAATATGTCTCTCCAGCGAGGTATGGTAGCGAGCCTGGAATGCCTGGTCGATAGCACGCATCTCCGCGTCTGAGACACGTGCGAAGACGGCGCAGAACTCGGAGACGTTGTTGACCGCGCGACCCGAGGTAGCGTCGTGCAGGGCGCGGGCCTCGGATTCAATGGCTTGCGGGTTAATCGGGGCAAACTCGTCGTGGCGGGTAGCGTGTAGAACAGCTGCGAAGAGCTCGGCCGTCTTGAAGGAGAGATCGTCCTCGATATCCCGCGCTAGCGAACGGTGGTATTTGCGCTCATAGGCTGTCTTGATGGCGTTGAGGTCTGCATTAGTCCGGCCTAGGAGCACGTCATTCATAAGCCACTCCTTTGTACCCATGCCCTTGACCGACTCGCGCGCGCACTCGACATCATGCTCAAGCGGGCCATCGACAATAGCCAGCAGCCCCTGTTCGAAGTGCCCGCCCGTCTCGGATTTGATATCCTTGTACAGGTCGCGATGGTGCGTCTGGGTGTAGGTAGAGCGCACGGCAGCCATCTGGAGCGGGTCCAGGCGCGAAAGCACCGAGATCAGAGCCTTCTCGTCCGTTCCGAAGCCCTTCATCGCCTTGCGCAGCTCATCTGCTTGGCGCCGGAAATCGCCTTGCGCCTTGGCTTGCGGGTCATAGCCGAGGGACGGCACCTGGGGCTGCGGCGGGTACGCGCCTCCAGGCGGAGGGGCGCCATATGGGCCAGGAGGTGGGTGGCCCGGAGCACCACCGGGCGGAGGGGCATAGCCGTGAGGTGGTTGGCCCGGAGGACCGCCAGGCGGAGGGGCATAGCCATGAGGTTGGCCGTAGGGAGGTTGCGGCGAGGGCGTGTGCTGGTATCCCGCTGGTGGCTGAGGCGACGGCGCACCGGGGTAGGGCTGTTGGCCGTATGGCTGTTGCGGGTAGCCCTGCTGTGGTGGGTAGCCGGGCTGAGGAGGATAATGGCCTTGAGGAGGTGGAGGAGCGCCATATGGCTGCTGTCCATAAGGAGGTTGTTGTCCATACGGAGGTTGTTGTCCATAGGGCGGCTGCTGCCCGTAAGCAGGCGGTTGCTGGTAGCCCTGAGGCGGCGGAGGGCCCGGAGGCTGGCCGTGGGGCGGATATTGAGACTCTAGATGCTTTGTTAGTCAACTTATCGCGGAAAATATGCGGATTTACTCACGAGGAGGAGGATAGTACGACATGGCTCAATGATCGAGAAGGATGACAGCAGTCGCAAGGCAGCCGGCAGCTGGGCTTATAAGTATACGAGGGGTAATACTGTGGCGCAGTGGAGATCGTGTACAGCCTTGTGGAGGCGTTAGTGATGATTGTTCTGTTTCTAGAAACCTGCCAAGCCCACAGCCCTGTTTACGCGAAGATCCTTACTTCATAATATCTCCGGTTGTGGCTGATACAGCAAATTATTATTCACGTAGCCAGACAATAATAATCATCATTCAAGTCCCGCTCGGCAGATGGGCTAATTAACCACCGTATCCTCTCTATAGCATGCACGCTAGGAGATAAGTAGACCTCAAGGTCAATGCAAGTCTTGGTAATCATAAAAGCCGCTTCTCGCTGAAAGACGTCCAAACAATAATCAAAGAAAAGGAAACGAGAGTCAAATGCAAGGGTATTCGTAACCAGATCATGCATGGCTTGCTGAAAAGAGGAAAATCATTAGAAAGTCCATGGATAGGTATCATCAAGGATCAAAAGAAAGAATGTAAGAAAAGATCATCGTAAATAGCGTGAAGAGAAGCTAGACGCTCGCCGTGCGCCGCTTTTCACTCGGTTTCTGCGCATAGGCAATCATCATGCGGAATCCTGTACCGCGCTTCTGGCACTCGCGCAGGACCTTGTGGTCATTCCACATGCTGGGATCGCCGTCACCCGTGTCCGGGAGGACGGGGTCCTCGTAGCATTTCGTGTACCACCAACGGCCAACGCGTGCCACGATCTTGGCGATGGACTCGTCGTTTTCAGGTGAGGGAGATGGATCGGATAGCAGATCCCCGAGGGAGATGTTGACGTCTTCTGATGGGGATTTGCTCTGGCTGCCCGAAGTGGTGGTCACGGAAATGGTGGGCAGCGAGAACGCGGTGGATGGGGTGGTGGATTTGTTCGACGAGGACGTGGTCGAGTCGGATGACCGAACGACCATCCCTGCGACGGGGATCCGGACCATGCAGCGCTGCAGGTTGTCGAAGCCCTGGCAGCCGACGAGACGCTGGACGTTGTCGCTGGTCGGCTTGAGGCTGACGGACGGATTTGCGAGACAGGTCATCTCCTTCAGTCGACGAACGGCTCGGCGGGAGCGCACTCCCATATTCACCATATCCCTATCTAGCAGGCTCATCTCGAGGTAGCCACCGGAACGGAGCACACGTTTGCATTCCTGGACCATATTGCTCAGGATCGCCTCGGAGCAGGCAGCGGGAAATCGCAACACGGCGACGGTGAAGTAGTCCTTGGGGAAGGGCAGCGGGTTCCCCAACCCCATGTGGTAAACAGTGTGGTGGTTGGTCGGTGGCTGCCACGCCGCGGGATGAGGCATTGCGGTGGAGACCGGCCTACCGCTCAGACTGTAGACTTCTGCATCGGGGTATGTCAAGGAGCAGTAAAAAGACCAGTCGTCATTGCCCAAACCGTCAATCACAAGGATTCGCCCATGAGTACCAGTTTTGACGTGGTTGTGTGCCGGGCTGAAGAGGACTCGGCCAAACGACAACCAGCGACTGGTCATCAACGAGGCAGAGCGCATGTTGGTGCGTGTCGCGGCATCCCAATCTCGCTCTGAACATCCGGGCACGGTCTTTCGTCCTTCTTCAGATGGGGCTGGCGCAGGCGGAGGAGCAGCTGCAAGGGAATGAAGAAAAGTTGACTGCTGCTCGTGAAGGTGCTCAGATGATGGGCTATGCTCAATATGGCTAGAAATGTCGGGAACATTCAAATGCTCGTCGCTGTGTTCGGCGTATCCGGCGATAAGATCACTGTAAGACGGCTGAGACGACGGAGCGATGGTTGACGCACGCAGCGCCGACATGATCTTAGACCGTCGGAGTCGGACAGAGCTGGTGCTCGATCGAGCAGACTCGGCTGGCAGGCAAGATTGAAGTTGATCGGAGCTGTTCAACTCGTCTTGAAGCGTCTTGCTTGCCTTAGTTGCCAATTCGAACTTGTTCTCCTCTTCGGCCGGTGGGTTCGGTTTCGGCTTTTCGGGAGACAGGGTGTAGTCAATCAGGTCGTCGTACTCGTTCCATACCTCATCTTCAGTCGGTGCCGATCCAGGCTTCGGAGCCACTGCTGTCACTGCCGCCAATGCTCCCGAGCTGCTGGAAGACGGCGAGCTCCTGCTCGGAGAGAAATGAATAAACTCATTGTTCGAATAGGGCCCAGCAAGGAAGTCCAGAGCGCTAGCTTGTTCGGGGCCGCTGAACGCCTGAGTGTACCCGTATCCCCAGTCCGAAGGCTGACTGGATCGGATATCCGAGTATACGTTCGAAGGCGGGATGTTGGCTGGCGGCAAATTATGCAAGTCCTCCGTCACCGGTGCCATGAGATTCGGCAGGTCAACAACAGAGAAAGGCCGCGAAAAAGAGTCCACAGCAGGCCGGTGAGACCTGTCACGGCGAGAAACCACCTGCGGGATTCGGCCCACAGACGCCAGTCGACTGGGACGGTTGTCTTCAGGGCTTTCATCGGGATTGGGTCCCACGAGGTTGCGATTAAACATCGCCGTCTTCGGGGACGCGTGGTAATCACTCTGAAATTCGCCATGCAGCTTGGGTGGAGACCGGAGAAGAATGGATGGCTTCTTCTGGATGTTCAGGCCCGCAGGAACCGCCACATGCTGGAGATACTCCTCTTCGGTGGGCGGAGAATCTTCGATTTTCTTCATGATATCTTCCAGCTCGTCTGAATCCGTATCGACCATTGCGTAGTGTGCAACAGGCCGAGTGTTCGCCACCGGCGAGATTGAAGCATGCAGCTGGGCGGTATGGGAAGCCGGCACAGTCGATACTAAGCTCTTCTGCTCATTGCCGCGGTTTCTCTGGAACAGGTTCCACCTCGAGGTCTTGCTCTTCTTTCCTTCTTTGGCTTCTTCTCGGGCATAGTCCGTAGGTTGCTCGGCGGCGGGTTTTTGATTATCACTAATACTTGGACGTCGTGCCAAACTCTTCGCCTGCGAGTAGATGAGACCCAAGCCCGATTCACTGGGCGCTTCGAAAGTCCCAATCGATGTTGGCAACGAATCAGTGGACTGAGCAGAGGATGTAACTGGGGTATGACGAGGCATATTTGAAGTGGAAGAAACGCTAGCACTGCTCATGCTCTGCTCACTCTGCGTTCGCGAGAGTGCCGCCCCGTCCATGCCTCCCCCACTGATGATAACAGGCTCCAGGCGGGCCATCAGGAAATCATCAATATCCAGCTCCGGGTGACTAGACGCGCTGCCCTTGCTACTGGCCACTGATCGAGCCGTCGTGCTTGTCGACCTAGCTCTTGTTCCGCTGCTGTTGACGCTTGACTTTCTGCCACGCTGTGAGTATTTTCCGTATCCTTCATGACCCGTTCCGGCTGCAGGGCCCTTCCGGGCTGGTCTAGATTGCTCGGATGCAATGTCGTTCAATTCGGCCTTGGACCTCTTCGAGAAAAGACCAAACCGCTTAGGAGTGTCAGCCATCTTGGGTGGAGCCTTCTCCTTCGGTGGCTCCTTGGTCAATGTCCGATGTGATTTCCGAGAGAGGACTGGGGGCGCGGTCTCCCTAGTCGGGATGCGAGATAGACTTCTTGATTGAACGGAGTCTGTCGAGGCAGCGGCCGAGCGGTTCGGAGTTGGGTGAGTTTTGAGCTGTTCGGCGGTCATGACCTTCTCAGCCGATTCGCGCCTGGTATGGCCCGTTGATCTGACATACGGCAGATTGCTTTGGATCACCGGTGTTCTGTGGAGGGTCAACCGATCGGTGCCGTCTCTGCTCGGTCTTGGAGGGGTCAATGGTGTCTCTGGTGCGGAGTGTGGTACAGCAGGAGTGGCAGTTTGGGGCTGGTACAGCGACTTCTCTGCTTCTTCCACTTCCCTGCGAGCCTGCTCAACATTGATATCCGATTTCTGCGGGGGGCTGAAATTCACAGAAGATTTCCTGGGCGGAGGGCTGCATGGAGGGCCTCGGATCTTGGTCGACACAGACTTCAGGCTTGGTCCGGAAGAGTTCGCCGGTGTGGTAGGTTTTTGTATGACAGGGCTTGCCCGATCGCTTTGCGGGCTGGCATAAGAAGTGGATGGAGATAAGAATGGCATTCTCGTTTGAGAAGGGCTTGGTTGTCTGAGCCGCCCGGCCTTAGCCGACTGCACGATTCCTGGGGAATACGATGACAGGGTAGTCGGGGTCGATGTTCGGCTCCACATCCCAGGAGACTCGGAATATCTTGTCGAGGGAGTGCTGGCGGAGGGGAAGAAAGGAGTAGGAGCAGGAGGGAGGTTCTGCGTATCAACTGTGGTTCGAAGGCTAGCAAGCTCGGCCGGTCCTTGTTCACCCATCTTGGCCTCATTCTTCTGCTCTGGGAGATAGGCAGGCCGATACAGCGTTGGCGTTTGAGACTCTGAGAAGGGAGTATAGCTGGACTGGGCGGTTTCCTCCGGCCGGGAATCTTGTGGGATCACCAAGCTCAGCTTTTGAGACTGGCTCTGTTCGGTATGTTTGCCTATTGTCGCAGCCTTCCTGCGAAGGACGTTGCGAGGTCGTTTGGGCGTAGAGGGCTGTGGACGGATCACAGATGCGAATGGGTTGTTGACCTCCGGCGTCGATAGCGAGGTAGGAATGCGCTCATTATGGTTTGGAAGGCTGACAGAAGACACCGGTGAGGTTGAAGATAACGAACGACCAGCGTTGGGGCGCGGCAGCAACGATTGGCGATTTGGACGGTTTGGGATCTGCTTTGACGTCGGTGGGAGTGCGGTAATCTGGCCACCATCCTCGGTGTCCGATAGAGAGGATCCCTTGCTAGGTGTCCGGGACATATAGTTCACTGGGCGTGCAATCTGAGATCGAGGACCTCGGCCAGTATAAGTAATGCCGGGAGTGGGTATCCCAGAAGGTGCCGGAAACGAGACATCAGGCTGTTGAGATCGAAGATCCCTTGGTTGCGGCAAGCGCCGGCCGCCAGACTTATTCCACGACATGGTGCGACCTTGAGCGAAGTCTCCGACTCCAATCCAGAGACAAGAAATTAAACAACGGGTACATAAGACAGAAAGTGGGGGTCATCAAGCCTGCGTCGGTGTTTCTGTCAGTGCCTTATTAGTCTTTCAGTAAGAATAGAAACAGTGAACGTACGGCATTCCGGTCATCAGGTCATTGCATGCAAATTAGGAGCGACGAGGTATCCAGCACGCAAGTCAGAACTCCGGAGTAGATGGCGCGGGAATATGGTCTTCTTTGGGGGAAAAAAGGGCACTGGATATTAAAAGATCCACGGTCCACCACACACGAGGCCGCCCAAATCTATCAATAACGTCCACAGACAAGTCACGGATCCTGTGCCGATCAGCGGTCTCAATCGGAGCTGCTTCGCCACAGTCTGGAGTCGCCGTGTGGCTTTGTGCCCGGTTTTGGACCCGCCACGTCAGAGCTCTGATGGAACTGCAGGAAAATAATGCAAGATTCGGAGAATAAGAGCCCAGAATTCAAAAGGAAAAAAAGCTCAACCCCCTGTCCAGGCGTGGGACTTTTTGTACGAAGTCGTACCCCCTCGATGTGGGGGCGGCAAAAAGGCTTGCAGATGCTGGAACGCACAGAGGTTTGTGCGATTGACGGCGGCTCCGAGCCTGATGCTGTCCACGGGATATTATTGGCGCAGACGATGACTCCTGTTGTGATGAGTCGCGGGTGCGAAACCGCCTCCCGGGCCTGTGAAAGGGACCAGACCGTGTATCGGGGCCGAATGAGTGAACTGGACAAACTCCCACTGCCCCGCCGGGAGACCGAATACATGATACCCCATCATACTGGGTGACGAAGTGACGGACGTGCACTGTTGGATCCCCACCGGGCTGTCGAATCGTAGCTGACAGGCTGCGATTCCCCGGTGGCGTAGAAGATTCAGTCGCTAATGCATGGACCGGCCGTGTTTGGTATCATGTTGGGGACATGCGAGCTGAGAGCTGCGCGGATCGCCGTCAAGAGCCGCAAGCAAGACGCTTTGCCTGCCAGCGCATCATCAACCCCGGAGACGCCGAACGATGTCGGAGAATAAAGCAAGAAGAATAGAATCCTGAACCGTTATCCATAGTCTGGGTCAGCGGAGGCCCGACCCGAGCCTTTCGTGGCGCTGGCCAGGGCAGTAGTAATACAGTCGGGCTTGTAACATTGGCCAGCCAGTGACATTCGCAAAGCGCTGTCTGCTCAACGTGACTAAATGTCTTAGCGTTCTCTCCCGCGCCAACCCGTGGGAGTCGTCTGTCTGGGTCGGACGGTGGATCTGCTGTGATGCTCCACCGATAGCTAACTACAGGCACGAATTCGAGGATGGCCGGGGGAGATAGAAAAGGACGGTGTGCTGCCCACCACTATCGCTGTGATCAAAGGATCATAATTTACAACTGTCGATCACGAGTTGCGATCGAATCGATCGAGAACTGCAGGCAGGAACCGCGACTAATGCACTGTTCAGCTGATGATGATTTATTCCATTTCTTGAACTCCATACATAGTACAAACGCCCGGTAAACCACTGAAGAGCATGACGACGAGAGAAATTCTGGCATTGGTATTCGACATATTCAGGCCGCCTGCGTGAACCGCTTCTTCCGCGCCTCCATCGCCTGAATATCCTGCTCGCTCCAACCCTTCTTCTGCTGCGGCTGCGGCTGCGGCTTCTGCACACCACCCTCGCGGTTCCGGTTACCATCTCCTCCGCGTGGGCGATTGCGTTGTTGCCGGCCACCCATATCACGTCTCTTGCCTCCGCGTCCTCCCTGCTCATTGCGCGACCGCTTGCGAGAGCGCTCGTCAGGAAGGGCCTCGTCCAGTCCTTTGACCCCAACGCTAACGCTGCTTTCAGCGGTGGCTCCAGCACCAGTGCTAAACCGCTTGGACCGCTCTAGCTGCTTCTGTGCCTCCTTCAATGCAGTCTCCGAGTCCTCAACGATGCCGAACTTCTCGGCGCGCGCCTTGCGCTTCCGCAGCTCCTCCTCCAGCTCGGACGAGGGAAGGCCCCTGGTGAAATCCACAACGGGCTTCGCTTCAGCCGCCTGAGTGGGCACGACATCGGTGGCGGCGGCAGCGCCTGTCGCTTCCACCTTCAGGTCATCGGTCGCGGCCGGGTCGGTGTCCAGCTTCTGGTTCGGCACGGCGACGGGGTTGGCGACGGGGCCCTTGCCGCCCGCAGCAATGGCCGCCGCGCCGGCCTCGGTCGACGGCTTCGCGGCACTCTCGGCGGGAACCTCGTCGTCCCAGTCGATGACATCGTCGGCGGCATCGGGCTTCGCGGCCGGCTTGCTTTCGTCGTCCTGCTGGAGGCGAGAAACGAGGTCGGCCTTCTTACCCGTGTGGGCAAGGGAGCGCGACTTGAGGATCTCAATCAGCTCCGCGTTGGTCTTCTTGGCGTAGTCGGTGGCCATTTTGTAAAATGCGACACGTAATGGGCTAACAGGTAGTTGGAGGCACGAATGGCGGAAGATGACAGAGATTATGGAGGTCAAGATTCAGACGTAACAAACGCACATTATGCGCTCGATGGACGAGGAGCGTAGAGAGGCAATGGATGGTCGATGACAACAGAGAGAAGAACAGGGAGGAACGCGACCGGGAGTCCGTCGCGCTTGCCCGATTGGGTTTTGTCACGTGATGTACTATATTCATCCATCTCTATGACAACAGGTAACTATTATACGGCCTAGGCAGGAGTAACTGGTTGGTTGTAAAGCCACTGGTTATCATTTACTCTGGACAATTGCATAATGTCCAGGCAACCACCAAATCATCACGAGTCGTCGATCACTCGTATACTCGGCGACTCCGAGCTGATTTGAAGGTAAACTGCTCTTTCTGCCTTGCTGCACGCGAAATTCGGTTGGAGCCGGGCATGCAGTCAAGCATGCCACGTCACAGCACCAACCAGCTGGAGCTTTCAGTCATTAGCTATTGTTAATCGGAATTGACAGGGAAGATGTGTCTAGTGCGGCGCAGTGCATGCAGCATCCGCCACATATATGCCTTAGGCATTAAGGCACCGCCTGGAAAATGTAGGAAAGCACCAAAAGATATTCTTCCAACTGTTGGGTCCATGCTGAGTGGCCGCCAAGGAAACGTAGCACAGCAAGGTAGTTAGTCGAGCATCTATGGCTGCTCTAGCAAAGCTGTGTGACGGCTTAATACCTCTGGTGGAAAATAGAAAACTGTTGTATAAAATAAGAATTAGGCCTTCCCTCGGCTCATTCTGGTCCTTGCAGGAGTTCCACAATAGAAAAATAAACAATTAAGATTCGAGGAGCCTTTCACCCATAAAACCAGTACTCCGCAGCATAGTCAACCAATACAGCCCCCTGCTGTCCGGCACAGGTCGCTGGTGGGTTTCCATTAAAGGTCTTGACACGATACACCTCCTACAGACTAATTAGTTGCGGAGGTTTTCGGTCAGAAAATAGACGCCATACCTTGATACCATTGCCGGCAGTAGAGACAAGTCTCAGCCACGCAACGTCATCGCTCCCATTAGCATCAGCTGGAGTGGCCACTCTGATGGGTGCCGTGACGGATGCATTTTTAGAACCGTTCATCCAAGTATCACTGCCCGTCAGCTTGAGATTGAAGAACGGGTCTCCTGCAGCGTTGAAGAAATGTTCGCCAATGATGAGATCGGTAGTATTCGTGACCTGGCCTAGAATCGTTGCCATGAACGCAAGAGAGCCAAGAGGAACTTGTTCGAAAATCGCAGGCAGCTCATGCAGGAGAGTCATGGACTGCGATGCAAAGCAGGATGCGTCGAACAAGGTTGCAGCAGCACCAGTGGCTACTGGAATTGTAGATTTATTTGAAGAGGAGCAAGTGTAGTTCTGCGTTCCGCGGCCGATGGCAATGTACTTGAGACCTAGGCCTGCAGCGGGTACGGGGAGCTGGACACTGGTACTATTCATGGGAAGAATGGCATTTGCGAGAGAGCAGCTTCCGAGACTGACTTGATCGAGTTCGCTGGTGAGTTGGGAGAATATGTTGGCTAAGCTGAGCGCCGTTGGGAGAGTTGTTGCAGTCCCTGACGAACACGCTGTTGCCGCCAGGGAGAGAAACAGTAGTGCAAATAGCTTCATGATGAGATCGATTGGTGCAAGATGTTTAGGAGGAAAACATAAATTAGAGGATTGAGTGTTGAGGCTTCTTGTGTTCTGAATTGACACTTGTATAAAATGATGGAAAATGCCGAGCAGAGAAAGCAATAATAATCTGCGCTTCGTCAAAGATGTAGTCATTCAGGCTTTGTTGATATATACCTAACAAAGGAACCGCCGAGCATTTGAGTGAGTTTCCCGTAAAAATAGGTTGTTAGGCTTACTAGAATGCCAACAAATCAGATTACTAGGAGCTTAGATTAAAGGGAGTTGTCTATGCCCTATTGAGAGTTAGTGGATGACGGGCTTCTTTTTAGGCGCATTGTCGATGTTGCACTGTATCTATCGGCTTGGGAAGCCTTTCCTGAAACGGACTTGTGAGTGCTAAAAATGGTGTCTTTGTTTTCAATACCCAATAATCTCCGAGACTTAAGCAAGAGTCAATTTAGGTAAAACGCCCTACCCGTAGATGGCAGACTTGTGGTTGCCCAGTGAGATATATTTCCGGTCATCCCCCATAGGAAGGTGGTGTGATGACTTCTCTCTAACCGCCAGGAAGCTGATCATGTGGGTTTTACTTTGCTAGATGCTATTATATCTGACACTTAAAAATTTAACCGTAGGTGAGCTGTACCGGCTGTGCAGTTGTTTCCCAAGTTTCGAGCCCCGCAAAGATGATAATTCAGCGGCAACTCCCCAACAGAGTAAGACAACCACATAAAATTCTAGAGGAACATCCTGGAATCTGTTTTAGATGCTACTCGATGCTACTCAAATTAATATCTTCCCTTTATTAGATCTGTGTCATCATGTGAGATTTATTTTTATTCTGGGCGAAGCGCCTGCAACCCTGAAAC